GTGGTGCTAATAATGCTATTAGTAGTAATGTAGGAAAAGGAAGGGGAATATTGTTGCTGTATTTATAGCTATAGCTATAACGGGGGTGGAAATTGTATCTATTAAAAATATAAAGTTAATAATTATATAAACCCTATTTTTTAAAATTATATATTATTAAAAATAGGGTTAAAAAGATTACTTATATTATAATAATAATAATAATAATAGTAATAATAATAATAGTAATAATAGTGGTTATAATTGTTATTGTTGTTAATAGCGCTATTAAGGCTATATTTATATTAGTTAAAGCTCTTTTTAACCTATTTTTAATTGTATGTATTTAAAAATAAAAAAATAAAAACCTATTAATTAAAAGTTTATATTAACTTATTAAAATAAGTATAAATTAATTAACGATTTAATTAAAGGGTAATAATATATTTTAAAATATTTATATAAAATATATTTACGAAGTTAAAGAAAAAAAAAGGAAAAGAGTTAAAAGCTAATATAATAATAGGAATATATAAGAGCTATTATAGGTATACCTATAGTTTACTTATATTATAGTTATTTAATTAACTAATATTAATAATACTTATAATATATATTTATAAATACCGATTTAAACTTTTTATTTATATTTATAAACATATAATTATATATTTATATAAGCTTATATAATTATAAAGGCTTTATAATAAGGGTATATAATTATAAAAGAGGCTATTATAAAAGCTTATTTTTTTATTTATATTATAGTTAACCTTATAATTATTATGAGTAGTAAGGCTAAGGGGGTATATTAGACGTTAGTGGAGTTAAGGAGTGGGTTAATAAAGGTTTTAAGATCGTATATATATTTAGTATACCGTTTAATTGCCTTTTAGATAAAACTTAGCTAGCTAGAGCACTTAATACTACCTTGAACTGATCCCTCGAACGCATTGCAGGGGCCCTGCGGCCCACCTACGTCCGAGAATGCAAGCTGAGGGTGGACTCTTTTCTACCATAGAGAGAATCTCCTTAAAGTCAACGAGGTTCGCACCGGCATATGAGGGCGATTGAAGTATGCTCAATTATTTAGGAAGCCGGGTGCAAGAGTGGTTCCTCACTCAAAGCGCTAAGCAACCCCGGAATATTGAAACTGATGGGGGGAGAGACGTCAGAAAAGGTAGATACTGGCGATGAAGTTCTGTGTGAGACGCAGCACTCACTGTCTTACGACAAACCTTCGAGGAACTTCCGAAGTAGTCACAGGATCATCTACGTTGAGCAGTGGTTGGGGCGGGCTGGTGATATCGATTTTCCACACCGACCAGCTTTAGAAGCAAGACTGTCAGTAGACCGTGCCGTGTACTTAAACTTAGCAAGGAATAGTGGTATATTGAAACTATCGATATAAATTCACATATCGACAATGTCGTTCACAGGACAACCCGTTCGACAGACCAGGCTGTAATAGTGTAGTGGTTATCATTCTAGCCTTCCAAGCTTGAGACCGGCGTTCGATTCGCCGTTACAGCATTTATCTTTTGCTTGTATTAAAACCGTTGTTAGCATGAGTTGCTTTTTAATAATGATGATATTTCACAACTGGAAATGAGTCTAAAATAAGAGAGTAAGCATTCTTTATAATCCATCAATATGTAAATAGAGCTCACTTCGGGGGACAAGTGTGATGCATATAATCATGTCCACATCCCGAGTCTGACACAGGCAACTGACAAAGCTACCGTGCCTTTGCGGCACAAGAGTCCTGCAAATGGCCTCTACATTTGTACAAATTGTTCTTCTCAGTCAATAATCAAGAGGACCACTCTTAGTACCCTAGAAGACGCAAGATCGTGGGCAATCAAAATTTGCTATATTAGGTTTTGCGTGGCTTTAGCACACATGGTCTTAACATTATATCTACTCAAACATCGCTGATAGGTACGATACCGAATTGGCCTGCTTCTCACAGATAAATGCGAAGCCATCTACAAGAATATAGTTCCAAAGATTCACAGACGAAACGAGACAAGGAGAATATATTACGATAAGGCAGTTAGGGTCATTAAACAGCGACTGATCATTAATGAGCACATTGGCGGCTAACTCTTAATTAGACTAGCTCATTACAACTGAGAAATCCCGCCAGTTTCTGCGCAGAAACTCGCTCTATCTTGCTAGTAGCAAAGCGCGTTACTAACGTACGCGACTTTGAATCTAAGGATGATAGTCTCTTCGCGGTCCTGAGCATCATTGTAGGACAGCGATGAAACTATCGTCCTTAGGTTCAAGGTCACGTACGTCAGCAACGCGCTCTGCTACCAGGGGGCAATAAAGAAAGCATGAGCGTCCGCTCTAGGAAGTATTGATTGGTGGACGCAAAGGACACGTGATTTTAGTTAGATGTCTAGGTTTTGAGATGTTGACTTTAGCCTAATGGCACTGCTACACTTATCACAGCTATACGGCCGCTGCGATAGGTATAACAGTACTCTCGGTCTAAAGTCGAGTTTTCGATGGGCATGTTGTGACTGTACACGACAAGCAACGTCCCGTATTGCTACGACGAGCGTGCTAAGGCCCTCCGCGTACAGGTCTTATGAAACAAAAACGCCACTGCTAATGGTTGTAGCACGCCAAGTCGGAAAGATAGCCAAATGCTGGACCGAAAGGGAATAACATCACACCCAGAGGGTGCAGCAGCCTGAATAACACTTCTCTGCTACGAGCGAACTGGCTACAGAGAACGACGGCGAACGTGGCGTGGAGGACATCGACATGAACAGCTTTGCCTCCGTTGCGGTGTCTGCGTTCCGTAGGTGCATCGAGGTTCTCAAATAATCTCAAAAGATCCATAAGAGTCGGCCGATGGCTGTGATACTAGGTTAGGTGATGGAATGATTGATCATGAACTTCAGGACACTTACAGTGTGCTATTAGATGGGCTAGCAGATAGCTCGAAGAGAGGTACGTGAGTGTGCCAGTTACTGTGGTATTACATTAACCCCTGGAATAGCAATTGTGGACTTTCGGGGCACTTACAAGATATCACTACTCCCAATCCTAAAATTGTGGAAAGAAAAGCAGGACCTCTTGCCGCACTGCCATAGTGGACCGTGAATACTTGGTAAGAGAAGGGGGCATGTATGTGGAACAGCATGAAGAGCGGTATGCTCAGCGCCCTCGAATGTCTAACGAGTATTTAACAAGGGAAGTAGTGAAGATTGTCAAATGGTAGTCGACATGAGATATGGGCACCGTGGATAAACCAGTATCTCCTAGATCAATCACGTCTCCTCTTCGAAGAGGTCAGTACATTGCTGATTCAGAGTTCAGGTGTATACTGACCACCCACGATAAGTACGGCAACTAAGTTTTCAAAAGAACGGACAGCAATCCGAACGACACCTCCACATCGGAAGCCGATAGGAGAAAAGAGTCAAGTGCTGAGGGTGTGAGCGGTGAAGAACAAGAGAATTTCAGACCAGGAAGGAAGGGAGAGCCCCTAATATAACACAAAGAGAGACCGGCAGCAGAATTCCGGCATGAGCATTTCTGCCTTCTAGCAGAAGCACAATCGAATCCGCCCGATGAATCAGGTATCCAGCTCCAAGATGCCAGCAAACAACGCTCATGTCCTAAGCCGCTACCTCGCATCAACGCGTTTCCCCACCCCATAGACACGCAATGCACACGAACAAGACAAATCAAAGCAAATGACATCTTCTATCTATCTATCCCCAGACCCATCAAAAATCCCAGAAATCAACGGACTCTACTCAGGTACACACTCAAAGCCCTTAACAACCATTTCTATTTGATTTTCCCAGGGAATCTCCAACCAGGCAGAAAGTCCCAGCCATCAATAGCTCTCAACCAGAAACGGGATTCTGCGCCCTCATATCTCCATCATCAAAGACGGTATCACACACCGACTGCATCCAGGCGGCAAGCATGATACGACATGCCCCTCTCTAGCCATCCATCTCGCGAATGAGATTCCATAAACCATGCCCCCTCACCCATAGCTAAGACTGCGTTTACGTGGCCGGTGTATCGAGCAAGCAGATTGCCGTCTGCATGCGGATCCGCGCAATTTGTGCAACGGCAAGTTGCATATTTCGCTGCTAGGGTGCGTCTCAACTGTGGAGGTGGCGTGCCACTTTTCGGTGAAAAGTGTCTTTGGGAGTGTTAGACTTGTGCCAGCTGGGGCGAGTCTTGACATAATTTGAGAATGTCTTTGATCATCATCATCGCCGGTGAGATACAGGTATGCTGGGTTGACTTAGATAGTGAGCAGAGGTTGCACTGGACTGCATGAGCTAGGCTTGTAATTCCGTTTGCTTCAGCAGCAGCCAAATGACAATCCCTCACTGATGATACTTTCATATTCAACCGATTAGGCATCTAGTAGCTGAGGGAAAAAGTGCTGTCTGAATCGCGATGAGACCTTGAGACTGAACAAGATGGAGGGCTTCCTCGGGATGCATGGATTCGCCAAACAAGAATACTTTAGGTATAGTGTTGTCCATTCCATAGTTAGTAGATAGTACATACAGACAAAAATGTGCCATCTCATCACACCCGAGCTGCCAGCATCCACCAAGAATGGTAAGTATGTTTTCCCCTTTTCGTGAATCCACCAAACGCCAAATTACTGGTGGCGCTTTTCCTTCCGAGATCGCACCACAAAAGGACCCTGCATGGCTGATAATGATAACTGTACTAGATGGGCAGAGTGACTACTCTTCTACCATGTTTTCCCCGTCGTCGACCAGATCAAAAGATGAGAGCAAAATTTTTGGTACAATAAATAGAAAGAGCTCGTAATGAAGTTCAAAGCATGTGTAAACTTATGTCGTCATTAAATGGATATTCTGATGTTGAAAAGGTGGGTGCTGGCGTCTCGAACTTCTGTGAATGGATGGCAATATTAGCAATTGGGGTTGCCTTGATCGTGGGTAGCGTTATACCGGTGAGAATAAAGGTTGACCTACTTTGATGATTTTGAGTTGTTGCGTCTAGTGAGACCAATTCGTCATCAGGCGGCGCTGGGAACGGGGCGGGCGGTCAATTGAGGCAACTTCGTCTTTCTCGACGGTACTAGCTCGATCATCTTTGGAAATGGGTGTTGGAATACGTAGTCCACTCGTGTCGATAAGTTCTGCGTCGTGGCCATGAGTGGTCGTGATGGAAGGCGTGCGCGGTTGTCTGAATGGGCGATTTCGGCGAGATCTCCAGAAGAACAGCCAGACGAGGCTGACTACAGCAAGGGACACGACGCCGACAATGAGGCCTATCTCCAGGCCAGTGAGTGAAAACTTAGCATCGCCGCCCCCCAGACTAGCTGGGTTGCCTCCTCCATCCAGTGGTGAGGCGCCATCGTAATGAGGCATGTCGTCAGGGATCGGAGCCATGGTGATGAGTAGCTTGAATAGACTCCGTGGCTCTCTGCCTTGCGAGTTCCGGGAATGTTGAACGAAGGGGTTGGGATACAGGAATTGGCGAGTCTGAATGTGTCTATATGATCTAGGCCATACGCACGCTGAGCCTGGTCCTGGACTTATCCCTTGGTTAGACGGCAAATCCTAGACCCAGCACGATGTTCTTGTTAGTTGAAGTAAACAGCAAAACGAGTTCGATATTGCGATTCTAGATTGCAGAGTTATGGCAGGTAAATAGTAAAATGAAGGAGCCTACTGCTCAAGAACTAGGACAGGTAGGAATAGGAATTCGGGTAGTACCTTGTGACTCAGGTGGAAGATTGAGAGGAGTCAATGTAACCTGAGCAGCCCAAGTGAGACCTCAGGAGATCTCGTGGAACAGGTGGAACAGGTGGAAGTGCAGGTTTTCCGGCGATACAGCGTGCGCGAAGTGATTATTGGCAGAAGTGCGAGGTGGCAGATGGAGGATGATGGATGATGGGGCGATGAGAGGTTCTACGCGAAGATCTAGGAGCAGGCGGAAAGACTGACAGGCGAATAATACTCGCTACCTAGTATTCGCTCCTGTATCCGCCCACTTCGAAAGGCTTAGGCAGGTGAGCAGAAGAAAGGCACGATGAGAGAAAGTAGAAGGCACAGGTCTTTGGCCAAATGAATCTGGGAAAGGTACCTATGAGGTACTCTTTCGATTAAGCATCAAGATACATACCTACATCTATTTGCCTGTTGTATGGGAACCTTGGAACAGAAGGGCGAGATACCCGTCGGCGACATCCCTCCCCCTCGACAGAAATTCTTCGGTCGGGTAGGAGGTCCCTATCCCTACCTAATAATTTACCAGGAAGGCAACATGTAGCTTCCTTGACGACCAAATCTCCAGTAATACATCGCGACTACCATTTCTGGCAAGGAAGTTGCCAGTACGTTGGATCAGCCCATCACTCGCTGCCTTGAGTCAGTACTGAAAGGGAAATAAAAGAACTGATCAGGAGCTCAGTAGCAAATTATCCAATCTACAGGTACCTGTAGTTGCCTAAGTAGGCAGGGTTAGAAGTGCACGTACCTACGATTCTAATTGTAGCGATATACTCACTCGGTTATAGGGAGGTAGGTACTACGTATACTGTAGGATGTACATCTTGGGTACAGCTGCCTAAGTGCGTCCTTGGACAGAACGAGATCACGCATCAGCAATTCTGTCGGTCGTCGCTGCTGTGGGCAATGCCATCCATAGATGCTGAATGACGTATTGATACAGGTACATTGTTTTTCACCTAATTGAACATGTTGACTCAGAATAAATGCACGCAATCGTGTGAATCACTGCGTACCCACCAAAGTCGTAGCATATCCCGCGCCTTGATAATCTGCTATCATGAAGTCTTAGTCCGGTGATCACTGCCAGGCCGACACATCTCAAGGTGTGCACTAAGCGCCTTGATGCCGACCTCCCAAAATAATGTGCTCACCTTCGCTTGCACCAGTGGTAGCACAATATATGGGGAATGCATCACGAAGCTGCTGTGATCCGTGTCGTAACCCACCTTCTAGACAGTCTGATTTGACAGTACCATTTGTAGATTGACTGGGACCCTCGGCAAATGTCCTTTGTACCACCACGACTCGGGTGGGTGGGACAGGTGCGAAGCGAGCTTGGGTCAATGTGCAAACAAATAGACGAAACTGGTACAACCTCGCTTTTGTGTTCGTTCAGCGGAATCTTGTGTCAGATGAGTTCTTCGGACGATCTGCGGCTCGCAACAACAACATCATACACCGTGTATTCTGCTGTCTCGGAATGGACTCGGCCTTTGACCTCCTAGATAAGAGGCTCACATAGCGAATACGTGACACGGCGGGACAAAAATGGACGGAGTGTTTGAGAGTGAATACTGCTGTCTCCGCTCTGATAATATTTCTACGACAACTTGTTCACAGTTTTTATGAAGCATGTTCTGATACTCAAGCAGCCCACATATCGTACCACGATATCTTATCTTGCAGCTACGACAATTAGAATAACTTCTGCCACCTGTCTCAGAAAAGTATCGTGCAGAAGCAGTTTCCCCATCTTGTATCACTAAGAATCAGACGGTGCAGCACCTTAGCTAATCGCTCTAATATAGCCCACAGCCCCCGTGAGATCCTGCATAGGTATATATTTATCACGATAGGGCGATTGCATTGCTGCTTGCCAAGATAGCGATATTGAGGTAGGTTTCATCGCTCCCGCAACATGGTAATGTGATGTTACCACTGAGTCGGGTTGCGTACCTAGCTAGATGTAATTATAGATAGGCTTTGATCGGTTTAGATAAGGCCCATCGCCATGATCACCTACTCATCAGAGAAAGGACGGAAAACACGAAGAGAACAGGACATTTTCAGATGAATATGACTTGAAAGGCAAAGTTCAACATGACTACATCAACGAAGCCTTGCCAAGATTCTTCCCCTGAAAGGGAGAAGCTACCCGGTAGTGGGGGCGACTAGTTGGGTTTCTTGGCTTGGTGCATCGCCTTCTTGAAGCACATACCTACCTAATCCTAGACTGCGTCAATACAGCGCATATACTTTTGATTTATCCCTCACATATAATCCAGATGACCGCTCCTTGCATTTCAATACACTTCGAATATCTAGACTCTGATCCCCAGGTGCGCGTTCGTCACTGTCATGTTGTGCTCGGAGCGTCTTTCAGCTGACTCACACATAGTGCCAGCTTAGAATAGCCATGTTCAAGCTATTGAGCTTATCTAAGAGTCTCCAATCTACTCAATATGGAGGTAATCACGAGTTTTCATGAGATAGGTCAAGGACCACAGCGAGATCTGCACAACCATCATATCCGCGCACTTATCAGCCCGTAACTAGAACCCCCATGATCATCGTCTTAATCACGAGAGGCAGCACCCCGAGCTTCCCAAACCGCCTTCCACGACTTCTTCTTCTCGTTAATCGACGTTACTTCCTCAAGGAGCAACAATGTCGATTGCTCGAAAGCCCGTACGCAATTCTCTCCCCCGCTTTTCGACCGATAGATGAATTCCATACTGACGTTAAAAAAAAGAAGGCAGGGCATGAAAAACCAAAGGGTAATAGCTGCTACCCACTCGAAGATTCTCATAAAAGGGGATGTGGAAGGGATATAGCTGGCAGCCTCCACTCGCTGCGCAGTTAAGGCTGCCTTTATCAGGGTCATGTTTTGCACAAATTCTTTCCCTGCCTCGTGAATATCTCCCATTTGAGCCATGGATTGCTTCGGGTCAGGGTTGTCCAGGGCTGAATGGAACCGGCTACTCTGTTCTTGGAGAAGCTGGCTCATCAAGGCTAGGTAAACTGCCGTGTATTGCAGATCCATATGCGCAGACTGCCATACTTCAGGGTCTTCGTGGTGAAAGCTACCGACGGAGATACCCCCCCGGCGCGAGATCGTCGGCCCGTCAGGGTATTTGTCGAGAAATTGCTGACATATGGGTGTGTCTTTTATTTTCTAGAGTCCAGTTAGCTAAGAGAGCTACTTTCAGGACTCAACGGGTTGGTGTATACCTCATCGCTACATGACAGGGCCAGCGTGACCAGCTCCGACTCTTTAGCAATCGCGATGCTTTTATCTTGGGCTACCCATGCATAAATTCCAATTATCAGAGTAAGTATAACTCCCAGTACGCTACATATGTTAACGACCTTGCGAAGCGTTTGGCTCCAAGATGGTTGGTGACCAGATACAGCAGAGCTTCTAGGGGGTTGTGTTGTATTATCAATCTCCTCTGCCCCCCTCCCTAAATCCGGAACTGGGCCGTCGAGGGTTTGAGACTGAATAACCCGAGTAAGTGAGTTTGGGGGTTCGATTGAAGAAACACGATCGTCAAGCTGGGAACGAGACCCAATGGGCTGGGCGGTTGTGGCCGCCATGACCCCGCTCTCATCTGAGTGATGCGGTAGCGACTTAGTTGACAATATGAGAGCCTAACTGTTTCCCGTAGGCGCGCTGCAGAGACCGTTCAGATTTGATTCACAAAAGGGGCTGTTTCGCCTGGCGTCTATCGAATGTGCAGACTGCTCTCACCTTGAAGTTTGTTCTCTGCCCATATTACTTGCAAGGCGGTTCTCAAGGCAGAAACCTGCAGCGGCTGATTACGTTACCGAGATAACCCAAGCCTCTGATTGGGCCTGGGTTGGCGGTAAGCATTGTGCAAATGTGGCTGCCACTTGACAGGCATGTTGTGAAGCTCCCCACGTACCTACTTGGTAGATTTCTCCTGACTCTTCTACCCTACAATGTCAATCTCACATTGTCAATCCCGTCGTCTATCATGAGTCCTCCTCAGGATTCGCTTTATGACCTCCCAGGAGCTGAAAATCCGCTTCGAGCTGTGGTGTTGTGTTTTGGCCCCCAGACAGAGATCGGTGGCAAGTAGATAATTGCGTGACATGTGTACACGACATCACACGGTCCTCATACTCCTCACGATGTATTATCGAAATCCCATTTACAAAAGACATGCTATATTGATACAAGTCCCAACGGGCCAAGTAACCTATGTAAATAGATAATCAACTCAGTAAAGATATCCATCACAGCGCCCAGTAACAACTAATGCTCCAACTCAAAACCACAAGCCATGTCTTGAGAAATGTCGCCAAAGCAATCTGCATCAAGACGCATAAGTCACCAAAGTAGAATTCAACCCCGGACCCTTTCAGCAAAACGACAACAAAATGGTACCGTTTCAGTCTTCCGTCCTCGAACGGCTATACTCCGAATCCCAGATAAACCCCTGCCGGTACTACTGGGGGTTCGTCCGTCCACTCTGCTGAACACATAGTCCCTGTTCCGAAGGCGCGTCATCAGACGCAGGATTCCGCGACGCCATCGACGTAACACTTATCATAGAAACAGGTTTCCGTTTCGGAATGTCTTTCGACGGCAATCTATTATGCCCCACAGCTGCTCTCGTCGGAGTCTTCTCGGGACTCGAGGCATCATTCACAGCAGCTGCTACTTGTTTCCCTTTATCCCTATTAGTTACCGGCGTCTCACCACTGGGAGGAGGCATGGCCACGACGGTCGTGGATCCCGCGCCGCCGCCGCGTTGCTGTGAAGAAAACGGAGACGAAGATAGCGTGGACCGGAACTTATCCCAGTTCTCGCCTGCCGTCTTCATTTCGTCTGCGAGCATGAGTACGAGGGCGGCAAGAAGGGCTGCGAGGACGACGAATGTCACGAAGGCGGCGCCCGCGCGGTCGCCCGCGTGGATCGGTCCGTGGTGCCATTTCACCGGATCCACGCGGCCGTTGTCGTTACCACCGGCCGTGGGGTCGCCGGCGCTCGTGCCGCCCGTGCTGTCAGTCACAGGCGCCTTCGCTTGTTCGATCATGTTTGCGAGGACGACTTCCATGGCAGCCATCTGTTGTCCGACACCTGTGGTCCCGTCCCACATGCCACTATTATTCGCCCATTTCAGCCCACACATGCGTCCGTTGGGACCTCCGTTGCACTGCTTCACGGCAGCACGCGCCGAGTTCTGGAGCAGCTTCTTGATGCGGTCGAAGGTCCAGGGGGCCCACTTCGTTGTCGCCGCCATCCATCTGCTCAGATACGCCTTGAAAGACTGCTGGTCGACGTCGCAGAGGTTCACGGATTCGCACGCCACTTCGATCATAACCTTGTCGGTGTCGTTTCCGAAAAAGAAGATCAACTCTGTGTTATTCAGGAGTCCGTCTACGCGCTCGTGCCATAGATCGACGTCGAGTGTTTTATTAGCCTTGTTCGAGTATTCGACCATGGCCGCGGCACCCAGCAGGAACGCGCCGACGTTGTAGGAGAACTCATACGGCGTGATGTCTGTGCAGTTGTGGTCGACGGTGGCGCCGTCGTAGACCCGGTAGTCCTCGTCGATGAATCTCACCCCTACCATCCAATCCCACGTCTTCGAGGCCCATTCTGCATAAGTATTATTTCCAGTGTAGAGGGCCAGTCGCGCGGCGAGATTGAAGAAGCACGCCTGTGATATGGAGTTCTTGTAGTTGAAACCGTTGTTCCATGTGAATATCTGCCACCGCAAGCCACCGTTGCAGTGCTCGGTGTCCCAGCGCGCTGCTTGCGTGTTGAAGACTGCTTGGGCTAGTGCTAGCCATTGTGGTTGACTGGCTTCGGGATTCTGGAAGTTGTACTCGGCTGCTGACATGGCTGCCATGGCCCAAAACCCCTGGTCGTCATTGCCCTCAGTTAACGTCTGATTTGGAGGCATGAAATCATTGTATGGTCCGACCTGGTGTAGCAGGCCCTGTTGAGTAATGTCATTATACGTTGTGTCGCCGGTATAGTACCAATAGTCTATCAGCGCGCCCATCAGAGCACCACCTTCCCACCCTGAGAGGAGAAATCAGCACGATCTTTCTTCTTTGGCCTCGCAGGTTACTCACAGTAGTACGGCTGTGGAAGGAGACCAGGTATTTGTCCGGGCTGGTTGCCATTGTACATGGACATCAGATCCGCTGCTAATTCTTTGGCGACATTTTTGATCGAATCTGCAAGACGAGATCTGGTGAGCTATGATTTTGCCTTCACACGTTGAGAACAAGATAGCTAACCAGTTGAATCGATATTGAGGTCGTAGGCAGCGATTGTTCCGCTTGAAATGAGAAGCGAAATGGCCACAGCCGCAGCCTTGCGCAAACAGCCTGCTATGGCCGACATGTCGGCGTAATATGACGGAAGCCACTGTATTCATGGACCGCACAGGAAATTCACATAACAGCTTAGTGCTTGGAAAACCGCTTACGTGGTAGGTAGATTCAAACATTAGACAGCAGCGTTCAGTCCGAGTCGAGCTTCCTCGAAGGGAGACAACCTCTAGCTTATGCATGGCGTGTCCTGTAGCCAGTTTCTTGGAAAGCAAGAGGGATGGTCCGGAACATTTAGGTTGGGAAGTGTGATAAACCTGTCCTGATAAAAGGTAGGCGCAACAAGCTGAAGCAGACCTTGTTTACGTCACAAGAGCAGAGGAGACCGTTCATTCTTCGTGCTTGCGAATCGAACCGGTCTGATGGCGTATTACAAGCAAGCCCTTTCCGGGGGAACATCGGTTACAGCATCATCTTAGGAGTAGCAGTATGAACGGTAATGCGTGGCGGATGAGCGATGGCAGCGAGGAGACGTGAGACAAGCAAGCCATTGTTATTGAGATGGGATCAAGATAGGCCGAAGGCGAAAAGAGCCTGAGCGTGCAGTATGTCCAATTGAAGGTTATCGTCTAGACCGCTCCCTAGAAAGCGCTGTCGAATACGACGTTGGTATTTGTCGAGCTGCATTGACATCGTTCGATTCGAGCAGCGCTGTATACCATCACTCATAGTTTAATTTCTAGAAAAGAGACAATGACCCAGAGCGTCGGTTGTATCAAACACAATGTACCGGCAGATCTTGGAGTCAGATGGTGCCGGAATAACCTGTGATGGATGATGCATGAGTGATGATTACTCGTACTTGGTACGGGTCGGCGAGGCAGGTAAGGAGTGTACAAAGTTAGCCATGTTGTAGAAGCCGCATGTCGCCTCCATCGCGGGTGCCATGTGAAGGTATTCACGAATTTGAACTTCTAGATACCTTACATTTTACTGTTGTACCTACCTAGGTAAGTAGGTACGTAGGCGAGAGGTAGGTAAGGAGGTGAGGTTGGGGATGGCTGGGTCTTTCCCCAGCGCTTCAGTGCAATGATTGCCAGTGATTCGTTTAGTGGCGCGTATAGCCGCCTATCTGTTGCTGCATCTACGTGCCTAGCGAAAGACTTTTTACTACCGGTATGCGCAAACGCCGCTGCAGAAAATCGAGCATTCTCTTCGGTATTACATGCGTTACCTCTGTGCACTAATTGGCAAGATGGGTTTTGCGTTCAGGGTCTTGTCTTTGGGGGATCCCCCGGCAATCCGCGTCGATGAAACTAGGGCCGCTACACATCGGCCCAGGGGCTGGTCCGCTGGTAAAGGCATCGAATGAGGGTTGAAGAGAATGCGTGTCAGAATTGGCCAGCTCCAGCTCTGATTGAAACAATGCTCTCGTATCCTGGTGAAAATCATCTGGAGAATTAGGTAGATAATGAGCCTGATCGAATACCTAGTTGCCGGCGAAAGTTCCAAGCTACCTAGGTCTAGGTATATATGCACAATAACGAGCCATGTAGTGAATACCTAGGTCAACTAGGTACCTGAATTATTGCTTCGCATGATTCCATAAGTAGCAGCTATCTTCTTCCGCGTCAGGTGAGCGGTCTGGCGACGGCATTACCTGTCTCAACGTTCTAGAATGACTGCACGTTGATGAAGAAGCATTATCTAATTGTAGGTGTATCCCGTACCACCGTATCCAATTGACGGCGGACAAAGACCTCGTGATTGGAATAGCCATGGTTCGTTGGAGACGGGATTCAATGGGTAAAAACCCGGCGGCCACACGGGTTGCTTCAAGCCTCCGTGGCCGCGGCGCACGATATCTCTACCAAAGGCAACATGAGGTTACGACGTGGTATATCCGTGGTTATAACGGGAAACGAACATCATGACATGCCAGCAGGCAGCAGAATTATCGCCATCACTGAAGATGTTTCGTTCCGGTGACAAATGGCAATTCCTAATACAGCAGTAGCCTGAGCAGTCAGATTTGCCATAGCAGCTATGATGGCAGGTTGATTTACCTGTATTGGGTCTAGCACCAGAAACCCGCCACAAATTATGTCACGGGAGATACCAGTACGAAGTAGGTAGACTGTTGAGAGGGAACGTGCAAGCACAGCCTCGCTCGCTTCGTCACCACCCAACATGAAGATGAAGAAGGTGAAGAAGGTGCCTAGACTGTGACGGATGGAAAAAAGCCGGATGTTCCTCACCTTTAAATCGATACCTTACAGTAATATACATGTTGTGTATGTATGTATCTGTAGGTACCGTTCTCAGTTCTGTCGAAGCTCAGTCCAGGCCACGCCGCCCTACTGTCCCTGGTACCACGTTGTCACCTGCTTGATTTGAGTCTGGAACGCTGGGCCGGCTACCAGCTGCCATGTACCTAATGTACCCCATACCAGCTCATACTAATCAGATACTTCAATGCCGTTTCGTCGCACCACCACCTACGTTCATACATACATCTATCTCGCATAGATCGCAATACATAAAATCAGATTGATTTCGCTCCATCACGTAGAGAGTCGCATGTGGCTGATAATACCGTAAATGGATTTATATATCAAGAACGCGAACAGTTCTCTCAATAATGGCGGTGCGTAATATGGAGACCTGGAAATTAGGTACATGTATTCCGCTGGAACTCATTGGGTTCAGAGGCCAGAGAGGCTGTGTGGAGCCCGCCAGAACCCCTGCTCAGCTGTCTCAGAATGGAAACGCCTTCTTAGCCATAGCAACCTGCTCGCCTGTAAATTCATCCTGCCAGCCCCAACCTACCTGACCTATCTACCTACCTACTGTTCCAATTTCATCCATCACCTCGTTGTCCAAACTCATCGCCCATCACCATCCAGCCACCGTCCATTACTTGTTATTCCGTCCATATCGCTCGTAAATTTGCCGCTTCCATCCGCGCGATAACGTCTATCTGCGCTCTCGATCGAACCTCTCTCGACCGTGCCAGAACATTGAAAAGAACCGCGACTTTCGCTTAGACCCAGCCGCATCTTCCGTCGTCACCATGTCCGGCCAAGACGCCCCCTACGATCCCTACATCCCCAGCGGCCAGGCCGGCGCTCCTCAGCAGCAGCAGCAGGGCGGCAATGCCAGAACCCAGGCTTTACAGGCTGTAAGTTTATCTTGTTGATGAATGTCTCCATGTTTGATGGATCTCTGCCCGGGCTGCCTGGATTTCGATGATGCGACAAACCATCCAGAGTCACGCAACGAACATCGGCACTCGAGGTCCCGAGTTTAGGTTCTTTGAACGACAAGTGGCACTCAAATGCAATGTGTGCCTATATTCGTGATACAGACGCTAGATTCTCTACACACGATATTGCGATGCACGATTCTAGCTATGGTCGCAAGTCGAAGCTTCCCCAAACTCAAAACACGAGGCCTCCAGTCACCCATAAACAACAAGCCAGTCGGATTTAATCGACTTTCGAATGCAACCAATACCACTATCATGTTGCACTGACATGGGGTTTTCCGTTGGATGTACAATGACGCATTATTATCCGCTTCCGATGTCGATACAAACATGCAGCCCGGGAACGAGAGGCTTGGTCAAAGATAGCGTCTCTCAGGAAGCTAATACCTCTGTAGCAAATCGATGACACTGTCGGTGTTATGCGAGAGAACATCAACAAGGTGTCCCAGCGTGGTGAACGACTCGATGCCCTTCAAGATAAGACCGACAACCTTGCTGTATCTGCCCAAGGCTTCCGTCGTGGCGCCAACCGAGTGCGCAAGCAGATGTGGTGGAAGGACATGAAGATGAGAATGTGCATAATCATAGGCATCATCATTCTTCTAGTTATCATCATCGTCCCCTCCGGTAAGTTATGATCCCAAATTGCAATCCCATATAAAGCGTTGCAACTCTAACATTCATGCGCCAACCAGTCATCCTCGGTGGCCGGTAAGGAATAAAAACAAGGAAATATGGTAGAGTCGCCATACGACTTGGGTATGATGGCCTAGAGAAAATCTGGGCTGTGCTGGATTGGTTTTGATTGTTGCTATGATGATGAATTGAATCTGATTAGGCTATGAACTGGCCGGGTTTTGCCGGTCACACAAAGCACGACACAGAGGAGTTTTGTCCTTTTTGGTTTCTTATCGGCTTTCTCCAAATTAGCCTTCATGGAGCAAGGATTGCTTCTAACTTATTACCATGGCCAAGTGCGCACGGGAAAGGCTAGAGAGAGCGAGAGAGAGAATCAACCTTGTATGTACTACGGCGTGGCGTTTTCCCCTAAACCCCATTAATTGATATACCTCACGACCCCTTGATTATTGCTTCCCGTTGCCTACAATCTTGTTCAGTGGAATGTCTATTTATTGTCAGATGCTTCATGTGATGTTGAAAATACTTGATGCAGTAGCTAGGTAGCACGATACCTGGGGTGCGTCACAATATTCGAGGCGAGGAGAAACCATTGGGGTGTAGTTGTTACTATATAGATAGATCGTTTTTTTTTTTTTTTTTTCATCTCTCGAGACTGTAGTGTAACATCATGTAGCCGCACTCTATCATTTAAGCGGCATCTTGAATTGTAGAATTTCAGTCCATAGATAAAACCTATAGAAGCCAGCTAGTGTAATTCTGTTGCCGTAAAGTTTTAAGAACTACCTACATATATGTATCTAATTTGAAGGGTTAATTACATCTAATAGCCGTTCTAGCTCGCTATCGCACCATTTATATTAGAAATGGCTTCGAATTAATGGTTGAATAAGTAGTTGACTAGGTAGTTAACTAGGTGGAGGGATGGTCTCATCTTTTTCTGACACTGCCTCGGGTTAATACATCCAGTTGTCCCATTTAAGCGAAGCTCGGTATATTTCATATAGGTCTGTACAGACCCCCCTACGCAACCGTAACAAGTGCCACGCACAGAAAAAGCCGTTATTGTCCTCAATCACCAAAGTCCACTAAGTCCACCAAACCAACTACCAATCTAATCCAATTGCCATAGTCTTCGCAAGGCCCGGTCGAAGGTCTATAGCCGAAGATCTTCGCGAAGGTCAGCAAGGGTCGAAGCTGAAGGTCTTCGCCGAGGTCAAGGGCGAAGGTCGAAGGTCTGGCTAGGTCTTCACGAGTGGCGTAGCCGAAGGTTTCAACGAAGGCTTCCGCCGAAGGTCAAGGCTGAAGGGCAAGGCTGAAGCGGAAGGTCGAAGGTAGCCAGAAGGTTGTTTGCAACGGGCCCAGCGAAGGCAACGAAGGCAGAGGGGTTGCAATTGACAATTCGTATAACTGTATCCGACTAGCCCAACGAAGGGGTCGTATGTTTGACTAGTTGTTTGTATGGTTGGCAAACGGTAGGTTCGTCAGACTTGTCTTCTCGTTTGTAGAGTTCAACAACAGGGTAATTACCTGAATTCGCCTATTGAGAATTCTACCAGTCTGTACAGATTACTCGTGCCTTTCGTCTGTACAGACTGTTGTATTGAACGAGGGGTTGGTCGCGAAGATCTGCACGAATTACTCGAAAGCCTCTTCGGCACAATCGGCCAGCTCGTTCGCTGAATCTTCGTCGAAAGATCCATCTTGGTTCATCATATAGAGGTCGTTATCAACCCCTAGGCAGAACCAAACTGTCTTTTCAGTAACAGGCTCAGAAGCGGAGGAGCTGGGTTCGGTCTGCGACAAAGACTGCGACAAGTACTGCGTCTTGGCTACGGGCGCTGGGTCGGAGCCGGAGGCCGCCAGGTGGTCATCATTGAAGATTATATCCATATTGAATATCAAAGCCAAAATAATATTATAAAAGGTATTGATCAATAAGTCCAATATTTGTTGTATAACTACACGAATTTGTATACTCATCTTTTTCTCATCTAGCTTTTTTCAGTCTATTATGATCTGCTTTGGTCTTTCTTTCTATGCATGTTAAACATGTTGAAAGTAGCCCAAGTTAGGAAGCCACGTCGTGTACAGTACTAGACTAAGGGGTCCGAGGGGCATCGACAAGTCTGTTTATATAGTAGGATTGACAAGGTCACTCCCTCCTACCTATAAAGTAGTCAACCTAAATGTAATGCTCTTATACCTTTCTCACGCATAAATGGGGGCTGCCCTCTGTTATATCGGAGTAGACCAGCGCACTTTCCAGTATAAGGCGCTCTCAAAGTGAATCTAGCGGCGGTTTGCTAGTGCCCACGACTTCTCGGCTGTGGATCGTTTAGATGCATTCTCTCTGTTTAACCCTCAATTGCATATATAAGAGGTGCCCGCGAGCCCGTAAAAGCACTGAATGGGCAGGTTTCGCTTGTTGGCGTCTCGCTGAAAGAGCCTCTAGACTTTCGCCTGAGTGATGGCGTTAGATAGATCCCTAATTTCAATCTCCGGAGAAAACAACCCCCGCACTTCGAGATCTGTATAACATGAAAAGTTTCTTGTGGTAAATGTCTTTGAAAATGCCCTCTGGATACCTAACCCTCCCTATCGTGAAACGGGGATAAAGCATCTGATAGAGCCCTGAGTTGTCGTGGTAGCTTTTGTCTTCAACAAAAATATCATCCTCGCCAATAATAGGAGAGACTGAGTGTTGACAAAAGTTTCGTCGATCAAAGCCACACCCTGGTCCCCGTTTCGCAAGATCTTTTAACCATTGTCCGACAATGGCCCTCTCATTTTGTCCAGCTGTGGTTTTTGCAATAATGGTCGCGGCTAGATCAAAACCGAAACAGGCCAACCATCGGCAGAGTTCATCAGCGTTCAAGGACATCATCCTGTAGAACATCCCACTAGGGCCGTCTTTGCTTTTCAGATATCCGCCCACATTGGCAATGACATTTGACAGCGGGCGCCCAATAAGCGTGAATAGCTGTAGGACTTTCTGACAGATCAGAGTCGCCGCACTGGGCGAGCACAGCCTTATACAGGGAGTCGAAGTATGTCTCCACGCATGATATAGCTTCTATATCCGACTGTCCGAGACCATCCCTAGGCAAGCGGCGGCGCAATTCCCAACGTTTATAACAACCGTAATAACAGAATTTACATATTAGCTCGTACTTTAAAAATGCTCTCAAAAGTCGACGTCGCTCTGTGTCGTTGCACTGGGCTATATCAAATCTGGTACATATTGTACGGTTTTAAAACGTTAAGTGACCTTCTGGTCCTGGATGTGGGAGACATAAGTACTCCCTGGAGGGGCAAGCAGCAGTTGCTTTCGTAAGATAATCTTCGATAAAGACGAGCATTTGCTGGTACAACTTATTAATATCCCTGATAAGCTTTTGATTGTTTTCGCTTATCGGAGTTTTTTGTTTTTGTTTCAGAGGGTTAGAAAACCTCCGCTTAGACCATGATCGCCAATGAATAGAATTAGCGGCCAATTGAGATGGAGATCGGTAAGAGTTGTTATTTCGAGGAGGAAACAGGATGATTTCCATAGCATCCTGTACCATGTCGTCATCGAGGTCAGCCTCAGTAACAAGTAATTTTCGGCTGACATATTCTTTATGTGCCATGTACTGACCTAGCATGGTAGGCGAGGCTTGGATAAGCTGTTTGATTGAGTGCTTAAAACGGATGGAAATAAGAATCTCCAAGCGAATTTCGGCCGGTAAATTGTTGAACGGATCCATTATGACCTTCCTAATAATTAATGGATTCTGATAGAAGTGATGTTGGGTGGATGTTAATTAAGGGAGTGGTGACCAGAGTTGACGTCAGATGGGAGAGAAAAGTCAGTAATAGAAGTAGGGTAGTGAATAATCTTTTGGTATCCGATTGAGCAATTCCTTTCGAGTACAGCGATTAGGGGGAGGTCGGTGTAGGTATGTTGTGGTGTGGTAGAACTCTTTATACCTTAGAAATTCGCCACAAAGTGGCCACTATTGAGGGCTATGAAAGTTTAGCACTTATAAATGAATGAATATTCGAATAAGCGGTAGTTACAAAATGTTTAAAAATCTAATAACATAAGGGTAAGCTATAGGAGATATCCCAAATGTATATAAACATTAAGTTTATACTAAAAAGGTTGTTTCTTACTATAACTCCCTATAAGGTCTACTGCAAGGTTCGCTATATAACTATTAGAGGATTTAAAATTACTAAGTTATCTTAGGGGAGGTATAAGGCACAATGAATATCACTAACCCTCACTTCAAAAAGTATATATGCCTTGTTTAAAATATACTTATTAGGGGTGTTTTAATGTTTTAAAAATAGTAGGTCTGGGCTGCCGTTTTTGGTAGAGCAAGTCTTCAATGCCTTATAACCTAACAGTGGGCTAAGAATTAAAAGTAAGTAAATTGTATAATAATTCAGTTATATCAATTTATAAAGGGACTTTATGAAGTTGTTGGAATTGTAACTTTAATATCTTCCGAAGCAATCAAGTCCAGGTGCTCGAACTCGAGCGAAGTATAATCCATATAACCAACAAGAGCCCGAAGCTTATACGTCCCAGTATTAGCAATGGCAAAATTTTCAAAAGCCGCCTTAAAGCGTTGGCATCCTTCCTTTGATACTAGTTTTCGCATTTGCACTGTGCGATCTCCGATGAAATTGTACGAAGGAACGGCTTCTCCATCAGAGCCCAAGAGAACGAGAGAACAGATGAGGTCCCCTAGCATAGAGGCTGCATTATCTTTGTAAAGGATGGTTATACGAAATGCTTCCTCCTTGATGGCATTTTCGAGTGGGGTAATTTTAAATAAAAGCGACGAGATATCTCCAGTACTTGGAGTTAGGCACGAGCAAATTAACGGCCATGAAAGAAGTCAACTGTAATTAATACGTTGTTTTCCGCTCTTAATTCAGAATATTCATCGCGATATTGCCTTCTATATAACCAATATATCTTCAGCGTGTACCACTGATATTTATGCTACCCAGACCGAATTGCCAGGGGCTCATAGAAACACAGAGATATTGTATGAAGTGGATGGCTGTAAAAAGGCTCCGAATATCATTCTGCCTAGCCCATACCCAGCAAGATACCTGCTGCTTATCAGTGATTTGCCTTTGGCCAATTCATTTGGAGCCTCACCGATTCGGGCAAATGACTGTAGGAATGGGATTAAATTAAAGACTAAGCTCTATTACAAGGGATAATTTTCTTGGGGCAAAGTAAAGGGGTATACGTCGAGGCGTAGTTGCTGTAGCGGAGGGATGTAGGAACGGGAAAGCTACCTTACGTGGGATTAATGTCGCACTGCACAACGTGTACTCCGACGACTTCAAATTGTACGAATCGCCGAGCCAATTAGAATGCTGTACGGCCTCTCACCATTTAAGTGTTCATGACTGACAACAATCAATGTATGGAAGCGTTGCCTGCTGGTGTAGGAGGTTTCTTGAAGCGGTGGATTCGGTGGCACACCAAATACTTGCATTCAAATTATATTTCTAAGGAGAGTGGTATGTTTGAAGCATTCCCTCTAATGCGTGTAAGGGCAAAGGCACTCAACGAAATGACCTAAGTGTCTAAAGGCCGTGGATCAAGAGAGCCAAGGGTGTTTATATAGTCCGTCTATTTCTACAAATGTCTAGCATATTGTGTGTAGGTGGCATTTTTCAGGTAGCTATCGGTGAAATACTTGTCGGCACACATGTGGGATGGCCCCCAATGGTACATCGTATTAAATGCTTCAAACATATTGCTCTCCTTAAAAATATGATTACAGAGTCAACGACAGGCTAGCATCATCTGAGGCTGGGAGCCCCCAATAATACATCATGTTACATGGTTAGCAAACGCCAGTGGCTCTTCATGGTTAATCAATGAAAGAATGCTGCCAGCTCTGTAATCAGAACCCCTAAGGCATTATCGTATGATTCTAATTCAATCACGAGCCATTACACCAGATTTTTCTACGTAGGACATTTAAAGACACCTACTAGCTAGCTGTCTTTCCTCATTCACTCTCTAACATTGCCTCTTTCTCGAGACTGCTCGCCCAAATATACTTGGAGTATATGCCTTCAGATAATTAATTACATCTGAAATCCTATTTCCCTCGCCAATCGTCACAGACCTCCAACATCGCAACCAAGACGTCTAAGACCAGTACAGAACAGGACGCACCATGGTAAATCTACCTCAATCAGGGAGCACATATGGGGCTTATCCTGTCTACACTGGCTTCTGGACAGACTGGTCTCGGGGAAAAGTGTTAGGTTCAACGCTGACACTGACTCGAGAAGACGCTAACTTGCTCATTGCCTTTGTCGCTTTTTTCCTAACAGTTGTAACCGCACAACTATGGTCGATAGCATGTTTCGCTTCTCATTCTTTTCTCTCGACGCAAGATCCTCGAGACATGTTGCACCACCAACGACAAGCTATTCTTCGCAACAACGGAGCACCAGCCGGTACAGCCCTCACTTTGATACGGCTAGCCTGGGCCTGGCGGCGAGGCTCGGGGGTTGTCCGCCGAGTCGTTCCTCTCTTCGCATGTACTATTGTACTGGCTATCGGATTTGCTGCCGCTGCTGGTTTCTCTTCGAGAATTGCCCTGGGCAACACCGTACTCCTCAGCCCTCGCAATTGTGGGTTTTTTAACACCAATGTAGGCGTATCTCCGGATACGGAATCAAACATTATATTGCCCTGGCAAGCGAGGCAATTTACCAAAGCTTCAAACTATGCCGAGCAATGTTATTCCACAAGCGGAACAGCAGCTGACTGTTTGAACGGGGCATACGTGAAACGGGAACTCGCTGTCTCTGTCGACAAAAATGCTGTTTGTCCATTTGGCGGGAATATATGTCCGAGTAATTCATCCAACATCCGATTGGATTCAGGCTTCATTGACTCTCATTTCGATCTCGGTGTAAATGCACCTCCGAATCAGCGGTTCCAGTTCAAAATGGTCCTACACTGCGCCCCGCTGAAAACGAAGGGCTATCGTTCATTCCACACCAGGGACAACCAAACAGTTGCTCGTTATTACTACGGGAGTACTACGTATAGCAACTATACTTACGAGTATCGCACACCTGACCAGTTTATAACCGCCTCGATCGTAGATGAAAATCAGACTCAATTAGTCCCCTTGCATGAGTTTCTTACAAATCAATACTCTCTCGCGTAAGATACAATGTGCTGAATGAAGACGATTGTTCAATCACTAACAGTACCCGTATCTACATAGCTCATCGCTCGCGGCGTTTTACAATGGATCATACTCAATATTAGATTCGAGTTCCAGTTTTCTTCCCATCCCTGAATTATCTAGCTACGGATCAGACATCTATATCATTTTTCTATCGCCTAACCAAGTTTTATTCCCACAGCCTACAGCTGACCCGTGGTATAACAGCTCGAAATCGGGATCTCTCTGGGCGGAGGTCGTATACTCGGACCAACTTAATGAGAGCTATCGTGGGTATATATCCACGGAAGCTGCTTCTCCCCTTGGATGCACGCATCAGGAGCAATACTGTTTTCCGAAGCTTCCAGGAGGACAAAATTGTACACCACTTACAGGTGCTCGAGATTCTGGTCTTGCCGTTCAACGGCTTGGCCTAAATAATGAAACATTGAACAGGTTGTTCTGGGTCCATAACTCTTTCATCGCTGCGACACCTACAGTCTTCCAGACGGTAGGGATTTTAGGGGGAGGTTCTTTAAACTCTCGTTTTAAATTATCAGGGGAGTTACAAGGCTTTCTACCTCCAGACCAGTGGCAGCTGGATGTTCAGAATTGGAATTCCATCGTTCAAGCTTTGTTCCAGCAATCGATGATTTCGACTACTCTTGGAGATTTACCAGAGTTCTCTGATGCTGACGCTGAAATATACGTCGTACATCCGGAGTCAGATGAAGAGAAGACTATCTGTTCAAGCCAGGTATTTAATTACCAACAGCATTCCTGTGCCCTCTGCCTTTCAAGACTAGACATACTGATATCAGTTGTCAAATAGAAAATCAACAGCGCCTACCATGTCTCCTTTAGCGTCGTTGGTATCGCGGTCATAGCTATAATTGGGCTCTTCGTCATTGTCACATCTCTCACCGTTGAGTCCATCACACACTTCATACAAAGACGCCTGAAGCGGAGCGCATATCGGCGTCTAGAATGGATATCTACGGGAACACTACAGCTTCAACGACAGCTTTACGAAGCCCATGGGATTGACGAATGGAGAAACTGCGATGAGGCAATACCTATTCTAGAAGAGGAGGGTGCGCTACTGCCGGTACTAGACATATCAGATGAAACGCACCCTTTAACGAAACGGAGATCGCAGTTCATCAGAGATCGCAAACAACCCAGTACAGAGGGACCGAGTGGGACAGAATTGCCAGACGTTCCTGAGACGCCGGACTGCCAAGGCAATCGTTCTCAAGAGATGACTGCCATCGAGCAACATCAGTGCGAGGCGATACAACATGATACACTGATACGCACTGAGATGGTCCCGGTGAACGAGCGCACAAGCAGCCCTGACCTACCCATAGTCGTCAGCGAGCCACGAGACTACAGGGTGCCAGTATCGGTCCAGGAGGCTCTGGAGCGTCGAACGAGCACCTACCCTTAGCATGTCGAACCGTCATTCTCCATATCTCTCACAGATGAGGGATCATGGCGTGCCCTGGAGCTCTTGAGAACTGCCCAATACAACAACCATTCAGTTCTATTACACATGTCTGTTATTTTCTATCTCATGTATTAGTATGTGCGGTTTGGTTTAAGAAGATAGTCGGCGCCGAGATCATGGTGTTGACCTCTTAACTTCTAGCTGACTGGTTGTCGTTACTTGGGTGAATTAGGGGTGGTTGCAAATTAACTTAGTGAGAACAATTGTATAATGAAAAGCGTCTAGATAAATATTCTATCATACCGTAACTATATACTGTTGTTGATCGGCAAAATTCCATCCTAGTAGTATTTCAAGGGCGACCGACTCTTATCTCTATATCAGCCGTATGAAAATACATGAGATGCCTGTGTGTGAGAATAATTGTGATTCGAGATACCACGTCTGGGAGGTGTAATCCAGGGGCTGCTTAAAACACATTCAGGCAACGCTTCATACATTCTTATATTCAAGAAATGAGAGGATGTGTCTCATTCATATGATGATCATTGGGCTGTCGTCACACTACCACAGCACGCTTCTATGGCGGTCTACCAATTGTTCAACAGTCTTATACGAGTGTGTCGTGAACGGATGTCAGGTGGTATGGTTGGGATTCGGCTAAGATAACTACTTTCGAGGTGACCGATTTGAGTTATATGAGTTTCCGATAATAAACAAACAACTCCATTATGAATCACATCTCAGCTTTGTCACACGGTAGGCTTGTCGTCCGGGGGAGATTAGGCGCTGTGAGTAAAAACCGATGCACCGGGTACTCAAATACCTAGTAGTACTGCTATATATGCCAACAGGGGCAAAGAAACCAGCTCCATGACATGTTGTATCTTAAAAGCTTCGACTGACTAGGCCCTAGTTCTATGGCTCTGTATGGAGAGTTGCCTCGCCGCATAACGATACGATAATGTACAGAAATTTGAACATGGTTGTGATCATTACCTAGACCACTCCCAGAAAGCTACTTAGCCCCCAGTAGAGGTTGTGGTACAAGGCGGAACGAGCGATAAGAAAGCGCCGACCTGTTGAATAAGGTGGCGGGCAGGGAGACGGCATGATTGTGTGATTGGGTAGAATCTGATTGTCTAGCCTAGAGCACCATGCCACTCTCACGTTCCTCGTAGGTAGGGCCTCGCTGCAGATGACAGCGCGTCGGCTGGAGCAACCATAGCAATCTTCGCAGGCTGCACCAACCTCGACCGATTAAACTCCAAGTTGAATAGGTATAGCCACTTTATCTCGCTATGTTTTAACGGCGTAATTGCATTTCCCCCGTGCCTATTCTAAGTGATACATGTTGGAAAGGGCGCATAAGGCCCCACCATCACCTGCTTCACATGTAACTTGGTGTGCGACTGTGAAGGACACACACACAAATTACCAAGAGAACCATCATCTCTTCTTCGCCCTTCTTAACTTCGCCGCTCTCCATCGCGCTGAAGGCCTTTGTATGAGCTCCAGACTATGCTCAACATGGCTCACGAAAGCCAAGATGGCTTGGAATGGGAACACACATTGTTTAACATCATACCACACTGGACACGAGAACCTTCAATCTCAGCCATCGAAAAGGTGTCTCGCCAAGAGCTGGAGATACCGCCCGAGGACCCTTGCCATGTCTCCTTCTACGCATCGGGCGCGTTCAATAAACTTTATCGGGTTGACTACGCTGGTCAGTCCTCGCTCATGAGGGTCACTCTACCTGTTTATCCTCACCATAAGACACATGGCGAGGTGACCACCCTGCGATGGTTGGGAGATAACACTTCCGTGCCCGTCCCAAAAGTCCTTGCCTTTGATGACTCCAGAGACAACGAGATCGGGTTCGAGTGGATTTTGATGGAGCTCATGCCTGGTTTGTCGGCCTACCAGAGATGGCGGATGATGACGATGGAGCAGAAACAGCTCATGGTGAAACGGATGGCCGAAATTCAAGCGGAACTTTTCTACTACGGCAAACTATACCTCGCATTTAAGGACATAGGGACTCTTCATACACACACAGCAGAGGAAGTGGCCGACATGCCGACAGCAGTTACTCCCGGTACCATTGTCGCACATGAATTTTTCATAGGGGATCGCGTTAAATACGATGTTCCGCGAGGCCCTTTCCATTCTAGCCACGACTGGCTTGAGTCACTGCTGAAAGTTGTTATTCTTGAGCAAAAAGCAGCGTTTGAGAAGGCAGAAGATGATGAAGATAGGGAAGGTGCTGAGGAGGTTATAGCCACGGCTCGCCGCTTGCTATCTATCTTCCCCAGGATCTTCCCCGAGGCCCAGGAGATAGCCGCACAGCCGACTGTTCTCTGGCATGACGATTTGAACTTGCGCAACATCTTAGTAGACGAGAAGGGAGACATCACAGCCATTGTGGACTGGGAATGCGTTACAACAGTCCCCGTTTGGATGACTGCCAATATGCCCAAATTCCTTCAAGGGACAAGTCGCTCAGAAGAACCAACACGCAACTGGTACGCCGACGAGACACCCTCAGAGCTTGCAGCTTCGGTAAACGGCGATGATCCACTTCAGCTCGACAATGAAGGCAAATGCTCGTCCTACTGGAGGCATAGAATGGAGTACGAGGTGACACAGTTGCGTGAAGTATACAAGAAGCGCTTGACGGAACTCTGGCCCGAATGGCCTTCACAGAATGACACTGTCAAGGCCAACTTTTATGAGGTTGTCATACAATGCAGCGATGGGTTATTCACGAGGATGATCAATAAGTGGATTGACCGTTTCGAGAGCGGGAAGATGATTGGATGGGATGAGCTGTTGGAGGAAGTACAGCAGCCAGTTATTTATGGCCAGGAGTCTTCAGAGCCTCAGCCCGACAGTGCCTTGGACGCGAATTAGGTTCCGTAGCTCAACTACAGGACTGCTTTCCAAAAGAGACAAATGCATGCCTAGATAGGGGTTGATAATTCTAACTATAATTCTAACTCACCCGCGACAATAGTGTTGTGTTTTATTGCTCACGTGACGCTGATGATACCTCACATATGTAGGTACCTTTGAAGCTCTGGACACGTCGTGCTGCGATATAACGATGATACCATCATTGACCAGTCCGATGACCAGACCTATATTGCAACTAGGGTTGATGGTATAGAATATCCAAGTTTGATAAGAAAAGAGAAAAGTCACAGGCTGCGGCGGCTGTGGCGCGTAGAATTTACTAGGTACATATAGCTCGGGAAGGCGAGACGTAGCACAGTGCTTAGAAAGGCACGAAACATACAGTAGGAATTATAGCTTTCATGATGGCGCAAACCTTCTTACATTGTTCAATAACCCTGAAATCCAGACTCGAGATGGATGCAGAGGGAATTGCCCAATCATCTCAACTAGCGGACGATCATATGAGCTGAGCTGCTGGAGTTGGTTGGAGCTGCAACTGGGCAAACCAGCGAAGGCGCCAAGCTAAATCGTCCAGCGCCAACTACCTACTACGTAGGTGGTAGGTAGGTGCTATGCACTACCGGCGCTGCTGCGATCTTCGGCGCAATTTTTCGACTACCACTCTCTCTCTCTCTCTCTCTCTACTACTTCGTACCAGCCTCCAATCTCGCACCAATTGGCTCGGCTTCCGTGACTCCTACGATGTGAGCTGAGCATAACGCAATCCCTAATAATTATCGCCGGCAATCTATAAATACCTTCCCCATTGGTGTTGCATCCCGCTCATCAACTCTTGGAGTACCTCGCACGCTGCTACAAAGAAACCCCTCCTCCCACTCCCTCCAGAGTCTCCTCCACCTCGTCCTCCACCTCGCCCTCCATTCGAACCCACCGACTCGACGAGCCTAGCTGCTGAGCCCGACCCGAGGGACTTAGTGCCCTTCAACCCGCTCTCCTTGACTCACCGTCTCTCTCTGTCTGTAGCTGTCTGCGGCTATCGATAGATCAACGTGTGCCAGGTTAGCTTTGAATCACTTGTTACCCGGGTCTAGACATCCGCAAACTGCTGTCCCTCACTCCGCTACATCTACACCACCATCTTGCATCTATCGCCATGATCTCTGTACGAGCTGTCAGAGTGGCTTTCCGAGCTGGTGCTCGTCGCGTCTCTCCTCGACCGACTAGCCTCGGCCGCTCGACATTCGCTGCTGCTCGCCGTGCTACCTACACCACACGATCAAATGCTAGTGACTCGGCCACTCGCGCCGCCGTTATTCAGGTATTGAACAATGTCGGCTCTAAGCGAGAGGTTCAGCAATACCTCTCCCACTTCTCCTCCGTCTCGTCCCAGCAGTTTGCCGTTATCAAGGTCGGAGGTGCCATCTTGACAGACTATCTTGACGAACTATGTTCTTCGCTTTCATTCCTGTACCATGTTGGCCTGTTCCCTATCATCGTCCACGGTGCCGGTCCTCAACTTAACAAGCTCCTCGAGGATGCGGGTGTCGAGCCTCAATTTGAGGAAGGTATTCGTATCACGGACGGAAAAACTTTAGGCATTGCAAGACGATTATTTTTGGCCGAAAATTTGAAGCTCGTCCAGCGCTTGGAACAAGTGGGCGTTCGTGCCCGACCCATTACATCGAGCGTTTTCACTGCGGATTACCTAGACAAAGACAAGTGGAATCTTGTTGGTAAAATAACCGATGTCAATGAGGAGCCTATCCAGACTGCCATTCAAAACGGCTATCTCCCAATTCTTACTTCCATGGCAGAGACTACCGAGGGGCAAGTCCTGAACGTTAATGCCGACGTTGCCGCTGGGGAGCTCGCCCGTAAGCTAGAGCCCTTGAAGGTTGTCTATCTTAGTGAGAAGGGCGGACTCTTCGATGGCGACGCGCAGAAGATTTCTGCCATCAACCTTGACGAAGAGTACGATCATCTCATGAGTCAGCCATGGTGCCGATATGGTACTCGTTTAAAGATCAAGGAGATCAAGGAATTGCTTAACAACCTGCCTCGATCTTCCAGCGTTGCCATCATACACCCTGGCGACCTACAGAAAGAATTGTTCACGGATTCAGGAGCCGGTACCCTCATTCGCAGAGGAGATAAGCTCATGACTGCTACCAGTGTCTCAGATTTTGCAGATGTCGCTAAGCTTAAGGAGGTTCTTGTTAGAGATCGGGAAGTACAAGATGCTAGGGCTACGGTCGATCGATACCTGGACTTCTTAAAAGAGCGCAAATTCAAAGCCTTCTTCGATGAGCCTATGAAAGCACTCGCAGTCGTTCTCGAATCCAACGCAGAAGAGCCTTACGCAACACTCGCCACTCTGACCATAACCAAATCGGGCTGGCTGACTAATGTCGCAGACAATCTTTTTGCGGCGATCCAGAAAGAATATCCTAGCTTGGTCTGGACAGTCAAGTCTGATGATGAGAACCTCACCTGGTTCTTTGACAAAGCGGACGGCAGTCTTGTTAGGGACAACGACGTCATGTTTTGGTATGGTATCGAGCCAGGCGAGCAGCTCAACAGGCTGATGAAGGACTTTACAACGCATGGTCGAGCGATGCTCGGCGATTCCAACCTCGAATCGCGTCTCCACAAAGCAGCTCATATCGCCTCACAAAACCTGAAGACTTACTTTGGTACCGGTTCCGCAGCCAATCAGGCGCGAGGTTATTCGACTCTGGCTCGCCGCCCTTTAAAGGGAGCTGCCCCTGCCAGTGCCCTTCCTAGCTTCGTCGCTCGGGATTAGACGGATAATTAGTTTTTGTGGCAAGTAGAACGAATTAACACGACATGTCTAAAAAGGTTTTAGGGGGGGTTGGGGGTTTGATGACACGGTTTCCCAGATATGGCGTTCAGGGTTATTTTATGATGAGGAGACTTGACCATGGCAATTACGCTGTTCTCTTCGGGTTTTGGTGTCTTGGTGAATCATTATGCGCAATTAACTGTATATACCTACCACGGTCACATGTGACCTATTAGACTGCGTGGTATTGCAAGACAGACTAGTATTACGATAATCTTGTGAAGCACGGGTTACCTTGTGACGGCATTTGACGGTGATTGAACGTTATAGGTTAGCTGGATGGGCTGTTGCTAGCGCTCGGGAAATGACATCAAATCCCTCTTGATAGATACAGTACATGACGGTATCGTGATATTTAGGCTGGTTATGTTTAACGGAGAATGCCCATCTAATTCCCTGCACAATGCTTTCATGTTGAAAATTTCATTTCCATTTCTTCTACCTACAGCATCAATCATACCTCCAATATCATTTCTCATCGCCATAGGTTCCTATGAATATGAATGGTAGTCAAGGTAGTATTCTCGACTGCGCATGTGTGGGCCGATCATGCAGGTCCACGGTCTTTGATCCGATAACGGATGGCGGGGCACATGGCAGCCGCGGGATGGAATTTGGAGAAAGGGGACCCATTTCGACAGCGGGGTGTGGCTTTTTTTTTCTTCTTGAGCTTCTCCGAGAAAACTCCCCATTGCCGGTCCGTCTGAACAAGAAAAAGGTGAGTGTTCAGGAATCAGCTTATAAATGGTTTATCTTTCAAGTTAAGGTTACGTGCGAATTTGGCCCTTTTTAAGTAAGAAGTAAACGTTGTCGTTTGCATCTCTCGGTGACTTGGCTGCACTTTTGCGCTATCGGCGGGGAACCCGAGATTTAGCTCTGGAACCGGCCCTGCTGACTCAACTATATAGTATAGTACCTGCTGTATGTATGTATTTACCCAGTTGTAATTTCTCAAAGATTCACTTCATCGTTATTGATATAGGTGCCATATCAGTCTAGGTGGCGAATTAAGTACATACAGCGAGCGACGAACGATGGCATCTCAATTCCCGACTAAGAAGTGCGGTAAGGCTTTCCTGACTATCTGACATTTTGACTTCGAACCTTCGTTGCTAATTCGTATCTTTTGGTCCCGTGTAGGTGTGCTCGGCGCCACGGGATCCGTGGGACAGCGCTTTATCTTGCTGCTTTCGCAACACCCTCACTTCGTCCTCCACGCTGTCGGCGCTTCGTCTAGGTCCGCGGGCAAGAAGTACAAAGATGCTGTGAAATGGAAGCAGGCTTCTCCCATGGGCCCTGTCGGCGAGCTCGTCGTGCGCGAGTGCAAGGCGAGTGAATTTGCGGACTGCGATGTCGTCTTCAGTGGGCTGGACTCGGATGTTGCTGGCGAGATAGGTGCGTTTCAACCCTTTCTTGCTTGTCGCTGTTCAGCTTTCTGCCTGCTATGTGCTAGAACCGCACAAGGCTGACGATACTTGATATATAGAAATGGAATTCCTCAAGGCGAATCTCGCCGTCTTCTCCAACGCAAAGAACTACCGCCGCGACCCCCTCGTGCCCCTCGTCGTACCAACCGTCAACCTCCCCCATCTCGACCTCATCCCGCATCAGCGGAAACAGCATAATCTCGAGAAAGGCTTCTTAGTGTGCAACTCCAACTGCGCGGTGATCGGCCTCGTCATCCCCTTCGCCGCGCTCCAGGCGCGCTTCGGCCCCGTCGACACCGTCAGCGTAGTCACGATGCAAGCCGTCTCGGGCGCGGGGTACCCCGGCGTCAGCAGCATGGACATCATGGACAACGTGGTGCCCTTCATCAGCGGCGAGGAAGACAAGCTGGAGACCGAGGCGCGCAAGATCCTCGGCTCCATCAACGGCGAGGCCACGGCCTTCGTGGAACAGGAAGAGCTCCGCGTCTCCGCCGCGTGCAACAGGGTCCCTGTCCTCGACGGCCATACTGCTTGCGTCTCCCTGCGGTTTAAGAATCGGCCGGCGCCTAAGGCTGAGGAAGTCAGGGCTGCGATGAGGGAATACGTCAGCGAGGCGGAGAAGCTTGGGTGTCCGAGTGCGCCGAGGCCGAGTATTATGGTCTTCGACGAGCCTGATCGTCCGCAGCCGAGGCTAGATCGCGACCTCAGCCGTGGGTACACGGTTAGTGTTGGCCGTGTGAGGGAGGATGAGAGCGGCATTTTCGATATCAAGTTTGTTGCTTTGAGCCATAATAGTAAGTCTCATACGTCATGGCCATTGCGGCATTCTAGAACGAAGAGGATGATTGCTGACATTTGATAGCTGTTATCGGAGCCGCTGGTTCCTCGATCCTGAATGCCGAAGCTGCTGTGCTGAAAGGCTTTATCTAACATTATGTGTGTGCATTTTATGGCGTTGGGTACGTTGCGCTGTCTGAATACAATATTGGGTTGGCGGCGTGTGATATTTGTGGCTGATAGATGGAAAACCTAGGGTCTGAAAAAAGGAGGCATTTAGATGGCATATGTACTTGGGTGGTGAGACGGATATAAAAAGATGTAGATTACTTTGTCCGATTTCAAAACTCGGGTGCTATTTTTTCAATCTATACTAGTGAGGCTTTTGTGTTTCTTCTGAGATGATAGCTAATTGTTATTAGTAAATATGGCCCTGTGTGATGTACAGCGCGGAAGTTGTTAGTTGCCATTTTGGGGTAAGATGATTTAATAGTTGGGTCAGTTGTGAGACAACTTCACGCTACCAAAGTAGCTATGATGTTGGCAACTGACTTGTGGTGTTCATAGGCAAAGATGTTATTTCTTTTTGACCTTCGCGGTTAGGAGACAGTATTTGACCATGTTTCTTAACCGCAAAGTTGGTTGTCCGGACTAGGTGGTAATCTTATGTAATCAAGGATTGAAATTTCAATAAGTTAAGGTAGGTTTATAAGCCAGAGGAGAGTTTGTCAGCATTCCAATTCTCCATGCATCATCATCTAACTACCTACATCAAGCTGCCCCCTTTCCCAAACACAGATCCGTAAACTCACACCCACGCCCCTTTCTCCCACGATTCGACCATATTCCCACTCTACCAAATCTTAATCTACATCTTGCTAAGCAAGAACTCAGCCTCATATCCAAACGCCTCCTTCCCAATCTCCAGCGTCGGCACATTGAAGACATGCGGCGCGCCCGGGAAGATCTTGATGATCGCCTCGCTGCCCGTGGCCTGCCACTTCAGCCCCATGAGCAGCGTATCGTCTAGCATGGGATCGTTCGTCCCGCACAGGAACAGCGCGGGAGGCAGCTTCCCGTCCGCACTGGCGCTAGCCAGAGCCTGCAGATCGTCGAACATGGGCGACGCGCGCGGGTTCTGGCGCTCCGCCTGGGTCCAGCCTGGGGTATACGCGTCCCTGAAATGCGTGATGATGTCGCGGTCGACGAGGACGGGCTTGGTGTAGGTCACTAGGGAGGGCGTGCTCATGGTGATGGAGTAGTTCCCGTAGGGAAGGATGAGGCCTTTCAGGGAGAAATCCGGATGCGATCGGAGGAGGTGGAAGGTTGTTAGCACCGCGAAGTGCGAGCCGCCGGACTCGCCTGCCATGAAGAGCAGTGGCCCGTGCAGAGAGGGGTTGGAGAGGAGGTGCGATGTTGCGTCAATGCAGTCTTCTAGACCGGCTGGGTAGGGATGCTCGGGTGCTAGACGGTACCCGATTGAGAGGGCTGTTAGTTGTGCTGTGTTAGCGTAGAATTTGAGAAGGCCGTCGACACTGCGATTCCGGGTTAGAGTTTGTTTTGTTCGAAACAACTTTGATGCTGGGTAGGGAGCGTTATTGGGAGACGGAGATGCTTACTGTCTGTGGCTGCCGAGACAATATCCGCCCCCGTGGATGTGTAGCATGATACCCTTGGTGGGCTTCCCGTTGTCAGGCTTGTACATCCGTATGGGGATGGTACGGCCTGGCTCACGCGAGGGAACCTCGAATTCTTGGGCTTCGGGGAGGGTGACTTTGAAGGTCAGTCTTTTTCTTTTCTTGTTGTTTGAGTTGCCCCTTTATTTTCGATACCCAAAAAAAGGAAGGTAGGGAAGATAGTGTAAGTTTCACGAACCTGGCTTAAGTCCGCCGAAGCCTCCTTCCTCTATCAACTCACGGAACTTGGGCGCTCCAATCTCGAACCATCTCGGCACCGAGGTGGTTGTCTTCTCGAGGAAGTCGCTGTATTGCTTCGCTTCCTCAGGGGTGTTCTTTGGGTCGAACCGAGAGAAATTGATGGTGACATCGCTTGTGAGAGGCATTTTAGAGATTATTTTTATTTCCTTTTAAGCTGAGGTTGGCTAATAGGGTTTATTCTTTCGTTGAGGATGCCTGGATGGTTCCTATCCGGTGTTTCTTCTTGCCTTCCTGCTTCCCTTTGCCCCCTTCTTATACACATTCTAAGGTATATACTCGACAACATATTCAATGTCTGGTTTCCTCATTTCAATCAGTTTCTGTTAGTACGACTGATGTTCCAGTTCGCCGAAAGAGTCACACTCGTGCGATTTTCGTATCACCATCATGATGCACGGTAGTGGCGTTTGTAGCGTTGGTTAGTTATCTCCACTGTTAAACTCCTTGGAACTCATTTTGAATTGAGAATGCTCGCAAAACAGGGGTTCGGCGTTGGCTTTTCCCTGCTGTGCCTCGTGGGTTTGGAATCAAACGCGCTTGATATGGAGTCACGTAAATCTATAGTGGGTATTAGTGATCATCTCCGATTGGGCGCTAAGATCCTGGGATGCTTAACTCCGATTTAGACGCTGGACCCAGGCTGAAGAGAGGTTTGGTAATCAAGTCGGATATAAGAGATTTGGGGTTAGTAGTAGATGTATAATGGGAGGTAGTGGTCTATGATGTTGGTTGTTAAGTTAAAATAATAAGGTATAGATAGAAGGAGTTGGTGTGATTGGCACAGGCTGATTGGTGCCAAGAACGCGAGTAACGCAACTTAGATGATGACGATCCATTACCGCCCGAGATTCAACTTTAGTTTTGTCCACCTCTTCGAAGCTAGATGTGATTGATTATTACGACATTGAATATGTCTATGCATGCTCATGTACATGAACTTGACACTTTCCTAGAACTTAGAAGCAGCCCAAGATGGCGTATAATATATCTATAACACCTTATACTATTTCGACATGTGCTGAATAGGTGACCGAAAATTCTTGGGTATGTTACTTCATGGTCTATGTATTAGCAATGGAGACATATCCGTCGATAAGTAGGAATACTGACTTCGTTTACTTATTGGATTCGGGAAAGAATACATACAGTCACCTAGCTGTCAACGTGGGGGCCGTACATACACCCAGAAGATACTTAAATAAGTAAGGAAGGATTTCCTGAATGTCATGTACAATGGCACTCAATATTTCTACATTCTTTTGATCCCTGGGATTGAGGAGAGCCTCTTCCGCTGAGCTCGAAGACCTTGACCAAAGAGTTTCAAGAATCACCGGCCCCATGTTGTAACCTCAACATGCCCCAGGTCAAACACGGGCTCATAAAACCCGTTGATCCTCACGCCAGCTCCATACATCACTGACTTCTATATGTCAATATTACGATAGTTGATGTAACGGCAAAATAATGCATGTATATACCTATACTTGGTGAATGTGCTACACACCTCCCATGTGGTCAGTTCATCGTCTTGCTTGAAAAAGGATAATCAACCTTCGTAGATGAAATATCCTTACGGAGCTTGGAGCGCCCTTCCAATCAGATAATAGCCTCTATAACGGCTTCCAATCAGTGCACTGCATTCATTGTTGGGCTACTTAAGGCAGGCACAGCACAGTCCGACGACAGAGGTGGTTACCTGCTTCTGGTATCACGTGAATGAGATTACATGAGTTCTTTCTTCTAATGTTCTACTATGTATACATCGATGTTATAGTTCCCTTGTACTACCTATCCAATGTGTCCTTTTATGATGCTCACACTTTCCACCTATCACTTTAAGACTATCTAAAAATGTTTGACAATTTGTAACAAAACTTTTGATTGGAATCGAAAACTGGCAAAACTAAGGGTCTGGCCGGGGATTGAACCCGGGACCTCTCGCAAACAATGCTGTAGGGTGAACCCTAAGCGAGAATCATACCACTAGACCACCAGACCCTGATGTTCTGGGATCTCTACTGAATAATATTGTTCCAACTAATAAATCCTATAACCTGTCCTATTTCCACCTGGTTACTTGTCAATGTATTGAAAGTTCATATCAATATCAAAAAATAATGAAAACTTCAAGAAAGCCAATCATCATAGCTGCGCATGCATTAGTATTACAAAGGTGTGACTGGCGACTTGAAATTCGCTCGTCCAAATGTTGGGCAAGATCTGAATTGACGGGCACCTAGACTTAGCGGATCAATCACGCCCGACACCAAGAGCCGTTCGTTGCCGGTGTTGCGGCCTGGCGTATCATTCTCTATATCTATCTACCCACTGGGCTATTCAATGCAGGTAATACCTAACTCCCCGATCAGGCATTTGTTTTGGGACGAAGGGGAATCCGAAGTCAGGTATTAGTTGGGGAGGAATTAGGTACCATATCATACCTATCATACATATCATGCCATGACCTACGAAATACTACCTTGCCTGTCCAAGAGTTGCCTCCAAGAGTTGCCATACACAAACAATAATAGGTACCTAGAGAGTTGCGTACATACACAACATCATGCATTGCATAATCCAGTCTAGACTAGCCATCACATAGGTAGCTCGGGCCGGGTGCCTGTCATTTGCTCATGTATGGGAGCCAAGTTGAGTGAGGATTTGCTGCCCAGTCGCCACCGCCATATAAGCTAGGCTGAAACCATGCTTCAACCTGAGACGACGTGTTGTTGTTTTCGGGTTCTCTCGTCTCTCTGCCAAGTACATATGTAGGTACCTATTCTCTGCAAAATACTGTTCTTCGTACACTACGAAAATACCGGTATGTAAGTCGGTCGCACAGTAGCAACGGGAAGTCCGATTCGGTAGTCGGAGACGGGGCGAATCACCCCTCACCACGTGCTGTCGGGAGTCGCAAGTCAGGAGAGACGTGAAGTGCATTACCAAGACCCGCTCCCATTCGACTGCAGACGCGTTTATTGTTTATGCCAGCGGAGTGGTATAATGTCGTATATTAATGGTCGGCGGCGATGAGGTCCGTCATCGATACGTCGAGCTCTCTGGTGAGGCAGGCCTTGTTTACATGACATTGCACTGCCATCCATTCAGATGGGTATCGACATCGTCCTTTCGCTGCGACGCCGAGGCAGCTGACTTGATCTTATGCACGACGTGGAAGGTGAAAGCCAGTGAATGGCTGTCTACGATGATGGACAATGTAGTCTATAAAGTATATTGGGTCTCCCGATCGTCCATCTCAATGCTACCTACTCCTCTTCTTTTCTATATGCCCGCCCCGGCAAGTTGCGTGCACATCTTGATGACCTGCTAGACTCGCAACTATGTCCAATAAGCAGTCCAAACAGGGAAAGCCGCACCACCATCCCCATCGTCGCTCTCATCATTCTAGACCGGCTGTATCGCCTCACAGCCGACGAGGACGTAGCCGAAGTAGACCTGAGAGGAGAGCCAGGAGCAGCTCCGTCCGACATCAGAACCGTTCCATCCCCCCGCCCCGTGTCCGTTCCCATTCTCGATCCCTTCCTCGCCGAACGGTAAACGCTAGGGATATACCATTCTACATCCCACCAAGCGGACAGAATGGAAGCTCTATTCCAACTATCATCGTAGAAGCACTGCGAAAGCAGGACGCGGAGCAGAACGAAGCCCTCACGGCCACAAATCTTGGACACCGGCAGCCAACCCCTCCTCCGGATCCCAACGCACAAGAGAACGCAATGGCCCAGATCCCTACAGCCCCAGCCCCAGCCCCAGCTCCAACCCCGGGATTGAAGCGTCGGCCGTCATCATCACCAGCTGCAGCAAACGCAAGACGGCGGCGGCGGCGACGCCCCCGACCACGCCAACGTAGCGTAATATCAGATCCAGAGTCCGATCCAATCCCACCGCCTCGGCCACAGCCAGCTCCGTTCTACCCACCACGACCCCCTTCACCCTCGTTCTCGTTCCTCGGGATTAAGAGAACGAAAACGGAAAAAGAGAGGCGTGAGCAGGAGGCCAAAAAGAAGCGCGACAAGAGAGAGGACAGACGACTAAGAAAGGAGGGGCAAAGAGGTCGTTACGAAAAGCTCGAGTCACCCAAGAGAGCAAAAGCTCCTAGGCCGAAGAAGTTGTCCAAATCTCCCCCACAACGAGCAACTTCTGCACCGCCGCTGAGTAAAGTTGCTGTGCAAGAGCAATATGAAGAGCATTTGTACGAAGAACAAGCCCCCTCGGGCCAAGGAAGTCAGCGCGGACAACACCAACCCCGGCAAAAGGGGAGTAAACAGCGGCACAAGAAACACCACCGCCGCCTCGCCGAGCAGCACCATCGACGGCAGCAGAAACGAAGGAACAAATTCACCATGCGGGATTTCTTCAAATCGCTGCGGAGGAAACTAGGGAATCTATTTAGATTCACGATGCCGACCCCAAGCGCACCGCCCGTGCAACAACCCGCACCCCAATACCAAGACACTGCGTATTACTCGAGTCCCACGCGAGACATACCGTACAACGTCCAATGGGCCCAATACGCGCAGAACGAAAGCCAGATCTTCACCGGGCAGGCACGGCGCGGCAGCGGCCGCCAGCGCGTAACCAGCAAGCAGCAGCCGCTGCCGTACTTCATGCACGGCGGACGCTCGCCCGCGACATCATGGCACTCGCGGCTCTCGATGCAGGGTTCCACGCGGCGCTTCACGGCGACGGTAGAATCCGCGCCCGGGTCCGCCATCGGCGTCGCCGTCACGACGGAGGAAATCGACCGGATCACGCCCCTGGCGCCCACGCCGGGGGTAAACACACAGCGGCATTCGCACCAGTCCTCGACGTCGGCGATATCCGTCATCGCGAGGCGGTTCATGGGGCCGTTCTTGTCCGAGCCAGGGGATTCCATGATCTTCGAGAACGGCAATGGGAGTCAGAAACGGCTGAGCTGGCGAAGCCATAAATTGCTCACGGCCGGCTCGGCCCCGGCGTCGAGGCCCGTGACGCCTCCTTCGTCGCGGAATCCGAGCCCGGCGGCGCAGGCGCGCGGACGGAGCGCGGAGCGAAATGTGGAGGGGGAAGGACAGAGCGAGGCCGCTGTCCCCATGTCCTTCCCGTTCACGGAGGAGGATAGAAGAAGCCCCTCGGCCTCGGCGTATCACGGTTCTCCGTCGCCCGTGGCATCGCCTGCGTCCCCCTCGCCACTCGCGTCCCCGCCTTTATCGCCTGATTACGGACTCGACGAGCTCTTCGCCACGCCGGCCGAGGTCCATACCCCTGCCCACGGCACCCCTGTGATGAGGCTCTCGTCGCCTGATTACGGGATTCAGAGATTGTTCTCCCCGTCGCCGGCTAGTACGGGATCGAATTTCGGGCTGCGACGGCTGTTTGGGGATTGATTGATAGGAGAAAGATAGGTGGATGGTATTGTTTCATAGGGGAATATTCGTATATAGATTGCGATTTTTTTATTTTTTTTTTTTGCGCCATAGATATAAGTGTAAGACGGGATAACATCCATGGGGAATTATATAGGCCGGCGGGCAAGGCAATGCGCGTACCGCTGGCTGTGGTTGATGGGTTGGTTGGCTGTATATGGCACGCGCAAAGGTTGAGATTCCATTCTCTCGTTCTGAAGAAGCTACCCTCACTCGATATCGCTGGAAATGCGATGGAAAGAAAAACGCCTTATAGAATGCATACGAAAGACGATGCTCAACCCAACGCTATTTAATCTAAACGACCCAATTTCGCCGAGGAAAAGATGCAGTAATATCTGCGATCTCCTCGCTAATATGCTCGACATCTCATGTACCCTTCAGCCGTCCATACTCGGGCTCCTCAGGGGACAGACGGTTGTCAATGTCATCAAGCACTTTCCCACGATCCCATTCCCGTACACCGCCAGCTTTATTCCATTGCACGTCCGACTCGTCCTTTTTATCCCCCTTTTCCCATTTCCGTATCTGGTCTTCCGTGAAACCCGCAGAGCGGAGGCGATCCGCACCCTGTTGTTTCCATTTCTGTCTGTCTCGGAACGCTTCGACTGCGTTATCCCAGTCACCGTCGCCTTTTTCGTCGGGATCCGGGGTTACGTCTATTGTGGGGTCGTAGTCGGCGGCGAAACGGCTGTCGATGCCGGACATGGCGGCATTGTGGCCGCGTCCTCGGCGCTGAACAGTTGATTTGGAGGGAGGCGCAGGCCCGATGATGTCGTTGAGAGGATCGGAGTCTGAATCTGGATCTTTGGTTGGAGAGGGAGAGCGTTTGCGTTCATCACGTTTGTCGGGGTGACGATGGTGTCTAGAGTGGGAATCTTTTCCTCGTGAGGATCGTTCTCTTCTTTCTCGATGTCGATCTTCTCTTTCCTCGGAGCTTGAGCTATGATGGCGTCGCCTTTCTTCTCTTCGGTGGGAGTGATGATGGCGGTCCCGAGAATCATCTCTTCTACTCCTACTCTTGTGCTTCAGATCTTCGTCCCGATGTCTTGTTTCTCGAGACTTGCCCTTTCGGTCCCGACTATCAGTAGATTCGAGTATATCTTGGTCCAATTTTATACGCGAGGATTTCCTGTCACTCTCTTCTGGTCTCCGCCTCTTGGATGGGCCGCCTAGAATAGCAGCAATATCACCTAGCATGCGCTTTCGAGTGTCGCTGGGACCAGGCTTAGACCGTCGTTCTTTGCGCTCTTCTTCATCTCTCTTCTTGCGATCGGCTTCTTCGAGGTCGCGCAACCTTGCCTGAGATTCGGCATTCTCCTTAGCAAGAAGCGCTCGGTTGTGGCTGTTCGTATCTCGTATAATGTTGTTGAGGAATCGTGTGTTGGGTTTTGGCTGATTAGCTGGTCGTCTGTAGTTATATAGCATTAGCAAAGGAGTATCGACACTGAGCACAGCAATAGCGGACAGAAAGGAAGACAGAAAACATGGTGATTCCGATTGACTAGTTTGTAACACGTGGGATAAGTCGGGCGTCTAAGCTCACCTGTCTGGTTTGAAGGCATCTAATCCCATAGCCGAGTACTTTATGGAACAGTCAGTGGCCTCTTTAGCCAGCAGTTCGGCGACATAATCGTCGGTTAATAGCTCATTCGAAGGAGGCATGTTGGGTTCTATAGTAACAAACGAGAATAATGTCAAAAGGGAGATTCTTCGGAGAGGGCGGCCTTGCGCATGTGAAGCGCATCAAATAGATGGGGCTTTGGTGTTGCGTCAGCGGGGCGATGTAGAAATGGCCCGAGGTGCTGCTGAAGATTTCGTGGAGCAGTAGCCGCCCATATTCACGCTAGTAGCCCTGAACAAGACCCTGAAGAAGGACCTGCCCAGGTGTGCCTCCCATCTCCATAAAACTGTACACAGTCTCAACAGTAAACATCCTAATAATCACAACCTTATCCATTAGGTACTTATATAGGAATATCTAGGGAGATTGAAAGAAGAGACACAATTTGAGGTGCATTGACTATAAGCATAGGTAGACATCTCAACTTTAACAATGAATGTGGAAATGCGACCACGTTGGAAACTGAGAAGGCCAAGTAAGGTACCAGAGTACCTCCAGGACCCCACTACATCTTAGGTCCAAGGCGCCTTTCCCTTCCAGGACAAATATAAACAACACCTGGGCTCAAAAGCCATGAGGCCTTGTCAGCGATTCACAAATCCACACGCTGAACATCTACGTTAGGTATTTGATTGCTTCAGAATCGGTGGTATTCTGGTCAAACCGCTGTCTCACCAAGTATCACAAATTTGTTCGCGAATCAACCTATTATTCCAAGAAATTCACAGGCCAAAGCCATGGCAACGCGCACCCCAGAGCAAATCTTGGCAGAGCTTAAAGCCCTTGTCGCGAACCAAGAAATCACCATCTTGAAGCTGAGTGAGCCTATCTCTGCTGAAATCGCCCAATTGCAGGAGCAGACCCAGCGAACATCAGATGTCTCAAATTCCTCACTTGACGCGACTACGCCCGCGTCATTGGAAGCAGATCTCACACATTACCGAGAACTCTTCGCCAAGTTACGCTTCAGCTATGTAGAGCAGGTCACCAAGGAGAAATTCATACGCGCTATAGTGGGAGATCCGCCCTTGATCGTCAACCCTCAAGAGAATGTCGATCTTGAGAACGAGAATCTAGAGGCGAAGGCGCAGCTCAAGGCTCTCAAGACCGAGGTTGCGGAAATGGTTACAGAGCTCGAGAGGAAGGCCAAGGATCTGAGCAAGAAGTATGAGAGAGTCAAGACGGAGACTGCCAAATTAGAAGAACTACCTGGAAAACTCGCTGAACTCGAAAGTGCTGTTGCCCAGTTGAGAGAAGCCCAGGCATCAGCACTGGATCCAAATCCCCAGCTCAATCTACCACTCGCGAAAACACAACAGCTGGTAGATGCCAAAAAGCGGCAGAGGGATGAGCTGGATCGCCAGTTAGAACAGTTGCAGAGCCAAGTCCCGCGGAAGAAGAAGGAGCTTGAACGGCTTAATGCCGAGTTGCAGCCCTTGGAAACGAAACGTCAGAATAGCATGGCTGCGGCCAAGGAAGCGAGGAGACGGAAGGAGGCTGCGCTAGGTGGTGTTGAGGATGATCTGGAGGAGAGGGGCCGGTGGTATCGGGCTGCTGAGGCGGGTTTGAAGCAGATGCTGGAGATTAAATAAGGCTTGTTCGGAGGATAGACACTGGAACAGCCATGCTCTAATCGGCAACTACAATTTATATGCTACCTATCGTATCTGCTAGGATGGTATATGTGGATTGTGCGATCAATACCCAATATGCTACATCACGACTGTTGGACCTCAACCACTAGGTGACGCATGCTCTAGACGTTTCAAGACGCCCATATCACTAATGAAAACGAGACAATTCGGCTACTGCTCTTTTTAATAGTGCCAGTAACAAGCAATCACAGTCCAGCAGCCCGCGCCTCGGCTTTGATCAAATCCGCTGCCTATCAGCACACCTCGTCAGTACGAAAAACAGACACAAGTTTCAGGATCACTCGAACTCACCTTCTCAGCAACAGCATACGTAGTCTGACACGTATTAGCACCCACCAAAACCGGCTCGACGCTCGCATCAACAACACGCAGCCCCTCCACCCCATAGACCTTGAGCTCCTCGTCCACAACACCGCCCAGCTCCCGCGGCATCATGGCGCAGGTCCCGACGGGGTGGAAATACGAAGGATTGACATTCTGACGCAGGAATTTCTTCAGGTCCTCTGGCTCCGTCACGGACGCGGGAGGTTGTATTTGCAGCGGCCCGAACTTGCGCAGACGCGTCTCGAAGTAGTACCGCTTCGTGAAGCGGATGATCTCGAGCATGATGTCTAGATCTATCGGGTTCGTCAGTGCGCGGTAGTCTACGATTGGTTCGCTGTTGAATGGGTCTTTGACGTTGATGTTTACCGTGCCGCGGCTTAGTGGGTGCAGGTCTACGATTGTGCCCGATGTTGCGCCGCCTGTTAGCACGTGGTTGTAGAACGCCGTGTTCGGGGAGCGGATTGCTGATGCCATGGATTTCATCTGGGCTTTGTATCCTAGTGGAGTGTTAGTGCCCACACCAAGAGCTTCTTTTTTCCTTTTTTTTACTGCGGGGAGAAGGAGGTTTTTTCGTGAATGTCCTTAAGAAGCTTCCTCAAAAGTTAGTCATGTGAGAACTCACCCTCAAGTACGGTCGGATGTGTGTCGCTGGGCAATAATGGGGCGTAGTCTAGTTCTTCGAGCTTCGACGCGATGCTCTCGAAGGTGTCAGGGGCGATCACTGGCATGCCCAGCCAAGCGGCAGCATTTCCGACGCCCAAGGAGTACGGGCCTAGAAATCATTATAAGTTCCAGTTCACAGGTTTTCCAATTAGTTTTTGACGAGGTTTGCCGCACCGGTCTTGTTGGTTCTCCAGACCTCTTGGGCCCATGTGGAAAAATTCCGATTCAAGTACATGTCTGTTGGGTTGGGATGAACACTGAAATTTTGCACTAAAATTAAATCTTGTTTAGTACATGATTTATTCCTCAGATATGAAAAAGTAGACTTACTAGCAATGCTCGTAAAGACCATAGGGTGGTCTTGGAAATTCTGCCCGACCCCGGGAAGGTCGACAATGGTGTCTATACCCGCAGACTCCAGAAGCGTCCTGGGGCCAATCCCACTTTGCTGAAGTAATTGCGGCGAATGAATGGCACCAGCTGCTACGATGACCTCCTTTTTTACTTTGAAGAGAACAGTGTCGGTGCCATTTGCTGTCTTTTGTTCGAAAAAGACGCCAGTGGCTCTTCCATCCTCTAAGAGGATCCTCGTAACTTTGGAATCGGTAATGACGTCGAGATTGGTCCTGTTAAGGCTATCGAAATGCGCAGTTCTGGCGTATGATCTTTCAACTTTCTCTGGGTCCATGAATGTTGGGAACCAGTATACACCGGCCTTTCCCGAGCCACTGTCTGGTGGGAATTCAACCCCCGGTATGTCCCGGAACGCTTCGAAGTGTGTCTCTTTTTCTTTATGTAAGATCTTAACTTGGCCCTGGGGGTAATCTGTAACTGACCTACAGCGGGGTATTGAAAACGTGGCCACGATGTATGAACCGTTGAAGTGTTACCCCAGTAAGACGCATCCCATGTGATGTTGACAGACTTGGCAACTTCATCGAGAGGCGGGGAGAAAGCGACGGCCTTCATCAATCAGCCCAAATCATAGTTGTTAGATTCAAGTATACTCGCCTTCTTGAAATATGGCAGCAAACCATCCCACGACCAAGACGAACCTTTACCGAAAAAACTACCCCATCGGTCATAATCGTCAGATGTTGCCCGAATAGTCATCATCGCATTGATTGCGGAGCTTCCGCCGACCAATTTCCCAATCGTGACAGTTGCTGATCTGTTGTTTAGATTCGGCTGACGAACCGAGTTGATCAAATACGACCACGTTGGTCCGACAGCTGCGACGCCCGAGTAGACCTGGCTGATCCTAGTGGAGTCGACTATGAATAGAGTTAAGAAACTTAGAAATCTCATTCATATAGAATTCTTCTTTTCTCTTTCCCACTTACCGACTTTGCCATTTTCAATAACTAGAACCGTTGCTGGGCTTGAATGTTAATCATAGCTAGACTCTGCTCATATAGCGTAGATACCCTCACATGTCCCATCTTCTGACAGACGATCGGCCACCGTTAACCCAGACGTGCCTGCTCCAACTATTACATAGTCGTAAGAGGATTGTAACGTCGACGCGTGAGTGTGTAGACGACCAATGAAGCCACGTCGCGGGACAGGCAGTTCAGTAGAATGCACTTCCCCCAAGAACGACAATGCCCAAAGGGCCTGACAAAAACGTAATCCAGGCAGCATATCTTGATTTTAACACCCTCAGCATCATTGACCTTGAAATAAACGACGACGGGCCGCTCGTTTTATAGATTGTCCGCAGAGGCATTCTACCTGGACGTGCGTATACAGGCTAAGGTAAATATCAATTCCACATACAGCTTGGCGTCATATACATATACCGAAGTAAATATCCCTATTGTAGTATTAATGCATATTTTTATAATTCCCCGGCTCATAGCCAATCGGATCTACTGCCTCGTTGCACAGCTACGCTTGTTCTCTAATTAGCCGCGACACCATCGCTCAGCTACGTAATGCATTTTATATTACATTACGTGGTGAACAAGTCGTGTAGAATAGATCTTCGCATGATATAACTACATTAGATAGTATCATTTTCTCCATTTGTCCAACTGGAGGGGAGAGAGGAATGGATGGCGGGACTTTCAGGGGTAATATATCACGTGTCTTTTGGGATTCGGACGACCAGAGAAGGCGACTGAATTGAACAATCAGACTTACTATGTTTTCTTTTACACTTATCCAGCTCTTCATCCGACTGGCTTACTTCGTGAGTGAATAGGAATGCCTCCTAATATGAACATGAATCGGATCTTCATGTCCTTTGTGCCCCTCGATCTGTACCGCACATGATGTGACTCCTTACCACTTCCCACTTCTGACAAGGCGCTCGTATCTTGCTCGTTGAATTGAGAGCTAGGGGCTAGATTAATTCTGACAGCAGGTATTAGTGCGTTGCAATGGACCTTCTGAATCTTTGATGTAAAAATTACAATTGCCCCAACTGTGAGAATAATGGACGGTGTTCAAAGTGTGCGGATGACTAATCGTGGGGTCTTCTTAGTGTTTCGATATGTTTGTTGTATGCTCCTCTAGCGTAACAGATCAACTCAACGCCGGGCTCGCTTGACCCGCTGTCAGTTTTGTCCGACGAGTACTTCTCATCTTCATCTATCTGCGAATACTGCGTCATTGTTTGAAGTAGGAATTGACTTGGGTATTAGTGCTGATATCTCAGACAGTGATGAAGGTTTAAAGAAGAGGTGAAAAATGGGATGCAAGGGAGGTAGGAAAGTCGATTGGTCGACTTGAAGGATGGTGCACCATTTCAACATGGAGATCTCACTTCACGTTTCCGATTGATACCTCAACCCCGTCAACTTACCCGAAATCGCAGTTGTGATACTATAACCTTGCTCAACCACACACTGCTCAAGACAAGGGGCAGTGTATACTTTGTAAGCTCAGGTTTCGATCGAACCTGACAATGTCTGTTCCATAATCCAGACACCAAATACTTTGGAAGAACATATTCTAGGACTATAATGATAGGGGATATAGGCTTGGTGGCTGGCTGTAGCTCAGGGTTTAATGCATTTGTCTAGACCCTTGTGACCTGACCTTTTCTTATGCAGGGTTCGCCTGCATTACAACGTCACAACCCGCAAGGGAACAACGCGATGTAAAGCACGTGCTTAACGCCACTACATCGGTGAGACCTTTGAGCCGATTCAGGAGGAAATTTAGACTACTAAGATCTATGAAAGTTACCCTCACTTCATACTCGTTGATATCTCTGAATCGTGTAATTACTCTGCTCTCAAGCCTGGCCGTCTGTCATCTGAAACCCTTAGTCTTCTATACCATCAGTATGAGAAGAGAAGAAGATCATATTGAGTCAACAGGATTCCTCGACGACAGCGTCGATCTGTCAGAGAAGTTTCGTCGCGAATTGGGAGTCTCTCCTCCGAAGCGGTGCTCATACATGACTTGGGCGCTTCACGCCGCTCTCATTACTCTATACTCAGTTGTGTTCCTACTCGCAACACTGAATAACTACCACCGGACAACAAACCACGATGCCTTACGAGATATGATCCCATGTATGTGAATCCCCTGCTTCAAAGTGATAACTACTGACACTATTCCCAACTAGCACCTGCGAGGTCTTCTATCAGGTATGAAACGAAATACTTCACCAATGACAAAGCTAGTGCCTCAGTATATTTCGGAGAGCCTAGTGATCAAAGGGAGGCGCTCTGGGAAGAGCTACTGGGACGTAAGTTGTGCCTTGTCACCCGCTACCTTAGGGTTCGCAATAGGGGCTCTGACAGCGATTAGCTTCTACCATTCGCCTAAGCGCCCACGACCTTGAGCGGTTAGGGAGACCCAAGGAAAAGGGCATCCAGCTTCCAGACGGCGACTATATCGGTACCCTTAACGTGTTCCACGACCTGCACTGCCTCCGACGAGTCACTAGGCTGCTCTACCCAGAGCACTATTTCCCGAACATCACGAATGAAGACAAACATATGAACCTCCTACACGCCCGTAAGCTGAAAATGTCTTCTTTGTTCTTAGACTTCCCAATACTCTTGGCGGGCTAACGAATTATGCAATAGAACACTGCATGGACCGTCTTCGCCAGTCGATCCAGTGTCGTGGCGACATAAGCGTGGCCACGTACCTGTGGGGGGTGCGACAAGCGGTCCCGATAGGAAACTTCACCTCGTTGCACGAATGTGTGAACTGGGATGCCCTTCACGATTGGTCGCGAGATAAGATGGTTGACGTCTTCGAGCCGGGTCTACTGATTCACCCTACACTGGGACCGGCGTACGCTAGCTACGGGACCAATAAAACGTTTACTGGTATCGTGGTCGACCACCCTGCTGATTGAGAGGATTGAGGAGGGGATCTTGCATTATGCTAGTATACCCATTTATATGCACATTCATGTTCTTAGAAAATTGCTAGATCATAATGTAGTTGGCTAGAATTCGGGTGCAGGAGAAGCGATTTGGATAGAAAGCAAGCTGGTCACTCCCGTTTCCTCTACTCCTATCTGATTATGGCGTCTCACGAGGCGTGAAACGACTACTACGCTATACAAGACACGATGATGATTAAGGTATATCCAGCCAATTACACATCATCAAGGTTCTCATTCGGTGCTCAGTCGCGAAATCCCTGCATCGCCTAGTCAAATAAGCTTCTGCCCAGCTGAAAAGTACCGTTCTCGCTCACCGAAAGCTCAGTCTCCGACATCATGACCCGGATATATCCCTGACCATTTTGTCGCTTCATCGCTTCATTTCTTTATATGATAGTTGACTCGTTCTATTCCAGCTTCCCCCGGTGCCGCGATAAGACAGCACAGATGGATCCAACATTGACAGCAAAGCAAACTACAATCAGGCGGTGTGATCGTCTTTCAGCCACCAACCGCACCGACCAATTCCCACGAATAAGGAGGGTAAGAATTAACTTTACTCGGCGCCTCACATTTCATCATGCCTCATGTTACCGTCGTCACTACTTAGTTTTGGCAATTCTTAAACCCTGATTCAAAGACTTAGCACTCGGAGGGCAATTTTGTGGCGTTTGTGGATAACGGCTACCCCGCAATTGACAAACGGAACATGCATTTTCTAACGCCTCCGAACTATAAAACATCTCATCTCTAGAGTGATGTTTTTGACGACGCTATCCTGCAATTGCTACTTATGATACTGTCTAACTGTGTCTAATCTGATAAGAAGGGAAACTACTTAGATGTTTCACGTGTAGGCGTAAGTAAAGACGTCATTTGCTCCTGAGCTCACATACTATAATGATAAAAACACTATGAAAAGGGCATACAGCCCCCATTATTGGTAAATCCAATGACTCTAAAATCCTCGGGTCATCTATAACTCGTTCATATATCAAACCAAGAGCTGTTGTAACTGTGGCGTCGAATCGGGAGAACTTTGATAATATTTCTTACTTGTCCGCTACTTGAACTTGAGACGTGCATATGACATCCCGACAGTACCGCTCTTAGGGGCTAGATCTCCTGTACTACATGATCTTCCCAGAAGAGATACATCTGTGTTTTCTAGCTCATTCCTGTCACACAGGACTGATACTGCATGACGCCGTCTGTTACTAGTACAGGTATCCTATATTGTGTATAGGCATAGTAACACAGACTTCTATCATGTACGTCGGATCCTGCATTATAGGCTTTCCTGGAGCCGGAATACGCGCGGCGACACATGATTCACGTGAGGTTTCTAGGTGAACGAGACATGAATATATCGCAGGTGGCTTACCTTAACCTGCCATTTGCACCATCCGGGACTATGTGCCGGTATCACAAAGGTAACACCGCTGCCTATAGCTGGAAGTTACGACTGGTAATCATGCAGGGAGAGTAGGTCCGGAGAGTATGATCGTGCTTTGCTTAGCAAAGCGAGGCTGCAGTCGGCCGGTTTCGCAACGAGATATCGTGAGTGCTGAGACCAGAGGAGAAAGCTCAAGAAAGCTTAGGGCTCTATGCTTCGAGTCGCCGGGAACCAAGTCGACGCATATAAACCGACGACGATCTGCTCTGCATAGACGAATGAACACACATATCCATCCTTCATCACTTCTAGACCTCCCGAGCTTCGCATCAACCTTGAAACAAGCCATCAACACCACCAACCAGGCATAATCCTACAAAATGCGCTACTCCTTTGTCCTCCTCGGCGCTATCTGCGCTACCTTCGTCAGTGCTGCTCCACTTGACATCAACCGCCGTGCCGTGACCACTGCCGATACCGCTTATACGAAGGAAGTCTCAGACAAGCAATCCTCCAATGCCGCTGACACCGCCTATACCAAAGAGGTCTCCAACAAGAGGTCTGGAGGTGCGGCTGACACTGCCTATACCAAGGAAGTCCCAGACAAGAGATCAGTTGGTGCTTCAGATGCAGCGTATACTAAGGAGGTCTCTGATAAGCGCGCCGCCAACGGCGTCGATGCCGCTTACACTAAGGAGATACCGGACAAGCGAGCCGTTGGCGCCGCAGACGCTGCTTATACTAAGGAAGTCTCGGATTAAGATCAAGTATGAGTTGAGCCAATTCAGGGGGTTTCTGCGAGATGATCAATTGGCCACTAATTGGTTGGAAACTGGATTGGATAAGGAGGAGAGGTTAGCTTTGACATATGTCAATTAAATAATAGGACGGCGATAGTGTGGGTGTTAGGTATCATAGGGATTGGCCAGGTTGTACTGCCATATAACTTATGAGTAAATGCTATATCGGTTTTTCGTCCTTCCATTGTAATTACTGCATGATGTGGTTGCCCGGGGGTGAGACGCTCATGAAATTGTGATTTTATTTGTATTTCTATCGATTTATCCCTCTTCCTCCGAAGTAGTCTTCATTCAATTTGTAAGTAGGTATATCGAATTCACTCAAGATCTCGTTGAGAAGCCGCAACATAGATGACCGTACTAAAATTCTTGGAGTCCAATAGTTGTCTCCAGCAAAGCCCCGTCGCACAGCTGATGTGAAAGTACCCTACTATTTCAAGCCACATATACTGCATTTGCAACCGTAATTATACCATGGCTTTCTCAAAAGGCTAAAACTTTTTCTTCTATTTGCTGATCCTTCAGGGTCTACGAAATCCATTAAATCCATGAGTAAATATCGTAGGTGAACTAGTCTTGGAACGACTATGTGCGAAGATGGGCCGAGCTCTGTACGCCACATGATGTCTGCTCTAATAGGATCGGATCACATCTTAAACAGCCTATCATCATTTTGTTGGAACTTGGAATAAAATTTTGAATATCCCATGCAATAGAGTTCCTTCTCGTAATAAGAGAACTCTAGGCCCGTCGTATACCATTCCAATCGTTTAATAGATATGGAAGCAGTGCGCGAGATCGTAGTGCAAGTGAGGTATAATGAGGGCGTACGAGTAACTTAATTACGTCACCCTGCACCAAATCGCCTCTATCTCACGGCTCTACTCCGCGCAGGCTTCCCTGTCCCAGCCATTTTACACTGTGCAAACCATGATAGCGAAGAACACGCGTGCTATTGTTTTATGGGACCGGCGTGTATATGTGGAATGATGAAAGGAGAGTATCGGTGCGAGGACGAGCGATTCGCTGAAATTTGACTTGTCTGGGGTCGTCGACCGAACGAGGTTCCCAGACAACTACCACAACATCGCCGATTTCTAAGACGTCTCGCGCACAGAATCGGTTAACTAACTAACTTTGTCGCATCGGTCTTCGAAGCAAACAGCGCTCTTACTATCATTAGGATGTTGAAATTTCCCGCTATTAAGAAACGGAAAATTTATTATTTCTGTATACGAATCGCCCTTTTCACTTGGTTATTCAGGGGATAAAGTGACACTAGGGTACTATTTAATTACTCCAAGGAAGCTGACACTAGCTTACGAGTTAAAAGTTCTTGGGATAGCCAGGAAATCAGTGGTATTGAGCCTTCCCAACTATTTCCGACCTCCTTATTAAAAAGTCGCTCTTTAACTGCGATCTAGCTTCGCTTCGGGCACACATGTCTCGGACAAAGTTTTGGTATCTGCAGCTGAGAGGCTAGCACATTTTCTAGGTAAAGCTATACTTGAACCTGACTTCACAAAGAGACAATGCTCAACTTCTTCGTGATGTTTATAGAGATAATTTTGGAGTATGAAGCCTTCCTAATTCCATAAATTAACAGGCGTCACATAATGGTGTTTTATCACATCCCGCATGCTCTAACTTGCAACCTGCTTCTATCTTCTAATTAAGATATCCGACGCTATACGAATTTGAATCGGCTGATCTGGTAGTCCTCAAGAGGTTTTCTTAAAGTTATGAATGGAACGGATTTGAATCAAAATAATAGTATGAATATCGCGTATTACCTCATATAAACGTGATTAAGGATCTGTGGGGAGGTAATTTCCCACTTTACAGAAAATCCCGATACAGAGAACCAAAAAAAAAAGAGTATATGTAATTAGGCATGGGTCGCATTAACTGGCGCCTATACTTTAATTTACAAATTTGATGAAGACTTGCTTTATTCTTTCTGTGAGAAGCTGACCAGCTCTGCACGATTAACATGATTTGGGAACCAAATGATAAATCCTTCACTGCTTAAGCAGTCTTGGTACAATTGGGTTCATTGGTCATCTGTTTCAAAGAATGCTAGAAGCTTAATCCGCTACACTAAGCACATCTAGGCTGAGAGGCCTAGAAGCTCAGTAGCTCCATCAAGAGAGAAGATGTCACTAATCGGGGCTGAGGTGAGCACTACTTGAATTTCTTCAATGAGTGAGCTAATTTCCCAAGGACCAACTACCCTAACGCTACCCTACGCCAATACCATAATCTGACATCAAATATATATTGGCCGGTACGTTGGGCTGAGCGGGTTGAGGCATAGGCTGTGAAAAATCTCCCACATGCATGATGAAATGGAATGAGGTAAGAGGAATTATCACAACTAGTCACCCACAGGGCCATTTAATAGGCTGTTTCCATTGCACTATCACCCACTTGCGCAAGGAAATACTACTACCACGTCCCCTTTCTGCGTAGCCAATGAATAACGATTCAGCCTTATAGCAACTAGTATATGAGCAATCTTGTCTGCGAGAAAAGGCTTTTAAAGCGAGTTCTGCCCCTTATGAAACTGCAATGAGTTTTCTTTAAAGGATATTTATATGTCTCGTATTCATTGTTAGCATACCGAAGCATATACTGCTCCTCGGTTGGTTTCAGTATTTCCCTTGGAGAGGTATGATCAAACCAAACCAATAAAGTGTCATCACAACTCGAAGCAAATATCAAGCATTTAGCTTGATATACTTACGAACGTTAATTACAATACATCAGGCTCACAGAGCTGTTCCAGCGGCAATGACTAGTTTGATTTGGACCCACAAGTATGCCTAGTACTCTACACTTACCCACACGTATCATTTCTGGCATCTTCTTAGTATAATCTACCAAGGCCATCATGTGACTAGATTAAGGACTTGCATGTTCCCCATGGGGAGAGCTTGAGAAGCTGTAGCAAGAGGAACAATGGAACGCAAACTTGGTGATATTCAAGTGACGCTAGTTTTATAGACAAAAGCCATTGGAAAGTTGCCGTTCGTCCGATTCTTCTTCTTTTACTACGTAGGAGATCGTGTCCTTATATGTGTCAGATGCCATGTAGAATGCTTAATGATTGGAGAAGCAGAATGCGCCAAAAGCTTGACCTCCGCAAGACCCCAGAAGGGAGATCTTCATGTAGATGCAATTACATCTTAGAAATTGACGTCTAATTCGTTAAGAATGAGTGCGCCTCCTCATGAACTAGCTATTGTAGCGCCAGCGCTAAGTCTATAACTAAGCAGATGTCCCGTCAACCTAGTGCAATATCTCCTCACCAAACCCTCTTGACCCTGGAGGAAGGGATGTTGTTCGATGTGAAAATCGCAGTCAGCACGTTCTCTTGTTGTGTCGGTCGAAGGGAAGCTAGCCATTCCTCACAGCCCACATTTCTCGTGGTGTCAGACGGTCCTAGGTCTGGCTAGTCCAGAAGTTGAACACTATCCCCCCTTTCCCCACATCGCTGGTCGTCAGCCGCTGGATGGTGACACTTAGACTAGAATAGTGAGTAGACCAACAAGTAAAAAGTAAAGCCAGCGTTACCCCGGACACGCCGGCCCCGGTACCTAGTCTCGAATCGATCTCTCCGCACTATGAACCCTGTTGTCATCTTACACGTAGAGAAGCTGCGTCAAGTTATGTTGGAGAATTCCCCAACCTAGTAGCTAGCTCTTCCTAGCTCTCTGGACTAGATTCTTTCCCCAGCAAAATGATCCCTGCTGATCGTCGTTTAGGGTGCCACAAACTATGACTTCCTCCGGGGAAAGGGAATGAAGAAATAGGGTGGTCCAAGCTGCAACTTATAATATAAGCCCTGTCCGCTGCCTAAGATAACCCCAATTGACTTCTCGTGACAATCGTGTAATATTAGACTTTGGCTTCGGATCAGATCGGACCAGAAGATTCAGACAAAATGGAGAACGGCAGCTCATTCGACACCAACGGCTCCAAGCATGAGCACCTTCATGAAAACATAAGCCCTGATCTTGCCATGAACAAGATCAAGACAGCAGGAAGCATCTCGATCTCGCCGGCACTCTTTGAGAAACTGTACCTGTCGCCTCAGAATAATGTCAAGGGAAATTTGAGGCAAACTTTCGGAAACCCAACCGCGATGTTAGTGGCCAATTCCTACTCATCCGCCAACCACGACAACAGAACTGACAAAACGCAGCGGATTGACTGGCCATGTTATCTCTATCGGTCCTCTTGCAGCTGATCTTATGGGATGGAGGGGCGCTGGTGGTAGCGGTGCCGCTAGCATGTAAGTTAACACAGCGATTTTCGAGCACCCCAGAGATCCCTCACGACTCGCAAATTATGCCAAAGATCTAACATAAACAAATCAGTCCCTTTTTCCTCTACTTCGGCGGCGTTCTCATGACACTGGGTGGTATCCTCGAATTTTTCCTGGGCAACACATTCCCATCGGTCGTCTTCGTTTCTTTCGGTGCCTTCTGGTTAAGTTACGGAGGCCTCTTGCTTCCCCAGCTCAATGCCTACGCTGCCTACGCACCTCCGGACGCCGAATCGATCGCTGAAGGACTCGAAACTACGGGATTCAATGCTAGTTTTGGTAGGTTTAATCCCAGGTCATTATACAGAACGTAATAAGGGGCTGACCACAGTGTAGGCTTCGTCACACTTTCCATGGGAATCCTGTGCTTCATGTACCTTGCATGCTCCATAAGGACAAATATTGCCTTTGTTATTGTCTTCCTCACTCTCCTTATTGCATTCGGTTTGATTACGGGAGCATACTGGGCCCTTGCTCTGGATTACACTGGCAACGGTGGATTTGCTGCGAATTTGCTCGAGGTACGTTTTCTTTGACTTATCAATCAACTTGATCTCGTAAGATTTATAGCTGATGCCTTTACAGGGTGCCGGAGCTGCTTCCTTCGTCTGTACTGCAGCCAGTTGGTGGATTCTATTCAGCTTGATGTTCGCGTCAGTCGATATGCCTTTCAGTCTTCCCCTCGGCGACCTGAGCACCAGAATCCCTGGCGCCAGCGACAAGAAACTCGCGCAAGATTAAACGCGGCCTCGTTGCTATCCGACACGGATTACGACGGAACGTGCTGGATATGGATCACGAATCATTTACCGGCGTGGATTAAAAGAATGATACTTGAGCTCAGCGGATGTAGTTCAAATTGAGAACATATAGCCTGTTCCCAAGGGAGCTCCGCGTATAATACCATAATTGTCTGAATTAGTGTGGCATTGCTTGTGAGTCACTGTTATGTGCAGTTATTCCAAATAAGTACTGGAGTGGTGTATGTGGGATGCAGGCACTATGGCATTGCCAAAGCAAGTATTGGAATCATCTGGTAGCCATGTGCTACAACAGCTCGATGCCTCTACCTTCCTGTTTAATCTTCGTATAGTAGCCATTAATCTGGCTGCTCTTTTTAAATTATTAGTTAGGCTAATCTCGAAAGTACCTTGTTTCTAGCACCGACAGGAACCTTGTTGGCAAATAGAATTCTAACATAAAAGAGACATGTATTACACGAGGAGACTGTTCACCCCCTTTTTTTTGTCATTTTTCACGGTTTTCTTCTGGCCACTCTGACCCGTACGTCACAGACCCTACATTCAAAACAGGGACTTTCTCTCTTCAGAAAAGTTAAACAAATTTCTGTGGCCGGCTCGGCCGGAGTAAGCAAATGTCTCAGTTAAGTTAGGTTGCTGTGTCTGGTGTGGGCTTATTGGATTATACCCAAAACATGTTTCGTTGGACATAGAGTTGATAAATGCAAAGTTGAAATATACAACATACTTGGCTTGTCCCATGAATATAACGAAGAGTAAGCTAGGTTATAAAGTTGCATGAACACAGATAACTTGGATTAGTACAATAGACAACCCATCTTTGATTTCCCTGAAGCCGACATCGACAGTCGGCGATGGAAACAGGACTGATATACCATTAATAGGTCGACAATGCCACGCATTGTTAGGATAACTATCAGATGTTATGGAACGCTTACTAGAATATTCCAAACAAGGATCAAGTGCTATAGTTTCCTTGGACGGCACGCATGTAGTTCGAGACCAGTAGGTGCTCCTAATATGGAGTCGTCATCATGCAACCAACGCTAATCCGTATCCACGACACGAAAACTCTGCCACGGGAACCCATTTGAGAAGCTAACTAGCAAATCTGGCTAACGCTTTCAGGAGAATGCAATTCCTCGACGTGGCTCGCCGTGTTCCATGTGAAGACTTTCGTTCGGGCTTGACTGCGTTCAATCTGCCAGCGCCTTTGATCTAGCAAAGTCTCGCCAGCATTCAAATTAAGCTTTTCACATGTAACTTATTTGCACTTCGTTGAATGTAGCAGATCCTCTATATAGAATCAAAGATTATTTGGTTTAGGATTACTTATTGATGTTCTTTCTGGACTTCCGTATTGAACCGCCCTTGGGCAAGCTGGGTATTACATTCTTTGGGAAAGTTGTGAGTACAGCGTTGTGCGCTTGAATCGTAAATCTACAATCAAACTGGCAGTAAGCCAGCTAATTATACTCCAGGCGAGTCATCAGTGAGAGACATCGGCGTTGGCAACTCGTGTTTAATGAAATTAGCATATGGCCAAATTTATAGCGCGCCCCGTAATCTCCTGCTCCTTAAGGGAGGAGTTACAAAAGCTAAGCCTGCAATACGAAAGATGGAAAGTTACTACTAACTTTCGTCTGGGCCTAGCAATTAACCATTGTTTATATTCAAAACGAATGATAATAATAGAAACTATAATCAACCATCTCAACGCTTAACTAGGCCGGAACGGTCACCATCCCGGGCCCAGGTCAGACTTTCTAGCACATTGTGTAAGATTTTCATAAGAAAGACACGACAATGGGATGGAACCCCACCACGGACCAGTCTCAAGTATAGAAGTCTCGTTACACAGGCTTTTCCACCAACCCAGCACACCGACATGCATGTCTCATACCAACACTGAGCCGATTGTTCAGGAGGCATACGGATTCCCGCATCCGCTGTTGTACAGCATCCCACCACGAATCTTGCCCAATTAATCTTATCACCCTACACGGCATTACGATATATTTATTTTACATGCATGAGCGCGTCTTATGGATATGGATACCTAATTTTCAACTTTCACAGGAACGAGTAAAGATATGACACAATGGTTTCTTGGACTTTCAGTGCTGGAACCACGTATTTAGTATATTTCATGGCTTTTACTACCAGGTATTGTCATAAGTCAGCCTCAAATTGATTTGTGAGCGTCACCTGCAGGCTGCCGTTCTCCCAGATTACCAAGTCCGTGATCTATAGACGCACTGGGGGTAGATAACGATACGAATACGATCAACGTTGAGTGTTTTGAAGAGAATGATCATTGATGTTCTTTGAGAAACTCTGAGATGATATAAACTAAATTTTTCTCACGTTTGGTCTACTGATGTAACAAATGAGATCTAAGCTATGATCATAAACCACACTGGAATATACATATATCAGCACAGTCTATCGAAACCGTTTAGATGATGAAGATTCGAAGATATTGTAATTCATGTTTCGAATTAGTTGTTGATTATACTAACCTAAAGGGTGAATGCTATGTCATTCTCATTCATTCTCACTAACTATTATTCCTCTATCATCTTACTTGACGTTTAAGCTGGCATTACGCTGATCTACCCTTCCCATGCTTGTACGTTGGAATTGCTCTTCCAACATAATTTAGCTGCCTAAGTACGCAACAATGGCACGCCACTTTCATACCATAGTTGTCTGTACACACTTCATACTGCCAACATATACATGGAATGTTTCAGCCACAGCCATTGAGAGGAGTATTCACCGCCATACGCCACATGTATAGGTTACCCCTCTCGCGCGATTTATCGGCGGCTTGTAGAAGCCCCGGAGTCTCTGTTTATCAGCATGGTTCAAGGCAGCAGGATGAAAATCATAGTATGCCGATACTATCATGTCTGGTAGACGCTAGGTTCCGCCGAAACTGAGCCACCCCCTGCGACCTAGTAGGTACTCTGAGCTGCCATTCTTGGATGGGCCAAATATCAACATAGCAACTCAAAGTCGAATGTTCTGGCCAGGGTTCAAGGTTAAAAGCAGCAATACGTGTTGCCTGATTGGGGTTGCCGAGCGTGCCAAGAAACACACCCCCAACAGTGTCTGCAGGTCATCGACACGAAAATCAGTTGGAGAAGCAAGACCACACAGACTCACCACTCCTGCACCCCCTTCGGACCGCGTGGAATGAAGACCCCACTCGAATCAGAGCCAATGTCTCCCACCCGTGTCCGTCGAGACAATACGTAGAGAGGAGAGAGGGAGAAAGACATGGAGTGACATCACGCGTCACATCATGCTCTGTTCACCCTAGAATCTCTGTGATCAGCTTCGTTGGCTGAATTTGGCCGTGTCTCGCAAACGAACCCCTCATCAACGCTGCCTGCCTGCCTGCCTACAAGTGAACAAACAGCCCTGGTCGGATACCCGACGTCAGTGAGGTGTCCCCTGTAGTGTCCCATTTGTCGCAGAACAAGCTGGCTCCCCGGCAGATGCTCTTCTCCCGCTTCTGGGTCGCCTCACTCTGCTATACGGGTTACAGTTGGGCTGCATTGTTTGACTCAGCACCGATGAATCATCGCGTCTCCCTCGAGGAGTAAGATTGCGACTTACTACCCAAGTTTCCTACGTGTACCTATCAAGAGATATGTCGGCTTGTCAACATTGATGGCCTCCAAATGTCACGTCTGCCTCTCTAGCTTTGGAGGCTTGCGACTTCTATAATCCCCCGTCTCTTTGTCGCATCATCGCGTCCGAGATAGCATGACCTCAACCGGCATTTCTGCCTAGCATTTTCCAGTAGTCGTATAATCCAAGATGGCAGACATATCTTTCATTCGCCAAATCCGGCATGGATGGTTCACAGCCGACTTCTGGCTTTGCACAATCCTTATGTTCCTTGTCGAGTTCGGTTGCGCGGTTTTAGGAGCGCCGTCTCCTAGGTTATTGGAGATAGTCGTTTGTCGAGAGTACTATGATGAGAATGGCGGCAGTTTAACACAACGGGACTGCAAGATTCAGGAAGTGCAAATGCGACTTGGCCTAATGCTAACAGTATTGTCGACATGCTCAATTTTTGCTGGTTAGTCTATCACCAGCTAGGAGATAAAGGGTCATAAATGCTGAACCACTTTTAGCAACTCTCATGCAGATTCCAATGGGTCTCCTTGCAGATAAAAGGGGGATGAAAGTGGCCTTAGTTCTGAACATCATCAGTACAATCTTATACTGGGGCTGGTTGCCCCTTGTCGGTATGTCCGACGTCTAATTCAGTGTACATTGGCTGAGATGCCTTAGCTGTCTTCATCCATTTGCCGACATGGACTCTATACATTGCCCCAGTATTCATCTTTATCGGAGGTGGTCCTTGGGCATCTGGCGCCCTTATTTTTGCCGCTATCAACCAAAGGATAACGGCTAGTCAACGGTCGGTGTCCAGCTTTCCAAAAGTGAGCTCAGCAGATCTTCTGACAAGTAATACAGGACTCCTGCGTTCTCTATAATGGAAGCGATATCTGGTATCGCAGATCTCATAGGCCCTGCACTAGGAACATTGACCATGGAAAACCACATTAGCATACCGTTCTTAGTAGCTACTCTAAGTTTCGCGCTCATGTTTGTGCCGACAATATTGCTTCAGCATGATCCATTACAGCTTTCGATAGAGATCGATGATATAGACTCAGAAGCCGAAGTGTCTCGACCTGGTGACAGCGAAGAGCAACCCCTATTGCGTAGTATTAGCGCCGATTCCAATGATTCCGAAAGACCTTTCATACGCTCCACGATGGCGATATATGGCATTACTTTCGGCTCGTTCTTTCTCATCTCCTTGGCCCGAGACTCAAACAACTTCCTCATACCCTGGATATCTTGGAGATTCAACGAATCAATGGCTCGGGTAAGTCTGTAAACAAATCGACTGCAGTGCATATTACTAAAGTGAATATGCTAGGCTGGACTCATTTTCTCTCTTAGGGCCATCGTATCATCGTTCGTTTTCTTCGTGCTTCTACCGACGGCCAGTTCTTTCATTTCCAGAGGGCTGAAGTATGGGTCGTTTACTCGAGATCTGATCATTTCATCCTCCAGCACGCTGCTGCTTTGTGCCGGTGCGATCTCGATAGCAGTTTCCTCAAACCTCTCGACTCTGGTTGTTGGGTTCTGTATAATGACATTGGGGTCTGGCGCCACTGTCAGCCTCCGCGCATTTCTCGCGTCCAAAGTTGATAGGTCCTTGTCCGGCCGTCTTTTTGCAGCGACTTCGACCACGTCAACGATAGGTAGTTTAATAGGGATGCCATTGATGGGAGCTCTATATTCAATTAGCATTTCAGAGGAAACGGTTGACATTTCTTTGCCGTTTGCTATGGCCGCTGTGAGTTCTTCCATTTATGCTTCGCATTCTCAATCTAACCCTTTTGTAGGCAGCCTACTTTCTTGTTTCATGTGTCATCGGGTCGCTCCATCTTACTGTCTAGATATGTATCCTAGAGGGATCTAATGGTCATATCAAGGTCTATATATTTAGTGGTTATGCATATGAGCGGGGCTACATATCAACATCTAATAAGCATTTGTGACAGGTTGTTTCTTGAGCTTACTTTATATGACCATATCTTGTTAATTTGAGTTTAGGCCTCTTTGATCAAGGCACTGCCAGTACCCGTGGTACTCAACAGCCTCTAGCTGGTATGGGATTGCATGTATAGCTAGCTACAAATCCTAACCCTTATCTACCTTTTATCAGTTTTACTTGAACAGCGTAGCTCTCCGGTGCTATATAGGGGTGATTTTGTTCGGGTATCTTTTTAATCTTACCAAAGTGCGACTTTATAATGTGCGGATTGCCTAAAAAGGGGTGCACATCCTAAGCTTGGTGAGCTGAAGACTATTGCTGACAAGACTAGCCATAGACTAAGCCACAGACAAAGCCATCCAGTAGCCGTTCTAGACTGTTGCTGCGCCCCGCATTAGTCCATGATATCGAGTTGGGTTTGACCCCTCCTCTATTGACCTTTGGCTGCAAAACGCGCAGAGTAGCCTGACAACAACACGCTTATTATAACATAGGCGTCGGAATGGACGGAATTGCAGCGATAGGTTTAACGGCAAATATCCTGCAATTCGTAGACTACGGTGCTCGTATTGTTAAGCGTGCGACCGAAATATACCGGAGCGATGATGGCAAACCACTCGAGAATGGTGAATTGGAGGATGCACTGATCGACTTGGAATGGATGGGTCAAAAGCTCAAGTCGAACGAGAAACACGCCAGTTCAGCAAATATGGGCCTAATAAAGCTCACAGAGGCGTGTCTAACTCTTTCGAACGAACTAAAATCAATGCTTCGGGATCTTAAACTCAAGAGAACCAGGCATCGGGTCTTTTGGAGTTTCGTTCAGGCTCTAAGAATCGACAGAAAAGTTTTAGACATGAGAGAACTAGAAAGCAGAATATTCAAGCTGCGCGATCAAATTTGCGCTCACATGATCATCACCCTTAGGTATACCAACCAGAAAAAGCGTCATTATCTTGGGGAACCTCCGTACTGATTCGATGGTAGCGAAAAGGCAAACAGTCATGCGTCGTCAAGTGATATTCTCCACACCAACCAAAAGATTGACGATTTGGCAAATCAAATGATGCAGATACTCAAGGACCGATCATGGAAAGAAGATGGTTCCACTGCGTTCGCGGACTTGGCTGCTAGGTGGGAACTGTTTCTGAAAGCGAATCAAGACCAGGCCAAGATCAGAAGAGTTATCAAGAGTCTGCACTTCCCCAGAATTACCGAACGCAAATCAATCATCCCTGTAGCTCATCAAAAGACGTTTGAATGGGTCTTGTCACCCGACAACTTGGTCAATTTCGCATCTTGGCTCCAGTGTCCCGTTACGGCCAACTACGTGAACCAACCATATTGGATCAGCGGAAAAGCTGGCTCTGGCAAGTCAACGCTCATGAAATACTTGGCATCTCATGAGAAAACAAAGTCAATGCTTCAAGCATGGGCACATGGCCATCGCCTCATGATCGCCTCACATTTCTTCTGGAGCAGTGGTACAGCTATGCAAAAATCACAAGAGGGTCTTTTCAGAACTTTGCTAGCAAGCATATTCTTACAGGCCCCTGAGCTGGTGCCAATCTTTTGTCCTCATCGGTGTACTGATCTCGGTCACTTAGAGCCTTGGACGCTTGAAGAACTGGCGTCTTGCATGGAAAAGGTCGTCTCTTCTGAAGACTTGCCTATTCGCCTATGCCTCTTCATCGATGGATTGGATGAATACCAAGGTGACCATTCTCAATTTATCAGTTATCTCATGAATATCTGTCGATCGTCATATATCAAAATCTGTGTAGCTTCCCGGCCGTGGATAGACTTTCTAGTTCCCTTTGAGGACAGCCCTTGGAAGCTATTCATGCAAGACCTTACGATTAACGACATAGAGCTGTACGTCCGTGATTTATTAGACGGAAACCTTTATTATCAGAGACTAAAGGCTAGGGATGAGATCGAAACTGAGAAGTTAATAGCCGGGGTGACTAGTAAAGCGCAAGGGGTCTTTCTCTGGGTAGATCTTGTTCTTAGATCCCTCCTCCGCGGTCTGAATAACGGCGATGGAATAGGCATCTTGAATCGGCGGCTCAGTTTGCTACCGTCTGATCTAGAAAGATACTTCGAACTGATGCTCAACAACATCGAAGAAGTATACAGAGAGAACACAGCACGAATCTTTTTGGTAATGGTTCAAGCGCAGGAAACATTGCCTGTGCTTATGATCTCATTCTTAGATGAGGAGGATCTGGATCCACATTATGCCCTTGTGATGCAAAACGGAGTCTTAACAGAAGATACTATCACTATTCTATTGCATGAAAAGAGGCACCAGCTGATTGCACAGTGCAAAGACTTGATCTATGTGCAACAGCATCACGATGAGCCAGAGTTTTGGTGTTACGAGGTGGGCTTCTTACACAGGACAGTGGCGGACTATTTCAGGACGAAGGCAATGGATAAGTTGCTAAGCAACCAAGCTGGCAGTGACTTCGATCCTAGAAGGTCCTTATGTAGAGCCGGCCTTGCCCAGTTGAAAACGATGACTCGCTGGCGAGGCACAACGGATGCCGACTTTGATAGGATTGAGATCGTCTACGAACAGGTTCGGGAATCTGCACAGCAGTATGAGGTCACAAATGGAGTTCCACTAGCGGAATTCCACGAATCTAAGAAGACTATAGAAAGGGGTTTTCCGACATTTAGAAGAGCGGGGCGAGATTTGCTGGCTTCCCACAAATAGCTGTGTTGTATTATAACGCACGTACTGTGGTGAAGCATTCTAGACCTATGCGTTCGCTTACCGAGGCATATCAGGATATTCATAACATATGAGATGACACATGTACATTTAGCAGAATAGGCTACAGATATAAATCAAATTACAATTTGGCGCAAAATTAATCACCCAATGTAAGATTAAAACCGTATCAGAACATTCTAATAGTCTTATAGGCTATCGGGAAAGCAGAGTGAGGCTTGGTTGGAGCTTATTCGAGTGGGTTGGCGTTGTTCGGGGGGATCTTCTGCACGAAGGATACGTTGGGGTATAGGTCAACCTCCTGCTCAAGTCCACTCTGGATAAGTGCGAACAACGAGTTCTTGCTGTTATCGTATCCCGAAATAAATGCCTTGCCGAAGTCGGCGATGAAAGTGGTGTACGTAGCGGCGGGCTTATAGACCGCCATGTTCGTGAATGTAAAGTTCGTACCGCGGAACACTACAAAGGAGTCAGTAATCAGGAGCGGGTATACTCTGCATTGTGTGCATGGGAAACAAGCTTATCGCTCTTTCAGGCGTTTTTCATCTCCACAAGTGGCTAGAACATGAAGAAAGTGGATTTGGGGGCACCTTACATGTACTGTTGGAGTAAGCTTTCCAGATGTTATCGTAGTTCTCCGCTCCGATCAACTCCGACTCTGGGCCTGGGAATTCGAAACCGACAGATCTCGTAATCCAATAGGAGTCTTGAAACACGAAATCTTGGGAACCAACAAATGTCTGCAGCATGATGCCAATGTTCACTTTCTGGAGACGAAGCTCATCCCACTTTTCTGCGCCTCCGTTGGTGGCGGTCCAGTTCTTGATCCATTCCATCGCGAAGCGACCGCTATCGATCTCAAAGCTGTATTCCGCAGTGACGTAGGGGGAATGAGGTTTGACTTGACGTGGTTAGTGATCGACTGTATTGAAAAAGAAGTAGCCAAACGGAGGAACTCACTGTCCCAGCCCAAATCGTGGAGAAGACTACCCACAGCGTGAACTTCGAGGTCCAGTTCAGCCTTCAAAGTGGCATTGTTGTTGATGGCAGCAGCACCGAAAAGCCATGTCCGATAGAGGTGTTCGGTCAAGTAGGGTTGGTATTCCTTGTAATACTCCTCGACAAACTGTCGTGCTGCCCTGACGATCGGAGTGTCGATGACCTCCACGCCAGCAACAGTGGTAGTAGGATGCTGGCCTGGCTTACAAGAGGCGACAGCGGCTCCAGCAAGAGCTAGGCTAGAGACAATATCGGAGAACTTCATCTTGAAAGGTTGACAAGGCACTTATTAGGGGCTGCTGAGAGTCTACAGCGAAACAACTGAGCAGCTTGCTTTGAGAGCGCCGCTGCGATTCAAATACTCGCTCGTCCCCTTTCTTTCTCTCTCTTCCCCCTGTCCATCCTAGCCCAAAATTAGTAGATTCACATCAGTAGGAACAGTCACTAGTACACCTTGATGATCCTTTACACCAATGTATTACTCCTAGCTAGGGTGCTAGAACCAGCACGTTGCAAACCTTTGCCTCAAAGAGGTCGACTCTGCTAGTGTAAGCACCCTCAAACCAGGCAGTAGTGCACATTCCTATGCTATTTACAGATACACCGTAAGCCAAGATCCGGGGTCGCTAGGATAAGACGCTTATAGTGGGCGGGTAGAAAGCTTGGCCATTGGTAGTTACAGTCTACCGGTAACATCCGGGCATACCGTCGATTCCGCGCTAGCCTCTCATTTCAGTAGGGCAGTGCCTCAGCCGATCGATTAGTTAAGAACAGGTTCATGCAGATGGTGTGATTCAGAGACGGATGTGGTGTCAGCAGGAGTCCGCTCGCTAGTAAGCCAGTGACGTAGCCCAGGCGAAGTTGCAACCAATTTATTTCCATGTATTGCGAGGAAAACACGTTGAGTGGTTAGTGTAAGTCTCCTCTACACGCTGAGACCAGGGATGAGATACACCACTGTTCCTTTCTACAATATTTGGGTCCGCACGGCGCATGGATGGATCAGCATTTGATATGCCAGTTACAATTTCAGCTGCGCACGGAACTAATCATAAAATATCCTCGAATTCTCTGCTTACCATCTTACATGTACCTATCAATAGACATAATTACCAACATACTGTGTAGGTTTCGGGACCTGCCATGTGCAACATCTCGTGCCAAGACGCTTATGTGCATCCGACTGCCGGCCGCCAAGTCGACGGCGCGAGAAAACAAAGATTCCTAGACTATATCTTGGGATCTTTATTTATTCATTTTCCCGGTCGGTCCTAGTATGCGAATGTGTTCGAACCCTCTCAAGAGTGGAAGGGAAGAATAACACGCAACACATACCAGCTCGGCTCGGAGGCGTCGGATCATCTACAGTACAAATAGGATAACAAATAGGATAGCTACACATACAATGCAATAGAGTGTCTTGTATATATACTGTGCACAAGATGTATGTAGTTTGTTCCCCTTTCCTACAGCACCTGATGCTTGCGTGTACATATCCACAATGGCCAAATCCTTCCAGGTATGCGCTATTGTTAGTGCTTAGGACAAACCCAGCAAACTCGCGCGAGAGTCATGGTTGTATCGTTCAATCCCGTTTTGCAGTCGAATGCCCACACCGACGGCGCGTGTTCTGGTACCAATCTCACGTCCATGTCCTCGGGCTTGCTTGGAGGAACAGTAAAGTTCACTCGGCCTCTATTCAGCTCAATGCGACCCTCAATTTCAGCGTTGCCAATGGCGCAGATACCAAGAACATCTTCGAGGTTGGTGTCGGCTAAGAACGTAGCCACTTCTTCCACAAAGCCCGTCGGCAGGTCATACTCCCTATACTCGGACTGCGCAGGATGATTAAAGCCGAATTCGTAAGGCACTAGCTTTCCATTCATGAACCGCCACGACCTGGGGACTACATGGCCGCCTGCCACTTTGCCGCTGCGAGGCACAGGCCAGGGTGTAGACACATGTCCAAACTCAACTACCATCTCCCCTTCTTCGATTGTAAAGTGTTTATGTAGGAGACTGAGTCCCACTTCCGACGCTATATCATAGCGTTCGAAGATGTCCCTGTGCATAGTGGTCAATCCTGTTCTCGTCGATCTAGAAGTTACCTACTTGAGCTCATGGAGGTCTTTCCTTTCACCGAGGACTGCCAGGCGACCCTGGAGGATTTGGTTGGCTTGACTGAGTGTGCCCAAGCTGTTGAACGTATTAATGTCTTCCATGACAACCTATTGTTGCTGACGTGGTTGGATACAGGTGAGAGTATGTGGTTTAGGCTTGATCTCATGACATTGTGCAGCCCCAACACTCAGGTTGGTCGGAGCCACTTATACGGAAAGCACTCGGGCGTTCAGCTCTTCATATCAAAGAACCCTCATGACTCTGCAAGCAGAGCCTCAGGTTTGCCGGCTCTCCGCAAAATCTTATACACGTGGCGCAGAGGAATTTGATGAACGGCCATTTCGAGAAACTCCAATCGCGGCGCCTGAAATTCTCACAAAGGCGTGAGAGGGTGTGAAGCTGGCACCAGACAGTGGCGACCATTGGCCTGGATGGGGTTTGCATAGAAAATCGCGACCGAGGGCTTGCGACTTGGGGCCGTCGGGCCAGTAGGCGACGAGCTGCCAGGGGGGGTCGCGGCCTGCCACCGGTCAGACCTGAACCGATAAAGCGCCCCCTCATTTGATTCGCACCCGGTTGATTACCTGTGCGTTATAAACGTCCCGGATGATGGGCAGTCTGACAATTCTCAGCAGCTCGGCTCTGGCTCCCAATCGGCTCGCATACATGCCAAGATGGTCCGTTCGGCATATCGTGGCTGCATTAAGAAGACGCAGGGTGGGCTGTAGGCTGGACGACTATCTGACGTGGGAGGTAAGCCACGGGTCGAGCGGACCAAGACGCCTCCGATCACTCCAGACCTTCCCCAACAGGCCCAGAAGCAGAACCGTGCGCTGTTATCCCGCAACCGGCAATGATAAATGGTTGTGCGACGCCGCCACTCCTAGGACAACGACATCGTCTTCAAGCGGAGCTTAGAATGCAGCATGAACGAGTTACGTGTTTCCATTGACACCACGATGGTTCGGTTAGATTCGAGTTGGGAAGGCCAATGGAGCGAGCGCGAGCCAAGCCACTCTTCCTTCGAGCCTACCCCTCCCAGCACAAGCAGCCTTGGAGGGCAAACCCCCACGAGCTCAGATAATGATGGCTCATCTGACATAATTGGAGAACGGGCCAGAAGGGATACTTCTCTCAGCGCTCTCAGTGCTTCCAGGGTGGGACTTGCTCGCACGATTGAGGACATCGTATCATCACTCACAAGAACCGCGGAACCCTTCTCTAAGCAAGAGGCTTGGGCATCTATCCAGGCTATAGCACAAGATAATATTGATCGAATTGTGCAGAGGGAATCGCTGCAGCCAGATTTTCCCGCTCCTTTGTCGAAGGTGTGCATTGCGAACGACCCTGGCCCCGCCGATCTTGCTGACCACCATCTAATCCAGGCACTGGATTCGACTCGCGATGATATGAGGGCATGCCTCGAACAAGGGGTTTCCATGCAATCTCACGAGACGATGAAGATCACCACGCAAGATGTCGGCTCGGACTTGCAGCAAGAAGAGCAGTTGATAGCTAGTCAGGGCCTTCTAAGTAATAGCCTCGACATTTCACTTCGAATTTCATCAGGCGGACCTTCCAGAGCACCACTATCTCGCAAGACCAGTCGCATTGACAAGAGGCGCAGCCTGGCGCCGAGGCGCCGTCTACCGTCTACTGGTGGCAATGGTGATGCCCCAAATCTACGACGTGGGCGGCCAAGTGAGCGGGGATTCAGTTGCTCTCATTGTGCAATTGCTAAGAAAAAAGTACGACACCGAGAAAAATTGAGTAATGTGGGCTAACATTCCTACGGTGCACCGGCGATGAAAACTGTTGTGACGCATGTGCGAAATCGCCGATATACCGACAGCTCTGTATCAAGGCCGATTTCAAAGAATCTCGTCTCGTATTCCACGGTAAGTTCTCTCCAACGTCAAATTGGTGAAATTGTAGTTCGGCTAAACACATGGTTAAGACCTTTATAAGACGCGGATATCAACACTGCTCAATAACATCGTTGGCTATAGCTGGCGAGATCCTCACTTGGAGCCGATCGTAATCAAAATATCGAATGGCTTTGACACGCAGCTAGAGCTTGAACTCCAACACTACGTTGCTCGGAATGAGAATGCGCTCACCCACACGATATTTCGTGGCCTCGAGGCGGGCATGATATACCCTAAAGCGAGAAGTACGTCTTTCGCCCTCCGAAATGGCACGCTCACCGCAGAGAAAATCGACCATTATTGTGAAAGACTAGCATGTGATATGATTCTCAGAGAGTCTCTGAGCTCAGTGAATAACAGTCTCCTCCATCACATTCTCCTCTTCGCTGTAACGCAGATAGATTATGAAGATGAAAGTTCCAGGATAGAAGGCGTACGTGCTATTGGTCTAGAAACCCTTTTCTTGACGTAAGCTAACTCAAGTATTAGCTAGAGATGGTCCGCCTAGCCCTCCGCTTCTGGGCTATCCAGGCTATTTTCTTCACCTACCCATGGAGAGTAGAGAGCGGAGGCCATCTCATCAGAATGTATCCACTGCAGCTACCTGGATATTGGAATGGAATTACGCTATTACCACGACTAGTCAACCAAGAGCTCGACAGGGCATTTGAAAAACGCATGGACGAGATCGAGAAGGAGATATTAGAGAAACTGCAGGTCGCCATTTTCAAACGTCATCGAGACCAGTGGTGCTCCATTTTTCTGGCTTCCTTCATCCTTCTGCACAGCTTAGAAAGGGACACGTGGAATATGAGGGCGTGGGATCATGAGACGAGAAGTCGAGGTGCTGCTGCCGTAAGTATTCCATGGGGCAACTCTTGCTTATCTCGGCAGACTTTACGGAATAAAGGCTATTGAGGCCCAGCGGCTTTTTGGCGCCCCGGAACGCTCAAGCTTCGGGCTTGCAATGTCGGTTACTGACATCGGTTTCTGTAGTGGCCCCTGAAAAGAACCCCATCCGAATATTGCGAACAGAACAAGCATATCGCAGACATCATCGCCACCCACTTCAAGATTGTCAATCAAGGCAATAGCCCCTTGAAACAAAACTGGAATAAGCCTTTGAATCAGCAACTACTGAGCAACAGTGTCAGAGCGAGGAGGTTCATCTTAAGCATACAGAGTGACTTCAATTCCCCTTCATCCAGTATGTTGAGATGTTACTTAATTTTCAAATCGTTTAGCCCTGGCGCTGACGTTGGATTAGGTTACAAGGCGGAACTACACCAACCGAAAGAGTTTACCCGCGTTAACCCTCAGAGTTTGAACTATACGTACACCCAGATGCTTTTTGGGGAATAGCAAGAGACTTCAGTTAGTTTGATATATACTGATGACATCATTCTCACTATCATTTTTTCATCATAGGCAATAGCATATTCACCGCCCATTCTGTTTGGCCAGCATAGCCAGTGTTGTATTCTGATGTACTATTCTGGTGTTTGAATTGGCGCTTTCAGATAGAGCAAATTTTGGTTACCTCATGAGTTTAATGGGATTGCCCCGCTGAGTGGTGCCTGGAGCATTGCTTCTTCAGCTTAACTTGCTATCATATAACCACTCTCCTCGAGAAATTGTGTATCTTATCTATCAATACCAACCCTAATCAAGACTTAAGTCATGTTGTAGAATAAATCGTCTACACGTCGTGCTGTGGCTTGTGTTCTAGGCTTCTCGGATAGGCTTTCGCATTTTATATCGGCCCTATGACTTTGGTAAGGGAGAATTTGTTTTCAGAGCAATATTCAGTATTAGACTCATCGTAATTACAGAACAAGGGGTTACAGCAATTCCTATCTCTTTCTCTTTATTAGTGCTAGACTGTATCAAGCGAGTGAAGATACTATCAGTATTTTGAATTTCTCTCTCAGGTTCGCTGACATCTTGGGATATCCTCTTGCTCGAGGGTAAGGATCTTATGACGGAATTCCAAATTCTTTTCTGTTATCTTTGAGAATAATGGACGCCACTATCTTGGTAATGTAACTCAAAGGAGAACCAAAGTAGCATCAAACAACATAATAACTACTGATCAAGAGGTCATCTATCGATCGGTTCTAATAACCCCCGATATTACCCCAGGATCAACTCAATACGCTCGGTTGGTAGCTTATCCCATTCATTCTTTTTGACTTCTCTATAGGAGATACGATATGCTACTCCGTCAATCTATTTTACCTAGAGTACAGCTATGTGTTCAGAAGTCGTTACATAAGAAGCGAAGCGGTCCTCTTCGAAAAGGTAGGGTACTTCATATCTTTTAATTCGAGAGATTGCGACTAATTCGACCTCTTTTTTCCGTTCCTGGGGGAGTGTTGCAAGTTCGGGAGGTAAGGGGGGGATCAAAAATCCTATAATCTTTTTTGCTGCGTCGTAAAGATATAGCGTATCCCCCAATCTGCCGTAAACAGCCAATAGACGAACCTTGAAAGTTTCACAGAATAGGTATGCTGTTTGCTCGGGTATGAAAGGCGGTGTAGATGCAGAAATTTCGGCGATTGGCACTGGGTAGTACCACAAATTATTGAGCCCTTCTCTTTCGTTGCTGTTTTTCATCATTGCCTCGTTACTAAAAACATACTGTCCACATCCATCCGGATAGACGATTGGTCTAACTTGAGGGCCGAATTTGGGCGGATTGTGGCGTTGCCAGCCTGGAGGTAAGGACCTGCTGAGATCTTTATATCGTATTCTATCCTCGGGCCACGTGGATAAGATGCGGCGCCTTTCAGACGCTACGGCTGTCGGTAATTTAGCTGTAAACCAAGTGGTAATGGGAAAGGTTTCCCGGGTATTATTTGATTTGCCTAGAATACGCGCACCATCGCAGTGGTCTGTGGTGATCCTTTCCTGCCACTATAATAGTTGGAGTCAGTAAAGCTGAAGGGTTGGTTGCCAATTTTATGAAAGCACCAACGTCTTCCAATCGTAAGGGCCCTAATGCACGAGGTGACTTAGATAGATACTTACCCCTATCCACGACCAAGACGGAAGTTCGGACGGCGTCAGAATAGCATATGAGGCGCCTGATACCGCCGAACGTCGACGCGGGCGATGATTGTAGCCCCGAGAGTGCCACCCTAAAGCACTATCAAAGTATAGTGTCAAGAGTAGTACATGTGATCCCATTAGATTATCTAGAAGTCTAAGTTACAATACAGTTATCTGGCTGGATGAAGGTCTTATATACAGATTTTAGCATTCCAGTATATGGAACGTAAGTATTACCGCCTTCCCTTTCTAACACTCCCTTTCGATCCTTATACTAGTTAATACTGTAAATCTTGATCGACTCCCTTTTAAGGGTAGCTCCCTTTAGGGTAAGTTGTATAATTATATTAGATGGTATAAGGGTAATGTTTTAAAGAACGCCTATTAAAATAAAATAGATAAGGTAAAACTTTTTAAGAATTAAGTTATTTATAGCTATTAAGGTAGTAAATAAAAGCAATGTTAAGTTCTTTAAAATAGGATGCTATAAAGGGTAAGAATCCTATTAATATTACTTTTAAACTGCTATTTATAATATAAAGCTTTTAAAATTAGGGCGCTATAATATATAATAGCTATAATATATTATATATCTATCGTTTTTATATAAAAGTAAATATATATAAGTATAAATATCCTTTTTTCCCCTTTTTATCTTTATATTATTTATATATATTTTTATAATTATTTTTTCTAATAATTAATATTTCCGTTAAGGTATAAATTATAAATAGCCTATAATTTATAAGTTTTAAGTTTTTAAAAAGGGTATATTACCTATTTTATATTATATTTTAATTCTTTTTATAAAGTAATATATATACTTTTTCTACCTATTTTACTATTAATTTATATTATATTAAATTATTAAGCTTAATAACTTTATTTTAAAATAGTTATAAGTTAACCTTTAAAAATCTTATAGGGCTTCTTTAACTTTTATATTTTTTTTTAGTTAATTATAGGGATTATAGTTTTAAATTATTATATATTTTTCTTTTTAACTTTTTTTTTTATTATAATAATATTAAAAATATATTAAACTTTATTTTTTACTTTTTACTTAATTAATAAACCTACTATAAGTATAATAAATAAAGCTATTATAGCTAAATTGTTTAGTTTTATAATTAGTTAAAACTCCTTTAAAGTAACTTTTATTATTATATTATTATATTAATTACTTTTATAACATTTTAAATATTATTAATATTAAAAAGTTTTAATAAAGGATATAAAATATAGGTAAATATATATTTTATTATTTATAGGTAAGGTTAATTTAAAGTAACTTTAAAAGATTAATAGCTTATTATTATTATATTATTAAAGGTATCTTTTAAAAGTTAATCCTATTATATTTAAATATATAAATATTTAAAAGATTTAATTTAAGTTAATTAATAATATTTATTATTTTACTTTTTAAAATATTATTTTAGAATATTTTATAGTTTTATTTTAAACTTTTTTTAGGTTATTTTTAATAGTTTTTTTTAAATTTATATTTATTTTATAATTTAACTTTTAATAATTTAAATTTTATATTTTTAAATTATAAAGATAATTTTTATATTATTTATTATTATTAAAGGATATAACAGTAAGAGTATTTTAGCTTAAATCGATTTTAATACGGGATTTTTTATTTAACCTTACGTATAAACTATTTTAACCTTATTATTTATTTTAAGCTTAATAATTTTTTAAACTTTTTAAAGGTTAGCCTTAATAATACTTTTATTAGCTTATTTATTACTTAATTAATAGTTAAAATATATTTAAAATTAACTTTTTTAATAGCAATTTATTTTTAATATTATTAATTTTAAATTAATATATATTTCCCTTTATTATATAGTGGTAGGTTATATACGGTTAAAATTGCTTTTTAATTATTATTATAAATAATTATAGGTATATTATTTAAATTAATATTTAATTTAACTAATAGTTTTTATATTTAAATAGTTTTTTTAATAGCTTAGGTTTATTTTTTTAATTTAGCTTTAAATAAAAATAATAAAACTATTAACTACTTTTTTAAACTTTAATTAATAGTATTATTCTTTAAATTAAATATATACCTTAAAGTTAATTGGTAAATCTTTTTATATATTTTTTAATTTAAATTAATAAAGCTTTATAATTTAATTTTACTTTTTTTATATATTAATTTTAAATTAATTATAAAGTTAAAGTATTTAAATATTTATTTTATTATTTTAATATAGGAGGTATTAGGTTTAATTATATATTTATTATATTTAAAAATAATAAATGCTATATTAAGTTAAATATTTAATATTATATATATTAATAAGCTTATAGCTTTTTAATATTATTTTTAATTATTTAAATTTAAAATAAAGTTATTTTTAAATACTTTTATTTTAATAAATAAAGGGGTATAGGTTAGCTTTAATCTTTAATATTTTAATTTATTTAAATTTTAAAATCCAAATTCTATAAGTATTTTTTTTAAATAAGCCTTTTATAATAGCTTTAAGGTATATACCTTATAGTTTTATTTAATAGCTATTTTTAAATAATATTTTATAAGGCTTAAGTTATTTATTTAAAATTTATTATTTAATATTTATTTAATCTTTATAATTTTTAATATTTTAAATTTAATAATTAAAAGATTATTAATATAAATAATAATATAATAGTTTTTTTAAATAAAGATTTTAATATTTAAGTTTAAATTATTAAATTTAAAGTTTTTTAAAAATATAGCTAATATTTTATACTATATATAAGGTATTTATTTAAATTTATAAATTATATTTAAGTTCTTTATAAATTTTAATAGTTATTTAATAAAAATATCCTTTAATACTTTTTTATATAGGAATACTATCTTTATATCTATTTAATAAATTTTAAGATTTAAGGTAATAATAATTATAAATAATATTTTATAATTTATAAGTTTTATTATAAAGGTAAACGTTTTATTATAATTTATATTATTTTTTTATTTAAATCCTTTAATTATTTATTTAGCTTTATATTTAATTATTTTTTTTAATTTATTTTATTTAAGTTTATAAACCTACTTTTTAAATAATACCTTTATATTAAGTAGTATTAATATAAGATTTTAAGTAATATTATTAATTAAGGAATTATATTTATTATTTATTACCTTTAGCTATTTATTCTAATATAAATTTCTTTTAATAACTTTATAATTAATTAGCTTAATAATTTTAATTATATTAATAACTTTTAAAGTAATAATAATAAAGTAAAAAGTAAATAGTTAATAGCTATAATTTATAGGGTATATATTATTATAATAAAGTTATAGTATAAGCTTTATATACCCTTTTAAAATTTATATTTTAAACCTAACATTTTTATTATTATTATTATTAGTTTTTAACTTTATACTAGGTATAATGTTTAAAACGTTTTGATTTTTAATATTATTAGATGATGTTTTTTAATAGTTAAAGTTGTTGCTATTATTTAGCTTTAAGATATTATTGGAGTTTCTAATAGTTTTATTAAAGGATCCATTTATTAAAGCTTTAAATATAGCATATAAAATAATAGTTAATATAATAGCTAATATAGTACTTAATATAATATTTATTATAATAAGGTTTAATTTTTTTCTTTTTTAAATTAATATATAGTTTTTTAATTTAATATAAGGAAAATTCTTAAATTTTTATTTTTTTATTATATTTAATTTTTTAAAATCTTTTATAGTTTTATTTTTAAAGTTCTATTAAACCTGTTTTTTTTTATTAATTATTTTAATTAAATTAAATAAAGGGTAAAAGATTTTTTAAAAAAAGCTTATATTATTAATATTTATAACCTTTTTACTTTTTAAAAAGATTATATAATTATAGGAACTTTAGTTTTAATAATTTAATATTTTATAGGGTAAGGTTTATTTAATAAATATTAATCCCTTTTTATTTAGCTAAAAATATTTTCTATTAGTTCTTATTATTATTATATAATTATAGGTAAGCCTTTACCTATATTATTTCTTATATAGTAATATTTTAAATTAATTATTAAATTAATATATTATTATATAATAAGCTATTTAAATAATAATAGGCTAATATTTTTATAATATTCTATTATTTATAGCTTATATTATTATAAGAATTATAATAGATTTATATATTCCTATTATTTTTTTATAAATATTACCTTATTAATATTATCCTATAATAATAAATAATATTTAAATTCTTTAACTTTAATATATATATTTAAATTCCTTATTAATATTTTCTTTAGCTTTATTAAATATAAATATATAATATCTTTATTTAAAGCATTTATAGTATTTAAGGAAAGATTTAAAGGCTTAGGTAAATTTTCCTTTACTTTTAAATAATAATACCTATATTATTTTTATAAAATTATAATATATAATAGCAATATATATAAAGCTTTTATAACCTTTAAATATTGCTTTAAGGATATTTATAATATTAATATATAGTAATTTTAATAAATAGGTACTTTGTTAAAGCTTTTTTAAATAAGGTATTTCCTTTATTTTAATTTAAATATAATATTTATATATATAAGCTAATCTTTAAGGCTTAATATATTTAATATTTATTAATTTTTTAATTAAAAATTTATTAATATATTTAAAATGTTTATATTATAATATAAATTTAAAATTAAAAAGAAAATAGGTAATAAAAGTAATAATAATAGCTTTAATATTTAACTTAAATTAATTAATTATATATAGGCTATTATATTTTATACCTTTTAAAAATATATTATTCCCCTTTAAAGTATAAGCTTTATTGCTTTAAAAAAGGAATTTAATATTAAGTTTTATAAAGTATAATATAAAGATTAAGTTTATATTAATTATTAAATAATAAATTATATTTTTTAATATAATAGGTTTTTCTATCCTATTAATTATATTAATAAAGGTATAGTTTTTATATTAAGTTAATTATATTATTAATTTATTAATTTTAATAGTTATAAAGTATAGTATAATATATAGGTTAATAAAGCTAGTTAGGTTTAAAAATATAAAAATGTTAATATTATTATTAATAACTAGTATTATTTTTAATACTTTTATAAAGCTATTAATTTAATTTTTATTAATAATAATAAATAAAGCTCCTATAACTTTTTTTAAATAATTATTCTTTAATATATTATTTAAAAGTTTTTTTATAGCCTTAATGTTAATGTTTTTAACGTTAGATTTGTTTTAAAAGGTATTACCCTAAGGTAACTTTTATATAAATCTTTTAAATATTAAAAATATTAAGTTAAATATAATATTAATAAAATTAATAGGAATAGGTTAATTTATTAATAATAAATAAGTTATAAAAATAATATATTTAAAAGATTTAATAATAAATAAAATTTATAGTAATTTTTAAAAGGATATAAAAAGTATAATAAAGTTTACTTTTCTTTCCTTTTTTATATTTTTATCCCCTTTAAGTTTTTTTGCTTTATTTTTATATTATTTTATTTATTATAAATATATATCCTTATCCTAATTTAAAGTAAACTATAAAATAAGGAAGAAGATATATTTTATTATAATTAAAATATACCTTCCTTTTATTATTAGGTTATTATTTAAATAAATAAAAATTAATTTTAATAATTAAAAGGGTAATTTATATTATTTATTCCTTTTAACTTTATTTAAAATATAATATTATATTAATTACCTTTTTTAAAATAATTATTATTTATATTATAATTTTAGCTATATTAATAATTAAAATTTTAAAAGTATTAATTTTTTAAATTATTAAAAAAGAATTAAATTTAGATTTAAAACTATTAATAAATTTTTTAATAATATATAAATATAGTTAAATTAAAGCTAGATTAAGCTTAATTATATTTATTTAAATTTATTATAGTATAGTAATAAATTAAATAATATTATTAATAGATTTAAACGTTATTTCTTTTTATTATTAATAATATTATATAAATTAAACCTTTTTTTTAAGCTTATAATTTTAATATAATTTATTTTATAATAAAATAAATATATTAAGGGGCTTTATTAATATAGGTTAAACTTATTAATAAGTATTTTATAATAGTCTGCTTTAAATTATAATATTAGTTATATTATATTTTTTAAACTATTTATCCTTTTTAATAAGAAAGGTTTTTTTACCTTTTTTTTCTTTTTATTAAAGGGCTACCTTATAAAGTTTTCCTAATAATATTTAAATAAACTTATTTATATTAAGTTTTTTTCGTATATTTTAGCTTTACTTTAATTATTATTTTAAGCTATTAAAAAGGGCTACCTTTTTAAACTTTTTAATATTATTTAATAATATTTTAATTAATTATTAATATTATAAATAATATAATAGTAGTTAATAGGGTTAATTTAATTAGTTTAATAAATAGGTTAATAGTTATAAGAGGTTTTATAGCGTAAGGTTAAGTAGTAATTAATGATTTTTAATTAATTTCTTCTTTAAAGTCTAGTATTATAATATATTATTAATATAAATTTTTTAAAAGGGCGTTTAATAGGAAAGGGTTTATAAAGTAATTATTTTAAAAGTTTTTAGTTAAAATAAAAGGTAAATCTAAATTAAGTTCTTTAGTTTAAAAATTAATATTAAAAAGGAGGGCATTAAAATTAATAAAAAGGTTCTTTAAAGTAGTTAATTTTAAAGTTTAATAATTAAATAGAATATTAACTTTATAATTAAAAAGATTTTAATTATTAAGTATTAAAGGGTAAAAAAAGACTTTAAATGCCTTTAGTAATAATAATAAAGATAAAGGTGGTTAATTAATATAATTTAAACTTAAATTAATATTTTAATTACCTATATTTTTTTAATTAAAAAGGTATTTAAGCTATATTAAAACTTTATATATAAAATAAAAAAAAGTTTAAATATTTAAAAAATAAATAATATTAAATATTTAAAGTTATATTTAATTATAAAGGTTATAGTAAATATTTAATAATATTTTTATTATTAGGTATTAATAATATAATTATAATTATTCCTATAATTATTAAAAAAAGGAGGTTAGGTTAAGGATTTTTAAATAGTTAATTATATATAATTTATTTAACCTTTATTTATTTTAAGAAATTAATAGGTTAAAAATTCTTTAAGTTAACCTTTAAAACTTAGCTTTATTAACTATTGTTTAAAGTAATAATATTTCAATATAATCTTTATCTATAGGATTAATGAAATGGAATTCTAACGTATATCGTTATTTTATATTTATGAATAGTGGAGGGTTAAAAATAAAGTGCAATTTTAACCCTTAATAGCTAAAAATATACTTAGATAAACATCCGGGCTTATAACCTATTAAAAGTAATATATATAATCCCATTAGATTATTTAGAAGTCTAAGTTATAATATAGTTATTTGGTTAGATAAAGGTCTTATATATAGATTCTAGCATTCCAGTATATGGAACGCAAGTATCACCGCCTTCCCTTTCTGACATATAGTTCTGGGAGGCCATACAGAAAACCGCCAGCAAACAATCAACTTAAAACAGAAAGTAGACCGCTTATAGCAGGAAGAGCATCCGCATCGTTGGAGAGCTCTCTATAATTGAATTCGGTAAATATCTCGTTAAGAGGCGCTGTATCCGGGAGTCCTGTAAGAATTGAGTCCATCTGGCGATTGAAATACTGGTAATCGTGTTCTTGGATGTCTAGACCAGTAGCCCGCCCCTCGCCCCAGAAGTTGCAAGAACACACCCATTTGAGCTCTTTCTCGTGGAAAACTACTTTGCGACAGGACAACATACACTCTTGATAGGTCCAACCTCTCGTGTTATAAAGCTTTCCCCTTTGGAACACTTCAAAAGCAAAGGTTAGCTCCTGCTTGTTGAAAATAAGGCTAGGGAGCAAATTCTTCGTCTCCTGCCCCTTTTGCTCCTCAAAAGCACACCATGTGATAAAGTCAATGGGATATTTGCGACTCCCGCATCAATTTTGAAATGCGGCATGAGTGGAAGCTACTCACTTGTAGTGCCAACATCATATGGTCTTGCTACAATCTTCTCGGTCCCAAAGGGCACGACGACTTGTTTCATCTCACGGGAGTTGGAGATGCCCTTCAAGCCCGGGATACCTTCTTCGGAATCGGTATCTAGGGCGATGATCGTTACAATAGCATTTGCATATATGGCACCCATGAGTTTTAGTTGCTCAGTCGTAGTTGCAGTATCGTGATGCGGAATACAGAGTACATCCGCCCAAAGGAAACGCTCACCCAGTTGAGTCGTCAAATACATCGCATGTTTCAACATCGGCGAAATTTTGGCTAGCATCTCCACCGTCTCCAATGAACCAGGGACCTGTAGCCTAGACAAAGTCGCGGCACTCGTGATCTTAAACCATGGACCAGAACCATATTTGTAGCTCAAAGCAACGAACGGCATTGCATCCCCCGCTACACGCCCTGAGACGAGACATTGACGGTTAACGTCAACCAACCACGCAGACCGGGCTGACCATATCCTCATAGGATTTTCGCACGCTGTACCATGTGTTGATAGACACTCGTGTTTCCATTTTTTAAGCAGACTAGGGATGGGAATCAAGGCCGTCAGTACTCCTATTCTCGCCAGTGAAACGGCTAGTTAGTCCCCTACCCTCATTTATCCCCCCTAAACAGATTTCGGTCTCATTGCTCTTATATGGTCCCGAATGAGCTGAAATCTTCTCCTCTCTGCTAATTGCTGACTCCAGCATGCAAATAGTTCGCTTCTGGAGAGGCTCCTTCGTGCTGGCGTGGCAACTATGGTTGTACGTCTACCCAATTAGGATTCAAGATGCGACCAGTACCTGGATGGTTAGGAATCAAGGTATCTTTCAGCAACATGAGCTGCCACATTGGCATGGAACTGGTTATTTGGGTGCATTCTGTGTAATAGCGCATGACATTGAGTCGTTTCGACATCTTGTCATCGGTTGGCTGACCCAAACGCTTGATCAGGGGGCGATGCTTAGGGCACCTCATCCTACTCAAAGGCTCTTCCATTTTAATTTCCCCAAAGCTGGGATCGATTAGTAGTCGCCGCAAATTGTTGCAAACTGCACATTGGCCTTCCATGATTGAAAAAATACTAATTGATGTATTAAAAAAAAAAAAAAAAAAAAAGTAACTAAGTAAGTCTATAGAACTCGGCTGTTAACACCTTGGCGAGAGGAGCTGAAATAATGCGGGGTCCATCGTAGCTTTCAATTGTCTCGCGTCAGGAAGATGGACTAGAATCATGTGGTAAATTCCGCTATCTTTCATGTCTTCTGTGCGCAATGTTAAGATAAATTTTAGAGTCCTGGCGCGTACAAGGCAATCATTCATCGGGTTTCCCAAACATAATGGCCATGAAAATGATGACTATCCTTAAGACTGCTGTGATGCCAAGAGTATTATGTCCTATCGCCGAAGTCCCTATATACATGCTGCTTAGGATCATAATTACTCATAGGTAGTTCTTCACCCTGTTGGTTCGGAATAAATGGTGTTCCCCTTACCGATCCTTTCGCTATTCAGCCCTACTGATATGCAAGCCCTACAGCAGCGGACTCAGTAACCGAGATGAGTCTTCTCGCGGAAGTAAGCCCAAATCCCTAGACACCTTACCAAGTAGATAAAGACACCCGATTGCGCCAACCATAGTATCACAAATACTCCGAATTTCTGCTAGCCACAAGTGGTCGCATCCGATCGCGTCTGACTTCACTCTTTATTTCAGCCTTGATGGTGTGGCATTCTCCCGAAGGGAAAGGGGTCATCGTCGCGAAGCAAGTAGTTCGAGAGCGGTAGCCACGTCGGCAACCTCTGGAGGTTCGATGCAACGAGTGTTGCGCCGCCATTCGGTTGATCTCTACTCCGCCCCGACTCTGCCGAGGTGCCGGAGGTGTGTCGAACCTGGTGCACACACGAATGAGTGCTGCCCTACCGTTTGTCCGAACCGAGAAGGAGATTATGCGCTGATTCTCACCTGATCTGAGCCGTCTCGGCTGCCACCTGCGCGCTGATGCACGATGGATTTTCGTGTCATTGTAGTGCCGAGAACGCAAAGCTAGTGTTACTGCCATTCAATATATCGAGTAAAATCCCAACAAACGCGCATGCGTGGTCACTCTGGACCTTTGGCTTGTAGGTATTGGTTTTTCCCCTGTCAGGTTCGCGCGATCTGTGGTTCTCGTCAATCTCGTCGCCACTTTATCTCTCTTATATTGTCCGAATGTGCAAAAACGAGATAGGGATCCAACCCTCCTCGCCGCGCCATCTCGAATCAATTGCATAGCTATTTTCCGACCTCACTTGCGTGATTTCCGACTCTTGAACTCCCGGGCGCCCTGAACGGCGTCTAACAGGCCATGAGCTACAGGATGGTCTATGATCCATGGCACCCCGTTTGTTCTCGCGGGACTCCGATACGCTCGCTAGCCGGATTGACTCTATGCGTGACAGCGCATAGCGTTCTTGGCCGCCCATCTTCTCAGCGGCGGCGGTCAACGACGCGTGGTACCGATACCGTGCACAAGTACCTACTCCGATATGCAGCCCGACACAAATCATGATGTAACAGGGTATCTGCATAGTCATGTTATGCATACAGGATGTTTGCTAATGTGAGCAATTAATCTGAGAGGTGTGGCTGGGGTGCCGCTCATAGCCAAGTCTAGGCATAGTGATGTCGCTCGTGGATTCAGCCAGTCATAGAAATTGTCGGAAATTGACAGACCATTTCACTGAGCAAGGGTGGGGATGAACCGACTGTGATTTGTGTGTCCGTAGATTACCTATCTCGGGTAGATAATTTGGTCCTAATAGCAGCGAAAGCTACGTTTTGCGCTGCGCCGTCGTATCTCGTGATACCAGTTCATGCCTATCACCGGCCTTGACTCATGCAAGTCTTATGAGGCTCAATGTGGGCCGTTCATCCCTTGACGTCGTGCAGAGACGACACGTACACCTTTTGAGAACGCGACAAACATCGGTAATGCTATGTCCGATGCCTGTAAGGGAGAATAGCAACGCCACAGGGCAGAGTGTGATCCTCCGCGGATCTTCAACCCTGGCTCGCTGATAAGCCACAATCCAGCCATTGTTATCTCGCTCGGTTTCAAACCATATTCCCGCTCCCTCCGGAGACGCGTCCTTCGTAAATTCCTCACCGGTTAACCGGCCATGCCTCGCTTGTGTTTTGGTAGGGTATGACAAACAACACAAATTCACAGCAATTTTTACATCGACGTAAAATCCCTTAGTTCAATCATTCTTCGCACATGTAGACTTTTTGCCTTTTGCTCTGGCGTCTCGGCCAATCTTTCTTCGAAGTAACTAGTCGTAATATTCCTATCGTGTCATGCCGAATAGTATAGGGGTCAAATATGGTGCGAGTAGCCTTCAGGCGGTAGTTATTCTCGCCCTGCTCACTTTGGCGGATAATATACTCACCAATGCATTACCAATTGCATTGGGACCTGGGCTTCCCCAGACTCCAGGCTTCTGGAACCTCACGACGACAGCTCTGATCCTATCTGTAGTCTCAGGTGAGAACTAGCTCTTAAAGTAATAACGCACACTAACTGATGCAGATTTGATCGGTCAGCCTATCCTAGCTTACACAGCCTATCATTACAATTTTCGGCATGCTATAACTCTCAACATCTTAAGTATTGCTACAGCAGCAGTCTTCTCGCTAGTTTCCTGTATGAATATCTTATCCATCTGACAATAATCGTAAAACTTACTCTTAATAGCATTTTGGTGGACCAACGGTTTAGCGTGGACTTTCGCTATTGCTTCGGCGTTCAAGATAATAGGGAGCGGATCTCATGCTACAATATTCCTAACAATTATTGGTATACGAGATAAAACTTCTGGTAGCTTGCGGTATGTAAATCACTAAGCAAATTCGTGTCCAAAACTCAACCAGCTGATGTTACGCTCCACAGCACTTGTCTCATTTACACGACCGGTGCCGTCGTTGTTCTGAGCCAAACCATCGCTGCCTCAGTTGGCCCGTTTCTTGCAACGCAAAGTCTAGTCTTGCCGTATATCTTTTCCATTATATGCTGCTTTCTGGCGGCATTTGTCGTGAACGTTTATGTTACAGCGGAGGATCTGGCTAATGGCTGCGAATGGGCGAGTGATGCTTGTACGCAACCATTGCTTTCGCCTCCGGTGGCAAGCTATGATGCCTCCTCAGTTATTCCGCTCGGAATGATAAGGACTTATTCAAATAGATGGCAAAGTAAGCCATCTACGACTAGAAGGGTGCTCAAGTTATTGGGACTGGTATTTTTGTTAGCGGCTATCGCGAAAGCCACCCGTCCCTTGTTCATAACTTACATTCAGCATCGAGTTGGCATCACACCTTCTGAGGTAAGTGAGAGTCGACTTTATCCGTGCAATCAACTAACTCGGCATTTAGGCGAGTTCTCTGTGGCTCATCCGAACCATCATGTCTCTTGTCACTTTCTCCACGTTTCTACCCACAGTTGTAACGCTTTGGAGTAAGAATCCATCGCGGCCGACGGGTACCCTAAACTTATACATAGCCAAGATCAGCATAGTTCTTCTCTCGTTGGGAGCTATTTTGATTGGTGTAGCTCGAACAAGGCCAGTTCTTGTGTCAGGTAAGATGGAGATGTCATATCACGAACGCTGTAAACTGGCAAAAGCTAACAATCCCAAGGCCTTGTAATCAACACATTAGGAGTGGCAACAGATCTGGCTCTTCTATCATTCGCGGCAGATGCAGTACCTGAGAGTATTGCCAGCTTCTTCTTTATGACAATTGCTTCAATAGAGAGTGCTGGCACGCTGATTGGGATTGCGGTTTTATACCCACTCTACCAAATGTTCCTCGACGACAACACACTGCTCGGTGGAATACCATATTACGTTTGCGGCGTACGTATTCCCGTACCTTCTTTCACACATGTGCTAAATTGAACTAGGCTCTGTTTATGATCTGCGTGGTTATAGTTTGGAGTCTAAAGCCACTTGCCGTCCCCTAAACTATGCTGCAAAAAGACAGAGACGTCGCTGTTGTAGGCGATCTCTGGCTTATAAACGTTGCCAAACACCTCTATGAAATCCAAAACTGTACCCTGAGAGGTGTGCTATACTAGGATAAAATTTGGCGTTGAGATGTTTGGGGTTATAGATCTAAAAGTTCTTTGAGATTTTGACTACCGTGTAGGCGCTGGACTACATGGCTTGCAATGGATTCGAGCCATTATTAACTAGGAATCTACTGTGAATTCAGATAATGCATCACATCTTCCTTTTCACATGATAACTTGTTTTTATGACAGCGCGCAGCTAACTGATTGTGTTATGTTAGATAACTGTCGTAAAGTTCCAGCCTTCTCCGGCTATCGTAACGTAATGCTTTGAGGGCGGAAGTTTAAATACTCATGATTCTCAGTGAAATCATCTAAGTAGAGCCATGAGTACGTGCCTCTTTTAGTGCGCGAATCACGATAGAGCATTCACTCAACAGCTTTCAGCTGCACTCCAAATAGCGGTCCGCAACCAGCTGTCGAGTGCAACACTGAGCCCAAGCCTAGATTGAGCGCCATTTCGTCATTATCAACTTGTTGGATCTCGCGCCAAGTTAAGCTTTCCTAGGAGCCTGCTCATCAGAACATTCAATTCAAACGCAATTATCACAACCTACAAATTGTTTATAGTTGAGGATGCGGCTTATCAATGTCCACACTCTCAGTATCACTGAGTTTTATAGCAACCGGCCTCCACGATATGCCATTCTATCTCATACCTGGGATGAAGAAGAGGTGACAATTCAAGATATGAAAGAAGGCAAAGCACCGTCGCTTAAAGGTTACCGCAAAATCATAGCGTGTTGTGACCAAGCTCGTTTTGATGGGATTCCATACGTGGTATAGTGACTCTTTTTTCTGACATTGGCTGGGCTGTTGCTGATGTATAGTGAATGATAACACTAGTGGATCGACACTTGCTGTATCGACAAGACAAGCTCTTCAGAACTTTCTGAAGCTATAAACTCTATGTACCGATGGTATGAAAATGCGACAGTCTGCTATGCCTACCTTGCAGACGTCGAGGACACGCAAGATGAGGGGATGGAAAGCTTCAAACACAGTCGCTACTGGGGTCGTGGATGGACACTACAGGAATTGATTGCTCCCAGGATCCTGGTATTCTTCTCCTCCGGATGGATCAGAATTGGTAATCGGCTCGAGTTAAGGCAGGTAGTTGCTCAAGCTACCTCTATACCAAAGGGGGTGCTTAAATTTCGTAATATCAGTGACTATAGCGTCAGTCAAAAGATGTCTGTAAGCATGCCTCCTCAAAATTTACTCTCACGTCTGTATTCCTATTTCCTATTGCTCGTGTCAAGACTTTGAAGACTGAGATCTGTAGTATAGTGGGCTTCGCGGAGGCGCACGACCAGGATAGAAGATGAAGCCTATTGTTTGCTTGGTTTATTTGGCGTGTCCATGCCTCTACTCTACGGCGAAGGTAGACGAGCATTCCGCCGTCTCCAAGAAGAGATAATAAAAGAACTCGACGATGAATCGATATTCGCCTGGCAAGGAGGAGCTGATCACGGATTACTGGCTTCATGTCCTGCTCAATTCGCCTTTTCGCATTCGATTCACAGGAGTATCGAACGTCCCATCACTGAGGATGCTGATGGTCTACCGTTCGCAATCACCAACAAGGGTGTTCGCATTTCTCTACCGGTTCTAGAAGATTGTTACTCCGTTCCCCTCTACTCTTTAGTACACGAGTCCTCTATGCAATATCTGATCCCCGATCCTCCCCACCTACAGCGGAAAGTACAACGGAGGGTCCTCGCTATTCTTAATTGCCAGCAAGGTGCCGATGCGAGCTCACGCATAGCCGTCATCTTAAACCACGACGTCTCCCGAGACACATATACGCGCGATGTCAATATCAGGCTCGTGAAAGTGTCTATTGAGGATATAGTTGCGCGAGCCACATCAAAGCAGGTTTTAGTAGCCGCAGGCGAAAACCCCTGGGATGGCATCACCTTGATGGAAGAAGATCCCGAAAGACTCATCGTGGTTCAGGGGTTATCTGGAGCACTGAGCCACTTCAAGTTCATGAATACAACTCTGGTCAACGGTATAGCAGTTGGATGCGATTTACAAGAGAACGGAACCATATCTATACGCTTTCGCCAACGGAGACCCCTTGTTGCTATATATCGCAGCGAACTCTTCCCAGCCCACTATCTTGTCCTCTACCTCAGATCGTCGGACGATGGAACAGAAGATGGAATCGGAATTTATGCCGCAATCACTCAAGTATTTGGCGAAGATACTAGCACAGAAGACATACTTGGACAGACAGCTCAGTTCGGCCAGGACTTTCTGTCATCAAAATCAGCAGAGGGTATAGTGTATGAGACTACTCATGGAACCTATACCTTGTCTCTAAACATTCGGGAGGCTGAACATGCATCCGTCCTCACAGTTGATGCGCTGCCACGACCACAGTGAAATCTGGAACAACAAAGCATCACTATTTGTCAGTATAAGGGTTTCGCGACCTATTCATGTCAGGAATTATTATTGAACAAGACATAAACATCCGCGCGCTAGATTAGGGTTTACAGATACCTGCATCCTTGATTTTAAGTATTCTGGAAATTGTATTTATCAGATTGTTCAGCAATTATACTATATAAACAGTCTGTTTCTGGGTCTCAAAGTTCCTCATTCCCTCCCCATCCATGAACGTGTCCAAGTAGCAGTCACCTAGGAGTTGATGGCATGGCTGCATTCCAAGTCCGGGGACGTGTCGCATGCCTACATAACGCAACACAAATGGTGTCTTGCCGCCTGGAAAGACGAATATGCGATCTTTCTGAGGATAGGTAAGCCCGGCGATGGGGGGACCGAGACCCAGGCGACCCTCCGTGCTTACGAACATTCTTCTAATTGCTGTGGAGATCTTGATTGCATGTCCAATTGTACCGACGGCGGGATCGTCGACGGCATTATGACCACTGTCGTTGGTAATCGGCGACAGTCCTATGCCAAGTTCGTTGAGGCGTTGAGCCTTACACCAGAAGTCAAAAGCCGCCTCATCTCTCTGTTTACCTGGGCCAGGTACAGTTGGGATCCGTCTCAGTGGTGCTTTGAAGTCCTCTTGCAGTATCGCCTTCTGCTCGATCATGACGGTATCGCCACATAATGTGCGCCAGAATCGTTCGGTCCAGTGAACTTCACCGCTCCGAGCGCCTCTCTCAGCCGCTTCCTCATAGACGCCCTTTGCAAATGTGTACCATTCTTTCAAGACTGGTCTCTGAGAGTCTTCGACTCTATAAAGCATGGAGCAGGATGTGTTTGCGATAGTATCAACTAAGCAGCCTTCGAGCACTAAGATGTTCTCCTCAATTGTTGAAACAGAAGCGCTTTTTCCCGCGCAGGCATTATATAAGGGCAACTGCTTCAGATATCTGTCGAGGGATCCGGTGAATCTCGTAGGTTGAGAGAAATCAGGTACCCAGGATGGCAGTTTTTGGTCGAGGCTGCGAGTGGACATGCCAAGTTGCGAGATGATATCGAGCGATGCACTGTGCTTTATGATACTATACACAGCCTCCGTATAGACTTTTTCGAAGGTCATGCTGGGGCTGTAGTCAGGTACTATTAGCTCTTTTGCAGGCTGCCCTGTCAAGGCAGAACGCCCCTTTATGAGAGATAGAATCCCATAGATCTTATCCCTCGGATCTGTAGCCTCACGGTGCCAAAACGTCCACAGTAGAGACTCTGGTCGAAACAGAGATGTGACATGTGACGGGTTGTCAAGATCAGAAACTGGAGCATGCGTGAAGTCTTTATGGTGACAATATTGATGCAAAGTGAGGCAGGGCAGGACCGTATCTACGAGGTCGTTTAGCACTACGATATGAGAAATCAGTACAGGTTCAATAACGAACAAGACATGTAGAATATAACGGACGCCGAGGAATACTCACTGTCATTTACACCAGGAACATGAGCGCAGCAGCTCGTTCTATGTTTCTGGAAGTTTGATATGGCCGTTAAAAAGCGTCCCCACGAAAGCCGAACCGCACCATACAGCAATTCCGAGTCTCTTGGCAAGATGCACTCTTGCACCGTCCATATTCGAGACCACCATGGTCTAGTACCAAGCCAATGCAAAGCTTGCCGAGTATTCGTTCGGAACGTAGCCGGCGCATCCACCGGCTCATGCTGAAGATGCGCTATCCAATTCAGATGTGAGCCCAGGCCTAATGTTAATAAGAGACAACCAACTTGGTAGAAGCTGTCCGCCTCTAAGGCAAGCTTGCCAGCTTCGTCCAGTTGTGTTGGGTCGAAGCCGGGGTCCCAATGCTCAGGCCGTGTCCGGGTGATCCTGAAGTCGTCTGCACCGGGTCTCGGCTTCACCTCGGGCATTGAGCTCAGCTCTTTGGCAATATTTAGATAAGGCAAGGAACTCGAGATTCCGTCCAAGACATCATTGGAGCTCTTCATTAGACGTGCGACTTCTTCTTCTTGCTCTTTACTCACAATCGGCTGTGGCTCGTCAGGTTCCTCGCCTAGCCACAAGAGCCCACGGGTAGCTTGGCTATATATATCGCCCATAAGCTGCACCTGGTGGCGTTTTTCGCGGGCGTCTTCTTGGTCGATGCATACGGCGTCAACCCACAATGTCCTACTATCATGGTTGCTTTCGTTACTGCCGATCTGCTCTCTCAGCCTTCTTAATGCCGAATAGAGGTTTCGAGTCGCTGAGAAAGTCGCGCCGTCGACTTCAATATCCACAAGATCAGTTGACGATCCCCAGACGTAGGATAAAGCCTGTGGTGTTAGTGAGCATAGTCTTGATAGTAATGTGTGGTTGTCGACCTTTGGATACCTCATATTTCGGATCGTCGTTCAGAGAGACTATGTCGAGCTTGCATTTGATCTTATCATCCCATTTTCCATTGAATAATGTCAAAAGACGAATCTCCCTCTGTGACGGATGTCTCATATTAATCGGGATGTGGTCTATAGTCGCCATTCTTGTGAACAGGTGTCTTTCAACAGATTATTTTCCCCCAAACATGTATGGGAATCAGGCATCTATCACAACTGAGGATTGAACTGTGCCTTTCATGATATATACCTGCCTACTTGCCTTAACAGTCCGCGGCTGGGCTTTCATATGCAGCCATTGGCTGTGCCGGTCGCTGTCAGAGACAGCCATGATCAGCTCGGCTCAGCTATCACTAACGGAATCAACCATATGGCTGATTATCGGTCATTTGCCGGAAAGGTCTTGTTGCAACTAAGGACATTTTCTTATACTATATATTCCCAAGATACTATCTGCAGCATGCAATAGATTCATTCCTCTTCAAAATGTCCTATACTTCCGCATAGGCGTGGAAGCAATTGCTAGGTAGATTCTGGAAGGACCTCGGAATCCGACATCGGATCTCCGACGCTAAGTACTATACCGTGGAAGTACCTGGACCAGTACCAAAACAGCCTTGACCGAGGCACTGGACCAGCAGCTAGAAGCCAAGTCCAGTCCCGTTGTTTAGGTATGCCAGGTACGCCTATTTGGTAACCTTAATCCACCACAGCAACCATCATGAACTGCAACTTATTGAGACTATTAGCCTTCGGCTTGACTGCCTCACACGTGTCCGCTTCGCTGCGTCCAGGCTCGCAGGTGGTATTGGACTCGCAAAGTTCTGTTGTGAATACCTCCCCTGTGCATTCAGTCAGCGATGCCATTCTCACCGCTCTCGACACCTACCCCGATCCTGTCGATGCCCTCGTTTCCCTTCGACCAGAGCTCGCCCAAGAGCTAGCCGAGCCACGTCTTCTCCATGTCTTTGGTCATGACATGCCGCAATGGATGACCGAGGGTGACAAATTGCGCCTTCGCCGGAAAGGTCTCAAGTTCAAGGACATTACCGACTATCAAGAAGAGGTGGACGTATCGTGGGCAGGCAAGGCTCACCTTCCCGAGCTCGCCCATCAATCACTTGTCAAACCGCTGTTTTCCAAGATCTCGACTGACAACATGCGCGACGTGTTGACGCACCTGACTGGTTTCTACAACCGCTATTACGGCGATGTCTACGGCGAGCACAGCGCCCAATGGCTGCACGACCAAATCGCTGACATCATCAAGACGGCGCCTTTTCACACTCATATCTCTCTCGAATACTTCACTCATCCGTTCCCGCAGTCTTCTATCATCGCCCGTTTCGAGCCGAAGGTCCGCAACTCTTCGCTTCCCCAGACAATCATCGGAGCGCACCAGGACTCAGCCAACTATCTCTTCCCCTTGTTACCTGCCCCTGGCGCCGACGACGACGGCTCCGGCACTGTCAGCATCCTCGAAGCCTTTCGAGTCCTCGCCCAGTCCGGGTTCGTACCTAAGAATGGGCCTGTCGAGTTCCACTGGTATGCTGCTGAAGAAGGAGGGCTGCTCGGCAGTCAAGCTATCGCGCGCGACAAGAAGCAACAAGGTGCTAAGATCGGCGCGATGCTCGAGTTTGATATGACAGCTTACATCGCACGAAACTCCTCCGGTGAATCGATTGGCATGATCAAGACAGATGCGGACGATGCGTTGACTGCTTGGGTTATCTCGTTGAGCAAGGAGTACATCTCCATTCCTGCCGCCGTATATAGCTTATCACCGGGAGCTGGCTCCGACTACATGTCGTTCACCCAGAATGGATTTCCGTCCGCATTCGCATCCGAGGGCAACCCCTTGGCCAACGATCGCTTCCCTGGAGACTTTGACCCTTATGTGCACACCTCCAAGGATACCCTTGATGTCGACGATGAACATGGCTACTTCTCATTTGATGCAAGTCTCCACGCTCCTTTCAATAATCACTGTTACTGACACGTTCGCATAGCATATGGCGAGGTTTTCCGAGCTAGCCATCGCATTCATCATTGAACAGGCTGGCTGGGATAACACCTGGCGGTAATTTGATGATAATGCACTGGCATTGAGTCCTAAACGTCATCCATTTACTTACGCCGTAATTCTAGTTATACCATGCTTGATTCGACTATTGGCGTACATGTTTATATACGCCGGCTGAAGCTGGGACCTCACGGTAGATACTTAACTCAACGATCTGAATAGACTAGTTACATATTTTCTGAGACATGGTGCATTTTCACCAAATATGCCCACCCCTATGCATTATTTAGACGAATTTCACGAATGAGTCTAATCCAATGCAGCCGAACTCATTCCTGCTAGGCATTCGGCTTCATAGGACTACCGCATCAAAAGCCTCAGCATACCTAACCTACAGCAGGTGATTAGATATGTTGCTGACCAACAAGTACCTGGCCATAAGGGCATAGCAGCTGCGCAGTCTTACTGCATAGGAACTGGCATTACATCATAATGCTTGCCGACGAAACGAAGCACGCGTTAGAGCATATAGCTTCATCCACAATGTGCTCGAAAGGCTGCTCCTAATCACGATCGAGTATACTGCAGACAAATCATAGACAGGCCCACACTGACATGCAGCCAGAAGGGCATAATCTTCACAGCTTCCGACGCCGAAGCCCCTCGCAGAGCTCAACCCAAGACAATTTCAGCTGCACACTAGTCTCACATAGAATTCTATTTTGCGTTAGATGATTTTCGTTATCCACCCGAGATGGCAATTCATGACAGTAGTACGGGACGATCCGTTCGTCGATTAAAGCTAATTCTTACCAGCACTGCTTGCTATTGGCTTGCATTTCGGCATGCTCTAGGCAGTATGTAGAAAGGTACATCAATAGCTCTCTGCGGTCCACTTGCACATCACGTCTCTGCTTCACATCTCATGCTCACAACTATCCATGAGACCCGAAGACAGATTACAAACTCAGTTACCGACAAAACTGTACAGAGATACCAGAGCTCACTACACTACCACGCATCAGAGTAAATCACGCCGTCTGTCTCGTCAAATAAGTCACGGTCCCGAGGTCAGATGGTTTACTGTAGCCGACGTGGCTCTCGCACCTGGGTGACACTAAGTCAGTTTACGTAGTCTTGTTCCGACTTAGTGAAATAGACAGCAATTTCCAAAACGGCAGTTGTGGGTATTCCGTATGAAAATCGTTACCATGTCTGTCAACTTAGCATCGTGAAGCGTCGAGCCGCTCGATGCGGCATCTTTCTTGGGCTAGCTTGCTATTGTTGATCTGTACGTTAGCCTATGACATCTGTGGCACTACCCATGGCGCCGGTACGTCGATCATAAAGTGTAAAAGATATAGAGCTTCTCTAAGGTTGCTGGCGGTATGTCTCGCTTTTCGCCCTCCGTTGAGAAATCAGTCCATAATCGTTAATCTACTGAACAGTGATATTTATTCCCTTATTTTTTTTTGGGGGTTGACTGAATACTACACAATATGGAGAAAAACAACGGCGAGAAATCACCGAATCAGTCTAACAATGAGCAGCGCCGTTTGCCTAGATCCTTACGTGCTCTGAGAAATTCAGAAGATGCGAAGAATCATCCTCGAACCCTTATAATCTGCCTCGATGGTACAGGTGATCAGTTTGACAATGATAACAGCAACATCGTCCATTTTGTTTCGTGTCTCAAAAAACACACTCCTGATCAACAGGTGACATACTATCAGTCTGGCATCGGCACTTACGACAAGGGAGGTTTGCAAGATGGCATTACTGCAGCTATGGATATGGCAGTTGGCAGCGGGCTCGGTGAACAAAGACCAACTTAACGTTTCGGTATTCGTCTACTAATATCGACCTTAGGAATTCATGTCAAGGACGCATATAGATTCTTAATGCAAAATTACCGTGAGGGTGATAAGATCTGCCTAATAGGTTTTTCTCGAGGCGCGTACACGTAAGCTTAAACTGCCTAGCTCTGCCTTCACGCCGGGGCTTTCCTGCTTACCAGTCTTTCTGCAGAGTTCGATGTCTCGCTGGAATGATTCACAAAGTCGGCTTGTTACCATCTAGCAATGTATCCCAGATCAATTTCGCCTATGACTTTTACAAAGACGATTCGAAGAATGGAGAATATCTCGCCGCGGAGTTTAAGAAAACGTTCTGTACCGAAGTCAATGTGTACTTCCTTGGGCTTTTCGACTGTGTCGCCAGCGTCGGCTTCTTTCCCCGCAAACTCCCATTTAGCAAGACAGCCACAAATACAGTTCACTACTTCCGACATGCCATGGCCCTAGATGAACATCGGGCCAAGTTCAAGGTGTGCCACTGGGAAAACAATGATTACGGCGACGCATTTAATATGAAGCGCCGCGAGACAGTCGACCTGACACCGAAAGCTCGCCTGCGTAATCGCTTCAGGCGACAGAAGATGCCTGCTGGGATGGGTGGCAAGCAATCAAAAAGAGCTGCAAATAGGAATCAAAGCGATGATTCAAGCGATGACGGATGGGACCAGAAGTTTCAGGCTCAGGAAAAGGCGAACAACCGCTATCGAGAGATCACCACGGACGCTCTTGAAGTGTGGTTCATGGGCGCCCACGCGGACATCGGTGGCGGGGCCGTCCGGAACGAGAGCCGTCACATGCTATCCCGGATCCCCCTGCGCTGGATGATCCGCCAATGCTTCGAGTGCAACACGGGCATCTTGTTCAACATGGCGCGCTTGGCGGAGCAGGGTCTCGACGTGGTGAATCTCTGGCCCGAGTACCAGGAGCCCAGCAAGCCTACGTCGCCGCCGCCGCCGCGTCTCATGACGAAGTACCGCAAGGAGATCCTCGCGCCGGTCCAGCGACGCTCGACGTTCTTGCCGATCGGCCCGGAAGGACATACTATTGACGATGCGCCGACGCGGGAAGATCTGAATTATATCCTACCCTCCGAGCACGACGAGAATCACTTCGACGCCTTGCAGCTTCCGAATGATATGCTGAAGATTGCGAAGGGGTGGTGGATACTTGAGCTGTGGCCTGTGAAGATGCGCGTCTTGTCGAGCGATAAGGAGGGCTGGGAGAAGAAGGTCCGGGTCAATCTGGGGAGACACAGGGCTATTCGCCATCCGAGGCCGAATATGCATTGGACTGTGCAGAAGATGATTGATGAAGGGAAATACGAGCTTAAGACGCGGCAGGTTAATGGGACTAAGGTAAGTCTATCCTCAAGTTTGATTATTTCTTGTATATGGGGGCATTATAGGGCACGTCCCCCCCGCGAGTCAAGTCCAGAGGGTGTCGGTACTCTGCGCGGATTTCTCCTAATGCTCTTATACGGTTCCGTGGATCAATTACTAACTTCTGCTCATAGTGGTGCGAAGTCGTGTGATGACGTCTTGTCGAGACGCTGGCGGTTAGAAGTCATCGGCGTATTGGCGATTTGCATATTGTTACCACCGTTGGGGGAGCCAGCCAATCGTTTACCTAATTACCATATATATCAAATATGAAAACCCAGCATTCGCTAATGTAATGGTATTGAACGCCCCTATGAAAGCTTGATTCCTTACGAGAGCTTGGCTCTCTACAATCGTTTATCTGGTCGCCTGACAATTGGAATGATCGTGTAAATCATGTACACACCTTATTATGGTCAACGGAGTTTGGGGGTCGGCTAAGTTCACTGGTCACCAATAGCTATGCTCACAACGCCCCGGACTACATTCCATGGAAGCATGGCATTCAGTTCTGTGATGTCTGGAGTGTCAGCTAGTTAATTCAATGCTGAGTTCATATTGCTCCTCTCATGTAGCAAAACTTCCCGTCGACCTACATAACTCGGAACCTAGATAGGCGCCTGCCTCCAATATTCTCATCAAGCTTGGCTCTGCATCTTCCCAGAATGTAAGTCCGTACATGTGGATTGCATCACCAAACAATACCTACATACCTATTTTCATGTGCATCTATCTATCTGCCTTTACATCGTCACTGCTACACCCTAGCACCTGGCATCACAGCACCAACAGGTGTTTGCGTATGTCAGCAAGCAGGGCAGCACTCTACAAACCAAACAAGCCAAACTAGGACCAAGCACATGTGCAACTGGGAGTACTTAGGTACCTGGAAGGTGATAGGTGTCTGAGGAAGCTGATACTTGCTGAATACCGACCTAAGTATGTACACATTTACCTATCACAGGAGCACTGGAATGGACAGTAGTACACATGTAGGCATCGATGTGATATAGGTACCTAGGTGTCACTGTCATTGCTATGAGGAATTCGGAGGGCAGAGTTCTCTGTTCCAGTGTGCTAGGTATATGAGAAACAGGCATGCATATCTACACCTGGTAGGTACAGAGAGCTGTCGAGGTGTTTGCATCGTGTACCTACCTACATACATACATACATACCTCTTGATCTGTAGTTTGGGAAAGACCAGCTGCATGTCAACAAAATCAAAGTGCCCAAGTAGTTTCCCGTCAATGCCATGCAAACCAAGTAAGTACTCAGGTACCTGTAGAGAATCACATCTACACCTCCTCTGCTCCTTCCCTCTGATAAAGACGTGGCGCCTGCTTTTTCATTCTCTCGGCCTTTTCCCACCCTCCCCCCTCCTCTATCAACCGGACTTTACTTCACTCTTCTCTTCTCTTTCCACCGCATCTCCCTCTTAGGACCATATAATTACTTTCGACTGTGTATCTTACGCCAGACTTAGCTTGGCTACGATTCTTTCCGAAGTCTCGCTCACGATATTTTGGTCTCGAGATGCACCTATAGTCTATTCCAGTTTGTGTCACTTTATTGATGTCCGTTTGCGCAGTCCTTCGATTCCCACGTTGGCCACCGTCGAAGCTACCAAGCTTCGACTCACCTTATAAGTACGAAAGATTCAGTCAGTATGTCAACCCATTTTCAACGTTGCTTGTGCCTCATCACAGTGCCACTTATACAAGTCACTGCTCATGACTGAAGGTAGCTAACTGTTCTGAAGTGTCCGGCAGTATGGAGCAGCAACCCCCCTTCACGGGGGCTGAGTTGCAGGTAACAATCAAACCAACAATTCTGGACCCATTCATACAACTAATATGCTGACTGGTATATAGGAAGAGCTCGAGATAATTCAAAAACATGTAAAGTTTGATTATTCGGAACGAAATGATGTTCCAGAATGGCAAACGTTTCCTGAAATCCCGACGGCTCAAGACCTTAATCCCAACTGGGATGACCCGGCCGACTTGGAAAAGGTCCATAGTTTGTTGCCGAACAATTGGCAGTACCCTTTCCCAGACAAGAATACCTATCTTGAAACACACTATCGCCTCCAGCGTGAAGAGGCAATTGCTATCCTAAGATACTCTGTTAAAAAGTGTCGCGAACAGCCTAACATGCTAGATGACGATGAGACGTGTATTTACACCAAGGTAAGACTTCGGTTTCTTTCATCAAAGTCTGTAGACCTTGATAGGCTGACAATGTTCGACCCAGGTCTACGTCCAGGGCTATCTAATGACCCGATTGGGGCCAATGTGTCGCATTCAGTTCTCTACGGAGAGGGCAGGGAAGAAGATTCGTTGGAACCAAACCCGCCGCTTAACCACCGGGGCTCTTGTGGCCATCTCTACTGCCGAAGACGGCTTTAAAACAATTTGTATGCCTGCGATCGTCGCCGACCATCAAATCCAAGATGGGCTAGATCGACGACCGCCTACAATCCAAATCTTCTGGGCCAAAACAGATGACGCTATTTTGGACCCTACTAGGGAGCTGATAATGCTCGAAAGTCGTTCTGGCTACTTCGAGGCCGTACGCCATTGCATGGTCGGTTTACAGCATGTTGCCGGCGATGACACTCCCTTAGACAAGTACCTCGTGAGCCTTGACCAGAGTGACTTAGCAGCCCGTTACGTTCAGGAGAATTCCCGGATGAACATTGGTTCCCTTGCCCACCACATACCAGAATCTTCTGCTTTGACTGGAGAAACTGCTCGCCAGCACCTTTACGAGAAGAGGGAGTCACTCAAAAATTATGAGATTCTTGATGGTATTGATGATGAGATATCTACCTACACAAATCTCGACAATTCTCAGCTGTCTGCTGTGCATCGCATCCTCACAAAGGAGCTAGCTATCGTCCAGGGCCCTCCTGGAACGGGAAAAACCTTCACTTCGGTCCAGGCTCTGCAGATCTTGCTAGATAGCCAACAAAAACGTGGAAAGAATGTCATCGTAGTCGCCGCCCAGACCAATCACGCTGTCGACCAGATCATATCCAAGCTGATCGACTTCGGATTCAATACCGTCCGTTTAGGCGGCCGTACGCAAAGTGAGAAGATCAAGTCGTATAGCTTATATAATCTGCGTCGTCGGGTTATGCCAACCCGATCGAGCGTAGACAGGGACTACAGAACGCTTGACGCAGCTCGGAGACGAACTATCACACGGGTTGAAGATATCGTAGCAGGCATCTTCTCTGATGACTTAATCGATCCACAGGCTCTCCTAGCGGCGGGCATCATTACACAGAAGCAGTCAGAGTCTCTATTAGCCGAGGACGGATGGGCTTGCGCAGAGCCTGATGAAGACTCGTCTTGTCCGCTATCTCAGTGGCTTGGTGACCAACGAGTGGAGGCCCCATCTATGGACATGATAGATCCCGACTTTGATACTGACGAAACCGACGAAGCAGCGGACTTCGACGCTGAAGATTATGATATAGAGTTGGATGACTGCATTGCCGACGATGACGAAAGCAAGGGCAGGGTTGAGGGCAGATGGGTGCCAATCAAGTATCAATGGACTGGTGCAAATCCTCGAAATTATACCGAGGCCGACCTAGTTATTCGTAAAGAGCTCAAGCGAGACAATCTATGGGACGTCAGCCAGCAATATCGCGGTGCTATATACCAGTACTGGCAACGGGAACTGTTGCGTCTTCGTTGTGCCGAGTTTCGTGCTGAGCTAACAGCAAACGCTCGAATATGTCGAAACTTGAAGGCCAATAAATGGCATAAAGACTTACGGTGCATTAAAATGGCCGAGATTGAGATCATCGGTTGCACCACAACTGGCCTGTGCAAGTACCGTGGGTTACTTGCCGCCCTCAAACCACGAACAATGCTTATCGAAGAGGCTGCCGAGACCAAGGAGGCCAATATTCTCTCGGCTCTATACCCATCGCTCCAACAGCTCATCCTAGTCGGCGATCATCAGCAACTAGCACCTTCATGTGATACTCCCTCCCTGGACGAGGCTCCGTATCACATCCGAGTTTCGATGTTTGAACGGCTTGTGAAGATGGATATGCCATATACAATGCTCAATATGCAACGTCGAATGCATCCTGATCTAAGAGAGGTACTCAGTCCATTCTATCCAAGTTTGCAGGACCACCCGGTAGTCCAGCGGCCAGGTGCTCGCCCAGGCATACCAGGCATAGCTCAGCAGTCCTTCTTCTTCCATCACACCTGGAGCGAGAGTACAGATGAGAATTTCAGCAAGTTCAACATTCTAGAAGCAGAAATGATTGTTCGCTTCATTGACTATCTTATTATGAACGGCGTCAAAGGGACTGAAATAACTGTCTTGACATTCTATCGAGGACAGCGGAAAAAGATCCTCAGCGAATTCAGAAAACTGAAGCATCGAGAGCCTTTCAAGAATGTTCAGACAGTTGATTCTTACCAAGGCGAGGAAAACGAGATCGTTATACTATCTCTAGTTCGCAGTAACGGCCCAGATGGACCACACAAAGCCGGGTTTCTTCGGGACAGCAATCGCGGCGTCGTCTCCATAAGCCGCGCTCGCCGTGGGTTTTATGTCTTCGGCAACATGATCAACCTATGGGAGGCGTGCAACGAGTCACAGGTGATGTGGGGACAAGTCTATGAAGTCTTTCGCCGCCAGCACCGGTTCAGTTATGATGGAGGATTTCCCATCACTTGCCAGAAACACGGGAGAACTACCCTGATTCACCATCCTGATGATTGGATCAACAATCATGGAGGCTGCGAAGAGCCCTGCCCTGATAAACTTGAGTGCGGTCACGATTGTGGCCTCCGTTGCCATTGGTAAGTTTACTTGCTCCGGTTTTGGTGTCGATCCCTACTTTCTCTTAGATGTTGGTTCTCTTCATAGTTGGATTCTAATTGCTCTGTTCAGGACTGAACACAATCGATTGATCTGCATGAAGCCTTGCGAGAAGGTACTGAGGTGTGGTCATGGTTGCGAACTCCATTGTGGGGCCAAGTGCCAATGTTCATGTGCTGTCTTTACCGGTGCATATCCCAATGATGAAGCATGGGATGACGATAAAGCCCTAGGCGAGCCCGCCCGAAGCGCGATGGTCTCAAGAGAGCCAACTGTTCCTTTCATCGGGAGAGATGGACGTGTTGGACGAATCCGCGGGAGCCGCAATGGGCCACGAAGCCATCGAGGTGGTTCCGTGCTTGTTGGAAGATCAAACTGGGCGATTGAGCCCAGAGGTTCTTTGGTAAGACCACACATACCATCAGGCCTAAATTGGGCAAACTTTAACGCTCGGCAGCACGACGAAGAGCGACGAAAAGAGAATCGTCAATCTGCAGGGCTAGCATCTTCCAATCCACTCCATCCCGGTCCGTTCGGTGATCAGGCTGCCCCTGATATGATGAGTCCCATTCAAGAAACTTTCCGTCAAGTTACGTTGAGCCCCCATGGTAAGCGTAATGTTCAGAAGGGGGCTGTGTCCGATAAGAGTGGGACACCGTCGCCTGAGAAAGCGAACAGCAAATCATCTGGAAATGCCAATGCACCTGAGCGCACTGGACATGCAAGAGGTTCTTTAGGCTGTGACGATGCTGTGCGTGCGGAAGACTTGGTGTATCTGGATGCAATACAGCCACAGACCTCAGGTCGTCAAGCCGTGCCCAATGGGCCATCTCCTTCGTATACCTTAGCCAACTCTCACCACTTCATGGCGAATCAGGAGATTCTATCTCGAGTTCGTGGCCAAGACTATACCACTGTGAGGAATGCTAGGATGATTGGTGTGGCGGAAAACAGAGCTGAATGGGAGGATTCCAGCACGGTGTGCGATGGGCGAGATGGCAACGCTAATCGGACTGAGGGAATTGAGGAGATTGAGGGAAACCTCATTGAGCTTTAGGTGCCGATTGTGAGGAATGTGTGCTTCACTGTGCTACACAGCTTGCTACGTGATGTTATAGAAGAAGTCATACTTTGCATGATTCTGGCACTTCTCTCACCTGGGTGGTGATGATAATGACGATTGTATCATGGTTAGCTATCCTAGCTAGGTAAAAGAACCAAAAAGGTTAAAAAAGAGAATGCAATGAAGATTGATATCTCAAAATTAATCCCTTCTAGAATATGTCTTCTTGAAAGTACAACGGAGTACTTAGTCGTGGCGATCGGAAATGTGAATATGGCTCTAGATTTGGCTGACCAATTAGAATGACGATCCCACTAACGCGACATCGCGCATCCCTCTCGCACCGATCTCCACCGATATCCGTCAGTGTGCCTACACAGTCGATGCTTCAAGCGCCTGAGCTATTCAGTCAAACGCAAGTTTTCCCCCGAATCTCGAAAGTTCTGCCTTGCACTGCCTTGCAGTTCAGCAGAACCTTAATTCCGCCAGCCGCCGCCGAGCCCACAAAGTAAACAAGTTCCCAACACAAAACACATCGACATGACACGCACTCGTTGGAACAGCTTCTCCTCCACATCTACATAACACGATCCAACGCCGCCTAGCCGCGCCTTTTCGCAACACACCAGCGCCAATAAACGTCTTCTTGTCGCACCAAATTCCTACAGCACTACATATAACCATATAATATTAGTTGAAAATCCGCTCTTCAAATGGACGACTTCGCACGAGACTCAAGCGTCAGCTCCGAGAACGAGCATGACCACGATGACGATATCGCCATGCAAGACGTTGATGCCGAGGAAGACAATGATAACCCGGACGCGGACGAAGATGACGAGAATGAACCTGACAATGACCACGACAATGACGAAAACAACGATAATGATAATGAAGACGAGGAAGACGATGATCAGGAACATCAAGAGGCAGACGAGTCGCAACAGCAGCAGCAGGCGCAACAACAACAGCCGCCCCAGTCTGCGTCGCGCAAGTCGGCATCACCTGGAGAACAGTCTACACCACAGTGGCAGCCAACCATCCGCCCCGAAGTTCTTACAGCCAGGACCTATGATATCGTGCCCACCATGGCCGCGCCCATGGCTACAAGCATCAATGCTATCGCTATCACCCCCGATCTGCGCTATTGGATGACTGGTGGAACAGACGGTTATATTAGGAAATATGACGGCCCGGCCACCATCAACGGCCGCACGCTTTTGACCGTAGCCCAGCGGCATCCCTTCGTTGACTCGGTTACCAAAGCTGGCGTGCTCATGTCTTACTGGGAGAATGCTGAGCCACAGTCCTCTACTGCACGCCAAGAAGACCTTGTTCTCAGTCCCGTCTACAGCTTGGCGGTACAATCGCAAGCGCTGTGGCTCCTTTCCGGTCTTGAGAGCGGAGGAATCAACCTACAAAGCGTCCGTCACGACGAAGGCAAACGCATCACGTGTTTGCAGAAGCACACAAATGCCGTCAGCGCTCTCACCCTAGCAGCTGATGAAAAGAGCGTCCTCAGTGGTAGCTGGGACAAGAACATCTTCGATTGGGATCTCAACATAGGCGCCGTATCGAGGCAGTATAACGAAAGCAGTAGTCAAATCTCGGCCATCGAGCTTCGGCCTACGAGCGGCGCGCCCATCCCACCCGAGGCAAGTGAGGAGATATTTCTCGGCAACACTTTCTCGAGCAACAACGGCTACCCGACAGCGGGTAATGACCTCGACTTCAAACTGGAAAGCCAACTCAGTGGCGACATTAAAAACGAGATGAACAGCTTCGAGGTCAACGGACACTCCGCACAAGCAGGAGATGTTCCTCATGACGCGGCGGGTGGCGCCGACAGCCCCGCGCATGATAGTCTGTTCGGCGGCAGTCCAGGCGGCGGTTCCGATTTATTCGGTGATAACGATGGCATGGGAGGTTTCGGAGGCGACGACGACAATGAATTCTCCCGCGCCATGATGCAAGACTCAGCACAAGACAACATGCCCATGGGCGACTACAACGTGGTGGACTCTAATTTCAATCCCGAGAACGGCCCGGCACCCGCCGTCCAACCTCTCTCAGAGTCCCAGCAACAAAATGGCCCCGATGCACCCATCGATATCACAGACCCCAACATGGCCAGCCTTCACATGACAAACGGAGATATGTCCACCTCAATACCAGATCCCACGGCGCCAATAACAGCCGACTCCTTCTCCATGGACCATCATCCACAGACAGACTTCTCAACAAATCAAGAAGGCGACCTAGCCCCGCCGCAATCCCCATCCGCAGTCTTCGCGGCTCCACCGCCCACACACCACGACACAACGCAGACATCGGACAGCACATTCCTATCGGCCTCGATCGACGGACCCATCCGGATCTGGGACCGCCGCATGCCGAACCCGGTCGCGCGCATCGGGAACCGCCCCGGCGTGCCGCCGTGGTGCATGGGGACCTGCTGGTCGCCGGACGGCAACTGGATCTACGCGGGGCGCCGCAACGGCACGGTGGAAGAATTCAGCATCGCCAAGGCCCGCGCCGGATGGCAGCCCGAGCGCGTGCTCAAGTTCCCCGGGGGCAGCGGCCCCGTCTCCTGCTTGCGCCCGATGCCCAACGGACGCCATCTCGTCTGCGCCTCGCACGACATCCTCCGCCTGTACGACCTCAAGAGCGATAGCGCCGCCGCCAAGCATGCGCCGCCGCCGTTCCTGATCATACCCGGCCCGCCGCGCGCGGGCGTCATATCCAGTCTGTATGTCGATGCCTCGAGCAGGTTTATGATTAGCGCCGCGGGGAATAGAGGGTGGGAGGGCTCGTGCACGGAGGTGCTTATTGGGTATGAGATTAATGTTCCGTGAGGAAAAGGGATGGATAAGATTGGGGGTTTTTCTCTCTCTTTTTTTGGTTTGTTTTTGTTTGCTGGGAAGGAGGGGGTTTTGAGAGGAGAGGAGATGATCTTGTGTTTGAAGCGGGAAAGTGAAAGCGAATCAGCAAAGGGAAAGAAAGAAGGGTTGTCGGGGATAGTATTGCTGCGATTGTCTTTTCTGGATCTGGGTATCGAGAGAACTGAGGATGATTATTGTTTGGGATATGGCTCTCTCTCTGTCTCTTTCACTATGCTGATTGCTGATGAATACGCGCTTGGAGATGGATATTTCATGGGTGGAAGGGGTGGAAGGGGTGGAGGATTTTACTCTCACCGGCGCTATTGGGATTTTTCAAAGATGGAGTTGGGGAATATGTGTTCTGCATCTGTTTCTTAGATGGTTGATACCCTCGTATTACACTGTTTGGCGTTTTGGGTTTGGACAATTTGATTTGGGCGATTTACATTTATTTCTACAGATCGTCCGGGTTTTGAGAATCTTAATGGGAAGGATATGTGTTTTGCTAATGGGTGGAGCATAATTACGATTGAATGGGGTTATTGATGTGCATGTGATATTCATCGGGAAAAAGATGAGAGGACTAAGTTACGATTGAGAACTTGTTTGGTTCATTAGGTGTTACTGATTATATACGTAATAAGATATTAATATGGAGGTATATATGTTTCAATTCATGAATGGTTAATTCGTGGTATACGTAAGGATATCATACATTGACGTGCAATTAGATATACAAACCGCAATACGTCCTGGATGATTATGAATACATTTCCTTCCATGCTTGATACAATTATATCCTGGGATTACCACCTTCTGTTTTCACACCACATTTCCGATTCTTCGCGCATCCTTTTTAACCAGCCTGGTAGATCGTCACGGCGTTGACGAAGGGGTTCAGCATGGTCAAGTTGAATGGGGTCACGGGTAGCTCGCGGTCGGTGAGGACCAGGAACATGGTGCCGTTGATGGCTGGGTCGCCCTCGTACGTCGACATGTTGGGCTGTATCGTGTAGGCCGTGTTCCCGCTGATGTTTTGCAGCGGCGAGTATGTGACGTTGAGCTGGGAGACCCAGGCGGCGAACTGGGGCGGCCCGGCGGACGTGGACGTCACGTAGCTGTTGTTGGGGCCGACGGCTTGGCCTGGCGCGTCCCATTCGAGGAACACTTGACGTCCGGGATACGAGAGCGGGATGGTCCTGTTGCGCGAGATAGCTGCCCTGCAGTTCTCGCCTACAACGGTCGAGTTGAGGCAGGCGTCGGAGTCTGTGAGATCCGCCGTGCTTAGAGTGTTGGCGTAGTCGCCGAGCGTCTCATTCCACACGTCCGCGCCATTGATGCGCGCCGGGTTGGGCTGGTTGATGACGTGTAAGGCTGGGAAGTTCTGCCAGATCAGACGAGTCTGGTCCGCTGGGCACGACGAGATATAGGGTGCCAGGAGAGTCCAGGCCCACGATTGGGGAACTCCAATCTCGAACCATACGGGCATCGGAAACAAGCCTTCGAACTGTCGGAATATCAATTGCTGCCGAGCCTCTGTTGAGATGGACTGCAGAAGCAGCTGGGCGGATTCACGCGAGTCGAGGTGATTAAGGAATCCGTATACGCCAGACTCGCCCCATCGGGTCAGCTTCTGGGAGAAGTCGACGTATTCCTGCAGATTCATCGACGGGTAGTTGTAAGTGCACTGCACGGGGGCTTGAGGGCCTAGTATATTGGTAAGGACGGTCGCGTGCCCAACCTCCTGCTCGGCCATGAATTGTAGTAGATATCGGTCCTCAGCCGTCAAACCGAGTTTCTCAAACTCCTCGACTGGATAAGTGGCCAGCCCGTAATGGAAGAGGTCCAACTCGATCCACTCTTGGTACAGCGCCAAGGCGATGGACTCATAGTCGAAGTCACTCTGCACACGATATACGGGCTCAGTGCCGTTGGTGCCCAGCCCGCCGGCTGGCGTGTACGGCGCTGGCTCAGGGGCATGCAGCTTGCCGTCGGCGGGATATTCCAACTTGTACTGCTCAGGAGGCAAAGATGGGATGGTAGGAGAAAGGACGTCTGTTGAGAGGGCTCCTGTCGTTGTTGGGGGCGGTCCCGTGTATGATCCATGGGAAGTCACATCTGTGACTGGGACGTCACAAGCTGTCGCCGCCGGATCGGAGGTGACTGTTGTCTCAGGCTCTGAGACAAGGGGCACAGCGCGGCAGTGAGAAGCTAGGGCCAGGGCCAAAGTGCCCGAGCGTGCTAATGAGTTGAACCATGCCATGGTGACAATTCACAAGACGGGTGAGTTGGGTGTATGAGGAAAGGGTAAGATTTAGTGAGACGAGGAGGAAAACACCATGTTATATACATAATATGACCGCTGCCATCATAGCTACATACCTATCGCGCTACCCAAGAGCAGCCTTGCTCTAAGGGCTGTCTGTGTGCTATTCGAAGCTCGAGAGTCATAGAGACCGCAAGGGGGGAAACACGGCTACAATTACGACCAGAGATACTGGGTTATTGGGGGCCCAGCTATGGCGAGACATGTACCGGATCATTAAGCTGTTTAGCACGGATATTCCTCCGTGATGGTTACGTCGATGTGGACCGGTCAATATAAATGATGACGAGCATACGCCATCTCAGGGCCATGACGAGGTGTGGTCGTGCTTGAGGTCCTAGTTAGCACCGTAGATGCTAATCTTTCATATTCTCAAAGTTGACCCTAAAAGGAAATCTAGAGTAGTCTAGGTCTCACATGCTGAAAAGCCTATGAGGTTCTGCTCTCCGGGCCAAAAAGGTGCGTGAGATGAGCGAGTATATCCCTAACCTGGCGGATATGTCCTTATGCTTACGTGAACATGACCTCTCGGGCGTGTTATGTGGGTTTGTCGTTCGGTAGTGGTTACGGACACCAAAACAGATTGGGAAACTCTCATGTTTGCAAGTAGCTCTGGGGCATTTTACGTCGATATCTTGATGTAGATGGATGCCAGACTACGATGAGTAGACAGGGACTGGGGACGATGGACTTGGTTCGCATTGAGTACTAGCATCGCGAACCCAGTATATACGTAGATTACCTAACGTCACGATTAGGCAGGCCGTGGCCGTCGCGTTGGGCGGGCTATTCTGTCCGGGATTGGGGTCGAGTATCGCGAAGGCTCATGAATCATTACTTGTCGTGGTCGTCTCGGCAGCGGTCTTGATTAGCGCATCATGACGGGTACTTATTGGCTCCGCAGTCTGCCGTGTGCGTAGAAGGCATACTGGATTCTAGCCAGGTATATAAGTATATGGGTCGGGCGTATATACGGCCTCGAGCGAAAGCTCGGAGTTAGTTGCCCCTGGATAGCAGGTAGGTAGATGGAATGGTATTGCACATAAGAAGTGACCTCTCCCCAGCGAGGGTTTTCGTGATAAGAATAACTGCACCAGAATCGCAGATACGAACGTCGCCCTAGAGTGGGCTAAAAATGCAGTGCATCCCGATTCCCGCGCTTTCGGAATGAACGAGGTTGCTCGCTTTATTGGCTGCCGAGGCTGCTTTAGTAGAACAATGCATCCCAGATTTGGCTGTCCTCAAGATCTTGTGGGAGTCTTCCAATTGTGAAGGGGTCAAGCAGATGGCATGGAACTGAGCGGTCTGCAGCACTTTACGAACCATTTCTATGGTCTCATTTTTTTTTCACTCTGGTCTGGCCATGTGCAACCCTCCGGCCGGACATATACTTCTCTCTGTATGTGTAGGTCGACATTAGTAATCTGTTAGATATCCATCGCAGCAACGACATTTCACATCACATTCTGCTGCTCATGAAGCTTTTATGAAGCGTGTCGGCGACAATGCTACGAATCCCATCCTCTTACCTCTAATCCACAGCGGTATCGTGAATTGAGACTTATCTCAGATATGAGGTATGTACACATGCAATGCCGGCAAGTCGGAGCCATCTTAGTCATGTTCGACAAAACAAGGGATGGATCATCTACAATGTCCAACGTCCCCCTCCTTCGCTCGTCTTTTATAGGAAGGTAGGAGCTGCAATATGATCGTGCCTCGCATCACTGTGGGGATGCAACGACCCGAGCGTCGCATTGCATCTGCATATATACTCTGCTCTGCTCTCGGTGTAGAGGGGAGTATCGGTCCATTATTCGCTGTGCAACCTCTGACGGTAGCATTTATATAAGGAATGCGTGTGTTCCAGTCAAACTCCATCTAGAAATAGTACGATTAATTAGCACGATAGAAATCGTGGTGTGTGGCATATCTAGGCATCAGGATGGCGAAAGCATCGTGGGCTTCCCCGCAATCTGCTGCCCCTCGCTACCTTTCCCTCTTCTTCTTCTTCCTCATAACGCCCCCCCTCGCAGCTCTGGGTGCCGAGGACAGCAGCATCCTCCGCTTCGTAGACCCCCTCATCGGCAGCACGAACGGAGGCAATGTTTTCGCGGGCGCTACGAGGCCCTACGGGCTCGCGAAGGCCGTCGCCGACGTCGACGGCCAGAACACGGGCGGGTTCTCCACCGACGGGTCGAATGTCAGGGGTTTCTCGGCCGTCCACGACTCCGGCACGGGAGGCAATCCGAGTCTAGGCAACTTCCCCTTGTTCCCGCAACTGTGTCCCGACGACGAGGTGAATAATTGCGCCTTCCGCATCGGCGATCGCGCCACGCCGTACGTGGGCAACTCGGTCGCTGCGTCGCCGGGGTATTTCGCCGTCGAGTTGGGGTCGGGGATCAAGACGTCCATGACCGCGAGCGAGCACGCGGCACTGTTCAGATTCGAGTTCCCCGCCGCTGGCGATGGTGAGAAGCAGCACCCTCTGGTGCTCCTCGACTTGACGGATCTCTGGCAATCGCGCCAGAATGCGACCGTCAGCGTCGACGCCGAGACGGCGCGGATGAAGGGCAACGGCACGTTTCTCCCGAGCTTCGGCGCGGGATCTTACGTCATGCACTACTGCGTTGATTTCTTTGGCGGAGAGGTCTTTGATAACGGCGTCTGGGTGAATAATCGTGGTGGCACCGAGCCGAAGGACTTGTACGTCACCCGCGGCTTTAACCTCTTCTTTCTGGAGGCGGGCGGTTGGGCGCGTTTCGATGGGCTTGCTGATAATACTCTGACGGCGAGGGTGGGTATAAGCTTTATCAGCGCCGAGCAGGCGTGTCGAAGTGCTGAGACGGAGATCCCTAGTCCCTTGGATGATTTTGACAGGCTTGTAAAAGAGGCTGAGGATGCGTGGGAAGAGAAATTGAGCCCTATATCTATTAGTGCTGGTGGTGCGAGCGACGAGCTTTTGAAAAGTTGTAAGTGAAATACTACATGGAGTCAATTTTCTTATATGTCTTTTTGATCATACAGCAAAAGGAGACCTTAAAAAGGTGATCTATATGCTATGAGCTACGCAGCTAAGACTAACATGAACGGTGTAGTTTGGAGCGGTGTATATCGAACCATGATCTCGCCGCAGAACTACACAGGCGAGAACCCCAAATGGGACAGCGGCATTCCCTACTTCGATTCATATTACTGCATCTGGGATTCCTTTCGTGTTCAGCATCCTCTCCTAACCATCGTAGACCCGGCTGCGCAAGTACAAATGGTAAACTCACTGTTAGACATATACGAACACGAAGGGTGGCTACCCGATTGCCACATGTCGCTCTGCAACGGGTGGACACAGGGCGGTTCCAACGCCGACGTGGTTCTCGTAGACGCCTACGTCAAGAACCTGACGGGCATCGACTATGAGCTCGCGTTGAAAGCCATCATCCAAGACGCGGAAGTCGAGCCTCTCGAGTGGGCTTTCCACGGCCGAGGCGGGGTGCAGAGTTGGCGGGATCTGGATTATATCCCGTATCTGGACTTTGACCCAGTGGGGTTCGGAACGAACTCAAGAAGTATTTCGAGAACGCTGGAATATGCCTATAACGATTATTGTCTAGCGACGCTCGCACAGGGTCTGGGTCAGACTGATGTCTATGAGAAATACGTGGCGCGGAGCACGAATTGGCAGAACTTGTGGAAAGAGGATCAGACTTCTGCCATTCGGGGTCGAGATACCGGGTTTACCGGGGTATGTTTCTCTTTCTACTGGTTCTCATCTTGAGAAGATGAGTTATCGGCGAAAATCCGCCAGGAATATAGTTTCCCACATTCCACATGTTTATATACAGATGGTGAGTATGTGAGTTACGGCTAACACTGAAAACTAGTTCCCCCAACCGAAATATCAGAACGGAACCTGGGGTTTCCAAGATCCCATCGACTGCTCTGCACTTGCAGGTTTCTGCTCACTGACATCGAACCCGAGCGAGACCTTTGAAGCAAGCGTCTGGCAGTATCAGTTGTAAGTAACATACCCCCCTTTTTACATCTAAAAAGGAATAAAAGACGCTTGAGACTAATGATAATTACATCTAGCCTGGTGCCTCATTCCATGTCCACCTTAATCGAGTACATGGGCGGCGAGGAGAAGTTCATAGACAGATTGAATTTCTTCCACAGCTCAGGCCTCGCAGACATCTCCAACGAGCCCGTCTTCTCGACGGTTTACCTATACCACTACGTCGGACGACCAGGTCTCTCGGCGAAGCGCGTGCACACGTACATCCCCTCGGCCTTCAACGCGACGAACGGCGGGCTGCCGGGCAACGACGACTCCGGGTCGATGGGCGCCTTCGTCGTCTTCGGGATGCTCGGGCTCTTCCCGATCTCGGGGCAGGACGTCTATCTGATCTCGGCGCCGTTCTTCGAAGCTGTGAATATCACGAACCCTGTCACGGGAAGGACGGCGCAGATCAAGACGGTGGGGTTCGATGCCGAGTATGAGAATGTGTTCATCCAGAATGTCACGGTTAATGGAGAGCCGTGGACGAAGTCGTATATTGGACATGCGCTTTTCACGGAGGGGTGGACGTTGGAAGTCGTGCTGGGAAGTCAGGAGTCTAGTTGGGGTACTCAGCTTGAGGACCGCCCGCCTAGTTGGGGCGAGGGTATGAAGATGGCCGCCATGTTGTAGGTATCTCGGCTTATCCAACGCATAACGCAGGAAATATCTGTAATCACCATCATCATTGGTAGTATTGAATAATTAAAGATTATCTGTAATAAATTATCATCATCATTTCTGGCAATTGCGATTGATCAAGGAAATGTAATGTGTAGGTACGCTGAATGCTGAAATGGTCCACTGTACCTGCTGGGACCTGCTACGCCTACAGTGGGGCATCAGCAGATGCTGGGACTCATCTGGGGTGCAGTAGCAGCCTTCAGTGGGCGGCTTCTAGCCAGCGTAGATCATCCTTGTGATGTCACGCCTTTATTTGTCAATTAGGTACCGACCTGTTACAGCCTGGGGCTAACATTTCGTCTCACCATTCATTGAATACCTGACCTGCCTTACATTGATGAAATTTCGGCCGTTTGAAGATCCAGGATACCTTCAATCTCTCACGCGCAAATCAATCGCATCCCAGCGGAAGGAGACAAAATGCTTAGACAACGACGGCAAGTAGGCTTGGGCTCTACGACAACCGCGAGGAAGCGCAAGTTCCCATCTACCTGGGATGAGTATGAGTCTGGTGGCGTGAATGAGGGGGCGATGAACCCCGAAACCTCACCGAAGAAGAAGGCCAAGGGCAAAGAGAAGACGGGGGATGAGGAGAAGCGGCTGCGACGGTGAGAACCGCTTACTTTGGCCCTGGAATTATTGAATGGGCATGAGAAAGAGCTGATACCATCGCCATGAAATAGCTTTCGTGAAAAAGCCCCCGCCAGCTTTGAGGTCATATACCAACGAGCAACCGAGCAACGGTGTGTCCCTGCTTATCTTCAAGTTTCTTCGCCGGTGCTGATCCGACCAGATTCTACGTGCTAAATCGGTCGCGTGGCGGCGATCCAAACTGCCCAGAAGAAGATGTCGAGATCACCGGCTCGACAGGCAACATCTACAACGTGCACGTTGCGCAGGTTCCCACATGCTCCTGTCCGCACGCTCGCAAAGGCAACCAATGCAAGCACATCATCTACGTCAGTCTACGCACCACTCTCACTTTCACCCTCACTCTCATACTTCAATTTCCCCCATCTAACGCAGCCCTCAGGTCATGTCCCGCGTTCTCCGCGCTCGCGCAGACCTGGTCTACCAGCTCGCGCTCCTATCCTCCGAACTGCGCGAGATATTCCAGAATGCGCCGCCAATTGGAATCGGCGAGGACAGCAGTGGCAGTAAAATCCAGGACCCGAATCGCAAGCAGATAGAAGGCGACTGCCCCATCTGCTTCACCCCCTTCGAGGGAGAGGAGGATACCGTGTATTGCCGCGCCACGTGCGGCCAGAACATGCATACAGAATGCTTTCAGATATGGGCTGCGACGAAGCGCCAACACGCCCGCAACGCTATCACATGTCCGATGTGTCGCTCTCTGTGGCAAGACGATGAAGACATGGTCACGAAGATCAAGAACACCGGAATGGCGGGTGCAGATGGGTATGTTAATGTCGCGGATCAGTTAGGTATCAGTGGGGTAAGAGGTACGTGTAGCCCAACTTTATTCAAATCCTTTTGTTTCGCATGGATTACACGACTTATTTGCTAACTGTGGTCAATAGATGTGAGCACTTATTATGACGGTCCGCGCCGTGGTGAAAGGGGCCGCGGTTATTACGGCTCTTGGAGTAATCGGTATAGGTGAAGAATCGAGAGGATCTATTGATTTCTATTTACAAGCCGGGAGCTTATGTCTGAGTGAGGGGTGGAGGCCGCATACATACCCTGTTCTCGGGAAGTGAGATTGCAATTATAGTCCTCCATTATTCGCCTTTACACCCCTTACACTCAGAAGATCTATAGGTTTGAAGATGATTGTAACTACTTCGACTTTGCGATATCATTTCCTCATCACCTCATTTTTGGAAGGCCGAGGGAATTATTGATGTTACGATATCAAATGCTCGGCGGGTTCTCCATAACCAGCGACGAGGTTGATAATCACAGCCCTAAACCATTTACGAGGGATGTGATGAGAGCGCTCGCCTGGAAGTGTTTTACTCTGGAAATGGACCGAGCGAATGGAGATATACTTTGTGCACTATTCCATAGGACATACACTACTCGTACGATATGGACGGGACGAAACAGGACACCTGCGGAGCGTACACACAAGGCGAATCTTACAGAGGCGGATCACACAACTTCAACTTCGTTTTAGTCTGATCAATCTTTCCGTGTCGGGGTGTTGTGTGCCCGGTTAGCTTGTTAGCAACCACACCCAAGCCCCCGACCGTAAAAAACAAAACCAACCTCTCGGATCGACGACCGTCAGGTTGGTTATGAGGACTCAGACATCCATCCCCAGCACTCGATCTTGATCTTTTATCTCGTAAGATTGCCTTGTTAGCAACCGACCGAATCAAGACGATCACAACTTCTTGAATTTTAACCGATTGGCTGGTTGCGTCCACAGCTCCGACGTTACCAATATCTGCAGATACGCCGCGCAGATCCAGCTAAAGGCAAAGGTCACGCTCCATTCTACACTTACGCCGAGTAGCCGTGTCTACTCCTTACACCATCGCATCCGGCTCGGTCGACGTCTAGGGTATGACGGGTAGTATTTTTCCGAGTTTCTGCCCTTCACTGCGCGGCACTGTAGGATCGTACCCTGCACACTCTACCCTATCGCACTGTCCATACCCTCCTCTATCCTGCGTCACATACGTGCCAACCCGTGACTTTGGCTTGGCGACTATCTTGGGTGGGCTATCTGCAGATACGGTAATATATCCGAAACGAACGCCTGAGCTAAATATCCTCGTAAGGATAGTTACTTAGTCTACTGTAGGCTAGGTCTCGTCTATATCGTTCATGCTTTATTGTGGGCGTACGGAACCTCCTGAGGTAGTTATTAGGCAGGTATAGCTAGTCATTTAAGGAATCAAGACATGTCGACAGGATACATAGATATCTAAATAATAGCATGAATGAGAAACAAAAGTAATTATATATATTTATGCAGATGGCACGCAAGTGCCAGAGGTATAATTAAATCTAACTGGAAATTGATTTTGCATTTACTCCCCTTCTAACCTCTCTCCCATAGGATATCCAAACCAGAGAATAGTCCAGAATCACACTTTTCATAGCTATGCTTTATAAGCGACATAACTTAAATATCCCACTTTATCTACCTATTACTGGAAAAGCCATGAAACAGCTTTGTACCCCTTCGCATTCTTTTTCGACTTGAGCTTCCGACTAGCCGGGCCAAGAACATACGCGACCTCGTCGTCGTCGTCGGCGCGGGCATGCTTCCGCGAGCCCTTGGCGGTCGGAGTAAGACTTATCGATTCCCCCGTGTAGGGAGCGGGCGACGGCGTGGCTTTCCAGTTCGACGGGCCCAGGCCTAATTGCATTATGGCCCTGCGCTTGGGACTGGGCCGAGTAGTATCTCTAGCCGGCGATGAGTCCGTGTCTGCTGCAGGTAGCGTCGACGAGGCCTTCCGCTTCGGACTGGGGAAGGTCACGGGTAGGTTGGGCGTGGGGCTTTTAGATTCTCGCCGGGGGAATAGAATCTTTGGGGCCAGAGTCAACTCCGGTATTTGGGAGGCGGGCTTGCGTGGGGCCGAGGGAGAGGGAGTGAGATTATTAGGCTGTCGTTTAAGAGGTGTCGTGAGACCTGTAATCGACGAACTGTTAGGATTGCCCGTGGATGGGTCGACTTTGGAAGAAATTGGCGTGTTTAGTCCGTATGCCGTTTGCGCAGTTCCGGATTTTGGGTTTCCGTCTCGAGTCACCGGTCTTGGCGTCTTGTCGATGGACGAAAACAGATTTAGGGGCTCGGAACTCTTAGAGGCTCTAATATCCTGACTCATGGCCGGAGGTTCGTCGTTGGAATCATCGAGGACTATGAGTGGTGTCGACGCCGGAGGAATCGGAGAGAAAGCAGGGCCCTTGCTTGTGGGTTGGAGCTCGTCGTCATCAGAGTCATCAACAATCACCGCATCCTTACTTCCAACGTTCAGATCGGGTACTAGCTTATGCTGGTTTGGCATAGGAACTGGAGGTGTCCAATCTCTTGGCGGGACAGGCATTGGTGGCGGCGAATCGAGCATAGCAACGTTATTGTCTTCTGCGGGCTGCTCCTCAGGAGGAGCGACATTCTCCAAACCCATCCCGTAATCGGCGTCGTTGTCAGGAAAACCCGTGTGCACATGTGGCCGCTTCTCTGGCTTCATGTTTTTGATATTGACGGGTCTCATCATACTATTGGCGCTCTGCCACGGCCCCGGCCTACCGCCACTGTAGTCTCTTACCTGGTTGACGCATTCTACGGATATCCGAGCCTTGTAGTCCATAGCGCGAACCGCTGCCCAAGCGCACCGCCCCGTCATTTCGGCACGCACGAACTCCTCATTAAACCACCCGCTGAGATCTCTATAGAGATCATCGGGGCTGATGACTCCCTCCTCCAGCTCAAGGAGGCGATCTATCATTTGCTTAGCATTCCAGTAAGCCCGCGGGCCGCACGAGGTGGAGTCTCTCTGTGCAGGGATCCACACGATTTTTGTACTGGAGGGTGAGAAGGAAAAATCTCCAGCCCGGAGAAGCCATTCGCGCAGTCTTGAGCTCACCCTATTCATCGTTGTATTCTTGCGTTCCGGATCTATGACAACCAGATCCTCGACGTGCAACCATTCCGTCGTTCCCTCACGCAAAGCCTTATGCATGAAGACGAGGACCCAGTGCATATCATTTGAGCAAATTGGAAAGATGCTGTACTCCGTTCTTTTAAGATTGGCCAGGGCGCGCTTCATAGGTACCTTAATTGCCATTTCCACGGCTTCGGAACCTTTGGGCCCCTTAGCCCAAAAATCGGGCTTGAGACCTGGAACCCCCAACCCGATCTTGTCTTGCAAAGCCTGCGGCAGGCCGCGGCAATACTCTGCTATAGACGTCTCGATTGCATCTCCATTTAGCCAATTATCCCGGCTATAGTTTAAGCTATTGAGACCGCGGGTATCGGGCCAAAAATTGGGTGGCTCCTTGATCTTGTTAAGCGGGATGTCGATGTGCTCGATTGGGCATGATGGGGAACAAAGGGTTTGCCCACTCCGATAGTGTAGTATGTGACTCATGGGGATGTCGCTCTTCCTAAAGACTCGAACTCGACGGGGTATATATAGGGGGAAACCGAATTTCTATATATTAAAAATATTAATGTCCTCTTGCTTTAGTTGTAGGAACTTTCCAGTTCAGCGGCCCTGCACCCAATACTATGAAATCGCTGCATATAAAGGAGTGCTCAGTAGAGAGAATGGGACACACAGATGAACAGGTGAGTGCAATTTCCCTCTTTACATGAGAGCAAGTCAGTTGGATCAAGTGAAAGTGTTTGTTAGTATGGGAGTTCGAAAACATCAACATCTTCGACGTGCGTGAAACATCAGCTATTAGTTACACATTGAGTACATTGAGGTGTAGTGCAACAAAGGTCTTTGAAGCCAACTGGCTCGAATTGTTCAAAGAGGCCTGTCTCTTTATGAAGGATTCGCTTTCGGATTATTCTTTCACGTTTAGCATCGAGTAGCAGAAGGCGCGCATGCGAAAGATATTTCCCTTTGTTCTGCGGTCTGACAATTGATTTAGCTGCGCCCCAAATACAGCGCAGAAAGATCCTTGATGAATAGTCAGACGCTTTTTGCGACAGTATTGTCCGCTATGATTTGCAAGTCGGCATCCTTTTCTAGGATTCAGATCTCAACATGCTTGTTGCTGATGCCTGAGTGTATTGTAAGACGGGGTAGCAGCGGACACAGGGCGAGAGAGCAAACAACATTCAGAGTATGCTCCTAAACATCTTCACGGAAGTCTCATCAAAGCCAACGAGATAGGACCAAAGAATCGTCAGGGCTTATGTACGCTGTCCCAGATTGCCACAGAACCAGGCTCGGAAAAGTCGCACTATGCACGGATTTTCGCTCAAGCTCAATGCCAATCACTGTCGATGCTAATGAGGTAAGGGTGTTCGCGACTCCAGGCCTTGATGGTGCGAATTTAAGTCCTATTGCTTAGGAATGAAGGCTGCACCACCTGTTTCACGATAATACCATCGCACATTTCCAAGCCATTTGCATGTTCGGCGCCACCCTGGAACATGTCGTAACACTACATGATGTTGGAGAGGCGAACTATAATTCATGTGGCTATTGACTGGACACAGTCCATGTCGCGATAAGTTCAGATTCTAGCATCTACCACGATGGTAGGCAGAATGAAGGTGCTGTGGGAGACAACGATCTCAGCTCTCAGCTCTCATCCCTGAATCGCCAGTGAATCGTCGTGCTAGAGAATGTGGTGTCGGCCTGATTTTCTGGGAACTTGGCCTTGACGCAAAGCTGGTCTAGCTGCTTCATCCGTGTCCAATCTAAATTTTCAGGGCCGTGAGAGCTTTGACATGTTAGTCCAAAAGCCACAGTTACCATTTGCAATCATTAGGAGAAGATTGAGCGATTGGGGCCATGATGAACTTACTCTTCCCAAGTCCCATAGGAAGTTCCGATAAACATGGCAGGGATGTGTGTGGCTATAACCTGGGAATAAATATCCCTGTACAAGTGTACTCCGAATGCCAGGGTCTTAGGGTCGACGAGCTGAAACCCAGCGGGAGATTCCACGACTTCATGGCCTAGGCTCTCAATGAAGACTTTGTCGACGGAGTTGAGTATAGGCTCCTGGAAAAGACAGCGAATTTGGTGGCTCGCTTGAGTTTGAAGGTGTTCGACGATGGAAAGGAAGGCAGCTAGCTGGATGTGGGCCTTGCGTTTCTGCTCCCACGCACCATCAGGCGGATCAAAGGTGCCCAGACCAAAGCAGATGGCGGTGGCCACATTGACGTTGACGCTAGCAGCATAGCTAGAGAGTAGGTCTTGAAGTTGGGTAAAAGAAGATGAGGATTTCCACTGGCCAGCAATACGGTCATAGTCCTGCTTTACTTGCTCGAGAGACAGACTTGCCGGGCTTGGCAGCAAAGTGCTCGGGACAGAGACAGTCAATGTCGGCTTTTTCTGGCAGCGCCGTCCCTTACGGCGATGGACTTTGACCCATACCTCCGGTGGCTCATCTTCTGTAGTGAGTGACATGGGTATCTGAGAAAAGATGGAATATGACGCTCAATAAACCGTGAGAAGAGTGAATGGTTCTTGAGCCTACACAAAAGCCCCATGAACCCACCAATTGGTGTAGCGCAGGTCAGCAAGGATCTACATAGGTACATAGGTACCCTTCTGTACTTCCTGTACCTATGTACATACTGTAGGTATGTATGTAGTGGGTATTTCGGCCTCCCTTTTAAATAGGTATTATTTGTTAAATACATATACACACATATCGAAATACATATATAAAATTAAGTGTTCGAATTCAGAGATTGAGATTTATCCGCCATGTGGACCTACCACCCAGCCAACCTCAGTAACCTTTCAATCAAATGTTAGACGATAGCTTCTTCTTCTTTCCCAGTGTAGCCCGTCTGTCTCGACATTTGTGATAGTGTCAGCATAGTAAATCTATTCTAGTGCATCATTGTGCTACTCTCGTCATCACCGATCATCTCGCTGCGTTTAGCATTATCACAACAAGTATTACAGAGATGGTGTAACCCCTGTAGATCCAGCACAACGACCTTGACCCTATCTTGAACCATCCCGAGCGACCGCAACGCGCGACCAAAGATGTGACCGCTGCGGGAGCTATCCGCGTGTCTGGTGTTCCTCCCGTTTCACAAGAGTAGAGCGCTTGCATATAACGTCTGCAAGGAGACCGATTGACTGCCGGTCCAACACTTCCATCACGATTCGGCTGCCGGTCGGTGGCGGGCTTGGCCTATAATTGGGTCTCGCGAGGCTGTTTCTTGCATGTCTTGTCGCTCGTCTTGCTTGCATCGATGCATGGATCAGAGCTCGGGAATAATGCATTCAGATCGACCACCTTTTATTCGTCATGATTATCGTCAGATTATGTATCTCTTCGCTGTGGTCATACCCAGCATCTATCTAGTGAAGATGTCTGGTTCGACAGAATGTAATGTGGTAGCGTCATGATGGTCAGACTCTCACCTACTCACACTCGTGCAAAGATCCCAAAAATAGTCTTGGGGTGTTACCTATCTGACTCTCTCGACCCTTTCGAGCTTCTGCTGTTCTACAGGCCGCCAAGGCTCGCGTCTTGGCTCCCGCCCGAATCGCTCTGGGAGTGGAGATGGATGGGCACACTCGCTTTCCCAAGTTGGATAGCTCAGCGCTTAATGGTTGTGAGCTCCGTCGTCTGACTGGTTGCGCAAGCTCCAGTGACGGGCGACCCTTGGACAAATCTCTCCCCGCTAGCTGTCCGCTTGCTGGGAAACCCTGTAGCTTGCCTCCGGACCACAACCTCGTCCATGCCCACCAGACGCTGCCATTGGCTATCTCGCCCTCAAATCACGCCCCCGCTGGCCCTCGATGCTCAGCGGCTCGCTGTTGCTTCGTCGTCGCCCTCCCATTGGCCGTCTGACAGGACCGACGCACGTCGTGCACACCGTCCAGCCATCCTCACTGGTCCGTCGAGGCTGGAATGCCGCCCAGATGGGTAGGCCCCTGGGTCTCTGGGGGCGGGGTGGTATCTTGGTGGCCATGCAGGTTGTGATGAGAAGAGCGCATTGCTGTTGGCGCTTGGTCGCCGGTTAGGCCGCGTGCCCATTCTTAACGGCGATGACCGCCCTTTATCGCCCAGCCTTGCTTCTTCATTGACATTTCTCAATTCTTTCGTGCGACCTATTTTTTGACGACCGAATTGCTCGTGATCAGGAGAGGTTTGGATCAATCTCACCCTCATCGCGATCAGACTACCACTGAACACCACGAGTGTGTTGGTGTTACTCCCTTAACAACTTCCCTCGAGCGCGAATTACCCCAACTCAGTAATTCCGTTGACATTCAGGGGAGAGTAATTTCGGTTCTGAACAGACGCTGGGAAAACGGAACATCGTCCTAACACGATAAAATCTACGGTGGTTTGAGGGGGATAATCGAGCGACAAGGGGATTGCTCACAGAACAACCTCACTTTCCCTTAAAAGGGAAATCATATCTCTGGCACACCTACAACCTCGCAGATATTGCAAAATGTTGCCTTCACTATTGCTGGCCACGACGGCCGCCACTTTGGCATCAGCACACACCGTCATCACATATCCCGGATGGCGAGGGAACAACTTACATACAAATGACGACTGGCCATATGGCATGCAATGGCAGTACCCATGTAAGCAGCGTTCACTCTCCTTGCGAAATGTAAGATCTATCAAATTACTAACACTCAAAATTAGGCGGCGGTATCAATCTCACAACAAACCGGACATATTGGCCCACAACAGGTGGTGCGTTAGCATTCCAGCCGGGCTGGTTCCAAGGCCATCAGACCGCATTTCTTTACGTCAACATCGGCGTCGGCACCGATGGACCCGACGGCGGCCCATTGAACATGTCCAACCCCATGGTCCCACCATTCCAGCTCCTAGGCCCCTCGAACGGGCCATATCCCGGCACAGTCTGTCTGCCACAGGTCTCACTGCCGACGAATTGGACCATGAACCCCGGCGACAACGCCACGATCCAGATTGTGGAAATCGCTATGCACGGCGCCGCTTTATTCTCGGTATATCTACCCTCTTGCTCCCTACTTGAAAAAAATAAAAAGCTAACTCTGCCCGTCCCCAGTGCGTCGACATCACCTTCGCCGAACCCGGCGATGAGAGGATACCAGTGGTTAACGAGACCAACTGCTACAACAGCTCGGACCTCGGCTTCGCGAGCATCTACACCATAACGACGCACGCCATCGGCGACACGGCCGACCAGAACGTCGCCACTGCCGCCGCAAGCCTGCGCACCGCGGCTCCCTGGCTCGGCTATCTCCCTGTACTAGCGGGAGCCGCGTGGTTGTTAATGTAAAAACAACATAACACATAAAACAGGATTAAAAAAAAAAATCAGAACCCCTTCCGAAATCCAGCTGTGCGAAGATGTCTACGACGACGGAAAGTGAGGAAAACAAGAAGGAAGGAAGGAAAGAAAGCTCTATACCCAATATGTTCAAACTGTATATCCTTAACTTATTCTCTTTTTATTTATTTATTATATAATAGCGTCATCAAAGGCGGAAACCTGGCAGGCAGGCAGGCGTTCCGGGATCATTAGCAAATGCATACCTACGAAATTTACTTAAAACATCTCCGAGGCCAGATAGTGGTGTATCTGTCTTGTCTTACGTAGCTTTTGATAAATGAAATATTCAATCTATATAAGCGATATCTCATCGTCTTTTTCCTTTCTCCTGGTGTCCTTGTATCTTAATGCGTGTATGAAACGATGTACTGAAAGTAATGTAATCACTTGATGAATGAATGCGTGATGCGTGATGCGTCAGGGTGTATGTAGATAGACTAATACTTACAAGAAATACACCTTGTGGTCCAATAGGTAGCGAATCAGAAACACATTTGCTGCGCATTACGTTACGTTACGCCTAACAGACCCGAGCTCAAGTCAAGTGCGACGTCGGTTAGTACGTAGGTATCCCATACCGTTTGAAGACGCGCCGATTAAGTGATAAGGGTGTCATCACTGCATTCACTGTTACACACACACCTTCTGACCGTCATGTTACAAATAGGGGCTGTCAGGATAATGCCAACATCGGACTAAGTACTAGATAGCGTTTGTTTTTCTCTCCGCCAAATTCACCCACACGGGATGTCAATGATATATCCAGTGCCCGAGTCCTCTCCTCCCATTCTATCTCCGACAGCGCAACTAACATTAAACAGGGGTCGCTCTTTGAATGACGGCTTAGTGGTGAACCACCTTCCGTACCTCTATCAGACCAACATGCTATTGACTAACGCCAGCCTCGGAGCTTCCAAAAATGCAAAAGGCCCTCATAGCTCATACAATTCATGCGCATCGCCTAAGTATGATAGCCTGTAGAATTAGTAATAGCACAATCTTAGGTTAGAAGCGACAGACACTCGTTGGCAACTGTCTGAACTCTCGTCTCCGATACCCTCTCTTTAGCTGATTTGATTGAAGACGACAAGCTCTTAGCTTCGGGGGCCGCCTTGCCAATAACAGTGATGAGTGTACCAGCAGCTACGAGCGCTCTATATATGACCTCGGAATCTGTTTGTTTCTGAAGCACTAGAGCCAGAGGTGATATAAGCCGAGCCTGGTTCTCTGTTGATATGCTTCCTAGTTGTTTTGAAGCTAAAACGGCGTAGTTGACGAAAACTGTCGTCAAAGCGATCAAGAGATTCCGATTGAAGGGCCCAATGGGAGGCTGGCCCCGAACTCCAACAACTCGGCTGATGAATGAGATCACGGCAGATATCTCAGAAGGCTGCGCTACAAGTTTCCTCCCTTCTGCAGTCTTGAATAAGTTGGCAATTGTCCGCAGTGCCATCATCACACAGTTCTCGTTTGGTTCACTTCCTTCAGGAACGCCTTCGAGTGCTGCCGAGATTGCTATCTTGACCATGCTGTGATCGTCGCCTGGCGACCTGAACTTGGCGGCAGTAGGTGACACCGCAATACATCGTAAAATATCTAGAGGAGCCACCCGATCCGTGTAGTCCCATTGTGTGCACATCATGACAAATAAGCTAATTGTGAACTCATCCATTACGGGTTTTTTCGATTCTAATACCGACTTGAGAGCCTCTATGGCATTTTGTGCGGAAGGGTTAAGAGAGATATCTTTGCGGCCAGCAGCAACAAGAGCAGCATTGACACTTGAAATCTTCTTAAATATGGCTGCAGATAGTCAGTGCAAAGTTGGACTAAAAGAGAAAGGATACAAATACTAACGGTCGTATTTTGCGACGGTGATGTCTAAATAATCGCGAATTGGTAGAATTTTCGGAGTATTTGCTTCCTCCCCAGGTCGATATCGGGATTCGGTGCCGTACGGGTCTGGCCCTGAGGGTGTTTCTTCATTTTGTCCAATCGTTGCACCTTGCGTATTAGAGACGATGAATTGAGCTACCTGGTCTAAAAAGTTCTGAGAAAGCTCATTGTCGTCGATGAACTTTTGTGCTCGTGCGTAAGGGTTTTCTGATAAGTTATAAGGTAGTTTGAGAGAGGGCTGGCCCTCTTCAATTGCGACATCGAAAACATAGTCGTATGATTGTCCATTATACTCAACCTTTCGGCCACTACTGCCGACTGCATCCACAACGGTACCGACATTGATCCATTGACCGGCTGACCACTGGTGTGCCGAAACAGACCCATCCTCCTCCTTAATCATCTGAACTTGACCTTCTTTGGTGCCGGATTTTGTCTTTAGATAGTCCGGACCGGGTAGCTTTTCTTTGTTGACACCACCTACTTGTTGCTGTGGGATGGATGAGGACTTGACTGACTCATCGAAGTGAGCTATCGTCTCGGGGCTAGCAGCACGTTCTGCGCTACGTGAAAAGATGCGGACGACACCATCACTGGCGCCGGACACAATGTCGCCATTGGCAGCACAAGCTGCGACAGACCATACTGAAATAGCAGGGTGCGTAATAGTTTGGACGCACTCGAAGCCACGCCATATGCGAACTGTGCGATCTTCGCCGGAGCTAACAAGCTCGCCGGTAGGCAATGACGTCAGTGAGTATATGAAACTCTCATGCCCTGTAAGTTCACCAACTTGCTGGCCGTTGAGCTTCCATAAGCGTATGATACCATCATTGCTAGCACTTGCGATGTCGGCGCCGCTTGGGTGACCCTTAGGCACCGCGCAAAGGGCACGCACAACATCTGGAGTATAGATAGTGGACCGGGGTTCGACTTGGCCGGCGACAGACTTGCCTAGTTCAAAAACGCGAATGTTCTTATCGGCGCAGCCGGTAACGACGAGGTTCTCGCTCAAGGGCAAAACATCCCAAACAGCACCGTCATGGCCTTCTAGGACAACCACAGTTTCCCAGTTTTCTACGCTCCATATACGGGCGGTACGATCCCAGCTCCCGGATGCGATGAATTTAGCACCTGGAACAAGAGCCAAAGCGCATACATTTTGAGCATGCCCGATCAACAAACGTTCGGCATTGTCGGAGGGTCCAGCGGTGACGGATCGAGCATCGATGATGGCATCACTACCGGCAGATATAGCCAGGCCATTTGGAAAGGCAGGAGAGGGTGGTAAGCAGGTTAGGCTATTGACGAAATCGGAGCCTTGAGTCACAGTACGGGGTTCGAAGGCCGGAGGAGAGGGTGTGCTTCGGGACCAGGCGCGTACTGTATGGTCTCGCGAGGCCGACAGCACGAGATCGGGGGCGGGGAAGTGCACAGCGCGAACCTATTGAAGAGTGAATTAGACGACAGCTTCCGAGAGGTCATGCGCGAATGTGCAATGATTATTGGGAAGTGTCTTAGTATAGCTAGTATAGTGTCCGATCCCATTCCACAGATGATATTGGAAGGGCGAGTGAGCAACCAGCGGTGATGCCAGAGTGCTAGAGAAACCATGGATGGATAAGAGAGGACTGGTGACCGCAACAGAACACATACGTCGGCTTTGTGAGCAGCCAGCTGCGCAGACAGTCTGAAGGTAGACATTGCCTGCTGCTCAGGGCACTGGATGACACGAGTGTTGGAGAGGTAGAAATTGTTGAAGCGTTGTCGACGGTTTGCCAGGTCGGGAGGACAGAATGGTAGGTAGTACTTGTGTTAACTGGGGTAAGCAGTGTTAGTGACATCCATGGATGTGTCTACCCCGCCAAGTGGGTGTTGTTGATTGAGGGGTGAGCTTAGCTACCAGTCTCTACCAGTCTGTACCTTTCTATCTGGCAGATTACTAACGTCACGAAATGGGTCATTTTCTTGACCTTCTGGATTTCTTTGAAGATTGAAATAGGATTCTCTAGATATCGTATACACAGGCCTGTAAAACCACCTATCTATGTAGGTAAGTCTTCACATACTTTAGTACCTCATAGGTATGTAGTAGAAAGAGCTTCAAAATTTGGTGTTTTCAATGTTGAGGTTACCCTTGAATCTCATAAATGATATCATCCATAGATGGAAGGGGCCACTAACCCGCGACTCATATCACAGAAGCGACCTCCCACCTACCAATAAGTATAAGCTTACACTAGGTAGGCCGGTATCTGTCTCAAAGCCTCCAGTACAAGCCGAGGTACGTATCTCTTAACTCCCAGCTCCCAACACTGCCATGATCCAACGCAGTGTCCCAGGTATCTAGGCATCATTCTGAGAATACTCTAAGCTATCAAGCTATTCGTATCCATGTTGTTGTACCTAACCCTAATTTCAAAAATAATCTGGTGTAGGTTTACTGAAGCAGGTGCAGTTATGCCAATAACAGCTTCCCCATGAATACTGGTGGTACCTACCTAAGGTTAGTGTGTGCCGGGTGCCCAATGAGGAAGGTACCCGTTAGAGCACGTTTAGGTGTGGAAGGTACATGTAGCAGGCACTTTTGGTCGCAACTTGCCCCCTGTCCCAGGTAACCTGACTAGGGCGAGGTGTACCTAGATTCCTCAATTCATCCATCCATCCAACCACTGACCTTGTGCGACGGCATCTTTTCTCTGGCGCATCATCTTCCAAACCATCTTGCGCCAACCTGTCTCGCAACCACATACCACCCGTCCTCATCCATCTCATTTCTACCGCCTCTCCTCGCTTTCTCTATCCTCATCCCGCCGCCGGCCGCCCTCCGCCCTCCGTTCTCCCTTTCCTTATCTTCAATTCGCCCCCCCGTTTCCCGCTCACTCACTGCTCGACTTCACTGCTGTGATTTGGATCGCAGATTTCGTTGCGCTCGGGCTAGAACCACTTCCCGTTTTTGTCCTTGCCTCAGCTAGAGGGTATCCACCACTAGAAACCACAATTATACTTTCCTTTTTAACGATTTCCACGATATCACGAGACGAAGCGATACAACTTGACCAGAACGACACTGACCCATTGAGACGGAACACGGTACACACTCAAGATATAAAAAGCACGTCGGATCGATTAGACTAGAGTACATACTGGCAACAGTTTCTCTTACTCCCTCTCCCTCTCCCTCTTCATATTCGCCTTTTGACCACGCCAGACTTCTTGTCGCAACCACGAACTCCGTTGTTTTCGCCCAACTATCTTAGGGACTATAACCACACCATCGACTAATCATCATTGTGGACAACTTCGCTTTTGCGCTCAAACTACCGGCTTTCGTCCACACTGCGTCTCCCTACCAACTACCTCCATCCCTCTCCACTAGACTGTCGACCTTGATTTGTTCCTCTATGGCTACTCCCGCTTCCGATGTCCCTAGGCAATACGTGCCTTTAACCTGCCATGGCCACTCGCGCCCCGTCCCTCATATCAGCTTCTCGCCGCTTGAGAAAGAAGATACGTACTACTTGATCTCGGCTTGCAAGGGTATGCCTCTCTCTGCGCTTTCTGAACTCGTAACACCATCATGGGTTTTAACTTGATTGGATTTAGATGGTAACCCTATGCTTCGTGATGGTCAGACTGGCGACTGGATCGGCACCTTTATCGGTCACAAGGGTGCCGTGTGGCAGGCCAGACTAAGTCCTGATGCCAGCACAGCTGCTACCGCTTCTGCTGATTTCACTGCGTAAGTGTGCTTGTGTTTGCCCATGTTACTCATCGCTTATGCTGTCTATAGCAAAATCTGGGACACCCACACTGGTGAACTACTTTGTACCCTTCAGCACGATCACATTGTCCGTGCCATCGCATATCCTCCTGATAGCTCCGATCTTCTTGCAACTGGTGGTATGGAGAAGAAGCTCCGCATCTTTGACCTAACCAGCGTGAAGCCACAAGACACTGGCGACGTGGTAGCCCAGACAATTCCTGCCTCATCGGGGTTTGAAATTGGAAAAGATATCCATACGGCCTTGATCAAATTCATTGTTTGGACTAGGGATCCCAATATTTTGATTACAGCCTCTAACAACGTCCTACGATGGTTCGACCTCCGCACTCGAGAAGTTGTCAAGCAAGAGATCTTGGATGGAGAGATTGGCTCCTGTGAGCTTTGTGGCTTGGCCCCTGAGTTGATGTCTCGGACGGACATTGGTGAAGGCTTGCCTGTGCTGGCAGTTGCTGCGGGAAAATATGTCTATTTTTGGGGTGGAATGAATGCCACCAACGAATTGAAGCGTCTCAAAATGGACTACCAAGTTGCCAGTGTTGCTGTGGACCCCAAGGGCAGAAAGGTTGTCGTTGGGGAAGACAAACCCGCAACATGGGCCAGAGTTTATGGATGGGATGATGGTGTCGAAATTGGTGAGTTTTTGGTGTGCCTATTCATTCATTTCACACATTAACAGCTGTTAGATATTCACAAAGGCCACCATGGTCCTGTCTGGTCGGTTGCGTTTTCTCCAGATGGCAAGCTTTACGCAACAGGCTCAGAAGACGGTACTATCAAGATGTGGAAGAACTGCGAGGGGTTCTACGGGCTCTGGCGCGGTGGAGCAGGAGGAAATGGAAACGGAGGTGGACCTGAACGATATGCTGATTAGAATGCTGTGTTGTCTGAAGGTCCGCCTTCGATTCCAGCCATCTCGAGCTGTGAGGCCCATGACACATCGTCATCTGGCAACTCGCCCTGGGATGCTATCCCCATCTTCCCAACGTTGAAGAGCAACTAGTATCATTGTGTGGTATAGTCAGAGCCCGAGTTGGGAGTGGGGGTTGGGTTTGTGGCTAGCTTGCATCAAGCAGTGAGTCAGTCAGCGTAGCATTCCCAGTCAAGCTCTCAACCTCGTACCTTCAGTCTGACAGAGCCAGTAAGCTAACTGTGTTCTAAAAGGTCAGAATTATCAGGTACCAAACCCATCGAGCTTTTAAGTTGTCGGGAACTACTGCACCAAATGTTATGTAGACAGTAGTATCAACATACGAATGAGGTAGATCATGTACCTATCAAACTCCTTCATCCATTTGTTCATTGCCCTGAGTCCGTTTGTAAAAACCTAATACGCATTGAACGAATCCTCCGGAGACTATGTAAGAAGAGCCAGGCTATTGGAACTGGCTGTAATCTTCAAATTACATTACACATTAGGTCAGCATTTGACCAAGATTTTATGTTCTCCCTTTTCTTTTCCCTCTTTCACCAGCTGTCAGATTGACTTCATTCTTGCAGATATTCCACACTGCGTAGGCTCTGGATTCTCCGCTTCCTGATTAAACGCCTCTCTCCTGTACCCCAATCTCGAATATTGCCTCACTAAATGGCACTGCGTTTCCATCAGTGTTGTTACCATTGTCATCATTGTTACTGTTATTGTCAATGGCCGGATACTGATGACCTCCACCACAACCGTAGCCATTGTTCCAATCCGGGCGAAACGGATATGCATATGGATATGGATGATGGTAATTGTGTTGATCCACTGGAACTGGAGCGGGAAATATCTCGGACGCATTGGTGTGAGAGAAGGTACTTGGCGTGGCCACGACGAAGTCTGCCTGCTGCTGATGCTGTGGGTAGATGTGGAATGTTTGCTGCATTTGTGCCTGCTGTGCTTGTTGTTGTGAAGGTGCAGGGGCAGGGGGATGGGAAGCAGTGTGGTGGTCTGCCATGGAGAGCTGGTCTACGCGCTGTGTTAGACTCTGGATCAGGATGCGCATTTCTTGCATTTCTGCCCCGAGACGGCCTAGTTCGTGCTCGTGGTGGCGCTCCTTCGCTTCATACCGGCGTTTCTCGGTCTCGTGCTGCTCTCTGAGTGACTCGATGGCGGCATTTATGGCTTGTGCACGGTTGCTGGGCGAGTTGGTGAGGGATGTTAGAGTTTTTGGGGCTGTTCCCGCATTGTGTGTGGAAAGAGATGCTGATGTGGAAGTGAAAGAGGAGGTGGAAGCCAAAGAGGTGGAAGCTAGAGCGGGCGGTGCAATGTGTTGTGCTGGCGTCTCCTGAGACGTCGTTACTAGGCTGGTGGCAATGTCCCTGTTGAATGCAGTATGTGGGAGAGCAAACAATCGTGACACAGAGTCTGCAACAGCCTGGTTGGGACCGATAGAGAGAGGAGCAGAGGCGTTATTCTCCTCGATGCTGTACTGCTGATTCAGAGCTGCGATCTTGGACTCGGCATCCTGCTTCTTACCACGTCGACGATCCATGACCTCTTTCTTGACCTCCTCCATTATTTTCTCCTTGTCAGTCTGTGAAGCTGCCTGGAAACTCTTGGACTCGGCAAGCTTCTTCCAAGGGGCTTGCACTGCTTTTGTGTCATTTTGTCTAGCTCGTTCTACGGCAAGTTGGTACGGCGGCAGATTTGACAGGCGACGTCGAGCACGGACCGTGTTGGGGTTCGTGGAGTACTCATGGGGTGCCTTGGCCCGTCTGCTTGGAGCAGTGCCCTTATTAACTGAGGGGGGCGAGGCCGCTAGAGCCTCACTTGATGGTGAGCCTAGCTGTGGCGGTGCCATGGTGGTACTTCATGGCCATGGACACTGGGTGAATGCCTGTGTCTCTGATATTCACTCAGTGCACAAAGGAAGGTGTGACTGTGAAAAATAAGGGAGACATGATGGACTCTGTATTTGGTGAACTGTGGTTATGAACTGTTGTGAGTGTTCTCATTCTTGTCTTGTTCTTCTGGATCGGTACGTACCCTTTTCTGCAATAGAAGAAGGTGCACAGCTTGGATATGTAGACTGGTCTAACGCGCCAGCATGCCGCTAGCGTCCTTGAGGGCCGTCTATGGGAGCGTTGCCAGGCAATTGGTAGCATGTTGTTCTGATAAAGATGCAGGGTGTGGCTCATTACCTGGCCCACCAAGGTGCCATTACCTTTAGTGACTGCTTCAAATTCTCCTTTTTGGAGACACAGGAGGGCACGGTGCTCTGGACTTGGTGAGGTAGTTTATCCTGTTTAGGAATTGGGAGTGTTTGTTGTAGACACTGTCACATGTGAAATTATCAGACTTGGGTGGTGAGTTGGGTATTGAAGCCATCATTCAAGTTATCAATATGCTAAAAGAAGGCAGCTGCGACTCACTTGAAAATTCAATAAACTCGAAATCCAAAGGAGATAAATGAATGTATATTCTTCTTGCTGAAACAGAAAAGGGTATATGAGCATGAAGTAAGTATATGAGATGTTCTTTCTCTAGTAGTAGTTCTTGACCTTGATATCAACCAGCACCAGCAAGTCGGGCTACACCCATAGACTCAAGACACACATCTCCCAAATTATCTTCCAAATCAACTCCTCTCCACATCTATCTGTCGCCATCTAATTATCCAGATTAGACACTAGGCTTAGACCCCACAGTTGCCCTGTTGGGGGAAAGTATCCTCGACATCCTCGACCTCCAGCTCGATCGGTCCACGCTCGGAAGCTCGGCGGGATTCTCCATGGTCCCAAAGGGCTTCTCGTCCCCGAGTTCCGGCAAAGGCCCCTCGGTCCCTAGCTCCGCGTCCGGCAGCTTCCATTTCTTCCGCCTGTCTCGGCCGTCTCCTGCCTTCTCGTCGACGCTGTAGATATCCTTCTCCCTCAAGATTTTTCGTTTGACTGCACGAGCGCGAGTGCCCACCCAGGTCTTGATTTCGAATAGAAAGAATGATTCCGTCTCGCCTGCGCGATAGCGTCGGTAGCGGTACAGGATTGAATACGAAGTGTATGCTATGATGATGGTTATTAGGACTGCGCTTAGCACTATCGCGGCTACGGTGAAGTTCGAGGATGTGTTGCCGATGGTGGTGCCGCCGCCTTCGCGCTGGGGCGAGGCGTTTGGAGGATCGCTGGGCGATACGCTTGATGACGAGGGACTTGTTTCTTGAGTCGTGCTTGGCTGGCTTTCTTCCGTTGATATTAATAGTGGAGGTATGCTAGACGAGGATGACGTAGATGAGCCCAGAGTTTCTCTTGTTTGTCTAGATAGAGTAGTTCTCGGTTCTTGTGTTGATGTTGTACTGCTCGATGACGTCTTTGTTGATGGTGGAGGCGGCGTCGTGCTTGAGGAAGAAGTCGAGGTCGAGGGAGGGAGTTCTGTCGTCGTTGGGGCTGGGACATTTATAAGTGTATCGGGAACAGTAGGGCTGGGCGTAGTTGTAGTTTTTGGCCCTGGATCAAGGGGATCTGTCTCAAGATTCTCTAGATCTTCCTCCCGCCACCGAATTTGAATTGCCGGACCAACTGTAACCTGCGCGCCGCTCTCAGAAGCCGTCCGCGAGACACCCCATACACCACCACGAAAGTCGGACGTATCGGATGTACATGTGTGGCCACTATCCAGTCCATGAGTTAGTACATATAACTACGATGCTCAGTCTGTAAGTGGTAGTGCATACGTTGGTATACAATACGCTGCTGTCTCACCGCCTTGGATTTCTGGAAAGCCTTGCTGGGTCCGCGGGTTCGTTATGATACATGATGGTCCTACGTAGAATCCGTCGGGACATATGGCAGGCGAATAGTATTCGAAACCACGCTCGCCGATGTATTCATCCCAAGAAGGCGGGTCGCAGGACGGTGCTGCAGTAGTGGGAAACGGAGGAAACTGAGAAGGCACCTTCGTCGTCGTTAGAAGCCATGTTGTCGGACATGGCGGTGTGAAAACCGTGGTGAGGGCGGCGAGCGGCGGGGTGAAGGTCGCCGTCATGTTCGCGACGATTCAATGATGTCGGGCATCCAGTGCTCGACACACAAGTTCGTCAAGAACCTGGTGGATTAATCGAGGCTCGAGTCACCGACTCGCCCCAAGAGTTATCTCTCGCCACCCCAAGGTCTATATGATGTCCAGATCAGCTTTCGGCTACGGGAAGATCGATCGCCTCGCCAGCTGAGACATACGTAGATTATAGATGAGAGAGATTCCCGTGGCGGATTGCTCGGGGGTATAACTTGATCAAGGCCCCCTCCGAGGCAGACAGTCCGGGGAGTCCAGGTTGATTAAGCTCCTGGCTCGTTTGAATATCCTCGTACAAGGGAGATCGGTGGGCTCAACCCGGGCTCACGACGTCCGGCTCTTGACTGTTAGCTTCCCCATGACATAGCACCATGCAGGCGATCATACATGACTTTTGTCCAATTTGGAGAAGCCGTTGGGTCGGCCAAGGTCGGGTTGACAATGCTACTTGGCCTCGTCTCATAATTTCATACGGACAACCTCCCCAAAACATGAGTCAAAACGTCACATGCAGGCCCCCTGCTATTTCACCCTCGTGAGATTGATCGCATCACGACAATCCCAAACTAATCGGAATCTGAGCCGAATGTGGCGTCAAATTTCAATTGACTTGTGAGGATCTTGACACCGCTTCCGTGCTTGCCTACTGACCTCGGCATTGTCGTCGCCATCGCTATCTGGGTACACAGCCTCGAAGAGGACTGCTAACAGCTGCCTCTACTTTTTCTTCTTGAAGGTGCATTGTGTTGTGAATGAGGATAAGCTAAAACAGCACCCCCGGCTCTCTATCTGCGACCGACTAGAGAAGAGAAGCACCCGCAGGCTAGGCCCATGCTCCTCGTTGCTTCATGTTTCACGAGGTTCTCACAAGCAGACAGGGTCCATGCAGGGGACGAATCAAAGAGTCGCGACCGCACCGTGGCTATGACCCAGCACGGCCATGACACAACAGCTTGCAGGCTTGGCAGGTCGGCCCAGGGTCTTGCCGTCGCCCCGCGAACTGCTGGCCTTGCCTATCTCTGCAATTTGAAATCGTGTTCCTATTACAGGAGGTGTGAAATAATGCAGTATGGCAATGCTCAATTCAATTCATCTGGGGCTAAGTTGCGCCCGGCCATCTCCGTAACTGTAGCCAGAAACTATTGGTAGCCTAACGGAATACTGCAGCCAGTCCTCGCGCCAAGAAATGTCTCCCGAGTTTGCGACGACGTCTCCGCCGTCTCATCTTATGTATATACTACTCGGTATGTTCCGGTATATGTATTAGAATGGGGTCTACCGCTACGCATTAGACAGAGATGTTACTCTGCAAAACAGCTTCTTTACATTCTGTTATCCTACACTGTCATACCTGTCGTAGAGCATTGCACAGGACTATGTCATCCAATCTTTGCATAATGGTAAGGCGGTTTGGGCCCCATCAACTACGGCTGGGGCACCTCACTGACCTGGAATGGTCGCTCACTATACCAGCCCACAATCTGATCCGACGCGATCAATCGTTCAAAAGACTTTGAACGGGACCTACAGACCGCAAAACCTACGATGAAATCCGTAGGATGATGCGATTCTCTCAGAGGGATAGGTGGGAGCTCAGTATAGCTACATATGCAATCTCCGGTCAATTGCATGCCGCTTGTCCATGACAGATTCGCTCTAATTGCAATAAGTATGAGTACAGCAAGGCATGATTTCATCGTACACTCGGTGGCAGTCCAATACCATACGTGTTGGTTTATCTGAGATAGTCTTCCATAACAAGGACCGGGACCAGGCCTTGGAATTGAAGCTACTCGGGATACAGTAATTTGCCAGGGCTGCTAAAGTTCTTAGACGCTGCAATCCTCATCAAGTATGATGAAGGGTTTTTACAAGGCGTGCGACCATGCCTATAGGCGATATGAATGCCAATGTTGAAAATTTAGATTACCTATGTACTTGAAATCAAGGCCATTGAATATGATGCTTAACTCTCTCACTAATGGGGGGTGCGACCCCTGGCAGACCTGTCTGTCATGAGTAGTTCAATGAAACTAGACGGATACTGATATGACGAAACTCTCTGGTATCTCACGATAGTGGCCACTCCTAAGAATACGCGCGCCGATTTCATTGCTAGTTACCTTGTGCTGCTATCACTACCTGAGAATGTTACACGCGTACAAGCTGTGCTAGCTGAATATGCGGTTCGCATTGCACTTCGGTCGTACGAAAGGCCATTGCAGGCTGTTAATGATCATTCAGAGACATGCAGGCAATCCTTGAAAGTGAGGTTATAAGTACAGACTTCGCTTCTTGAAACAGAACCTAGAGACCTAGGCGGTCTGGGCTGGCAGACCAGTTGTATATAAAGTCGAGTCAAGCCACCAACAGCCGAGAAGGAGTTGGTTGGTCAAGGACTTATGCAGTCCTAGAATAGCATCAAGTTCCAAACCCAGTTATCTGCCGATGTTATACGGTAGATATTGCGATAAACGTCGGAATCGAAATCGTTGTTACCACAGCTTCGTCGGCATTCAACGTGTGGCCTGTGGGCTTCGGGAAGTCATAATTAGTGGGCAATGTAGGTGGGCTATGATGCGAAGACACTTTTTGTTCAGGTGCTTAATTCGAGCCACTGCCTAACGATCTTTGAAATATCCCGAAACTTGCATTCCCCTCGAGCCTATATATACGCATCAGGCAGACGGTGAGAACTCTTCTAACTTCACATTTTTGTACCTTTTTTCTAACAGCGCGCTATTATTCACAGTGTCAATATTTCAAACTCCTGGGATGGTATAACACGATGTGACGAGCTGTCGAACGGCGCCGGCGCAGACTTCTGCTAGCAATCAAATCTCCTTGAAGGAATATGTCTATTCATGAATATTCAACCCTGCTCTCGGCCAAAGCCCTAGACTCTGGAAGTTGCCACAAGCAGACTCGGTCTCTTAAATATGCGGCAGAATCGACATGCTTCGCCCCCCATATCAGCTTTATTCACAATTGTGTACAAACGTCTTTCATTATGCGACGTTGAAGTTAATGGCAAAACTCTACATCTAGGAATAGGACTATTGCTAAGCGACTCCTAAACTTGCGGGAGAGACTGGTAGTCACCGATCAAGTAATACTTGGCAGGTTTAATTCTATTATATAATTCTACGTCGAACTATAGTATCTATGCTTAATACAAGATTATGTCGGTGTACGTTTCATCACTGCTAGTTAGTTTGTTGCGACCAATGATAGAGGAATACCAATATGGGTTTGATAACACTTAATTAGTTATATACGGCTACGGGTTCTTGGCACAAACCTTCAAGTATATCTCAACCAGACGCGTTTCTGGCTAGGCACGCTTTGTGGAATAAAGGGCATCGGGTATGAGGTGAGGCATCACCACCCACTTGCGGTGACGACAATACTCCGATCATGAACTCACCTATACTAGACATATCTTCTGTTTGATGTGCGAACGTAACTTGACATACCTGTTTGTTCCATCTTAAACCATGCATATCGTCACGTGTGATTAAAAGTTTGAGTATTACCTATTTCAATGGTCAGTCTTACCATCAACAGCTTCTACTCATAATAAACACAGCCGACTTGGCAAGCGTCCGCAGATGATCCCATGCGAAGAATTATGTTCTATTAATATCCGTTTGTTCATATCCGGGGATGAAAAAGATGGCTCGTCTGTCTCGTGCTGTTGTGCCGCACAAAAGTTTCCTGGAACCAGCCAATCATCTACCCAGGCTGGCACCAACAGCATAACAGCAGCTGGTTTCTGTTAGCATTCACAAAAATCCTAGAAAATGGGATTATTGATACTAACAGTATTATCAGCTGGAGAGAGCTCGCTTGCAAGTATATAGCCACTGACTATTCCATCATACGAATCCTTGAATTCCTTGGATTACATACAGATCATCCTTTGTTCAGTTACATACCGTCGTCGCTATTTGCCCTGACATATTGTTGAGAATTCCATTATGATTGATTTCAATACCGAGATAGTCACCGTCGATCTGACTAACAGTTTCGAGGTAAGCCATGGACCAGTATTAGTTGAGCTCTGCCTCCATTTTGCGTCGTATTTTGCTAAAATGAGGCTAGCTGCAACACCAATGGCGTACAAACCCAGATACCTGCGTGAGGCCAAATTTGGAATTTGATCTTCCTGTACTCTGCCAAGTCAATAAAGCTTACGGCGAACCATCTGACATAACCTCGTTGGGAAAAGAGTACGACGCCTTTGCGGTAAGTGTAATCACTCCGTGTCTCCGCCTCCGCTATGAGAGTCGGTTAAAGTCAACCAAAAGTTTCATAGAACTTGCGACTGCTAATTTCTGATATAGGAATGCTGTCCAAGCTTTAATCAACTAAACATACATCAAAACCACTGGCTAGCTAGCAACGTCTGCCACACACAGTTTTGTTTCACGGAGAATAATACAACAGCAATGGGGTTCGATGAATGCGTCTACAATGCTGGGGACAAACTGAACAGCGACCTCAAACTTAACTCGACGGAGAGTAGTACATACCGTGGAAGATGTGAATGGATCAACTACGACAGCCTTAAGAAGGGAGTTGTTGATGATCCTGCGGACATTACGAATGCCGCCTCCACACCAAGGCTTCTGTCTTTAGCCTTGCTCGCCACAACATTGACAGGGGCCTTTCTGGTGCCCTCACTAATGTAAAGAAGAGCAACTGTAGTTACGGATATAGTGAAGTAATGCGGAATGATATGTTAGTTAGCCGGGTGACTTAGGAATTTCGGGAATCCCAGATGGTCTTGTACAACGAAAAAGAACCTGTGGCAATGGCTTCATATTTCTAATAGGCTGACTTTATGCTATTCCACGAATACATATCAATTTTATCTCGGTAATCAATTAATTCCCGAATAATTAGTCAAAATTATCTGGTTCCGACCGTTAATAACGACGCTCCCTTTAGGCTTAGTGCGCGAGACATTGTGACAAGGGCCTTAGTAGAGGGCAGATAGAGGGTTTAAGGCTTGGTCATATTCAATATCATTGGAGGTTTCTAGAACCGTTTGTCCGATATTCTGGCTTAAGATATAACCCCTTATATTCGATAGAACCAGTGCTTGCGTGTCCCTTCGTGCCCCTTGTCCTTGCACAGTATATGAAGTGAGTTATCGACCACCTACACTTTCAACCCATGTTTCTGAATGATCTCGAGAAAAGAGATATTATAACTAGCATTAAGACAGGTAAAGGTCGATATACATATTGATGACAGGTATCTAAGTCGTCTAGTCCGTCCGCATATTCCTATATGAACCAGTTCTTCCGTTAGAATTAGATGGTGAAGTGTTCTCCGTGGTCAAGCCCGTTTTTCACTACAAACACACAATCGTTATACACAAAGATTATATCTTGATTACGTCTGACTCTACAGATCAGAGACGAGCCCCGAGTCCTCCAAGCTGACGGGACAAAAAAGTATTTCTGCAATGTGTCGCATGGCGAGCGCCCGGCTGCATCAATTTCGACTGAGCAGACCCAACCCTTGTTGGAGAGAAATACGAGATGCCACAAATTGAATCTCTTCGCTGTCCCGATGATACTCTCAATATCGGGAATCTCTTCTGTCCTCCTGATAAAAGAACGTCGGCGAGGAGGGGCGAGCGGAGGAGAGCTGGTATCGAGGAGGGGAAGAGGCGGCCTCAGAAATGGATTTTTGAGATGAGACGGTAGCGTTGCTGGTGGACTGGAAGGGGCGTGCGTAAGACTGATCACGCTAGGGAGGCTGTTCAGAGTAGGGAACCGCCCCGAAGTGACGGCACCAGTCTCCGGAGTTGATATGTCAAATATATGTAGTTTTGCAGCAGCTAGACCGCGAGCTTGCACAGAACCGAGGGTTTGAGGCCCCAGACGATAAACCCTCTGCACATAAACTAGATCCTCACCATCACTAGACAGCGATATTGCATCCGCTTCCGCGTCCGCAGATGGTCGAGTTTCGGAAATGGCAGCGGACGTTGGCGCATTATCCAATATAGTGAGCTCCTTGAGATCACTCCAACTGTAAAGTTTCAGGTTGTTGTCCTCAAAGAGAAGCAGTTCGCCCAGCGACGAGGGGCGATTAAACCATTTCCAGATAGATCTCTGATGTGTACCAATGGTAGCTATCTGCTTTTTCGTAGAGACTGACCACACTGCATCGGACTGTGACGACGAAACAAGTACTAGCGAGCCGTCTTGATGCACGAGAACCTGACGGATACTCCACCCTTGCTGCAGCCTGGCCTCCACGAGTAGTTCAGCGCTCCATTCTCTGCGGGGGCCGACGGTAATTTGCATCACTCGGAAATTCCCCGATGAGTCGGCACTGGCTACGATCCTCGCTTTCTGGTTCCAATCTAGGCATGTAACACTTGTGAATTTTCCTCGGTGCTTAAAGAGGTTCCGCATTGTGTTTTCGGGGTCGCCAAGGTTGCAAGTATCTACCCGCCCATTGTTGCGTCCACAGAAGGCTATGCCGGTCTCATCGCAACAGTACAGGGATGTTATAGCTAAGGAGTCATCGACGATGGATGAGGTATCTTCCCCCATCATTCGGTGTACGGATTCGCTTGGTTCGCTCAGGTGGGATTCGGTGTCTTGACCTACGAGAACGGAAGGCTCCCAAACGTTAGTATGGGTACCGCGGGCATCTACTATTCGCAGACTGTTTCCTGTAAACGCTAGTGATGAGACTGGGTCGCCTTGAAACTTAATTCGGTGAAGTGACTGAAGTGTCTCGAAGTCGTAGATAGTGACCGCGCCAGTCCCATCTCCACCGGCAAAGGTCTTGCCATTAGGAGCAACTGCAACCTTGTCCATGCTGGCAGAGGTTGACGCTAACGGTTTGCACGTAAAGATGTTAAAATTGAAGATCACGTCATCCCAATAGGATACCAGGAGCCATGGATTTGCGGGATCTGGGCTGAACGCGACACAGTGGATGATGTGGTTGGCCTGAGCGTGCTTGTTAATAGCTGGCCGAATACAAGCTCCAAGTGGGCGTTGGTCCTCGAGTGACCATAATTGAACTGGTTTGCTGCGAAACACGATAGCCATGGCTTGTTGCTCTATGGATATCTTTGCGGCGTTAGCATAGGGTGTAAAGGCTTGATCATTGGACTCCAGGATACTGTCCGTCCATGATATACTGTACAACTGGGAGCCGTCTGTAATTTGATGTGCGGAAAGGGTTTTGTCTCTAGATGCTGTGAGAAGATATGTTTCGGTCTCACTGAATGCTAATGCTATCGTTTCTGATCCAGTCATGATATCGAATACCTGGGTTCCAGTTGAGGAATCCCATAGCTTTACATGTCGACGTCCGGCTGAGGCAACATACTTCGTAGTGAAGCCGAACTCTAGCGCTGAAACCGATTCCCCGTGCGATAGTGTCAGTTTCTCCTCGCATGTCGCGTTGCTGTAGACCTTTACGGCGCCGTTGGATAGTCCGACAGCAAATTGCTGATCTCTAGCTGTAACAGTTGTAGCGTAAGTGTCATTGTGAGAGATTGAACTTATTCTATCGCCCCAGCCTCGGTTCCAATCTCCCAACAATTTAATCCCATCCTCTGCGTATCCAAAGTGCCGATACACTGCTGAATCACGAGGGCAGAGAGGGGGCACAAGTGTGTGTATCGCTGAAGGGTCGCTCAAAAGATTGACGCCGAACTGAGTTACCATTTTAGGCAGATCAACAGTCCACGCAGTGATATCACTTGCAAGGACTGGGGCGTACTTCGCTCTTCGGCCCAGATAGTTCGATAAGTGCCGTGCTGTCCGGTTCAAGCAATCAAGATCCTTCAATTGTGCCACACGCTCAATCCACGATAATACATTACTATTGAAGAATGTTGTAAGCATGTCAAAAAGCTCTTTTGATGAGGAGGTGGCCTTTAAGATGTGCTCGCCGAAGTTGAGGCAAGCATAGTCGCTCATTGAAGTTTTGCTTGGCCCTGTAGTTGCCGCACTCCGCCGGCGCCTAGAGTACTTCAACTCATCACTCAGAAGATACCTAAGGCAGGCTTTTGCAATGAGGAGGTGACCACTGGGATAATCAACCCGGAATTCGGAATCCAAACTCGGCTTGACTAGGAATGCACGCGCAGTCTCATGCACGACTTGCACATATGAATGCTTGTCGACGTCCAAGAACTGACCGCACAAATATTGGAGGCTAGTGCGAAGGTCGCGTGCCAATGTAATATCAAGACTAAGCTTGATAGCATCTTTCATTTGATCAAGGGTCAATGGATGAACGGAACATATTGCCCACGTGATCATATGCTTTACAGCATCTTTAGACCTCGAAGACTCCATCCTTCTAATGTTATGTAGATAGAGCTCATTCATTTCTTGGGGGACTTCGCGGAGGACTTCGTGTACTTCTTCCACGGCAATGACGTCCCGAAGCTGTCTCATTACTAAGACAGTCCACAGGAAACTACCACCCGACATGCTCACAATATTTTCAATGAGGTTTCGCTTTTCAGAAGCATCCGCAACAGGGAGGTTCGCTGAATATGCTTCAACATATAGCCGAATATCGCCAACAAGATCATCCAGTGTAACCAGCTCAGTTATCGTCGGCAGCTGGCTAAACATGTTATCCAGAACAACACTGGGCCGACTCGTGATAAAAATTTTCAGAGGTATAGAGGTGTCAATCTTGGACAATAATAGGCCAAACTCATCCAATGGAGCTCTGTCAGCAGACTCGTCTAAGGCATCAATAACCCAAAAATGTCTACCTGATCCGTTAACAAACTCATAAGCAGCGTATGGAATGGTGTCTATGAACATACGGTTTCCGAAGCTTGGTATGCAATACGCAACCGGTAAACAGGATATTCCAAATGGACCTTTGATCATGTATGTCAAGTGGTAGTTCTTGTTGCGAGAGTTTGAATATGGCCTCCCGAATATCGAAGTTCACTAAGGCCATCTGAAAAGCCATGGAGCGTAAGAAACTGCTAAGCCCTGAAGTCTTTTTATCCCCGGCCTTGAAGAAGTAGAAGCACGTTGGGTTCTCTTGAAGATGTTGAATGACATAACTTGCTATAGTGGACTTTCCGGAAGCTGGGGCTCCCTTTAGGCAGAAATAGTGGTGAGTAAGCGAGGATTTCCAATCTTGAAACGAGGCCTTTCCTATTAGCCATCTGCAGGAGCCATCTAATCTGGTATCGTTGATTGATGATAGACGATCATCGTACGACCGATCGACACCCAAGTACTGGGCAATGTGCCTCAACTGTTCCGAATCGGGCTTGTACAGCGGCGGAGGATCTGGAACTTCCGATTCAGCATCGATTGTTACCGGCTTGTAGACTCCCCTCTCCTCTCGTATCTGTTGAACTGTAGATGCGAGTCTATTTCTGAGCGATCTATAGTTTGAATCGTTGACACTGTCGAACTTCGCAAGTCCCCTGTGATTGGTGTTCATAAGTTGCGGCCGCTCTTCAGTGTAACCTTTCACGGAGATTAGTTCCAGATCGTTCCGTTCTTTTGATATACACGAACCTAAAGTGGCTGATTCTACGTCGACGATCAATCCCAAGGGAGGAGTCGGCTGGGTTTCGTAGAACGTATGTAAATGGATTCCTGTGTAATGAACTCGAAAGGAATCGTTCAAGCCTCGTATCATCTCTGACTTAGTCTCGAGTCCCGCCACGTAAGCTCGACGGCCAGTGCCCGCAGTGCGAAGAAGGTTATTCAATGTTGAAGCGAGGTTTGATCCCCGGTGAGGGGTTCCTAAGAAATAGAAGGAGTGTAGTCTGTTAGCGATATGCCCGAAATCCGGGTTGGTCTTGGAGAGAATGCACGCTTTCTTTATGACAAGTCCGCCCAAACTGTGTCCGATTAAAACGATAGGTGTTTCTTGAGCTTTAACTTTGGGATCACTTCGGAGCTCCTCGATCAAGGACTGCCCAAAAGCGTGCACGTCTAAAGGACTCGACAGCCATGTCGCCCAGTTGGCGTTGTATCCAAAGCTGTGAATGCGGATGCCATTGAAATCCGAATCATTTGGGAGCCATTTCTTAGGCCAGAAATAATCTGGATCCTGATTGAGACTCCAAGTTGTACTAGATCCTCCGCCTAAGCCATGAACAAAGACGAAGTCGGCGATGACCACCGTGGCTGAGGGCGGTTCGTAGAGTGTGTTTAGTCCGAAATCATTTACGGGGTTCGGCGATTTTTCACGGGTCGGAAGGAGCTTTGTAAGCTTTTTGGTCCAACCAGAACTAGAGGATCTTCTACTGGAAGCACTTGGCCTCTTCGAAGAGGAGCTGGAAGGGACCTGTGACATGGTCCAACTGTGTAAGGGGGTTCGGGAATTCTGACAACATGAATGAAATCTGTTGGCTCTACGAATCTGTACGACTAAGTTTGCTTGAAGAACAGAAGTGCAATGCTTGGGAGTCGGAGATCGGATCGGCGATCGAGTGGATGAGGCTCTTGTGACAAGTTACTTACAGGTAGCCCGCGACCCTGGAGAAAGAAGTGCCACAGCGGCAACATCTTGCCCGAATAAGGGGCTGGACGAAGATACTTGGCGAAGAACCAATCAAAGCGACGCTAAGGATGCACTGCGGGGTTGTGATCATCATCAGAACCAACAACGAGTACATTGAGTCGAGGTACAGATACCAGGCCAGTGCCCGCTTGGGTGGCATATCAGCTTGCAGATAGGTATTCGTACGGCCATATAGGTAACCGGACCGACATAATGATCCAACAGAACCTAGCCATCGCCCAGAAGAAAATTCCATCCAAAGCCTTCCCTCTCACAGGCGCCCCATGACATCGAGTTCATCTATCTTTCCCATCATTTTAGTTCCTTACTGCACTTTCACTACTTGCGCAAATGGCCGAAATTAACGGAATCCCGAAGCCGGTGAGAGAAGAAGCCCTAGCAGTCGTTCTCGATGACGCTGTCAAGAATCGTGAGTAATAGGCCTTCCATACCAGCAGCCATCTCTTGGCACCCGATCTGGCTGCTTACCACTGCTCTAGACTTCCCCAAAGGTCGCCGGGGACGCCACTTTCTTTGGGTTAGTCATATCTTTCTGGGTTTGTCTGGTGTAAGTATGTCATCTTGTTGGTGTACCGTACCTGGCGAGTCCGCCAAAAAGACTAGCGTTGGTGTTATTTGCATACATGTCCTTGAAAGCGGCACCGGGGGCGGCTTCTCTGAAGTCGATAAATTCATATGTTGCGTTAGCGGCGCGGACCAGCATAAAACCGCCCCCACCAATACCGCTGTGCATGACATTCACCACACCAATACAGAAGACGGTTCCAACCAGTGCATCGGCTGCGTTTCCGCCCGATTCTAGTATGTCAGCCCCGATTTGGCTGCACCGGGAGTCCCCAGATGCAACTGCGCCTGTCTTTGGTATCTCACTGAGCGGGTTGTGATATCCGACGGCTGATGTAGCAAAATGCATCAGCCAGACTAGAAGTAGGTGGATAGCTAAGCGTCGAGAATGAGACATTTTAGCTAATAGCAAGAGGCAAGTGAGTCCTGGTGAAAGCTGCGTGACACTATGTAAGCTTTGAACAATCGGTGATAGCTTTGAGCTGGCGGATCTGGTCAGTCCTAAAATCGCGCTGAAAGGGATACATGTGTCAAGAGTAGTACATGTGATCCCATTAGATTATCTAGAAGTCTAAGTTACAATACAGTTATCTGGCTGGATGAAGGTCTTATATACAGATTCCCAGCATTCCAGGATGTGGAACGCAAGTATCACCGCCTTCCCTTTCTGACAACATGAAGAATTGAGTTGGCTTCGATCTCCATTTATGTAGTACACTGCATGACCAATCTTAGACCGACCGGTCAAGTCGAATCCTACGGCGATGCAGATGGTATTACGCCTATTCCAGATTGGGGAGCTGCCCTAATACTGATAGAGGCTCATAGGAGGTTCCTATTGAGAGGCGTAGCTAGGATCGGCGAATGACAGCTGCCACCTTAAGTGTAGTACGCGTTGCGTAAGGGGGACGTCAACGCGTAAGGCGCCTGGTTAGCTGGCACCGTTATCGTAAGATTAGTTATAAGGGTAAGCTGTTTCCGTACTCTCCAAACTACTCCGTGCGGGCTAATGATGTGACAAGGGCTCTTATAGAGGGCTTGGAACTTAGTCATATTCATTAATAATCTACTAGGGGTCTCTAGGGCCTTGATTTCTCTCTCTCTCCTGGAGTGGGAGATTCCTTAGCTATTTATGCTCATTCAGGCCTCATACAATCTGTGACTCCCTTCCTTCTGTTGGGCATTCATGCCTTGACTGTTGGTCTTCTTGCAGCTAACAGATTGTTCTCATCCAATCGCTTATAGCCTCACTTTCTGCCAGGGGTAGCGTCGGTTATCTTCGGGTCTTTAGGTCTCATAGGACTGTCCGTGTGACAAATGAAGACCTATAAGGCTACTTTGGTTTATTTGGATTACTTGGTGACCAGTTATAGTTAAGCCAAATACAGATTCCAGCTAAGTAGGTCAAATAAGGCCAAAAATGGGCTCAAATCAGAGAAAATAGGATAAAGACAAATTGCTTGACTTGTTTTGACTGTGTGCAGCGCTCACAAAACTAGAGAAGGAGAGTAGCAAAATAGAGTAACAGCGAACAGGCACGGTAAAAAGACGACAACCGAAACAGAGCGACAAGACTTCCACCAACCCACCATCTCCCCTTACTCCTCAGCATGCCCAGCCTCATGATGCTCCTCCTCCTCCTCACGCACATACTTGTCCAGCCACGTCTCAAATTCTTGCACCTCAGTCTGATCGTCATGGTCTTCGTGCGCTTCGGCGGCGTGGATCCGCGCTAGTACCTCGAGCCATACGTCGTGTCCGTGGCCATGGGGGTCATGCTCACGCTCGTGTTCTAGACGGGAGAGGATCTCTGGCACGGCCGCGTGGCCGTGTGCGACGACGGCTTCGAAGAGCGGGTCCGCGAGGGCTTTTTGCTGGGCTTCCTCAGAGGCGACGGCGGCAGAAGCGGCGGCGAAGGAGGTCTGTGGGGGCGGTTAGTCAGGGGTTGAGATTGGGGGTGTAGATTGTGAGGTTGGGAGGGGGGTTTTGGGGGGGCGGATTGGGGGGGAGGTGTGGTGAGAGAACACATGTAATAGGAAGGGATATAAAGAGGGCTCTGTGACGGAAAAAAGGCCATACCTCGCCAGGCGTGGACAGCTTCAGCTCGTCCTTGCGCTCGGCAAACGCCGCGATGGTGTTCTTGGTCGCACTCGCGTGGGCGGCCTCGAGCTTCAGGATCCCGGCCGCTAGTTGTCGTAGCGACGAGCCCTTGACTTTGCCGTGTAGCTTGGCCCGGTCAATGTCGCGTAGCGCGGGTGCGGCATGCAGCTCGCCCTTGGCCAGCTTGTCGGTAAGCAGCGGCACGATTCCGGCGCCGAGCTTCTTAAGGTTGGCGTACGCAGGGACCTTGAGCCAGGCTGACGTCTTAGAGCTCGGGCTCTCCTCGACCGCCGTGAGCCAGGCGGCAAAGGCCTCGTCGAACTCTGCCGCGAGCTTGTTGTCGGGCTTTTTGGACGGGGGAGTCGTCTTTGGCGGGGTGGTCTTTGGGGGAGTTGTCTTAGGCGGAGTTGTCTTCGGGGGTGTCTTCTTGGGAGGGGCGACAGACTGGCGGGCCTGCTTGGCATGATCCTGGACCAACACCAACTCGTCCTCTGTGAGCCCCGAGTCGTGCTCCATGACGGAAAGGGTCTGAGAAGCTCCTCCCTTCTTCCAATACTCGGCGATGATTCCGTAATCACCGTCTCCGGTACCCTCGTACAAGGCTTGAGCCTCGTGAGAGATCAACCAGAGATCACCAAGCTTGCTCGAGCTCTTGCTGTCGACGATGCGGGTAAAGTGGACGATCTCGGGGCCCTTCCTATAGACCGCGATCACTTCCCCAACGGCAGGTGCAGTATTGCCCTCAACCTTGGCGAAGCCGTGCTCCTTCACTGCTGAAAGTCAGTATGTCCCCTTTTGGTTGCCTGCCTCCTACACTCACATGTCTTGTAGACAAAGGCCTCGTTCAGCCCGTCGTCTTCGTTGTCAAGGTCTTCTATCCAATCATTCACCTGTAGCGCCCAGCCGAAACAGTTTTGATGCTCGCCCTTCTCGCCGAAGACTTTCCAGGGAGTTGTCTTCAGGTGCTTCCAGAACCTTTCGCAGATTCTTTTCTCGGCTGAGTTTGGATCTCTGGGAGTAAAGGTTGACATAGTGTAAGCTACTAGGGAATAGTGTTGCTAGGCAAAGAAGAGGCAAGGACAAAGGCGAACTAATGAAGAACTCACTGTGATGCTGGAGCCCCTTCAACGCAATCTCGAGCCGGAGGAGAGCTGCTTTTTGTATCCCGCGAGCTGTAAAGTCCTTGGACTCCTCTAGACGTGATCGTGGCCGCCGAGCTCTTAACGAGTCCTTGGATGGTGTGCCGGTGATGACGGTCGCGATGACCCGACTATACCCAGGAGAGATGTGGTGTTTATCTCCGTACTCGCCGCCTGCGCGTCGTGCACCTGACGGACTAGAACCCAGCGGTGTTTCTTATTTTGGAATTGAGGAAAGGGAATAGTTCTAACAACTCTACGATGGCCACGCTATATTTGGGAGAGATGCGGTTGTTCATTCTCTGTGCTCGCCACGCCTTGTGCACCTGACAGACCAGAGCCCGGGCTTTGGTGTAAAGTTGCGGCGCTGTAAGCAGTAAATACCTCCTAGGTAAGTAGCGTGACGACAAGGAACGATTGTGAGTGGCCAGTGTTCCGGGACACGTGTGGAGGTAATTAGCTGACTAAACCTCGAAGAATTTTCGACTTCTCTCAACATCCCCAGCCCTTTCCATAGATTTGATCTAACTGTTGGCATTAGACCGCAGCTCTCCCAGCCGTGTGCCACGCGGATCGTCTCTAAAGACCTGAGCTGACTTTGCCGCTGACTTGCGCAATCGGCTTATACCTTTAGCTAGCGGTCACTGGGAGCCGGTGGACGGGTGCCATAAGTTTGACCCTTTTTTGGGCAGAACTTCCAACTTGGAGTCACTAAAGTCAGTTGAGGCCATGTTAAGCTTATTGTCACACGGGTCTATTAAAAGACCCTCAAAGGACCAATAGGTCCTGAGAGACCTGCAGGCAGCACAAGGCTATTGGAGGAAGAAGGTCACAAGGACCTTCAGGCACCTGCAAGGAGGCCCAACCGCATTAGAATGTACCAACAGACTAGATTGCCTGACCAAGATGGCTTAGAGATAGATAGGCCTGGATTTCCCTGACTGCAGGGAGCAGAAATCCATGGACCTTGTGAGACCCAAGAGAATTATTAGCTGAAATATACTATGATTCCAAGCCCTAGATTCTAGCCCTTGTCACATTTATACAGCTTCAGGGGAAATATCTTTATCCACCTCGTGTTAATTATACCACGTCAGAGCAGTCCCATGCGTTCTCGCCAAGGATTGAGGGAAAAAGAGACCGTAGTAAGATCAAAGCCGTATTCTATGAAGATATGCTAGGCTATGATTAGAACCAACTTGTGTGCTCGGCACGATAAGCATACCGGGTATGGTGACGGGCGTTGCCCTTGTATGTGTTTGTTGGTGCAAAATCCTATACTAACTAAAAAGGATGATACTCTCTCACATTTCATGCTTACTTAGAGCAGGGTCTGCCCTGCATTCTACTGTTGCTTAGGGCTTTTTCTCCTAGGGGGTTCAAGAGCGGCCGGGCGCTCTTTTGCTATTTTTATATACTCTTTCGCCATTTTAACCTTCTACACCCGAATATTATGTGTGCTGAACATGGGACGATAGAGGATATAAACTTGGCACCTCTGGTATTTTCGGACTACTATTTTTGAGGCTGACTTATATTTAAAGTTGGGATATGTACAATAGGATGGGGGGTGCCGTGTGGCAAACAAAGGAATTAGAAATCGGCATACCCAACACTAACACGGGAATTTCAGAGCTCTCCCAAGCCTATTAGCGCATGCAAGGCTACCGCAAAATAAGTAAGCCAGCAGGCAACTCCCGAATATAGACCAATCCATCATACCCACCATTAGGGTAGCTTGTGACTTTATTTTCTGACAGAGAAACATTCATCAGTCCACGACCTCTCTGCCATGGCAGCACTATGTGCTTCAGCTAAGGCCGGTTGCTCGTAAAATAGGCGCTCATTATGGCGAATATGACTGCGTAAAGACTCGGCCACCACAGAAAACCCTTTGCGTTCAGCTAGCTGAATAGCACCTTCATAGCCGCTTTGGCCGTGGCAATAACTCAGAGCCCCTGCCTTCAGTAGAAAATGTAATGCATCCAGTCGTCCTTCTTCAGCAGCAACATCTAGAGCACATCTTCTTCGTAAATGGCTAGGCAAATTAACATGAGCCTTGTGACTGAGTAGTAGCGACAAAAGCTCCAGGTTGCCGGCAGCAGCTGCAAGTTGCAAAGCGGTGTAACCTCCCACTGTTGAGCTATAATTTGGATCTCTTGTACAAGGGGGTGCATTCACGTCTGCATTGTTGCGGAGCAGAAATTCAACAAAGGTAAGTTGTGCTCTTCGGTTTGCTTCGGACGTGCCAGTTACAGAGCAGGCAACTTGGAGAGCTGTCCGTCCTTGTGGACCGAGGGCTGGTGAATTGATGTCACCCCCACGTTCCATCAATGTTGAGATAAGACTCTGGTCCCACCACTTGCTTGCAGCCTGAATAGCGTTGTACTTGTCATCACGTGATGTTGTATAAGCACTGATATCTGCGCCCCTATTCATTAAGTCGAGAACAAGTTCACGCGGTGCTGCCAAGTCAATAAGTCTGGATAACACTGCGCCAGGGTATATAGGAGCGCCATGTCTCAAAAGAAGCTCAAAGACCTTTGACCTGGAATGAGTCGCACTCCATTCGACTAAACGTACCAAACTGTCCTCAAGCAAGAAAGAACCTGAGTGTGGCAGATCTTTCAGCATCTGGTAATGATCTAATATAAGACTGACTGTGTCAAACAGGTAGGGGTTACTGGAATGTTGCTGAAGGATCACTCTCAATGCTGTGAATGGGCACGAATCGCGTGAGCCATACCATATTTTGGCCCCATGATGTATAAGGTTGATGACCATCCTAACATTGGGGAAACGACGCGACGCCACTTTGGGGTCCCAAAGCTCTTTTTGGATGGCCATGGCGATACTCATAGAGCCAATTGAAAAGCCATTTATTGAATTGATTTCTGCGTTGATATCCACATCGTTTCTTAGTAGCCATGATACAGCGCAGAAATTGTTCAGGCGAGCAGCGGTGCCTAATGCCTTAGCCCCTTCCCGGCGAAAATCACCTCCAAGAGTCAACAGAAGCTCTAGGATTCTGGTTCCTTCATCCTCAACGGCGAGTGCGAGAACTTCTGAATTAAGCAGTGCACCCTTACGTAATAAACTGTCCAAAATGAATGTATGGTTCTCTTCGTAACCAAATAACCGAATATGTTGGATAACCCGGCATAACAGTTTGGTGAACAACTCACTAGGACTGAGTGTGCTGATCGTCACGCCAAGCTCCAGTAGAGCACGCACCACGGCAGAATTGAAAAACGAAGTGTCAAGGAAGAATTGTTCTTCGAGGACGTATTCAAGAGAGGTAGCATCAACGCTAGGCTTGGAGTTGAAGTAAGCTAGTAATGCTGAGGGACCTTGGGCCGCTGCAAAGCAAATCTCATCTCTGTAGACACCGTGAGACGTTCGCGAACTAAATGGGAGCAGCTGATCGTATACAGCCTTATTGTAAAAATAGCAATGTTCCAGGAGTGACGGTTCCATGTTGGGTAGAGCTTTTGTTGTTTCGCGTCGATGCCCCAGTTTCCGACATAGGTGTTTAGGACACGGAATATCCACATTAGCTCCGTGCTCAAGCAAAATTGCCAAAGATGCTGGATGGGGTTTCAGTTGCTGGCGATTGAAGTCAAAGCCCTGACGATGATGTCCCATGCTAGTTAACACTATCGAAGAAATAGAGAGTTCTTGGTCCTCAATGTTGAAAACAGGGACATTTACGTCACAGTGTTCTAGTAGAAGTTGAAGGCATTCGACATCCTGAGACGCTATAGCCTCAAAGATAGCAGGGCGAATATAGAAAAATTCTTTAAATTTCCATTCGGGAATTTTCTCGTCTGCGCGTGCGCCAAGCTGTAATAAATGCCGTACGATATGGTTGCAGTTCTTTGATACGGCCACAGAAAGGTAGGCGTATGTGTGGGGTAAAATCCGCGTTGGCCGATTGAACGCTAGTGACATAAAATCAATGAAGTCTTTGCGCTCAACATAATAAATTAGTCGGGCAATTGCTTCCAATGCAGCATTAGTAGAGGGGAGGTTGCTATCCAAAAGATCTAGGACCAGCCTCTGAGGCATACGTGAGCATAACAAGTTGAACTGCTCCACAAATCCTCCGTGGAAAGAGCGATCATTTGAAAAAAGATTATTCGAGATAAGATAAAACACCCTTGCTAGAGTAAATATTGGGTCGAATTGGGTGCTCAGCTCGTTGGAATTAGGACCTGGGAGAGCGTAAGAGCGAGGCCAGGCATGCTCCACTCCGTGAATTAGGGACCGATGAAGAGTTGTTGTAGGTGTTAGTATAGAACCACCTAGACAAGTGAATATTATTAACTTATGACTCTAGTATTGGAAGAGTTGCTCAGAACCTACTCAATAGGGTCGCTTTTAAGGCGACCCAAGGAGTATTCTCCAGGCATATCAAGCTCAGCTGGCGGTAGAATTGTGAAGACCGGCTCAATACATTTCCTTCTATAATTATAAAAGTTAGCAAAAATCGCCAATTACAACAATTGGTGTCTTTGAAGACTAGATCAATAAGTTCGGCAACTATCTTGGGTCAATGTCCGTGAATTGTCGGCCTTGATTTTATTTCAAGTGAGGGATACTGTCCACTCGCCTGGTGAACTAAAAGATGTGTGCTCTTACCTAATGACTCTGGGAAAGGAACGTTTAAACTAAATGGCTGTCGCGGCTCCAGGGCCATCGGGGCGGGCTCATGCGCTATCATAACAACAATTAATTCAATATTGCACAAACAAACTAGAAAGGATTGTCAAATACCATTTCTTGGCACAATTTGTAGACTTTGAATCGGAGGTGACAACTGAATCAACTGGGAGGAGTTGCACACAGATATTGGAGCACGCGGAGGCGGCGTCTTGAGCATCACACCTCGTGGTAGGGGCATCACTAAAGCCGTCAGATCTGAAAATAAAAAGAAAGACATTAGTATGCTGAGCTACGTACCTCCTGACCCAAGTTGAACCCTATTTCGGCGAATCTCTTTCCAGGCTTTCCTCCAAGGAATCAAAGTGTCGTTTAAATACATGCGGCTTTGCTTTCCTTCAGCCCGTCGCCGCTCGTAGTGTTGATAAACCGCTAGCCAGTCATCTTTCTTGAGCTTCTTTTGAAGATTCAGATGGTGCCGAAGCTTTGTGCCATAAGTCGCGATACTAGACAAAATATTAACCACGGTCAACACACGATTCCGGTCAGTTTCAACGCCCAAACTCGTCATTGATATAGAATAGGGGGGATTCTTACGAGAAGGATGGGAACCCATGGTGCAGCTCCATTATGTCCTTTACCTCCTTGAGCGTCTTGTTCTCCTCTATATACAGTTTCTGAAGAATCGACTCATGCATACGCCAGATGTCCATTTCCAAAGTGGAAAAGGGGCGATCGTGTTGAGACATTGTGGGAGAACTGATAGATACAGCAACTGGGAGCTACTCGCAAAATAGTAGGTCTCGAACGGGGATAGAATAGATGTGGGAATAATGTTGAAGAGTCGTGAAAGATACCGGGGCCCCGGCGGTCGAAATATATCATCCAAGGCTATGTCCATTGCAGGAAAATCTCTAAAGTATTGGGGCGCGGGCCTATGTGAGCCGCGCACCATTGGGGTTACGTTGCATGGACTAGAGGACATCTCAATATATTGGCTGGGATTTACCTGAGACTAGGCCTGCATTGCGCCATGCATGAAAATCTTCAACCATCCGATAAACATTTCTATAATTTCTATAGGGACTGACATGGGGTTATCTAATGCTACAGTCGCGATGACGCTGAATTTTGGATAGGCTGGTATCAAGTGCCAGCTAGCCAGACGACAGCCTGCAAGGCCAGAGTAGAAAGCACGCTTACACGTAGGCACCTATGTTCCTGGGTACCCTCGATCAAGTAGCATAATAGAAGTGAATTGCTAAACTGGTACGCTATCCGAAAGATAGAAATGACCTTATCAAGGTCGAGACCCCTGCGCGTCTACACTCAACTACATGGTACTCTGAAGATGATTCGCTGAAAATTGGACAGCATCGCGCGGGGTAGTGTCAGCTACGGAATAATTTGTAGTCTTGCAGGTGTCTAGATAGGCGATACTATTGGATCGGGATGGCTGAGATTAAGTGAAATACATAACGTAGCAATGGCAACACTTAGCTAGGATGCTGCATAACTAGGCAGCATTATTCAGAAATTGGCATTCCATGCAGCGGTGGGAATGAGCTGGCTATGCTGCAGAGCCTCACTATCGAGGGACGAATCGTTTCGCAGCCTGCATGGCATGGCTCGAACCTTGAGCCCAGAAGGCGACGACTATGTTAGGCAAAGACTAGAAAGTGGACACGACGAGGCTTCAGCATGGCAGCAAGGTAAGACCAATGAGTAGAATTTGGCTTGCATCTGACCTATTTCCGGCAACTTCATTGCCACCAGAGCAAACTGTCGGATTAAATGGGGTTGGGCCTAGAAGAGCTCGGAACTAGAATCAGCTGCGTTACTTTGATTAATGTGAGAATAGATCTGTAATGGAAATGTAATCAAATCTTTTAACCTCTATCATATTCTCAATCCCAATTATCCTAAAGCTGCCTTTTCCCAATTCGTACTAACATCCTGTAACCTTCCATCTCCCATGACAGCGACAGCGTCACGCCCCTTTTTCATATGTTTCTCTAGTACACCGACTCTATGTGCCACGATCACAGCCGTATGGCCTTTACTACTGAACTCCTCATCTATGATACGGTAGATAGTTGCCTCTGTCACGGAATCCAGAGACGACGTGGCTTCGTCTAAAAGAACGATAGGCTTAATCCCGTATCTTTCTAGCAGAATAGCTTTAACCAACGCACGGCTCAGCGCGAAGAGTTGGCATTGTCCCACTGATAGCTCGGAAAATTCTAACAGCTTCTGATCGAGGATCGGATGTTCGCCGTTCGGGCCTTCGTACTTGTCTATGTCTGTCTGCTCAAAAGAACTTCTACCTTCAGTAGGGTCTGTCGTCTGCCCTCTTGAGAAGTGTGACGATAATTCGCATTTCCTTAACGCCTCCATAAGTACTTCGTTTGGAATCGACGCGCTAGGGTCCAGGTTGAAGCGGACTGTCTCATGCAGTAGAAGGAGAGGATCTTGCGAGACCGTGATAAAACACCGCTGTCTGAGTACTTCCAGAGAGACGTGCTTGATATCAAAGCCATCGATCTCAATACTGCCGGATCTCAACTCGAGAATTCGCAACATCGTTAGTAGCAGGGTACTCTTGCCACTACAACAAAACATAATCAGGCTCTGTGGTTCTTCTGTTATTTGTGGAGATCTTACCTGCCAGTACGCCCGCAGACAACAAGCTTCTGCCCTGCGGGGATATCCAAGTTCAGAGCCTTGAGAGCTACATTTTCGTTTCTGCGTATTATGCCGTTAGATGTAAAATCATAGATGTATCGCCTCTCCCTGGAGATACGTACTGATACGCTGCCGTAACCTGTTTCAACTTAATATGCCCTTTCTGCGGCCAGTCTGGCGCAGGATCTAAGCCTGGAACCCTTCCGCCCTCAAAGGGAGTCATGTTCTCCAAAGTTTTCACCCTGGCAATCGCGCCAAGAGATGTCTCTAGTAGAGCCCAGCTCTCAACCAATCTTAGGAGTGTGGTATTTGTTACAAGCATAGTATTCAGTGCAACTCCGATCTCTGCACCACTAACATGCCCTTTGAATGCTACGGCGGTTACAACAACTGTTGTTGCTATAGCTGCGGCTAGGAGATCAAGAACAATGTTAAGCCATCTTTGAAGACACAGAAGGAGGAATTCTGGTCTCGACGACTCGTCGACCTTGTCGATGTTCTCTCTTGTCACGTCTCCGGACCAGCCAAATGTTCGTATTGTTTCTAGACCCTCGATCTATAAAAATGTTAGCTAAGCGCCGCATCTGGCAAGATTCTACTTACAGTCTCCAAGAAACTAGAGAACACTCCTGCGCGCGCCTCGAGTTCTAAGAACCGAAGCTGTCTAGATGTTCGGAGATAGACTTTCTGGATGACGTAAACGATAGCTACGCAAGCTGGCAGAGATAGCGCAAGCCATTTTTCCACGATGCACAAAAGTATCACTTGCATCAAGAGCTTGAAAATCTCTAATCGTTCCATTAGGTTACAGTACTTCAAAGATGAGGAAATCTTTGACTTACGGGTAATAAGTGTGACAAATGCAGTTGGCAACTGCTTGTCAATAAGCTGGATGTCTTGGGTAAACCTGGATATTGTTAGTTAAAAAAATAATAATAAATGGCTGCACAGCCTTTGCCGAAGCTTACCTGTTCAAAATCGAGCCATTTTCGGTTGCTGAAAAAAAGGACAAAGGGGCGCTTCGCATAATTAGTCAAATCCACGTAACACACATTAGAGAGAGATGGGGTAGAATGATCAAGTCTTACTTTGTCACAATGCTCAAAAGATGGCGATGGAGTCTCATTCCAGATTCGGGGGCAAGTCGGGTAAAGTTGGACCTTGGAGCAATCAATATCACATAGTAGCTATAGAGCTCGACGGAATATTACCTACCACATCTGGCCACTGGTAGAGAGCCACGATAAGAGCGATAAAAGAAGAAAACCAATTATGTAAAACGAGTCGCTTCGATTATACTGCCTCTCTGTCCATAATTGTAACCAGTATTGGGGAAAAGTGATAAAAAAGGAATATGACGCAGTGAAAATTACAATAGATAGGATATTCACGAGCCCTATAAACCTCAGATAGTATCCTATGCAGATATTAGTAACATTTCGTAAACCTTACAGAGGGAAAAAAAATACCATAGATCGCGGGGTCCCCTGTTTGCCGTGAAAGATCGGCTTCAGTTTCCTCCTTCACTCTTATCTGAGCGTTAAGTGCATCGTAGCGGCCTGCCAATTTGGCATCTTCAACAGGCTGCTGGGTGCCAGCGGAGAACTTAGCTAGAGTTTGGGATTTAAGCTTGATGGTCCGCCAAGGCCCTTGCTCAACAATGCTGTTATTCCCCAGTACCACCACATGATCCGCTGCTTCAAAATATTGCGCTACTCAACTTAGCCACTAGTACAAAAAAAGGAAAGAATGAAGGCTTACAGGAATTGGAAACAAGGATTACGGTCGTTTTCTGTTGCCGAAGGAGTCCTGTCGACTTGAACAGGTTATCAAAGATCGTCCGCTCGGTATCACCATCCAGTCCACTAAATGTGTCGTCAAGGAGTAGTATATCGCATCTAGCAAACAGTGCTCGTGCGAGAGCCTCAGGAGCATTTGTTAGCTTTTCTCATTTCATGGTTCTTGGCAGACATACCACTCGTTGTCTCTGGCCCCCAGAGAGGTTGAGTCCTCTACTCCCGATTTGGGTTTGGTCTCCATTGTAAAGCGCAGCAAGGTCTTGAGTGAGACAGCATATCTCGATGACTTTATCATACCATTGCTGGGACCAGGGCGATATCGGGTCGTTCATATTCGCGAACCCTCGTATAGCATTCCTGATGGTTCCGTTGGGTAGCCAAGGTCTTTGAGCGCAGTATGCTATCCGATGACTTGATAAGCTGATTGAACCATGCGAAGGGAGGACTTCGCCAATCAATGACCGTAATAAGCTTGATTTGCCGCTGCCAGTAGGACCTGACAAAATAGTAAATGAATTTGCCGCTAACTCGATATTGATGTTCTTAAGGGGCACCCCCTTAGAGCCGATAGCTACGTCCCGGATTTGGATGGCCGGACCCGGCTTCGCTAAGCGGCCAGAAGAGGGGTCCCACATTACGGGATGCGCATTACCCCTCGATAGAGTTCCACGATACGTCTGCAACGGTTGCTGGAGGAGAAATGCTTGTATCCTTTCAAATCCCGAGAAAGCAGCAATGGTTCGCGGTACGATAGTCATCACCATATTTGCTGGGTTCGTAATCATACTTAAAATAGCCATAGTAGTAAAAGCAGTATCAGTCTGCAAAGCGCGACCAGAAGCTTGCGAAATTACTGCGAAAAGGACTAATGTAATAGCAGGGGAAAATATCCCAAGGGCATTGGCTAGACTCCCATTAACACATAGGTGGGATTGTTGGAAATGTGTATGCTTACGTACCTGTGATGCCATAGTAAAGCATAACCAATCTTAGTCCTGCCGCCTTATAGAGCTCTGTATTTCGAAGGGTTTGGATGCGGCGCGTTATATCGTATTGGAACCCAAGCATTTTAATGATCTTTATAGAGGCTAGCATATCACTTGTAGCAGCTATTCGGTCTTGTGTTGCAACATTCCAAGCTTTTTGGCGAGGCTGGAGGTGTTTTGCTACAAACCGACTCATATGCGAAGACACTACATGGCTAAGTAATTGATCGAAGCGGAGTGAATGAATTGATGTACTGACAATAAATTAGAAAGAGAGGAAGAGGCCAGATCCAGCCAATCTGGTCGGCAAGAAGTCCAATACCAATTAGAACTTCAAGAACTTGGGCCCAGATCTCGTGAACCATCTCTGCAATGGTCTCGAGACCATCCGTATCTGTGCTCATCAATGTAGTAGCTTCGCCGGTATCATAGGATACACTAGGTAATTCAAGTGTTTTGTTGTAAATAATCCCAACGAGCGCAGTTCTAGTCATGAGCTTCAGTCTGTTCAGTGAGTGCTGGTATTTGGCTGTAGACAACTGGAATATTTAATCAGTAGCAAATCTATAAGGAGGAGAGGATTCTATCTCATACAGCAAGTCCAATGTAAATAATAAGAGATGACACGATAAGCCAAAATCCGGTATGGTTTTCTGAAGCCTCAGAGTCATCCATAGCGAATTTAATAGACTGTTTAATTAAAGCAGGCTGGGCGTATCGAAAACCAATCAAAAATAATCGTGGAATGGCAGCAGCAAGAAATGGCATTTGCAGGCACTTGAACAAGGCTAACGGGAGTGTCTTCTTGGTTTCAGGAAGCGCTATATAGGTGAGTAAGAATCAAGAGGATATTAACATCGTTGGAGTGCCTAACGAACCTCGCCGGGACCATGCCTGGAGCATTGTAGTTCTGGTATGCTCTGATTTCATGTCTTCACTTAGAGGCGGAACGTCTTGTGGAAGCAGCATATTCCTGTAACCGCGAGAAAGTATCGGGTTAATCCATATGAATAGCATCCTACTCAAAACGCTGCGCATATCTTCCGGGAGTAGGCGGCTACCGACATCACGGAATGCCGAGCGCTTCACGAAGCATTCCCAGACCAGAAGCACCGAATTAACAGCAGCACGTACAACAACAGGACGCGAGTTGCTCGTTGGCTTAGCTGGCATAGTTAGATATAGGACATCACACAGCGTGGATGCGCAGAGATACAGGACAGCCAAATCTGAAGCCTTTTGAGACCGCTGCTGCTCGAGGAACAGCAACGCACTCAGGCCCAAGGCAGCTAGTGCCGAGGCGAGAAGGCCGACCAGAAAGGGGGCTTCATCTTGAGAGCCTGAACCCCGCGTACCAGACCAATAAGACGCGAGTATGATGGCTAAGGTCACGGCCAAGATCTGTCAAATGTCAATGTCGGCGATATTGGAACAGGACTGAATCATGCAATGCATGGGATACTAACGGATTTCAACGGGCCCTGCCAACTAGGGGTCCGTCTTGCGTTGGACTTGAGAAGCCTCTGTAGTCGGATAGGGAGAAGTAAGAGAAATATCACAGAACATAGCGTAGAGATTTCGTGTATCGGGATTGCTGCGCCAACGGCCATGCTGTAGGGGTTTTGCGGTGGTGGTAAAGTGGGAAAAGAAGAGAGCGCCGCTTCTGACCCAACATCGAAATTGCTGTTGGTTGCAGGTAGACAGTGTGGCGCAGGGAGAAAGCGGGTTTAGGGGTTTGTGGACTTCGGCGTTTGTGGCTCATGCCATGTCGCAGTTGACGGGATGGGATGACTCTCGAAGAGTGTCGCGTGACGGATCGCGTAACTCGTCAGCCAGATTGGCATTGATCAAGACTGGAGGAGTAGTATCAGGAGTTGCTTTATACAGTAGTATGGTCTAAGTAGGAGAATGAGTCGATGCTACATGTGTATACTAATTGCTAGCGCCCGCATTAGTAATTCCGGCAGATGTTCAGCGGCCTTACTGCAAGGGAATAAGCGGGAATTAGGCAGCTAAGCCCTATGCAAGAATGGTTCAGGCACGCCAAGTTGCCAAGGTGCGGGGTTTAGCCTCATTGTTCCTAGTGTTCTCCCACTCCTCTGCTACCATCGTGGATGTGTATGTGTGTGTATGTATGTATGTGCAGTTCGTGTAGAGTGTCCTACCGTCGGCGGGGCCTTCGGGAGCCCGGGTCTGCCCGAGCGATCGACAGCCTGGCGTGGCATGTAACATGGTGGCTGACCGTGTCTGACAGTGCAGTGCCGACATTCCCGCCGTCCCAGCTTGTGTGTAGCTTGTGTGTAGCTCGCGTCGTCGTTGCTCTGACGGTGGACGCGACGCACCGCTTTCGCTTCCGGCGGCCCTGTCTGGTCAGCACGCGGCATGCCCTTGGCAGTGAGCATGCATCATGCCAATGGTAAGCCCCCGGTGGACATCAAATCATGGCCTCTCATCTAGGAAGGATACTGCGAGCATCATGCAGGCGTGTCGAGCCAGAGATGGGACAGAGATAGGCTAGAACTGGCAGAACTGGGCTCAGGATAAGATCAAGGTGAGACGAGAATTTGGCCTCCGTGCGGAGAAGTGGGCCAGCCACGTCTCCATTGGTTACCACCTGGTTGGATCGGCCCTTACCCGCGACTTGCAGAAAGGACAGTCTGGGCAGAGAAGCAAGGGAAGAGAAGAAATGACAGAGACGGAGACAGAGAAGCAAGGACAGAGAAGAAGATGCCGACAGAATAGATACGGAGTGTAGAGGTACCTAGGTACCTACCTAAAGATGCCGGTACCTCTGCTTACCTACATACCCTACCATGTATGTAAGTACCTACTTAAGCAACTAATGCAGTCGACCATCAGACCAAAGTGTCATCCACGATCCTCCCCGCCCAGAGCCTGCTTGCTTGCTTGTTTGCCTGCTTGCCTTTACTACCTCTAATAAGGCCCCCGCTTCTGCCCGTCGGTCTTGCGTCGGCTCACCTCATATCAAGACTCATACTGAGACTGATATCCAGACTATTGGTCCCCACCCCTAGAGCCATTACGTCATACCCGACCAGACATAAGCAGCCTTGGCGGGAGCCGTCTGCCATATTGGGGAAGAGCGAACGTGACCAGCAACCAAGTCGAGGATACCGAGGATATCCAACATGTCGAACATATCGAACGTGTCAGCCAATATCGCCCATATCGCCCATATCTCCCATGTTACCTGTGCCGCCCATGTCACTCCGTCCGCTATTCGGCTACGGCGGTGGCGGGAGTGCTTACATTTAATCCCAGCCGCCTACTCCACGATACAACACCTAGTCAACCATTTTATTACTATTTTCTTACCATGACCAGCAGTACCGCCGACGATAAACGGCGCCGGCAAAACCGGGAGTCTCAGCGCCGATATAGTACGTTCAGATAGAACTTACACGGCTACTCACCGAAGCATAGCACTGTACTAACCTCCGCCAATATCAGGGAAAAGACAAAGAATGGATCTCAAGAATCCAGACATCGACATTCTGCAAAACTACCTCCTGAGGCCGCCAATGAACCGTGACCATGGCGTACCGTGCTCGACAACTCCTACGTTGTGGGCTGGCGACTCCCTCGATAGCCGAGATCAAGGCGCTGATGTATTCCCCGGCAATCGTATTGTCCGTGATTTCCAAGATGTCGAAGCTAGTGAAACTAGTATCCTGTCCCAAAGCTGCGACAGTACGCAAACCCGTCATTCTACAAGTCTTTCCTCTATGTCGGCTGCAGACTTTCTGTCGATACAGTCACAGACATCTGACAACGGACACGCGAATACGGACCCGGGCCCAGCGTCATACATGACTAAAGACCGGGACTCCCAGCAGTTCGACCTTGTACAAACGGCCTCAACCTCTAGACTTGGACAGACACCAAGTCCCGTTACTCTACCCTTTGTGCCTGAAGGGTACAATCCACAAATTGTTTGGAACACACCCCCGAACTCGGCACATGGAACACTTTCTGGTGGGGAGAGACTAATGATGAATGTAAGCTGTCACTTCCTAGGCATTTCTCGTTATTTGTTAAATTGCATACGAATTTCCAGTATAGCCAGGGCATGAGAACCGACCCACCCGCCGTGCGTCCGTCCCCCAAGCCTCGGGCTCGAGGACGCCGAAAGTCAATTCGAGAGCGGTCCAAATGATCACCGAAGTCGAAAACCTATATGAATTCGGAGTTAATATAGGCATACTTCCAGAGGCCAGAGACACAAAACGCATGTTAAATCGAATGAAGTATCGTTTCATGTCTCTCTCGTTGTCCGCGTCGACAGATGGCCCGGACTCCGCTTTAGCGAGAAGTACGGACGAGGACGAGGACAGCGACAGCTGTTGAGCTATTGGCGCATGAAATTGTCCAGAAAGTCCTGAGGTTCTCGCATTCTGCCCCTTACGAAGCACAAATTCGTTGTACTCTTGCCTGGGCGGGGCTACCATTATCAGCTCGAAAGGTGTTACTATGTGCTCCAAAAGCCTGCTAGACAGAATAGAAATAAGGCATAAAAGCTACATTTCGTGAAATTTTTATGAAGTTATGAAACCAACAGAGCCACGATCTGTTGGCAAGCTACGGGGTTATGGAGTTACTGGGGAATCCCACCACTTCCCCAGGGAGTCACGGGGGGTCACAGGGAGGGTCACGTGACACACAATGTTGGAGGAATAGCAAGCATACCCAAGCATATCGGAGAAATTCAAATTTATTCCTGCAAACGTATACATTTCTCTATGTGACTACTGACTCTCCAGCCTCTCCTCTTCTTTGAGATCCTCCCGACTCTTTTGACTCATTTTCCTTAGATGGTGTGGGATAGCTCCATGGTAGGTACCTAGGGCTAAACAGAAACTGTAGGAAGAAGCTTATGTCGTGTATCGTATATAGAAAACTCAAATATATAGACACATAATGTATTGTCACTTGCCTATGAGATAGCAAAACAAGTGCTAATGCCCAATGACAGCAACCGGATGTCGGATGACATGACGGAGGCGGGGTGGGGTAATTAACGGCTGCATTAGGGAATTTCGCAATTACTGGATACGTACATGTAGCGACCTGACTCGAAGGATTTGACAGACGGGGTGATGAACGGGACAATATGTACGTGTGAGGCACAGAGGGAGAGAATGATATGATATCCGTAAAAGGAAAATGAACAGCCATGCTGGGGTTTCATGACAGGGGCTCTACTGGTTAGATCGAGTAGAGGGCGTAGAACGGGGTCATATTCATAATAAATCATTCACGAGAGATTCTCAAGAGGTTTGGTTTCTCTCTTTCAAGGGAGGAGATAGCATTTCTATTTACGCTCATCAAACTTCTACAATCTAGGACTGTTGGGCTTCCTTTGCCGGAACGTTGGTTTCAGCGGATATAACATTCCGTCAGAAGTTTGTGTCACCTGGGTGAAGTTACGTCAATGCTACTGTATCTCCCGACGACAAGATCTGTCCCGGTGTTTCCGTGTAGATATCCAATTGCTATAACTCCGTCGTCGCCAAAGGGTGTAGTCGATTGTAAATGATATAGGGGGTCTTGGCAAACCTCGGCTAATCAGACAGGTTTTGCTACAGTTGACTTTGTATAAGGCACGGTTAACGACGGAAATGCCAGTACCCTCACTTCCGGGCTGACAGATAGGGCAGAGAGCTCGGGGTGAAGAACGTATTAGTGAATTAAAAAAAAAGTTTTCGTTTCTATTGACTAAAAAGTATCTAAACCAGGTTGATGTGTCTATAGCATAGCTCTTACACCTTGACCTTTGACCTCACGCAACTCATCGACTACCTTTCTCGCAGCCACGAGAGCGAAGCAAGCGGCAGTCAGCGTTGGATTGCACGCATTCTGGGTCGGGATCACGCCACAACCTCCTAGAAACAAGTTGTCTAGTCGCCACACTTTGGAGTGTCTGTCTACCACTGAGGTTCCGTCATCTTTCTTGCCCGCACGGGTTGTCCCGCAAATATGCATTGCTGCGCCTGGGGCGAGGAATCTGGGCTCACCCCCTGGTAAGAAGTTGCCTAGCGTAGAGGCAACGCGTACCATACTATCACTCATCTGTTAAGTACAATGTTTTTTTTATCAGGAAGTGATGATCTGAAGACTCACTCTTTCATCATAGCTTGCGCCATTTCGGCGTCTTCTCTTCCAAGCCGGTAGTGTATAAGGGGCTGAAAGACCTGTTAGAACCTAATTCGGGGATAGGGGGAATCAATTAGTCATACTTGAGGCATGCCGAATAAGTCTACCATATCCGATCTAAATTCGACATAATTGTCGTAATAAGGCTTGACGTATCCAAAGAAACGGATGTCAAGGATAAGTCGTGGATCGATAGCAGTTGGGATGGTGTTATGATGAAATGGATCTCGCTGAATCTGCGTGTGCCATGGGAATTCCTTGGACACTGGCGTTGTGATCTAATATGAAAAACTTCAGCACTGTATACCGATTATCACAGGGTAACGTAGATTATTCACCTGAGGAGAGGGGTCATTGTAAGGAATACGCAAGACATCTTCAGGGTACTTTTCATGGTGCTCTTTACACCGCGGGTCGTCCCAGGCGGCTTCGATTATATTATTTCTTAGTACTACTTGGCAAACGGACATAGTTTGCTCCGTTAAGTATCGACCCTGGTTTCTGTAAGCTCACTGAGATAATGTAATGAATTAACTTGACCTTACAAGAGCGGGATATCCCGTGTCTTCTCGGATTCCCGAGTTAAAGAGTATGCCAGCGGTTAGAGTTGCTCCTGCACAAACAACGTACTTCTTCGCTTGGGCATAAACCACCTCGTTAGTCCGCAGGTTTACTAGTTCGGCTCCAATAACCTGCCCTACTGCTGCATCTATCAGCAACCTGCGGCAACAATGGTGGGGTTTCAATTCGAAATTGCCCCTGTTGTATTTGGGATCAGCGAGGTCGCCCAAGATTCTAGCCGGGCCTGTCCATCGGATATAGTCTGGGTTGTCTTTGCTTCGCTCGCAGGCCAGGGGTAGATTCAGAAACTCTCGCCCCTTGTGCTCTCGTAGGAGAGCGTTTTTGACAAGATGGTGACGAATGGAGTCGTCAAATTCTGTCGTGGATGTGTGAAATAAGCCTCTGGCTTCATCATAAAGGGCTTTCCATTCGTCATTTGAAAAGGTATCGGGTCTTTCAAGCTCAGGGTGCATTTCTGGCGTGGCGCAACTCCAGTAAGAGCCCATACCTCCGACACCCCTCACTACAGGTGCCACAGGCAGGTTACTGTACGGTCCTTGCTCAACGCTGGCAGGGTCCACGTCGAACTCGGTACATCTGGGTTCGTTTAGTGCTGCTAGACTAGACTACCGCATACACTTACGAAACTCGGACCACGGGCCGCTGTGATGATCAACGTGGCACTTCCTGTTCAAGGCAATATCCACAATTTTATTCGATACTAGGGCTGAGAATAGTGGAAACTTTGCCAGATGAGGAAGTGCCATGCCGATCTTCTCAACGGCGCGGCGATCGAGTTTCGGGAGCATATGCGTGTAGAATAGGTAAGAAACTTACTCAGCCGACCAAGCCACTTGGTCCAGGGAGGCATCTGCGGCATCGGCAACTTCCGACAATAGGCCTAACCCACCCTGGACAACACTAACGGTCGTAAGGTTAACAAGAAGCTGAAACGAGGTTCATATGTTACACACCTAGTATAACGGCCTATGCCTTTCTGGAGGGTGATGCTATTTTTCTTATGGTCTCCGGCTAATCGAGTTTCCCTAGCAAAAAGATAGACACCCTTTAGAATTTGAAAATCAAGGTTACCAGATGCTATGAAATTACTAACTGTTCTCCCATCTCTATCATGAGAATCCTAATACTTGGATCGGAATCAGAGATAGTTCTGGCATAAACGGCACCGACGGGGCCGGATCCAATGATCAACACATCTGACTCTAAAGTCTTGTGTGCAGTACTATACTCGATTTGTTGCGTCATCTTGATTGGTTGTCGTGAAGCTAGGGTGTGTTTCGGAGTGTAACGAATATTGGAAATATGTTTCCGTCTCATGACGTTATTAAGTATATTCTCATGTTTCTACGCAGAAACCAGATCGCCGCACAGTGCTGCATGCTGACCGTGTAAGGGTAAGCAAGCGTGTAACCATACTTCGCGAGCAAGTTCGCCAAGGTTGCCCCAACTAGAGTGATGATTCTGTGAGGTAAGCATGCATAACAATGCGATAGTTGCTCTCTTACAAGCCCACAGTTCAAAGGGCGTGATCACGCAATTGTTGCATTCATTACGTTATGGACCCCAACACACGCGAGGTCATAGCCGTGCAACTCCAAAGGTTCCAAACCTTCCAAACCAAGCTAGATGAACAGTTTCGCTTCATTCCAGAGCTAGTGCCTAAGTCCCTATTCTCTAGTCATTGCCAGTCTATCGTGGAAGCTGTGTGGAGGAAGGCTTTCTGGGCCTAGAATTATTATTAGGAAAAGTTTTGCGTACAAAGTCTTGTTGAGTGTGTCGTGATTAGGCTGACTCTAATCGACCCTTAGTTTAGGCATGTGATCTGCTCATTTTAGGAGCTACAATATTGATGTTAAGGACAAAACGTGAGTACAGAAGCAGCGGCATCTTAAAACGGGACAAATGGCTCTCACGACTGATACTGTCGAAGAATTGATCCATCGCTAGGAGAAAATCACACACAGGAATTATTCGAGCTCAAAGGTAACGGTAGATTTCACACCAACGATAGCCGGGAAATTCTATTACGATACCGTTGATGACAGTTGTCGCACTAGAACCAAGCGCTGGGTTATCAGCTCTATTCAGGGTTGTTAATATCTTGAAATATATTACTCTCCATGAAAGACCGATTAGCTCAAGTTGGGAAAGGTCACGTTCAGGATACGCAGTCTTGTTTGTTATGAATTCTCTCCATAAGCTAGACAGGCAATTTTCTGTGGTTCTATGTCTACCTGGGCTCGTATATCAAAAATAAGGCAGCTACGCGTCCTACAGATAGTTTAACCCAGGAATAACAATCAGTTCCTCCGAGAAGAGACCTTCCCTACATGTCAAAATATTCTTTCACCAGTCTCATAGTATCGTTAGGGCCCATTACAGTATGCCCGATCGTCCTTGAGTCCTCACAAATCTCAGCGTCGTTGCCCCCTTCATAGGTACAATCCCCGAAAAAAAGAATTTTGTTGTAGGTAATACCACTTCTGTGTTTCTCGGCCTCTATGTGCCTCAAACAATATGTTTTGTCCCATCCCTTGGGAAACACATCGAAACAAGCTTTACCACCAATTGCGCATTTAAGATTCAAGTACGAGAACTCCCTCTCAATCGCTGTAATCATGGTCTTCCGGATTCGGTGTTTCTTGTCATACCTTTCAAACTTTTCCATCTCAGTGTTGCTTGATCCTTGGCCGATGAGACAAATATTCACGTTGCCATTCCGAAGCTCAACGAATGTGCCATGTTTGACTGGAATTCCCAGATCTGCAATGTACCGCAGGATCCAAGTGACGAGCTGCTTGTACTGTATCTCGCCAATATATTCAATAAAGCTTTCGCCTAGCATAGGAATCCCCATTCTGAAAGCCGTGAGTCCGTTCTCAGCGAAGGAGAAATCGAAGAGAGCAGTCACGGGTAGATGTGCTTTGCCGGCCTGTCGCTGCTGCTTGACAAGGGGGCCGCCACTGACATAACCAATTGCACATTTTTGGCGGAGTCGATAAAGGAACTCGTGCATCTCCTCAGAAACAAGCTACGTATAGAATCAGTATGAAGTCTTCAGGATTGGCAACAGGATGATATGGTAGAGGGAAATCTAAAGTGGGCGTTCGCGTCACATACCTGTTCCTGAGCGCACAATGTACCATCCAAATCAAATAGACATATTGTGTTCCTGAGTGGTCTTTCCTCAAGAGGCAAGCAGAAGGACTTCGTTGCCGTCATTATTTCTCATGTGCAATCTTGACAGTAATGTGAAGATAACTTTTACTACTATTGTTGTTTGACTGTCTACTGCGGCCGCCAGCCATAAGGAGAGATGGTGTAGTCCAAGGCACAGACACCCAATAATCCAGACCCGAGCAGTCACTCAATTCCGTACACGCCACTGCTGATGAGGGGTTGATGCACTATCTACAAAGCATACGTTGCATTTTCTGTAAGCATGCATTACTATGATCATTCTCCTAGGTGGACGGCTTTCCCTATGCATGCTGAAATGATTTCTAACACCCGATGACGTAATTATACGGAAGTTGCGTATGATTACCGCTCTGTATGCCAATGAAATGAACTTCAAAGTCGTTATACCTTGTCCGATGTCAATCAAGGAATGAGTATATCTACTTGAAGCAGTCGATATCATCCGGCCATAAGATCTCCATCTCGGGACCATCAATCTCTTATCTCTCATTCACACCCAGTTGTTAAAATATTCGTTACAAATATTTGTGTCTTCAACATGGCCACTTTGACTCAGACTCAACCATCGAAGCTTGCCCTTGATTCTGTTGATTTGGCCAACTCTGTGGTCCACCCAGTACTCAACATCCCTCCAAAGCAGCAGGCTTCCTTGCTTAGTGAGAGGACCCAGTATCATGGCGAAGTGCCTAGCCTTCATTTGAATACCGTTGAGCATCGTCAACGTATTCCTACTGCTGAACAGATAGACTTCCGGGTACGGCTTCTTCGCAAACTACGCGAAGGATGGAAGAATGATGAAACCGAAGCCCGGTTTCTGGAGATCGTCTCTAGAGTCGACTCAGACGGTGCCGCCCTTTTTGGTGGTCTGATTGACCCAGCCAAGTTCGAGAAACTCATCGAAGCCTACGATAAAGTTCAGGCACAGGCAGGTAATGCTGCTTTCATGCACTCGTATATCAATTTAGCCCTCCAACACGACTTCTTCTTGGGAGGAGACTACATTGAAGCCTTCAGTCATCCACTCCTGGTATCAGTTGTCTCATACCTTGTTGGCGGGGCTATCCGCATTGTAGAATTCAGGGGGAAAAATACCGACCCAATCTCAATCAATGCCCAGGACAACATGCTCCATGTGGACAACACTCCTTTTAAGGAGGAATATAAGGTCTTGCTCAATTGGCGACGAGGTCAAGTCAAAGGACCCTCAGGCCAGAATTTTACGTTCTTACCTTGGACACACAAGGGCAACCGCGCCATAAACTTCAATAGCCAAGGAGAGCCTTGGTCCTCGGAAAGAGATAGTCTTTTCGTTACAGATGAATCAATCGATGGGCTTTTTGAATTTCAAAAGCGCGTGAAGGGCGTGTCTCGTGTCGTCGAAGCGAGACATCCTGATCAGCCATTGTCATGCTTGTTCCCAGCAGGGGCTCTTGTTCACCAACGTTATCGTACCGAGGACGGAGATCCCAGAAGTTGCATAATCACAGCTTTCCACTTGTCCAAAAAGCATCCAGGCCATATTTCGGAGCTTCCGCCCGTCACTGGCCGAAAGAAGACCCTGATAGAGTTCCTCGTTGGTCACCAAGATGAAGGCTCCGATGACGAGTTTTTGGACGTGCTCCTAGGCGAATCACCACGCGTTGAGGATAAACTCGAAGAGCTGTTTCAGCCAGACCACCCGTCCAAACTTATAGAAACTGCTTCTCTAGCCCTAAGTGATGATAGATTGGCAGTGTGGCGCGAGACCGTCAAGCATGCGCCAAGCCCCATTGTACACAAACTCAACAACGGTCTTCGTCTGTCTGAGATGGACTTTAGTAATCTTGAGACCTTAACAGAGAAGCTTGCTGCTGTTATGGACTACGATAAGCATTGCAATCTTCAGATGATTCTCTACGAAGATGGCCGCGAAGAGATTCGAAAGCCCGGCCGCAAAATCATAGGCGAGAGGAAGAAGGACGCGATTACGAAGCGTCTAGGACCGTGGCTATCCGATCTTGGTCCGGCCTCATTCTCAGCCAGTGATATGATTGAGCCACAAACTTTAAGAATCTTGTGCGATGCAGTGGCAGAGCTAGCAGGCAATCTTACTGGGGTTCCATCTTCAGTAAGCAATCGCACCGAGGAATGGAATAATTTGACAGGCCAGACAAAAATCTTCGGCTCTCTAAGCAGGCTGATGACGGATTTAGGCGAAGCAATCACGAGGACCGAAGGCATTGAGGCATTCGTCGTGACCAGCTTGTTCCTATTCCTGGCTTCGGAAGAGATCTATTCTCACTTGTCAAGCTCAGATAAAACTGTCATTCGTTTTGTCATCGTCTTGTTCTTACGGAACTACATTGCGGCTGTTCTACTTGTGGAGTCAAACATGTCGTGATGCCAAAGAAATTTTAGTGCATCAGCGCACATCATGACCTCCCATGGAAATTGAGAGCATATGTCGCTTGGCTCTAAGGGTACTCTTTTTTGGTCTTTTCTTTTGTCTTATCTAGGCCAGTTCCTTCATACCTCTGCTGCCGTCACCTTCGTTCGACATTTGATTATTTGGTAACTGTTGGTTCCTACCTCGATCATATGTCATGGTCTAGCTGCATCAGCTCGATTGCGAAACGGGGATAGTAGAAAATCATTATCATATCATCATGCCTACTCAACAGTCACTATTGGGGTTTCCGGTCATGTTGAATCAGCTCCCTCATGTCTATCTCCCGCCCATGACGTAAAATAGCTAGTTAAATAACAAAACACTCATTAAGTTTAAGAGTCTGTAACTCTCGTTGTCTCAATTGCGTGCCTCGTGTTGCCTGTCAATTTAGAAGAAGCGCCATCTAACACTATCAAGAATGCTCAACAAAACAACGGCAGCGTTCAACTATACGGTATCGTTACTGATCATGTATATAAATCAAACAAATTTTCCATGACCATAGAAAACTTTCGGTTTATTATCTAGAATTTAATTTGACACTGTTGTTTCTTCTACCATTATCTGACCAGCTCTCAAGCACAAGTTGAGACAACACTCACCGGTTAAGTAAATGTTAAATATTTGTGGACTTCACACACGCTGGATATAGCTTTTCATGAGAGTCTACTCGTAACTCGAGAATCTTGTGCTTACTGGTAATTAACAAAACAACCTACCTCTTATGGGGGACACATACGACAATGAATGTCGGTCTCCCGTGAAGCCCGGCTACTTTTCGCCACTATTCTAAGTCATCTGACGTATGTGAGTAAGGTTATAGGAGGTCACGCCGATCGTTGAGTGACTAGACATATTGGAGTCTCAGTAAGATTAGTACTCAAGGTCGCGCATATGCATGATTACTTTAACCTGCATAGTGACTATCATTCCATACCTTAACCATACTCGTAGATTGTGTCAAAACCCATTGCACCCTTCACCCGGCCATGACTCATCATGTCACGAGCACTGTTAAGTAGAAGGCTTATCAGTGTTGAAAGATATTCGAACCAATGCTACACTGCACTCCTCTCCGCTTGTCGCCCCCGCAAGTGTTATAATTTGCATAAATCCTTAGAAAGGGCACACTCGTCTGCAATATTTTGTATGGCCATTGAAGATCTCACCACCACTTCACAGAACTTGCCCCTACTTCTTGAAACTCAGTTCTAACTATCTGAAACATGGCTCCAATTCAATTAAACGATATTGCGCACAGAAGATACAACCCGCTTAAAGACACTTGGGTGATGTCAGTTTCGCCGCATAAGTTCAAGCGGCCGCGACAGTGAGTGCACCTGAATAGTTCAGATAAGGCATGATAATGACATTCATTTAGAGGACAGAAGGAATCTATTTCACCTCCTGTGAAACCACCATATGATCCCAAGGTACACTCAAATTCTGATAATATCGTGCTACGAACTAACAGCATTATAGTGCTACCTTTGCCCAGGTAATTTTCGAGCCTCTGGCGACCTCAACCCTACATTCTCGGGGACATTCCTATTTGAAAATGATTTTAGTACAGTGAGGATGGATGAGGGTCACTATGAAGGAGATGGTTGTCATCATAGTATGCCACACTAATTAAGGAACATGATATTATTCAACACTAACTAGAACAGATACTTCAGAAGACAGCTCCTTCGACATGCTGCGTGCTGAACCCGTGATTGGTCGGTGTTATGTACTCACGTACTCGGAAAGACACAATTACAACTTTTCTGATCTGACTCCTTTGCAAGCGAAGGGGATTGTCGATGTTTGGGCGACCGTCTACGCACGGCATATCTCTACTGAAGATCCCCTGGCTCTGGCGCATACCAAACGTCGCGATTCCAGTTGTGGTGAGAACTGTTCGAGAAACACGGCACTCAGATACATGCAAATATTTGATAATAATGGACCCATGGTGGGAGCTTCAATCCCTCATCCACATGGCCAAATCTGGATAACCTCGAGCATTCCTGACGAAGCAAGTCAAGAATTTACACATATGAGCAACTATTATAAACACCATGGAGGCAGCCACTTGCTACAGGACTACGCTCAACTAGAGATTGCCAAGGAAGAACGCATTGTTTATCAGAATGCGATGTTCCTGGTCGTCTGCCCCTGGTGGTCAATCTGGCCCTATGAAGTTCTCTTATTACCGAAAACGCACGTCAGCAGGCTTGTTGACCTAAGTGAACTTGGCCGGTTTTGTCTAGCCGATGCTATACTTCAGGTGACGAAAGCCTATGATAACCTTTTTGGAATCCCCTTTCCCTACAGTATGTGCCCATGTTCAGGCTCCTAAAGCAAAGAGCAGTCAAAGCTTACAACTAATGTAACATTTAGTTTCGGGTATTCATCAAGCACCTTTAAATGCCACACAAGCCGAGCTAGACCGCAGCTACTTACATATGCACTTTTCCCCACCTTTACTATTTCCTAATATCAAGAAATTTTTCGGCGGCTGCGAATTATTCGGGGAGCCGACTCGCGAACTCCTCCCCGAGATTGCAGCAAAGCATTTGAGGTATTCCCTTTCACAGCTCCCGACGGATTGCGCAAGATGCAAAACCCCTTGCACTCAAGTACGCGCGAATAAAATCACTATTTTAAAGCGACCCTTGAACGGGGAAAGAACCCGTGCTGAAGCCATCTCTTCGTGGTAATAAATAGTACCCCGAACCTTTACATGGCTCAAATGGTAGTATAGCCGAACTGCTGCGAGATTTCAGCTCAAGCCGATCTCAGTTCGTCCCGATACTAGTTGACATTGTGCTGGTTTGGTTTTCTTTTTTCACCTTCCCGTTTGTGTTGTGGTACGCCAAAGCTTTGGGCTTGAATACAGCTAGGACTTTTTATATCTGAATTTCTCTTCTTCTTTTAATCGTCTGATAGCTTATAGGCTTGGCCTAGAGTCGACTCATGCACCACAATACCACAAGTCTTCTGCTTTCTGTGTTTGATACAAACCTGTCGAGTGCCCAAGATACACCTGCGCTGAATTGAGAATGTATGTTACTCCAGCCGGTAGTTATCTCTACTATTGAACACCACGTTGTTGGTTCTGTGTATATTATATACTATAGTGAACTACCCATTACAGAGGTTTGGGAAGAAGTTCGTCCCCCACTGCACATATATGAGTGCTTACTTAACTTCCCACTTACTTAAACAGCCAGCTCAAGAGTGAATTGTATTTGAGATCGATCGCTAGAATACTATAAAAAAACAACTAGACACTTTGATTCCTCTGCCACAAATAGAGTCGATAGCATCAGGCTCGACGATGGAGATAATTCTCTCCTACCTATCTCTCTATTCCCCTTTCCTCTTTTACTGAAAGGTCTCCGTTCGAGCCATAACATGTTCTACAAGAGCAATCGAATACGAACGCGCGAAATGCTTTCGCGCGTTTTTGCGCCATGTTCAAAGGGGGAAATAGCATGGGTGGTGTTTCCCGTAAGCTTGCTGCACAATTACCCCTGATCGAGTCTAGCGTGCCACCCCGCAAATGCATGCTCACTATGATAAAGATCAAAACCGCGGAGGAAACCCAGGGAATGCATGCTTATGTGTTGAAAGATATCGATCCTCGGCTCTCCCAATCATGTCAGAGCTAGAAGGATTCTCCCCCCCAAAGAGTACAGGAACGTTCAGAAAAGTCAAACGATATGTAATTTACAGACAGCTTACATGAAAGAGGAATTTGCATGTGAATAGGTATCACAGGGCTACGTATCGGAATTAGATCCCAAGAGTTGCATCACTCGGCTTCTACTACTCTTTGTGCATTCCGTCCTCATTCTATGAATTTTTCTATGCCGTAAACCTTCTCATTACACACCTATTGAGGGCCAAAGCCACGGTATAATCGACTAAAATACCCGTTTCTACAAGATCATGATTCGGCGAGCCAATGAGCGAATGAGGTATCTACCCATTCACCGCGAATCAACCTCTGAGGCGTCCTCTAGTACTAGTGGAGGGTCGTATGTTTTTCCTTCTCCGGCGAAAAGTGCTTTGATTATCGGTATCGTTTGGATATTGCTGATCATCACTGCTTGGACGCGCAATGTCGTTCTTCTCCCCCTCAATGAGCCGCCTCGTGAGGTTACTGGAGATGGCAGGCCCATAGTACACACGATGAATGGTACTTATGCAGGCATCCACTTAGATTCCCTCAACCAAGACGTATTTCTCGGTATGCCGTATGCAATTCCACCCTTAGGGCCTCTTCGATTTCGACACCCACATTCTTTGATAGAGACATGGAATGGCGTACGTGATGCAGAAGCTTACGGCCCTCAGTGCCCTGGATACGGCGTATGACAGTTAACATCGATATATTGACAGGCATTTTGCTGACTTTTCTTAGAATGACTTAGGTACATTCACACACGCAGAAGACTGTCTCACAATCAACGTCATTCGCCCGCTCAATGTCCAAACATCACCTTTACCGGTTGCTGTATACATCTATGGCGCTGGAGTTAAAGTTGGGGGTTCTGATAATCAGAGATACAATCTGTCTTTCATAGTGAAGACTGCATCAGACGCTGGCTTGCCCTTTATTGGTGTTTCGTTTACTTACCGGGCATCTGTGGGCGGCTGGATCATTAGCCGCCAAGTCAGGGGTTCTGGGGAGACAAATATCGGATTTCACGATCAACGAATGGCTTTGAGATGGGTCCAGGAGAATATCTCATCTTTCGGAGGAGATCCGAGAAAGGTAACCATCTGGGGCGGCAGCTCTGGCGCTAGAGATGTCGCTTACCACCTAACTGCTTACGGCGGTCGAGATGATAACTTATTCCGGGCCGCAATTATGCAGAGCGGGTCTGCTGCAGAAGAAACATCCTCTCGTCGTTTTACGGCACAAGAGATGTACGACGCTCTAGTAGCTGGAACCAGCTGTGCGGAAGCCGAGGACTCGCTCGACTGTCTCAGAGGCATCCCTTATGTGGAGATAAACAAAGCCTTCGCCACGTCAAAGTATGGATTAGGGGCTATGGCCAGTGTTTTTGGCGGACCGTCTATTGACGGTGGATTTCTCCCTAACTATGGAAGCTTGAGTCTTAGAAACTCTCGAATAGTGAAAGTGCCGGTGATTAGCGGCATTGTGTCCAATGAAGGAATTAATCAAATACCCACAGATGTGCGCAACTGGTCCGATCTCCGGGAATACCTTATAGGTCAGATCAAGAAGGTAACTTCCTGCTTCTACAGATGACAGTATGACTGACTAAGGAGCTAGACTGGCTTTTATACCCCAAATCCGTGGTAGATCAACTAATGAGTCTTTATCCACCGATCGCCCGCGGTAGTGACGACAAGTTTCAGCCACCAATTGATAGCATTTCGATCTCCAGTAGAGCGGAATTTGATCGCATCGAGCAGCTGATGGGAGACCTATCCAACAACGCCGGAGCTAGACTTACTTGTGAGTGTTATGCCAATATCACAGGTTGCTATGCTTTCAGATTCGCGGCCACCGTATCGTCCATATATGACGAGCGGCTAGGAGTCCGTCATGGGGCCGAAATCGGACCTATTTTCCAAAGTTTTGATGGAGTAGGTTGGGATGTAAACCCCTTCGCGGGAAAAGGCGAAGGTCTCCGGCACATGTCTCGTATAATGGGCATAATGTGGGCTGGTTTCATTACATCCTTAGACCCAAACGTAGGGCTAAGTCAAGATGACCCCAACTGGCCGAAGTACTCAGCATCCGCACGCCGGATAATGGTTTTTCATGAAAATGGATCATGGGTTGAAACAGGGGACCGCAGGTCAGATGCTTTAGACTATATAGATACAATTCAGGAAAGCATCCTAGAGAGGTAGTGTTGTGGGATAAGAGATGGGTTAGTAGCCCTCGTCAGTTCTATTACACGTGTTGCGATACTTAGTTATTTGATACGAATCTAATAGAGTATATATATCTCAATTGTTCCTGATTGACATTTTTTGATGCTCTTAGTTTCATTATTGCGCTATGACCTGCCAAGAGTTTAATTGCCTGCTAACTTCTCAATGGTAACATTCACAAGGTTGTCTATCGTGGTCAAAATGAAAAGAATAGTTCTACGATTCCTATTAACCGCACAGTCATTAAACACAACGAATGGTTTCGGTAGATAGCATTCTGAATAGGCAAGTTATCTTGGAATTAGCTCGACATCTAAGTTGACAATTTCGCGAATTGGCTCTCTTCCGAATCTCCGAACTCGTCTATACAAGATACTAATGTCGGTGACCTGCTATTACATCGTGCACTATGTTTAATATTTGCTGTGAAGTCAACATTCCATACGTTAGATGGCCAACCCTCCACGATAGCAATTTCACTGGTCAACGTCCCTGCCTTCTTATGATGATGGAAAAGCTCCGGATTGATAGTCACGCACTTTAGAAATCCAGCCTGGCACCAGTGCGCTAGATCCTTAGTGATGACGCCCTTAAACGCCCAATTTTTAGAGTAAAGATGGAGTTTCCTAGCAGCGTCTCCCGTCAGCGCATATGCGTAAGTGCACATCGGTGTTGCTGTCATATGAACTAAGCGTTGTTGGGGCTCAGTTGTCAAGACAGTGAAGCGACCGTCATTTTCGCGATACTTCACATTCAAGTCGATTGGTAGAGACTCATCTCGTAAAGATATGGCATTCGGCGGAATGAAGTCCCCACAGTGTCCAACCCAGAGAAGATCCCAAGCATTACCGTAAGGTTGCGCTGTCGAATAGCTTGTAGATTTGGTAATCTTACGTATTGCGGGGGCTACTAGAGCTAGTTGCTGCTTAATGGAGACATCCCAATCAACATCGTCTTCAAGCACCAAAAAGGTTGCCCAGTTATGCTCTACTGCGTGCGACCATACGTTGATATGGCCGAGCCAACATTGGGTCTCACCTGGGCCAAGTTTTTCGCCGGTCGTATCGTCCAGGCCACGAAAAGCATTGACCTCATGTGTGGACCATTTCGGTTGGTTTGGTATATCGACTTTCAACTTCACACAGTTAGCCATTATTTTTAGACTAACTATTTTGAGCATCGCAAGAAGAGATGGTCGTAATCTCGTCTAAGAGAGCAATTGCCACATACGCCTGTGAGGTTAGCAGCGTCTAGGAGTCCCTCGCTTCGCCAACTCCAGCCTGTTGATACAACGGCGATTCCCTCGAACTATTCATTAGTCAGTGAATAGTGCTTTTTAAAGATAACTGTCAGGGAGCCTACTCCTAGCGTGGCGTTATATATATTTCGTTTATATGCATTTCCGAGGTAGGGGAACGGCAAGTGTTTGAACGAATGAATAGAAAACGCGATGAAGAAGAGCGGTGCCACTACAGCTAGCTTTGAAATTCTGCGCCAAATGAGAGACATCGTCAAAACTATGAGTACTTTAATCTCCTGTGTATAGTGTTCTTTCAAAGCCAGATCGCTCAAAGCCACCATGGGTATTGGAGTATCGACCGAAGTACGTCCAAATTCCAAAGATCAGTCGAGCAATCGAGGCGACCTAAACATCTGGACGTTGGCGAGATTAGACTGATTACCCCAACTCACCCAGCAACCCCCAATTTCTGACTAGTGTGCGATGCGCATGTGATCCAACGATATTCTTCTGAGGCTTCGCCGTCGGGTAGCATGGAAAGCATAACAGTACATGTAACATACTTGTCGACATGCTTGCTTAGGAGATCTAGACTAACATAATATGCAGTATTACCGCATCATCAAAAAGATGCTGCAGTTTACCATATACTGCAGGGCAGTTGATTATCTAGGTAGTTTCTTATGCAAGGTGACTGCGTTATGCATCACGAAATAACATCACAGCTTAACAATCTGTGTTGATATTCCAAATACTGTATGTCCAATTATCATCTGATCAAGGCATTGTTGCAGCACTCTATGTTAAGCATATTAATTAAGAAGTCATCTGTCGTCTTGGCAGCTTGTCGATCATCATCCTTCAGTTCAACACACTTCAATCTTCCCTTTCACAGATATTACACACAAGTTCATCCTAGTATATCTAGTCCCTTCAACAAGCTATCATCATGAAGTTCACGGTCGCCTTCCTTTTTGCCGGTGCTCTGGCTGCCCCCGTCCAGACCATTCCTTCGAGAGAGATAGCTGCTGTCCCTCGAGCAGAAGCGAATGTCATTCCTCGCGCAGAGGCAGCTGTGATATCTCGCGCAGAGCGTGACGCTATTCCTCGCGTCGAGGGCAATGTTGTAGCTCGTGCAGAGAAACAGGCCATTCCTCGAGCGGAAGCGGCTGTGATAGCTCGTGCAGAGAAACAAGCCATTCCTCGAGCAGAAGCGGCTGTGATAGCTCGTGCAGAGAAACAAGCCATTCCTCGAGCAGAAGCAGCTGTGATACCTCGCGCAGAAAAACAAGCCATCCCCCGCGTAGAGGGAACTATTGTCGCTCGCGCAGAGCGTGATGCTATTCCTCGCGAAGAGGGTACAGTTGTGGCACGTGCCGAAAAAGAAGCCATCCCTCGCGAAGACGGTGCTGTTGTAGCCCGCGCAGAGAAAGACGCTATCCCTCGTGCCATTGTAGCTCGTGCTGAAAGAGATGCTATCCCTCGCGAGGATGGTGCTGTTGTGGCCCGCGCGGAAAAGGAAGCCATCCCACGCCTTGAGGGAACTGTTGTCGCCCGCGCAGAGCGTGATGCTATTCCTCGCGAAGAAGGCGCTGTTGTAGCTCGTGCCGAAAAAGAAGCCATCCCACGCGTTGACGGAGCTGTTGTAGCTCGTGCTGAAAAAGAGGCTATCCCTCGTGCTATCGTGGCTCGCGCAGAGCGTGACGCTATTCCTCGCGGAGAGGGAGTTGTTGTGGCGCGTGCAGAGAAAGAGGCTATTCCCCGTGTGGATGGTGCTGTGGTAGCACGGGCAGAGAAAGACGCCATTCCTCGCGCAGAGGCTACTGCTTAGGTGGTGGTCGAGATACCTCGTATTTCACGAGACGAAGAAGAAGGCGCTCAGACAATACCCTCAAATTTCCCAGATCGGTTACGTGGATGGTGCTTCATCTAAATCCGAGTTATTTCATTCATCAACTACGACGGTATCCTGGGACACTTCTACTTGAGCTATGCGCCTTAGACCTACCTTTTTCCCTACTAGTTACTATGGAACGGCAAGAAGTGCAAGCGGTGCCCCGGCTGATGGGTCTCTATGAGGGCTCTTGGCAGATTGGATTTCATTTTAATTGATTTGCTGGATGCGTGGTTAAATCAAAGATACAAAAAAACGAAAGAAAAAAAACAGTTTTTAAGGTTCACATACAAGAAAAACAAAAAAAATGATTTAGGATAGAATTCTGACTACACTCGTTAATAACAAAGAGTTCTATCTTATTTGGCTTTCTTGCTTGTGCCCAGTATGCTACCTAGGACATTTTCACTTATTAATTACTACTTGAAGGTTCCGCTTAAAATTTCTTTTTACCTCTTAATACTGAGGTTCTTACACCACGATGTGTGAAAATAATATCAACACGATAGTGTGAAATTTACCATAAGCTCGAACGCTTCGTGAGCTATTGACCTACAGTAAATCCAGTCACGCAAGCCCATGTCACCTCTAACAACGTCGACTAGCATATGACATATATCTATTAGCTGGTAAGGGTGCCATGAAAGAATCAGTAGCTTTCAAAGAGTTGCAGGACCTCTGTATCAATGTCTTGGCCAAGATATCAGGACTGAACGACGAGCATGTTGGCCTACCAGAAACCTAGTAAGCCTATGCTCCGTGTAGCAGGTCCTTGAAGTAGCGCTCTGGTAGTGCTTCATCTGTAGCTGAGTGTTTGAAGATGTGCTTGTCCACACTCGAACGGGGGAGTTGACATCAAACTATGGTAATAGTCCCCTCCCACTATAACGCGCCCGATTTACGGATCAAGCATCAGTCACGATTCAAATGGATTCATTGCAGATTGCCTGGGATCAGGGAGAATATATGTTGCATCAGAATCTCAACAGCATATTTTCTAGATACAGAATCAATTATCTGCCAAGTCGCGGAGAGCGTTCCTCACTACGCCCAGAATGACGATAATGCATGATGCCAAGAAGTGTAGTGCCGTAACCAACACATGATACCACAGTGATTTCATCTTTCCACAATACTAAGGATAAAACAATGAGGCCAATATCCTTCAGGATGCCGCACACGCTAAGAGTAAGAGATGATGTCTTTTTAATCTACCTCTTATTAGCAGATGCAGATTAACAAGAACGTGGGCTGAAGTTTGTTTAAATCGGCACGATCGATAACGTGCAGTGAAATAGAGGAAAAGTACTCACCACAGAGAACCCGATCATGTTTAGACAGAAAGATAGAACGCAACTTCCCATTACGTATATCCACGCTCCCTGTATTTCAGATATGCTTGGGAAAGGGAGACCCAAAGATGCAAGCAACCCTGTCAATGTAGATAACGGCGCCAAGTAGTAGAGCATCTCAAACGCCTCGAGGTTCATGTCATATGTGCTCAAAATCCGTTGCATCAAGACAAGACGTACTGCATCCGCAATCACGGCGACAATCTGTAGTAGAGTTCCCACGGCAGATGGCTCACTCCAGCCATACGTTGCTATCACAACACCGCCTGATATCAACGCAATATCAAGGCACTTGGCAGCGTTCAGGGCAGCAGCACCAGATATACAAGAAATGATGTACACTGCCACAGGGGAGAACGCTTTGAGCATCTGAATAAACGCTACACTAAGTTGAATATATGCCATGTTTCCGCATATAATGCTGAATGTCATGAGGGCGGCAACGGGAGCAAACAATTTAAGATGTTTCATGATGCCAATGTACGTCTTGGTGTTCTTGGTAACATGGCCTCCAGTGAGCACGATGAGCTGAGAGCATATTGTGTTGAACATCAAATGACTTGTTGCAAGAAAGGCCGCTGTGATGAGTAAGCAATCCTAGTTGCGATAGACTATTAAAGATAAGATCTCACGGTAGTCTGAGAATAATGAGCTGAGCGTTTCATAAAAGTTGGCGAGGTGGTACTCACAGAATTCGAGGCTATACAAAATCCATTTGTTCAATAACACGAGGCTCATGCTCAAGCATAACCAAGTACTGAGATGCTGATCATTAGCCTGGTCATATCATGATAAGATTCAAGAACGCATACCTGATAGAGAGCCATACCCACCCCTGATTATTCGAGTTCGAACTCATGGGTGCGCAGGGGGGTTTGGCTTGAGGTAGGACGCCTCCTTGACATTAATCGATCAATCGCGAATATGGGGCGCTAGGGTAATTCTGTGTCTCCTTCCGAAACAAAGCCAATTGAAACAGCGATCATTACCAAACTGATGTAAAGTGTACACTTGGCAAGAGTCTTGTTATACTTGCCCAGACTTGTATCGTTGACGACTTGCCTTTCGAGGACATCTCTCGTTTTCCACGGCATATCAGATGTGTCCCACAATGAGTGCATTATGCTTACGACTCCAGAGACAAACTGCATGCTTACCTTGGTTTAGTATGTACAACTTAACTAGAGATAATACTAAACAGCCACCGATGAAAACCCCCCTGGATCTGCAACTTGCATGAGGGGGTTATGAACACTAGGACCTAAAGCCGCTTATTCTAACATCGCTGGTTCTGATTATGCCTCGGGTATTTACATATCACATTTCAATTCCCAGGTATCTCCCTAAACATAAAGTGCAAGCCGCCTTAGAACTTCTCGAGGGTTCTTGGATTCCCCCTTAATTCACACAACAGGACAACAAAGCTGAATAACAACTTCAGTATTAGTCTTTAAGACTATTAAAATATTACTGCTAAATGAGGGTATAGATCAGGGCTTATCTGCGGTACTTAGATTATGCTGCCTCGGGTACCATGAAGTATGGTAGTGTTGATGAGGCTCATGGAACGGTACGATTCACCGGAACTGCCGGGGCATTTTCAGCAAGTTCCATACCTTAGCGCATCAGCCACGAAGTTCACGGTAATAAGCAGGCCAAGGAACTGCAGTGTAATCACGCATAGATGGCGGGAACGTCACAGCACCGGGTGGTCAAGTGACTGCTTGTGATGCAACGAAGGTAAGCACGCATGATGCCGGCTGATTTCACCCCTTGATCTAGACTATCTGGGGTAAGGTTGAGGCTCCTCAGAGGCACAGCAGATGCGCCGAAGGGCATGAAATGCTGGGAATAACACGGATGCTGGTTTCTGGATGATAAGCATAGGATGGTGTTCGGGACCAAGACGGCAGCTTTATGACTGTCGATATCGGGGCCATATGAAGCACAAGTATGGAGTATAGGTATAGAATTCTGTACATTCCGATAGGCAAGGTTACTTCCCCCAAATTACTTTTCAGCCTGCTGTGTCAAGAGTCATACTGCAGCTTACTTACATCTCAACCCGCAAACAAGAAACACGATGACTGCGAACGCGTCTTAGTGGATGGACTACCTAAACGGGTAGGGCTGTAGAAAGGGCCTTGGCACCTATAGATCCCTGAAAGTACAGGTCCCTAGGTAGCCAGTGTAGCGCACTATGCTGTCTCAATCGCTTCGTCACTGCAAATCAACCTCATTCAGCTTGCATCATCATCAGTCCATCTCATTGCATGGCTCCATCTATCTACCTTATGACTAGCACAATGCCCACAGGTCGCCAATGGTTGCCATGCCGAAAGATCTCCTTCGAGATGATTGCGCCATACTACGAGTCCCATGCCCCTCACTACTACGACTTCAGGGCAACGTTGGAGCAGAGGCAGTCTGACCAGCACCTCTCCAGCAAGGGCCACACTCACCATCATCCATAGAACATGGAACATGGAACATAGTATCTGCCTGAGTCGACACTCCCCTGCCCTCTCGATCGCATCCATCTAGCAGCTATAGACCGCACCTTCAAGCCACATAAATTCCACGTTTGCTATCACACACAGTCGCTCATAGGCACAGCGCCCCGGAACCTATCGACGGACACACGACGGACTGCACGTTTCACGCCCTCGGTTCCACCCTAGAGTCTCATGCTGTCTATTCGTTACTACAACAAGTCAACCAAAGGTACTCGGAAACGTATAATGATTGACACCTCGACGTCTACCGCAAAACCCTGGTCGAAAGCATTGAGCCGCTGATGGTCCGACATTGAGGGTCTAGATCTGGTCACCCAGCATGGCAAGACGAATGGGATCCAGACATTCCATGACACCATGGCCGAGGTTCCACTCCCTATAATCCAAGCCTAAAAGGTTGAAAACAGAGGGTCAAACGGAACCAAGGCCGATGTCTCTGGTGCGCTTGATGATAGTAGCTTTGATTAATCTCTCATTCACTGAGAATTATGTGATTTGGATGGAAGTCATTGACTCTTTCCCACCACGTAGTTGACGCGCCGTTCACCTATCGAGTAGTTTCCCATCTCTTTAACACTTATTCTGCTCCCACTCCAATTAGTAGAAAGGAACCGCATCGTGTCGTCGATAGGAGTCGCCGGCTTGCTCGGTTGACTGGCTTGGATTCTAACACCTTGTCCCTATCATTCGTGGAAGGAGTCCTCATGCTGTAAACCTTTCTCAGCAGAAAGTTTTGTCATCCAAGTAACCTGCAACTGAATTCAGAGTAACTCGGGGTCGCATAATCCGCGCCTTTGGATCGTTTTCTACAGACCTCTATTTACTATCCCCCTTACGAAGCGATTACCTTCGTGCTAACCAGGTTGGCGCCATACAACTAGATGGTGCAAGATGAGTAGACAGCTGTAGTGTTCTATCAGAGGCAGTCATCCTATTTTTCCCCATCAGTTATTATTCACATGCCGTCATATTTCAAGGGTGGAATGCGCATCTCTTTCGCTACTGATGAAGTAAGACTCGATATCATCCTGGAACGGTTGAAGGTGCCCTTCCAATCCTTCATAAAGTAGTATAAGGGTATAGGACGAGTCTTGATGAGTGATGAGCGTAAGCCTTAGGAATAGGAGCTTGATTGTTAGAAGAGTGTGTTCGTAATAAGCTGTTTCATACCATTAGCTTATCTCTGTGTTCTCTCAGCTCTACGACTTGAATGAACAGACTCGTCAATATTACCACTACATCATCTCAGCATCCTATGCCCTTCCTTTCACGTAAAAGAGCTCCTAATCTCCAAGCCAAACAACCTACGTCATCTACCAGCCGGAAAATATTCCCCCCTTCCCTTTGTATCAAAGCCTCCCTTGACAAAGCCTGTTATGACATATTTCCCTATCCTTTCTCTAGCCTTGAAAGGACAACAATGCCCTTAGTAACACACTCATTCGAATGAGAGAATCGTGTGCTAATTTTAATACACAATCGCTCTCACATAAATGATGGCTTCATCTCATATTAAGACTCCCTTCTTTCGCGCACCATGGGTACAAATTCTGCATCGTCCTCTTGCGTAAATAAGGTAAGTTACCTTTCAGTTGTGCAGATTGACAAGGTGCAGAGGCAAACTCTACTTCTGGAAGTTTAATCAAAATCTAAGGTTTCTTGATTAGGTTGCAAAGTGACTTTGCCACTGCCTATACGTCTTTCTGGGGTTATGTTGCGTTGCATTACCTCGTTTTACTTCCCTTCCCCCCTTACTCAGCATTTGAACATTCGTATGTTTTCTCGAGTAGTGCTTCTTCATCTTTTTATTTTGTTCGTTTTTACTCTGTTTTATTTGATTCCGTTTAGGTGAAACTCTGTATATCGAAGATTCGCGCACCAAGACTCTGGGAGTCGTAAGCTTACCAACTTACTCATCGACGCCGCAACTCATAACATCTTCATTCTATTCTACCTTTCACCTAGCTCATACCAATATCCATTAAGCTACACTTTCTCCAATAAGAGGAGAGAGAGAGAGAGAAAAGTGAAGCAGCAATGGCGCCGAAGCTCAGCCTGAAAACACCCCCGTTTTACACCCTAGATACAAACCCGACATCGTGCCTGCGCGCCCCTCACGCTCACACTCATACCCAGTGGCCCAGACACCGAGGAGTGAAAAGCGATCTCCAGAAGAAGCTCAGCACCGTCGTGAGGCGGGTACTCGGAACCTCGGCATCTTTATCCTCCTTATCCTCCTCTTCTTCATGTTCGAGTCCTCTCCCAAGTCCTCACTTACCCTCCTCATCCTCTTACATGATAACCCCACGCATCATCGCTGATGACGATGACGACGACGAGTGTTCCAACTACGGCGATGTCGAAGACAACGACATCAACAATAATAATAGTAACAACAATAACAAGAAAAATGCAGACATCCACCGCACGAAAAGCATCACATCCCCCAGCTCCCTCTCAAGCGCACATTCGTACTCGTCTCTGGCCTCTCTAAACCCATACACCGCAGACGCAGCAGATGTAGCGGCACTTCTATATCCCTGCCTTCCTCTTCCTGCTACTCCACAACTACACCGGAGGACGACAGAAAGGAGAGCAGGAGAAGTCAAGCGGAAGCCGATAACAATAGAAAGGATACAAATACCACCTATCTACAATAAACAGTACACAGAATACAGACAGGAAAAGATCGACTCGGCGCATATAGCGCGCCTAGTAGCGCGGGAGCTAGACCTCGCGCACGCGGCTGTCGTCGCGGAAGAAGGTGTCGCGTTGCGGGCGTTGAAGGATCGGACGAGGCTGGATTGGACTTCGTCGGTACCTGGGAGTTAGGTATCTATCTACCTACGGCAGGCACTTAGGTAATTAATGATATTAGTAGTGTGAAATAGACCGGCGATGTTTGCGCAGAGGAATAAGGGGTAGATAAGACTAGAAGGATGAAAAGCGAAGCGGATATACACATTAACTACGTATACAATCTATCATCGAATAATGTATTATTTAAGTCTCTTTTAAAATATATGGAAATTGAGCTCATTAATTATTTATTTATATACTTGTTGCCCGAGAATATCATGATATAGAGAGAGGTAGGTATTGAACTAAGCTAGGTAAGTGTAAATCGCATTTGTATTCATAAAATCTCAATCACTGAGGCGTGCAATAATGAGGATCATCAAGCCCTTTTCAATTAAACACCACCACCCACCACCTCGTACCTATTATGCCTCTCGATCCCTATCATATCAAAATACATCTCCATCCCTTCCTCAATAGGTAGATAATCCCATTCCAAAACCCCACAGCGCAGCTAATATTGCACTCACTGATTGTATATATCGAAGCAATGATATCATTGCCATCTACTATCAAAAAAAAAAAAAAGGCCTCAAATCATTCCATTTCGCCTCATATTTACGCGCATCAAAGTACTTAAGCTTATCAGAATCTCCTCCCGCCTAGTGTGTATCTATATAGCATAACTAAACTAACAATGCCCTCCCGTCCTTTCCTTTCCTTTCCTTCCCGTTCCCCCAGGGATAAATGAATAAAAAGAGACCACATGATGAATTGAAAACTGAAAATAGCATCAGATCAATCAACAAAATACCAACGCCGGTTACCCTAGATGAGAAAAATTCGTAGGGTACTCATATGCCGTTATTTGTCTACAAGCGTTCCCTCCCTATGACGCGCGGTTGCTGTACAATAATTTCCCTCTCCCGTGAAAATGGTTGATCAAATAATCGTCTGACCAAGGGCGGTGTTTACACCGTCTTACCGCCACAGTCAGGTATCTTGACACCTTTCTTCAGCTTTCGGTTGACGTCTAATATGCCCCATTGGTCTTCCCATTCCTTTCCCGGCTCGTTGAAGCTGATCTTCCACGGCTCGTCGAACATTTCGAACCAGAAATAATTCGTGCCGTTGTCTAAAGCTTGGCAGACCCAGGTGTCGAGCAGGGTATTAAGCCCATCGATGCTAGCCACGGCTCCGACATCACACGTCTCCGCCTCGCCACAGTCTTTGCCGCCCTTCGTCGGCCACCCGATTTCTGATATAACGTTCTTCTCAGCGTCGGACTTGAAGAAGGAGCCTGCTTTGTTGTGCCAGAAGGTCCAGGTCCATGCGGCTGCCTCCTTGGCGTCTTGGCCTGCAAAGAAGGGATGGACATTACCCATGATATAATCGCTGAGTTGTGCCAAGTTAGAGTCCCACTTGTCGCCGAGATCACTGGTAGCTACAGGGAGGTCCCAGTTGTGCTTGCTGAGGTTTGTGCGAACGTCATCCAGCAATGTTCCCAACTCGTACGCTGTCATCTGCTCGCGGAAAAGAATCTCGTTGCCGACAATCAACCCCTTAAATGGCTTGTCTCCGTACTGATCCAGGATGGTCCACATACGATCCAGCTGACGAGTATTGGTCTCGTTGTTCTCATCTTGCCATACGCCAAGCCATATTTTCAACTCGTCTTGCATCTTCAACTGGTTTATAGCATGGATCGTCATCTCGGTCTGGTTGCAGTCAGTTCCATACAATCGGATGACGTTGGTGAGTTGCGAGAGGATGGCTACGTCGCGGGTCACGTTATTCTGGGAAGGGGGATTCTTTTTGCAATCGGGGTATTGCACGTTGATAGGAGTGTAGTCCACTCCTGGGAACACCTTGTGAAGATTGGGGTTGTTGAGTAGAGCTTGTATCTCGTCGGAGTCGATGTTGAGATCTCCGTTCTGTGCAACGTCTTGGTCCGCCGATTGTCCCTGGGAGCCGCTTTCGCCAGATTTAGAGCCCTTGTTCGCGTACATAGATCCCAACACGCCACCAACGACAGCGCCGGCCACAATTAGCACAACGACAATAGCGATGATCCATTTCCATTTCTTTCTGCTGCTGCTCTGTTTTGCCATCCACTCAGACTTTTCTGCCCTAGCACCGAGATCATATTCACCGGGCGCGCCGCCTTGGTAAGCAGTACTTGACGGATTTTGTACTGGATCGTAATTAATGCCACTACTATTCCGGTTCCTTCCTATGAGACCGCCGAGAACACCGCCTGCTGCTGCGCCGCCAGCAGCTCCAGCAGCGGCAGCGGCGTTGTTATTTGCAGCTCTACTACCACTCGAGTTACCTAAGCTCAACATGCTATTTCTCGCAGAGCGTCGGTATTCGAGACCGTCATCACCATCGTCATCGATGTCGTTGGGATTGAACTGCCCTAACCTCGGGTCCATCCTTTGACCATAAGCCAGTTGAGGGTCTCGAAATGGATCACTCTGGAAACTGTTCATGCTCCGCGTGGGAGTAGAGGCGGCAAAGGGCGGTACCAAATTTGGCGAAGAGCTGTGGTTGCTTGGAGTCTGATAGGGTTGATCATGCCCGTAGGGCTGCGCTTGCGCGTATGAGGTATTCTGAGGTTGTGTCCGTTGATAGACTTGGGGATACGGGGGTTGTTGCTGTTGCTGTTGTTGTGATTGATACTGCTGCGTAGCTCTCATAGCCTCGAGCCCGCTTTCCCGGGCGTGTCGTTCTGCAACGCTCATGGCGAGACCAGGGATGCCACCGGCGGCGGCCTCGCTGAAGTTATCGGCGCCGGGGGTGATACTGTTTGGCTGTGATTCGTGTCCCCAGGTGCGCTCCACAGATTCGCGCTGTGAGGGTAGTATAGGTTGGGCTGCTGAAGAAGCCACTACTCCTTGTGTGGCGCCGCCCTGGGCTCTACCCTGGCGCAACCGGGCAAAAGACGAGTCCGGGTGGGCACCTGGACGAGCTGAATGTGCTGGCGGCGGCGGTGGGTTTGAAGGGTAGTCTCTGTAGGGTAATGATTCGTCTTCGTATTGCGGCTGAGAGGCGTCGACGTCGTACATGGGACGGCCTGAGGCTGGATGTCGCTGTGGTGAGTGAAGTGTGGTGTCGGCGCGAGTGTCGGCAAGGGCGTAGGGAGAGTGATCTAGAGGGGCGCGTTCGCCAGCATCGGAGTTGTAGGAGTAACGACGGCTCATGGTGGCCGCGTGTGAACAGGAACAGCGTTCGTGGGAATTAATATGAGGAGCCGTACTAGCGGCTCGTGGATGTGGGTCAATAAGGTAGAGACAAAGAAGCAGTACCAATCAACGGAGCAGTTTCTATGTTTGTTTGTAGTGTGTGGAGGTGTGTGTAGGCTGTTCCGGTATGGCGGGTTGATAGGCTGTCTCGTCCGTCGGCACCGTCAATACGAGAGAGGCGGACAGCCCTCGAGAAGTGTCGAGAAGCGAGCAGGCCCAATGGCGGTGCCGTCTCACGTTTGACGAGTTGTCGTACTCTGCTTGGACAGGCGTACCTAAGCACTTGGGGAGAGTGGGGGATCTGAAAGATAAACTTGCAGAAGAGAGGCGTCAAGGTCGAGGGGAGACGGGGATGGAGTTGGTGAATTCACCCGACTTGAGGATTGAGTCCGAATGACACGCAGACACATCAACGTGGGAGGACTGGTAAGTAATCTATCTCCTGATCTACCTAGCCTAGGTTCCTCAGAGGCAGATTCGGTTGGATGCACACTGTCTAACAATGATGTAAGAGTGTTCGAGCGGGATACCTGGTCGCATATGTCGTGGGTCGTGGGTTGGTATCCGGTGTAAGGCAAAGCCGCTGTGCGCCTTTCTCGTACATACAATACCGGTACAATACAGCGAAAAGAATGGAGGCAAGAACTGAGGCAAGAAATTGATTGAGGCTGTACACTACCAAGACAAACGGTCGGCGCGGTGGATGGGTGGTGTGTGTCTGGATGTGGACGAAGAGGGACGGACTGGTTGCCGCTCGACGCCAGCCATCAACACTGGACCATGGCAGGGCAGACAAAGCTGGGTTTAGTCCGACCGTCTTTTTTTCGACTCTTTTTTTTCGGCTCTTCTTTTCGATACGAGCAAATAGCGTGTCGCATGGCGTGGTGCATAAGTACCGCCCTGCAATTAGTACCTGTTAGTTTAATGGCATCGTCCCATCAGCAGAACCATCACAGTCCCCATCAAGCCGAGACAGGCAACAATCCCACCTGGCTGATACAGCTAGGCCGATCTCTTGCCGTCATCTCGGTCCGAATCAGGACAAGCTTCTCTAACAAGCATTTCACCAACATGTCTAGTGTTTCTGCTAGGACTGTTCGTTGCTGTTAGAGCCAGGCCGGGCCAGGCTAGAACCCAAGCTATTGAAGCTGAAGTCTCGCTTGTTCAGTACAGGCACTTATTTCTCGTGTCTACTGTACTATGCAGCCAATGCTTGCAATCCCCAAGTAACGGGTAGTTCCAGCATATGTGGTGTAGCTGCTGCTGTGCCTTTGATTTGCACATACATACAATATACCTACCTAGGTAAGTATGCAGGTAGAATAGGTACCGTACATTTAGAATACGGGTGGAATACGGAGGATCTCTGGGCTACTGAACTTGCAGAGTTGGAAGCGATGGGCCAATCAAGCCTACAGCGCTCCTACAGGGGCCTTTACTAGCATTCCCCTGTCCTCAGGGCAACTATAAAGACGGTAGTGACGGGGGTCATGACTGATGTAACCTCAGGTGCCATTTTGATCAAGCTGCGACGATCGCCTCTGCGGCCAAGGGGAATCACCGTGGTACACCAAGTACAACGTTTTGTAAATGTGGTGTGAATGGGCATTTTGCGACTATTTATGCTCAATATCCCCAGGTCCTTAGCATGCCACCTACCTAGCTTTCTCTCTGTTTCAGATGCGGCAACTCATACCTACAACACCTCGTAGCGGGTGTTCTAAATGTCTCGTAATGGGTTCCAAGTTGCAACCTGGTGACAGCCGGCCTGTAATATAGCATACAACGTTACAACTCCAACCTGCTACTTGAGGACACCATGAGTGTAGAATATCCAGGTCTGCTCAGGTGCCTCGACTATACTACCACCAACAGAAACATGAGGGCGCCGACCTACCTACATACTCTTGAACACCTTACCTAACCCAGGTAGGTATTCATGAATACGGGCTGACTGTACTGTAGGTACTTATGACCTACCGTACTACCTGGATGGTGGTCTGGCCACCTTCAGATTACCGCAATAGTGCACACTAAGAGCGCCAGCTTATTCCGGCAACTCCAATCTATTTATACTTTTATTGGCAGGCAACCCTTCAATAGGTTATCTACCTAATAAGTATGGACATGACTGCACATGAGGCCTTTGTTGGTTCGTTCGCTGAGCCCCGGCGAATGCTAACGCAAGCGTGATCCTTCCAGGGATTGCGGTGCTGTGGGAAACCCTATAACTTAAATCTCGCTGCCTCTCGTATTGTTAAGACGTGAGGTCCAAACTTTAATCTTTTGCTAGAAGCCTACCTACCTGAGAAGTGACTTTACTTACACTCCCGAGGTCAGCGCACGCAGTGCGTTCTTCTGCCGAGCTCTTCTTGAGGTTGATGACCATACTTATGCCGATCGCAAACGTCGCACGCCGCAATAGTCTATCTACTGAAACCCCTGACCAAATAAATGAAATTAAATCATGGAACATATGAGATAGATAATGGCACATCTTGACCAGCAGCGCCGCGCTTATATCTGACGCTACGAAACTCGAGGCATAGTAGGTAAACTTGATAGAGAATACTATATCTCTGAGGTATTGAGGATACGGAAGACTGTAGTATCTTGAAACGTTAGGAGGAACTAAGAGAGCTAGGGTTAGGACGAAATGTATCTCTAAGGGAGCAGGAGAGAAGAGCCAGTATATCCAACCACCAGCAATCAAAAACACCGTCCATTCCTAACACGTACACTAAGATCTCTATGACATACCTACTTGACACTTACTTGTTAAGTTATCTGTTTCTCGTTCCCTCTGTATTCTGTATACTAGTATATGGACATACATACAGCAAGATCGTACGTTAGCTAAGCTGAAGCTGCGAGGGATGCTCGTGCTATATTAGAGTCGGCTACCAACTTGCAATGAGGTACAGAACAGAAGCACCAGCCAACACGGCGGAATTCAAGCTGCAATCAACGGCACAGTTAAGATGGCAAGCCAATCAAATCCTTGCTTCCGTTGTTACACGCGCGTACAGCTGAGCATGCGGCTCGCCTATGGCCCCCGAGCGAAATGCTGGTTATTCATGATTTTCGAGAAACATGCAGGTAATGTTGAAAGAGAGATTATGCAGACTTCGCTTTATGAAACAGATCAGTGAGACCTAGGAGGTCAGGTATAGAAGTCCAATTGCAATAGAGCCAAGTCAAGCCGCCAATGCCAAGAAGGGATTTGTTCGTCGAGGAGTATTGCAAGCCTAGTACATCATTATAGCTCGCTGTGAATGGCATCAGCTCCAGGTCCGGTTCTCTGCCCCTGTTATATCAATCATAATGTTGGTATAAATAGTGATTAAATAGACCTTTGACGATATGGCTCAAGTCATCCAGACTATATTTCGAGTTAGGTTAAGGAAACGGGTATCTATATGTCACACGGCTAAGACTTCAGAACCGAAGATAACCGATACTACCCCTAGAGGAAAGTGAGGCTATAAGCGATTGGATAAGGACAATCTGTTAGCTGCAAGAAGACCAACAGTCAAGGCATGAATGCCCAACAGACAGAAGGGAGTCACAGATTGTATAAGGCCTGAATGAGCATAAATAGCTGCAGAATCTCCCGCTCCAGGACAGGAGAAAGAGAGAGGGAGAGATCAAGGCCCTAGAGACCCCTAGTAGATTATTAATGAATATGACTAAGTTCCAAGCCCTCTATACGAGCCCTTGTCACACTATACAAATCTTATTCTCATAGCAATCATTCCTATACAGCACGTCACTCAAAGGCTGTAGGACCGGGTGTTTTTGGCTTTGATTTCACTGCTTAGACATCCACTTCTCATCGTTGTAATCATCGATTGCAAGGTGGTATGGGTGATTATCCAGCCATGTGTCTGCTTTCTCTTTGCGGGCGTATAAGCTGTAGAAGTCATTAAGCGCTTCGTTGAGGACTGTATCATAATCAGTATTGATTACTCTCAGGAGGCTGTTGACGGTAGATCAATTACCTTCAAGAGGCATGCCATGGGCTGGCTGGAGGGAGAACTGTGAAACGAATTCATTGATTAGAATGAGATGCCTCGGTATCGGTGTGCCTGAGTGTTCACAGTGAGCACATATCATCAATACAGGTACGCGCACGCTGCAGACGTGCCTTTGGGAACGGAGAAGACATAGGGCGTCTCGATTTTTGAGCCGGCTTCTTCGCGGTCGAGAGCGTCATCATAGTTACGACGAAAGAGTTGCTGCATCAAGACCGTGTTGGGAAACATAACAGCACCATTGGAGACGGCTACCTCTGTCAGTGCCTTCGTTAATTCAAGACGGTGCTCGTTGACCTACATGGATTCTGCGTAGCCCTCGGAAACACAATCCCGTTTTCCAGCATGACTCGATCATCCCAAACATCATCTGGATGGTCATCGGCCTCGCTTTCGTCGTACAAGCAAAGTTTGGGACGCGGGCTGTAGTATGAAAGTGTTGTGGGAAACGATGAGTAGATAGCCTTGATTGAAAATCTACGGCGAAGAATTAGTGACGGCGCCAACAGCGGGCGAAGGGCAAAACGTTGGGCCACGCCAATCATTGCGGACTGTGATTGTATTTTGTTATTGATGATGAGATGGGTGCTTCCCCCATAATCTCAGTTATCCAAGTTATCGAAGTACCTACCTACCTATATAGGTACCTACTCAAAGTCATCTTCGGTGCCAGCGGCGGTAAGCCGGTGCGACTGCGTCGCGAACAAACATAATTCTCGACATCCTTTTAAACGCCTTGAGCACCAAGGGCATGCGCTCCGCGCTGACCACCATTCCGGAGAGAAAGTGAATAAATTCCCATGTTGGACCACATTCGCGTCCTTTGGGGCTCTATGTACGGAGTAGGTACCTTTGTAGAAAGGCACATCCAATAAGCATCATCGGTTATCGATAATGCCTATCGATTGGGGGTAGAATTACCTGCTCACCGAATAGACGAGCCACGGTACTTGGTACTTGTAAAGAAAGCAATACATCTTTGCACGCATAAAGCAGCAGAACTTCGATATACGTAGTTGAGTACTGGCATCGTTACCTCTAAGACATCGCCATACTCGAGCCGACGAATTCAGGCACAAAAATAGGTGCGCGCGGAGTAGGTATCTAAACACTTACTTCATCAGCCCCAGACACCAGCCTCCCTCAAACACACTTTCAAGCCACAGATATTGTCATGATATCATCCAAGACTGAAGCTCGAGTAGACGACGACAGAGACAGATATCCCAGTCAACCGAGCCACTTCTTTCTCTACACACGGTATCTCCAAGGTTTTAGATCGAAGATCCAATCCATGGAGCTGACTAACCCCTTCTCCATCTCCCTCCGCAGGCACAACAAGGTACAGTAGGTAGCCATGCAGCTATGCGTGTTGGAGCGGTCGCGCAGGAGCCCGGAAGAAATGCTCCAGTCTGTTCTAGAAGCCGTTGTTGCAACTGTTAAGCTTCATCATGCATACATCACACAGGATCATGTAACATCATATGGCCCACATGAGGTTTCTGCCTCGACACCCTGCTCTCTATTCTCTTGGGCCCATAAAGCTCATCCCACCTTCACTCGCTACCAGCATTTTGAAATGTGATATGATGTCAAGCTGTAGATCCGCGCCGTAGTCCTTCGCTCTCCTCACCAGAAACTCCGATGAAGCCAGGCAATATAACGGTGGGTTGTTGACATCATGGGTGTGACTGCCGTGGTGGTGGGTGGCTGACTCGGCTGGCATATAAACCTCATACCGTCCGCTTCGAGGTTGGATTGAATTTATAATCATTTCATACTCATATCTAATATTACACTCTAAAATAAAGCTACGCAATATATTCACGCACAACTGTACAGCACCTATCACCCACTATACACCCACACCACACATCAATAAGTCATTATGTCTGCCAGCCGAAACCCCGAATCATTACAAGCAGGAGGCGAATTCCACAGCCGCGTGCCCCCCTCAGAGCCCCTGACAAAAGGCGGCCACGCGCCAGGCGTCCTAGTCGGCAACGACCGCGTGCCCGAGTTCCACGCAGAGACATATCCCGCCGGCACAGCGCCGCCGGAGCACACATACCAGCCGCGCCCCTCCGAGAGCGAAATATCCGCCCAAGCCTACGGCAACGCGCCCAGCGCAGCAGACACGCTCACAGGCGCGACCTCCGCAGACGTGTACCGGGGCATGGGCAAGCCCATCCAGGGCCAGGAGCGCAGAGAAATCGAGAAGCCGCACGGAGGACACAGGAAGAAGGAACGGAGCGGTGTCGCTGGGCGGGGCGGAGAAGAGGGTGTTGATTTTGTTAGGGTGAAAGGTGCGGATTTACCTGAGGGCGTGTACAAGGGTATGAGGGGGAAAGCGAGCAGTGAGTATCCTGCTGCTGAGGAACGGGTTCCGGCCGGCGCGGAAGAAGTCGCGGCTGAGAGGAAAGTCCCTGAGCGCGCGTATGATTATACGCAGTCGTCGTAAGGAGGATTTGTTTGAAGGGCGGCGGTGTATGATTGATTATTGATTAGCGAGGAAAAGAACTCATGATTGATGAAGGATGTGTAAATATCGTGAATGAGGTGATGATGAATTATTGTTTCTTGATTGTGTATAATACCTACCTTGTGCTGTGTGTCGCCTTTCAATAGTTGTTTGGCGATGTTGTGATGTTGGCTTTGGGGCTTGTTGTCTATCGTACGTAAGGCGGCTAGCTAATGCTTCGTTGAGTCGAGATAAACGTCTTGATCAATGCCGATCTACATCTACTAAGTCAATGAGTCAAGCATGATAATAACTAACTGTTAGGGCGGGTGGTCAAGCACGTACTAAGCGCTTGCATGTAGATGCAATACTACTACGACCACCACTCTAAGAAACAAGAAACATCAAGTCAAAACAGAGGAAATTACTGCAGGTCATCGCCGCCATTTAGATTACTACTAGGACAACAAGTGTGGGTCAAAGAGGCATGTGTATTGCTCTATCTACAATCAACTAGTCATCGCTCAGTTGATGTATGTCAGTGAGACAATATCTGTGTGTTCTGCTATCTACGATCATCTGATCATCATGTAGTAGTCTGAAACCATATCTGCCTGAAAAAATACATTCCAACTCATCCCACGATGTGCGTAACCATTGCTGTACGTCAAAAGTGTCTCGTCGAATCGATGAGTTCCATGGAGAATCCACCTCGAGATAATGGACGTAGAGAATTAGACGGTGCCGTCATCGACGCTCTCTCCCTTGAAATAGGCGAGTTCTCCATCTTCGTCGCGGGCAACAGCGGCCTTGGCCTTCTTGCCGTTTGCCTTCGCGCGTTTCTTGGGAGTGGTTGGCTCATCCTCGGTGTCATCGTCATCCTTAACCTTACGCTTGGAGGAAGAAGCGTTGGTTTTGCTAGGCGAAGGCTGCGGGGAAGCATCGCCGGCGCCAGGATGAAGGGCCTTGAGCTTTCTAGTCGCAGCTGTGAGATGAAGAGTAAAGCGTTAGTCGTTACAATATCAAGATTAGACTTTGGGATAATATGGAAGGTCGAGGAAGCTTACCGGAGACAAGGTTGGAAACACTGTTGTGATTCTTGTAGTTGAGAGTCTTCGCGAGGCCCTTATAGTCGACCTAAGATGCGTGGGTGATGGGGGTAAGTTTATGAGATGAAGGTGAAAGACTCGGAAGGTTAGGGAAGGGAATGGGTGCTATGCTCACCTTAGGCTTCCCCTCCATGTACAGCCAGGCCGTGCTCAATACGTCCTTCTCTTTATCGGTGAGCTGCTCCTTGTCGGAGGGCGGGTCATTTTGAGCCTTCGGAGGCATGTTGAGAGGCAATGATGTGTGGAAGAGGTGAAGATAGAGTTATGTTCTGCGGTAGCTTTAGTTGGTACCAGTCCAATTCCGGTTAAATAGTTAGGAAGAAATATCACAAATAGTATACGATGATGGGGTATCGTAACATTTAAGAAGAAGGAAGAGTAAACTTACAACTGGATGGTTGGGGTTGCAGAGCTGTCCTCAACGGCGGATGAGAATGTTGGAAAGTAGGAAAGAGAAAGTGTGTGTGTTCAATGGCGGGAGGAGAGACGGCTATTTATCTTCAACAAAAAGTGATTTGATGTAGAAAGGACACAGTTAATGTTGACAGCCTCTTGGATCGTACTTTCCTAAAAGCAAACTGATCTAGGTCAGTGATTCAGTGGAATATTTGTCCATGTGCTCTGGTTAGTCGGTTCTCATGTACTGACCGTGTATCTGGAATGGGCAATGTATCTGTTGCCTGGTTGAATTTGCAGCTGTGTAAGGCAAGTGCGAGGTCTCGAAACCATGGAAATCACCAAAGGCACATGAAGTACACGCCACGAGATTCAACAGTACTCAATTGTTATGTATTGCCTCCACATGGTTTCATCATTTCCCTATGTACCAGTACATTAGATATTGTATACCACGACCACTTCGATTTTTTCATTGGACATTGAAAATAAACTGCACAAACAAGTCCCATATATGCCAGATCAGGGGCCTCTGGATATTTTCCGCTTAGGCCCTGATTCGAACACTTTCTCCAAACTACAGATCAGGGGAAACCAGAGATCTGTAGGTATACAGAATACTCTAACAGAGATAGCTTCGACATGTATTGTTAGATACATATCATGATCTACTCAAAACCGAAAGTAGTTAAATTCTATTACCATCTTGAGAACTACATCTCCAGATATTGCCGAAACACTTTGACCAACCTTATCAGGGGCTTTTTTTCTTGGGAGACGGAACATATTAAGATGTTACTATCTGCTCAGCAGTATATAAGAACTTGAATCAGACGCTACGAATTCTTGATTTCAGAGTCACAGCTTTGAAGTTGTATAGAGTAATCACCACGCTCTTCTACGCAGCTTGGCTTTTCTATGGGAATCGGTATCAACTTCATGTATCACCACTAGCATATCATGTATTCAGTAGGCCTGCAGTACAGTTTACTCTGTAGGAGGGGAATAATCATGCCCAAGTAGAAAAAGGAGTTCTACTTGTGTACATATCTACATGGTGATAGGCAAGTTAGCAAGTACCTGCGACTAATACTCATCACAACACCCACATGCAGCTAGATGGTGGTAATTCTGCTCGAACCAATAAAAACCTGCGATCATTGGCAGTAGTGAGCATTCATATTTCATTCTACAAAGTTTGCTATTTGCTGGGTGGGGGATTTCATCGACGACAGATATGGATGTCGTTCTACATTGTAAGTGGCGATGGTGTCACGCAACTTCTGCAGCGGAACCATGCGGAATCTACTTTCTTTGAGATCCTAAGTTTCCGCAGCACAGACCATAGGAACACATGTAGGTACTTTAGGCAACGCAATAAGATGGAAAGTGCCAGATGTTTAACATGTGACAGTTGGCGTGATTTGAATCACCCAGTTGAGCCTACACTGGCTTAGTTAGACTAAAAGTCTCGGAATCTAATCACTCAGCTTTATTGAGGACTAAACTCCAAAGAGGAGGAGCGTCTAAGTGAGACAATGAGATTGTACCATCATTTCCTTATCTATCTTGGACATATTTAGCTCACATATGTTAACTCTTTGCATCAAATGAGGAGGAATTCTCACTGAGGAGTGATGACATATGGTGGGACTAATTGGGTTAGTTTCGGGATATTTGTGAGGCAATGAACTGCTTTGAGATTGCCGGCCAACGCTGATTGGATGCGCATACGTCATCACAACTTGTTTGTCCCGTAACTATTTATCACTATATCACTATATCACATCGGACTCAAATATTAATACGATAGGGAACTCCTAGGCCTCTTTCTAGATGAAACTGATTTCTACAATTTAGCTATCTAGTATCAATATTATAATCATCTCCTACAAACCCCTCTACACTCTCAGCCAGAGCACATCTACACTCGAAACACACCTCTACATACACCTACATCAACCTTACAACATGTCGAACTCAGGCGCAAACAAGATTGTCGAAGACGTCAAGACAGGCCTCAAGGGCATCCGCGGTGCCGGCGATGCCCTGCGCGGAAGTGTGATGGATGCCACCGATCAAGCATTCGACAACCAGCAGAACCACCCTGAAACGCAGGCTGCCAAACTCAAGAACGAGACCATTGCTGAGAAGGGCAAGCGCGAAATGCAGGGCGTTGATGACAGACTCTCCGAACACGAACAGAAGAAAGAGGCGCGGAGGTTGCACGAAACTGGCCTCGCCTCGAATGGTGCTGGCGCCGCGAGAGGCGTCGGTCACCACCCTCTGCCCTTAAACTGAGCTGCGATAGATAGCGAGCAATAGCTTGGGCTGGTCCTGAGGCGAAGACAATGGAGGGGTGTACTGTATAATTGATGAGAGATGATCCTGATTGATGCATCGAGGAAGACGGGGTAACGGCAGTGCTGATGCCGAGATTACTCCGCATGAGGAATAATTACGACAATATAAATCATTGTACTAGAGCTCTCAATTGAATTTCGGAGAAGTGACATGAAAAGTCATGGAACCCGGTATAAAACGATACCCCAACAAATTGTGTGCGAATCCGTGGACCGCCTACGCGATGTCCCCTTTCATCAGCGACATTGGCGGTCAACATTATCTTTAATGGAGTTGTGACTGCAGTTCTAATCCATGATTCTCCTTTCGACAATATCCGTGCCAATCAAACCACCAGCACAGTTGATACGCCTTCGCTGTTCGACACGCATCCTTATCATTTTTTACTAAGTAGGTAGTAATTGACACTGGTGATATTCTAGGTCATGCAATTATCGTTCCAATGCGACGAATAAAGATATAGACGATACCACTACTAGAAGAATAATCTAAAGTAAGATTCAACGAACTGCTCATTGCCGATACGGCATTAGAGATAAGATATCCTCGCCACCTATTGCCTAGCAGAGAACCCCACGAGATTCACCGTGTGACCGGGTATGCCTTCTTAGCTCTCCCATGTGACAATTCTCGGGTCTGTGCGACATGCAAACAGCAACATCCATAACTAAGTCTCTAGGCCTCAAAAATACCATGCCTCTGCCTGGGCCGAAACGTGAAGGCCTTTACCAACGACTCTCAATCGAATTCCAAGCACAATTCAGATCTGTTCACTTGAGTTGCAGATGGACATGAAATTCTCCATGTCAAGGCTCAGAGACGACCTATCGCAATGATTGAATCATTTAGAGAGGATAAGCAGTATTCCCGGTATGATCAACGTCTCAACTCTTCTGCAAGTTCACGCCGACACCGCCAGGCGATCCTCTACAAACAGGGCTGTTCCCTTGGTCACAGTGTCCTGCTCTATGATTTCTTTTTATTTCCTATATAGTATGTTTCACAGCTCAGCTCAGGGCTAGGCTGAGGGCTGAGAATATGCCCCGCCTTGAGCATCACAGAGGGCTTGGGCCGAAGTGACAAGCTCGATTTTGTTCCAATGAGCCTCCAATAAACCCCAAATCTGCCCGAGACCCTGAACCCTTAGTCGTGATACGCCAGGGCCAATCATGCACCACGTAAATAGTGCTTTGCGCTAGTCTGGCGTAGCGTACATGCGAGCTACGATCTCCTGCTATTCTAAGACTTGGCTTGACACCTTCTAGCCAAGACAGCGCAGAAACCTGCCTCCTTAGGTAACCTGCTTGACACTAACATGTCTTTCGTTAGAATCAACGACTGTCAGCTCGGGAAGTATCGATTTAGCTCCCGAGCCCTATCGACGAATCGATCACCGGTAACCCGGCAAATGAGCATCTACATGTAGATTGCCGATTGGCGGTGAAAGAGCCTCTTGAAGTGCTTAGCCATTAAGGGAGGACAGTTCAGAATGACAATCGAGCTTATAAGGAGCTTTCCCGCATCCGATCATGAGGCCGTAACTCGCTGTTATCTTTTCTGCCGTCTTTGTTTCTTCTTGCGGTGCTTTTAGGCAATATATCGACATAATGGGTGAGCGGGTGATCGAGCCTGTCGAATTGGGATCCAATCTCAAGCTGCCACCCAAGCCAGCATATGTGCGACAACGGCCACGATGGTGGCAGCCTGTAAACCTCACAGCTTTGGTTCTGCTCATGATAGGCCTCATCTTCTATCGATCACATCATGGCACAGGGGATGCGCCTCGGTTCTCTACGAGCGAAAACGGCCAGAGTTCTAGCTGGGCTTCTCACCGGCAGACAGATGAACAAGACTGGAGTATGATCGAGCCAAGCCCAGAGTTGCACTGGCATTCTTGCTACGATGGCGCATATGACTGTGCTCGCCTTGACTTGCCCATGGATTGGCTAGATCCCACTGACGAGGATCGCGTAGTCATAGCTATTATGCGACTCCGTGCAACCGAGACAGATGACTACCGCGGACCTGTCATCTTCAATCCCGGCGGGCCGGGAGGAAGTGGTATTTGGTCCCTCAGAGACCATGGGGCAAGTTTACAAACCATCATCGGCCGAAACTATGACCTGATATCCTTCGACCCCCGCGGCATCGGAGCTACAATGCCGAGGATTGAGTGTTGGGACACCGCGGAGCAGAGACAGCTATGGGATCTGCTGGATCCTGGTGTGGTAGATGCACATCCTGGTACTGTCTACGATATATACGCTCGCGCAGTAGCTTACTCCCAAGCGTGCGAGTCGCATATGATGAACAAATCAAATATCCTACGCCATGTGGGCACAGCATCTCATGCTAGAGATATGCTCGAGATTATGCATAAACTAGGCCAGGAGAAACTCAAGTATTGGGGTTTCAGTTACGGCACGGTACTCGGCGGTGTCTTTGCAGCTATGTATCCAGATAAAGTAGAGAGACTTGTTAGCGATGGTGAGCTCCGACACCTCCGTTTCTAACGCTTGGTGATAGAGGTGAAGTGGCTAATGAATATGTGCTCTAGGCAATGTCGACATTCGAGAATGGCATTACCAAGACCGCATCAACTTCTTACGAGATACGGACAAGGTAATGGACGTCTTCTATGAATTTTGTCATAAAGCTGGGCCAATGGGGTGCGACTTTTGGGCCGAGACACCTGAGTTGATCAAACAACGCCGAGAGAATCTGCTAGAGAGTATTCGCAAACACCCGATCGTCGTACCAGCGGATGGATCACTTGAAACTCCTGGCCCAGTCATGCCGCACCTTATAACTTGGTCACATATTCGCCGACTCACATCTGCTGCATTGTACCAACCGATTTATAAGTTCAAGGACTACGCGACAGTGTTGGCAGCCTTGGAAGCTGGAGACGGGCGTCCATTTTACACCATGAGGCCGTGTAAGTTATCCAACTTACTAATCAGCCGATGAGACGCTTGACTAAGTTGTATGCCGTTCGCACTCATGCTCTCTCACACGGTCTTCAATACATCTTACTAACCTCTATCGCGAAGACGAACCTGAAGGACCTTCGCCGTCTCTTTGCTATCCGGAGACTATTCCGTCTAATGTACCTCACCTAGAGGAAGTAAACGGCGAAGCGACTGCACCGATTGAGTGTTCCGATGCGATACCCTGGAACGGAACAGTAGACGACTTCGTCGACCTTACGAGACAACTTCGAGGAATCAGCCACGCTAATGGGGACGTCTTCGCGCTCTTTCGCACCCAGTGCATAGGCAGAACCATACGGCCTAAATGGCGTTTTGACGGTATGTGGTCGTATACTAGAATTTGAGATGGAGTGAAAGCTGACCCTTGAGAAGGCCCATTTGAAGGAAATACTAGTTTCCCGATTCTGTGAGTGAGATTGATTTCACCCCTGTTTCATGGTATCGAGAGAGGTTGCCATCTAATAATGTCTTGAAATAGCTATGTGAATAATATCGCCGACAACGTCACTCCTCTAGTATCGGCGAGGAGCAATTCTGCAGGGTTCCCCGGATCTGTTGTTCTAGTTCAGAACGCCTACGGGGTACGTCAGCACACTCAAGCGGGTATATAATGGCATGCTAACTGTTTAAATGCAGCATTCTACTCTGGCCGCATCGTCGACATGTACCGCCAATTACATTCGTGGCTATTTCCAGAACGGCACACTCCCCGAACCTGGGACGGTCTGTGAGCCGGATTACTCTCCATTCCAGGACACCAGTGCAATTGAAAAAGACGAATTGGTTATAGCGCTTGAGAAGCTGTCAACAGTTCGTCGCGGGTTCCCCTTGAGTTTGAAGATCTGATTCAAGCACGACAGATAAGCGTCATAATACCCCTCCCCTATTCAGTTACTGGTCTCCGGCTATGAACATTCACATACTTCCGCGTGTATACCTCAAGGCTCGATATTATATGCGACAGCATTCAAATAATATCTTTCTATGATGTGGACAATCTGAATTTATTTAATGAATATGCACGTATCGTTGGGTATCTTTTCTACTATCAACCGCTTCGCCACGCATGATTCCAGGAATGAATACATCCCCTCTAAACGAATAGTGATACGATGAATCCTCGTGCTTAACAACAGGATCACTTGCCTTTAGCGGTCCAAGCAGAAACGGAGATCGACCGCCCGACAACACCCAGATCTCGTCTCCAACAGACGTTCCAGACGGACCTAAGCCCGCCGCACCGCCTTCCGTGATGAACAGCCGCTGATGTCGAAGCATCTGTAGACGCCAGTACACGTCCGCCGTGGATCCCTCCATGCTCTCCGTGGAATCCGCACAATTCCCTGTTATAATGTCGTCCAAGACCGCCTGCCAGTAGACTTCCGATACGATTCGGAAACGGGGGTCTTCCGCTACTGCCCTCGTTATCGTCTCGCGCGCTTTTTCATGTAATCGATCACTTCCGTCGTTTTCGGCTATCACGTCGCTGCAGACTAGGATCTTATCAAAGAACACGCCGTTCACATTCAGCACGTCCTCGCCGTGTTCGGGCGATGTCAGATTATTCAAGTCGAGCATCGGCAGCCCCCTGTCCGCGGTATATTTATACCAGAACTTGATATGTTCCCAGAACGCGGCCCTCTCTTGTCCCGCAGGCGGCGTCGACCAATCGACTACCCAGCTCGGCAGACCCGGGACGCTCTTCGGCTCGCCCCGGAACCCGATTAACGGCCGGAGGCCATATTCGTCGCGCAGCAGGTCGAGCATGACTCTACGGTATAACACCGCCGCGGGAACGCCGTAGTCGCTCGAGCGCACGCTCGGGAGAGGATAACTCCCCTCTGCGACCAGGTTCAGTATCACGTAGACTTTGTCCCGCGGGTCCGTGGACCGGCGGTACCGGAAGCGGTAGAGCATCTCGTACGGCGGGTGCGGCGCCTCGATCCAGCGGGACGCCCATATCAGAGCTAGCATGGGCGATGTGAGGAAATTGTAGTTTTCGAACAAGTCGAAGATGGAGAAGCGGTCTTCCGGCGGCCATTTCCCTTGGATCAACCTCTCTGCGACCTGCGTCAGGTAGTGCCAGGGGATGGAGATGGGGCCCCAGAGCACGGTGCCGAGTCTTGGCGAGGTCGCTTCTTGGACTGTCCATATCCGACTCCACCATGGCGATTGGAATAGTGCCTTGATAGCGTTGCCTGCTTTCGCTCGTTGGTCTCTTGTGGTGAGGGACGGGGGGAGTTTATACTCTGAATCTTCTCCGGAGAGAAGTCGGATTGCGTCTAGGGCTCCTTTTGCCGCCTCGAGAGCTTCCGACTCCTTCACACCTATGGCGGAGGCCTCGATGTTGCCCATCCACATGTAGCATTGCGCGCACTCGGAGAAGATCTTGTGCATCATGTCTACCTGCGCCGTCTTCTCTGCGCCATCCTCCTGGTTGATGCAGAGCGCGTCAACCCACAGATGGCGCAGTTCCGTCTCGTGTCTGATGCGCGTCAGGGCGTTGAAGAGATTATCTGTCAATCCGACTTCTGTGTCTTCGACTATGATGGTTTTATCCACTTGTAGATCACCCCAGACGTATGAGAGAGTTTCATATTGTACGTCTCCGGTGACGGTGGTAAGACGGTACGAACACTTGATGACTTCGCCATATCGCCCGAGCTCAATCTTGAGAAGCCGGATTTCGCCTTTGTTGCTGTCTATGGGGAGAAATGCAAAGTCTGGCAGCGTGAATCAATTCTGTCTACGGGCGCGAATAGTCGGAATACATACGAGGCGCTAGGCAAACTGGTGATCGCGGGTCGGTGTCCATCTTATCTCATGATAATTCGAAGCCCCGAGCTTGAGGGGTGTGTAAATAGTTCAATGTGATTGAGACCTTATACTATCGACTTGAGGGGCGAGGGGTTAGCGTTATTTTCCTTGGCGAACTTGGGAAGGTAACAAATGGTGTTGCGCTAGGTATCACAACGAGGTCTACGAAGAGGCTCGTGAATTACGAGCTTCAAATGTATTACTCTCTAAATCTACTACGGAGTTTATATACGTGGTTGGCAATCGAACTCTGGGGTGAATCCGCCTTAAACTTGCTAACATTGCTGCACGGGTTCATCGACGAATGCTGCTCCATCTCACGTAAGCAGGATCATGCTATTGAATAAGTAAAGTGTAATAGGTACGTCGTATAGTGATTGTCGAATGATATATCGACGCGCTGCTAGGATGGTATAAGAGCCATGCACAATTGCGTATGAGGATCACCTGAAACACTACTGCTCCTTAACTCACTTAGACCCTAGATAAAAGCATCTTGTCGGTTCAAGCTCGAATAACATATATATAAGACATATGTTGACTACCTAATCACCAGGCGTCGTCAATTTCCTGTTAGGTATGACCCGGGCTAAGCGCTTGTGAAGCTACCTCATGAAAGTAGCCATCTCGGACAACGGGCGCAGACTAAAGTAAACCGACGGACAATGGCAACGGGCAGGTAGTCTTTCCGCGACGACAGCTGAAGGTCCTTGGTCAATTGCTGTAGCCACGGTGCGGTACTCTGTGATTGAGTTATGACCGAGCCTTGAATTGCTGGTCGGAACGAATTGCGCCCCAGAGAAAATCCGTGTTTATGAGGCGAAATGCGCTACCGATAAGCTCGGCTTATAAAAGATACCATGCTGGGCGGGATTCATCAAGTTGGCCAGGAGTGCAGTCGCATCGTTGCCCGTAAGACGGGAGGTGGGAGGATGATATTTGATATAGACTGCCCGACCAAAAAGCATACCAAAAAGTAGCTGAATGATTGATTTGAGTAGAGATATTGCACAGTCAGTGCCAAGGGCTTCGCTCAGCGAGGTTTCGCAGTGCGGCTCAAGTCTGCGCTCGGCGCTTGTCTAGAATTGAAATTCATCTGGCGCAATGGCAAGCGGAAATGTCGAGACCGACTTTGATATGAGCCCGTCTCTAGATCTATCTCCATCTTGTCTGGACGCGGGGACGTGGGGAAAGCGTCTTGACGAGGCTGGAAAGCGAGGAAATTAACTCATGAAGACTGAATCTCCAATTAAAATGCTGGAAAAGCCATGATTACGTCCAAGATTCATGGACAGATGATATATGAACCCGAGTACTGGTAGCTCAGCTACCCACTACATACCTTCCGCCTTGGTCTAAGTTACACACTAATACGACACGCAGCGCATGTAAGCAAATCAGCGCTGGGAAATGCGCTAGGTGTAACACTTGTGGCATATTGATTGATATCTGAATCCCATCATCCTGCTAGAGGTCATCGCATCACATATCACATCACGATGCACTGAGTCGAAGAAGCTGTGTATAGCAGTGTATAGCAGTCGTGGGGTCCCGTCACTGCTGAGCCACATGGGCAGATACCTGTAAATAGGCCACTACAGGCCTCTGTGGCCCTCTGTTACACACACTAAAAGTCCACCAAATACGCTAAAGTAGCTAATGGGCCAGCGCTCGCTTTGCCGACGGGAAGGTAGGTATGTAATAGAATAGAAACAAACTACTGCACATCGGTGCGCGGCCGGATCCACGACGCATGGAATTACTCTCAATGGCGGGCGGCTGAGGCCGCGGTATTTCATATCGCGCATCTTGCGTTCATGTTCATATCTCATATTTAGTAGCTGTCTTGACGCCGGATATCTTTCTGTCCATCTCCTGCTTGGGGGACAGCGCCAAGACTAGCCCAATCCCACTTACCCAACATGGCCAACTCCATGGTAGGCCAAGCGAAGCTCTCTCACTTTTCTACAGTATCTAGTGATGGACGACTAACACGAGACATATCATATAGCTTCCTGATCCTACAATTGATCTCCATTGGGCGAATTTCAGGGGAGGTATGACACCACAGCATCAATACAACACCATCTGTAGACACACAGGCGCTCACATGTTGTAGCTATTCACGACAGATTTGCCAAAAATGCCAAGCAGTTCCCGGACAGGCCTTGTGTTATAGAAACTAAGACCACACGACGCCCACAGAGGTCCTTCTCTTATGGTCAGATTAATGAGGCTTCCAACCAGCTAGCTCATCATCTCGTCGCCAATGGAGCAAGAATAGGCGATGTGGTGACCATCTACGCGTACCGTGGGTACGTCTACTTTTGACTTTCGACTGTTATTTAGCCTTATAGGAACGCTTCACAACCAGTCTGATCATCGCTGACGAGTAAACACAGAGTCGATTTAGTCGTAGCGTATATGGGAGCTCTCAAGGCAGGACTCACCGTCTCTGTTCTTGACCCCCAATATCCTCCTGATAGACAAATTACGCTGCTGTCTGTCCTAAAACCTGATTTCTTGATATCAATTCGGAGGACTCTTGATGAATTTGGCAACCTTGCCGACAACGTCTGCGACTACATCAAGAATGATCTGAAAATCAAATCCTCTATTCCAGCATTGGAATTACAGAACGATGGCTCACTGAAGGGGGGCGACGTAGATGGTCAAGATTGTCTAGCAGCTCAGGTATCCTTGAGAGAGGAATCTCCTAATGTCACTGTTGGCCCTGATTCTGCGCCGACATTGAGCTGTACATCCGGCTCGGTAAGCTGCCTCCCCTTTTCATGTGCTGCATGTACCAGAGCTGATGGTGGTGGATATATAGGAAGGCAAACCAAAAGGGTGAGGACCCGTACTCCCATACCATGTTGATCCATAGTCTTTCATATACCAGAGCTAACTGTCGTAACAGTGCGTGAAAGCTTGGGCTTGAAATGCCTCTACGGAGTCTTAGTTGTTATAACTTCGAATACTAGAATTGTGTAACGATACACCATACTAATATATTTCCAGCCGTCCTTGGACGTCATTTCAGTTTGACCTACTACACACCGGTTAGTTTTTGACCCCCACTCTCCACAGATTTCAGACTTCATTGCTCTTACATGTTCTCCGACCATGAGCTGAATCCATATTTTGATCATTACTAACTCAGACCAGTGGATGTATGTTACTTCCAGCATCACCTTTCTCCTAACAGGTCACACGTCAAGGCCATAGCTTCCTGTTATAATTCCAATGATGCCATACCTCCCGAGACCTTCTCATATTTTATCTGAAGGAGAATACTGACTCCAGAAACCGTAGGGCCGAGAGATTCTCTATGTCCGAAGCTGATCGGTTCACAATGTTGTCTGGAATTGCTCATGACCCTATTCAAAGAGATATTTTCACACCTTTATATCTAGGAGCATCTCTATGGGTTCCGCCTGTCGACGTCATTACCTACGGGCTGTTAGCCGAGTGGATGGATGAAAACAAGGTCACCGTAACACACTTGACTCCTGCTATGGGTCAAATCCTGGTTGGAGGTGCCACAACTCCGTTTCCCTCCCTTCGGCGCGCGTACTTCGTTGGTGATCAACTTACAAAGAAGGACTTGAGGAGGCTACAGGACCTTGCGGAAAACACCGCCGTGATTAATTTATATGGCTCAACAGAGAGCCAAAGGTCTGTGTCATACTTCGAAGTACCGAGCAAAGCAGACAACCCGAAATTCCTGGATTCTATGCCGGACGTCATTCCTGTCGGCCAGGGCATGCTGGATGTGCAGCTGCTCGTGGTAAACCAGGATGATAGGACTAAGCTATGTGCTGTGGGAGAACAAGGAGAGCTTTACATCCGAGCCGGGGGACTGGCTGAGGGTTACCGTGGGGAAGAGGAGAAGATAATAGAGCTGAACAGGTCTAAGTTCGTGCCCAACTGGTTCATCGATCCGGCCACATGGGTAGAGAAGTACAATTACCGGGCCACACCAGATAATCTTTACAAGGGGCCACGTGATCGGCTCTATAGAACCGGCGATTTAGGACGTGTTCGACCGGACGGAGCTGTGGAATGCACCGGTCGTATCGATTCTCAAGGTGAGCTACCCTTGAATTTCATTTCATTCTTTATTCCAAATGCTCGTGGAGACTAGAATTACCTTTTAAGGTGACAAGCATGCCTCAACAGCTTACAGAACCTTTCAAATTCGCTTCCATTTCAGTTTCGCCTGACAGAACAATTACTGACCCTTGAGAATTGTAGTCAAAATACGAGGATTTAGGATAGAGCTGGGCGAAATTGACGCAACACTGTCACAGCATCCCTTTGTGCGGGAAAACGTGACAATAGTGCGGAGAGACAAGAACGAAGAGCAGACTCTCGTCACCTATTTTGTCCCGGAGACCAGGAGATGGTTTGATCACATCGAACCACATAATGGGCACCTTGAACCACAAAATGGGGAAGCTATCGAACAGGAGATTGCATGCGAGACGATGGCTGGGATGCTTAGACGATTCAAGCGACTATCTGATGACTGCAAGCATTTCATAGCGAAAAAGCTGCCAAGTTATGCGGTCCCACAGTTGTTAATTCCCCTTACTAGATTTCCCTTGAGTACGTATCCCAGATTCTCTCCCAAACTTCGAGAGAAACCGCCTGAGGATGTCCCAGACTAACACCTCCATTTCAAGATCCGAATGGCAAGATCGATCGCCCAGCACTGCCTTTCCCCGAAGAGGCAGACCTTATGAGCGTGGCCAAGAGGAGAGCTTCTTCCGTAGTAGTTAACATGACCGAAACCCAGACCCGATTAGCTAAAGTCTGGGCCAAAATCCTGCCTAATCGGAGTGCGCGCATGTTCGTTCCCAAATCCAACTTCTTCGAAGAAGGCGGCCACTCCGTTCTCGCCCAGCAGCTGTTCTTCTTCATCCGGAGCGAGTGGAAAGACATCGACATGCAGGTCAGCGTCATCTTCCGGTCCCAGACCCTCGAGGCTCTTGCCGCGGAGATCGACAGAGCCGCCGATCCTATCGGCTTGCGGCTGGACGCGATGCCCCTGCCTGGCGATGCGGGCACCGAAGACGAGGCGTATGCCGCCGACGCGAGGGACCTGGCGTCGCAGCTCCCGGCGTCTTTCCCATCGGTGCCGAAGGATTGGGATTATAACAGGGGATCTCCTACTGTTTTCTTAACTGGCGCCACGGGCTTTCTTGGCTCGTATATCCTGCGTGAGCTTCTCGAAGGTCCGGCAAAAGCCAATGTCATCGCACACGTCCGCGCGAAAGATGCCGCGTCAGGTCTTGCGCGAATCGAGGCCGTGACAAAGGCTTACGGTCTGTGGTCACCGTGCTGGCAATGTAGACTTTCGGTCGTCGTCGGAGATATCACCAAGCCCTCCCTCGGTCTGTCCCAGGATTCATGGGACCGCCTGGCCCGGGACGTCGACATCGTTATTCACAACGGGGCGCAAGTGAACTGGATGCTACCGTATTCGAGCATGCGAGCAGCGAATGTGCTCAGTACCCTAGATTGTATCCGGCTTTGTTCTTCTGCCGAGAAGGCGAAGAGGCTCGTATTCATCAGCTCGACGTCTACACTAGAGTCTCCAAAATACCACGGGGTCAGAATCAGCGAGAGAGACGATCTGGAGGGTAGCTCGAAGACTCTGACTGCCGGCTATGGGCAATCTAAGTGGGCTAGCGAATTCCTCGTGCGCGAGTCTGGAAATAGGGGCCTTGTCGGCGCCGTTGTACGCCCGGGCTATGTATTGGGAGATCCGGCGTCCGGGATTTCCGTCTCCGACGACTTCTTGGTCCGGCTGTGGAAAGGCTGTCTGCAAGTAGGCGCACGCCCGGACGTCGCGAATGATATCAATATGGTCCCTGTGAACCGTGTCGCGCGCATTGTCGTCGCGGCTGGCCTGCATCTCGCTACTGCGACGGATGTGAACTTGGGCGTGGCCCAGGTTACTAGTCGTGACCCCCGAATGACGGTCAACGAGTGGATCGGCGCTCTCGAGTCCTACGGGTACCGGCTGCCGATGGTGCCGTACCAAGACTGGCGCGGTAAGGTCGTTCAGTATGTGAATGATGGCTCGAACGAAGAGCACTCGCTGCTACCCCTATTCAGTCTCGTGATGAATCTACCCGCGAACACGGTCGCGCCCGTCCTTGATGATTCGCAGGCTATGGCGGCGCTCAAGTTATACGATGCGGATAAGAGCTCTGCGCTGGATCCGGATAATGAGAGTGTTAATGTGCGCTCTATTGGGATGTATTTGGCGTATCTGGTTGCCATTGGATTCCTGCCTGCGCCGATGGAGAAGGGCGAGAATGAGTTGCCGAAGGTTGATGAGGAACGGATTAAGGCGATGGTTTGTTCTATGGGTGGAAGGTCTGCGAAGCGGTAGGATGGAATAAAGGGGGTGAGTCCTGGCGATGAGGGTGTTAAAGAGAGAGAAGGAAAATAGATAGATACATGGATACATGGGTGAATAAATGGTGATATATAGATATATCGAGATCTCTATTTTCTGTTATTTCTATTTAAGAAAATAAATGCTTTATATACTTCGGAAGCGGTAACCTGTACTTCATTGAAGCTACATATCTATCTACTAACTACTAAAGTTTGGTACTGAGGAATAAATTGCTGAAGCCTACTTTTGAATACCTTAAAAATGGACTGCGAAGCTTTAACGGTTATCAATGACTACGACGTGATCCGAAATAGGGGCCGACGAGTATCCTGTTGGATGCTTACGTAAGATAGGGGCTGCTGTTGGAGCGGTGGCAATTGGTCACGATGCATACACCTCACCTCTTGACTGCTACGACCCGCGCACGTGTAATCAGGCTTATCTCCTTAATATTCAATATGAGGCTGTATGTCTTATGAAGTATCATGGAGGATTTTTGCAAGGCATTCTACCATAGCCGTAGGTGATCTGCATGTTCGGTTGTTCGCTCGCGTAATACGGTAATGATTGAACTAAGAAGAAGCGTGATACAATAAGCGAACTAATCGTCCTTCTTCCCAACCATATCACTCCTCCTTCACCCGAACCAAGTAAACACAGCGATGACAGAAGTCGCCGCACAGACAGTCCAGAAAGCAGACCGGTAGCCCTGTTGATCCCTTACAAATTCATCAAGCAGCTTTTTCCCAAATCCCTATGCTATCCTCATTGGAGCATTGACTAGCCAGTGACAAATATGAGAACGGCGAAAAGGTTTGGAATACTTACTTCAGATAAGCTTTCTGCGAGGAGATCTCGAAGCAGACGAATCTTTCTTCCGGAGGCCGGCTTCTCCAAGGTTTGCGCGACGGGTCTATAAATTCTCCCCGTGGGCCCCTAAACCATGAACGACAACAATTCTGCCTTTCTGAGCTTGGACATGACTCGTACAAGCGCGATTGTCTTGCTAAAACTTGCCATTTCTAGGGTCAGATTCGACCCGGATAACGCTCGGTCGAGATTCTTGACTGCGATGTAAGTTGTTACTGTATGCAGCCCAACAGACCAATCATGGCCATGCGCATTCAAATCCCCTGATATGCGAGCTTACGTACACATAGGCGACGCCAATCAGAGGGTGATATTTCGATAATCATATCAAGCGAGATCGGTGAGTAGATTTCAATATTGGAGCCGACTGCTACGAGAGATCTTGAAGTAGACAGATCTTTCTCTCAAGCTACTGCAGTGCAATGGTAGTGTGGCTTCGCATGTCGCCTTATGTGGTTTGAACAGACAAAATCAGACCATCTTATATCGATAGAGAGGAAACTGAGCAGAATTTTCCGAATCATTGAAGAAGTAACAAGGAGCACCAAGCTGATGGAGTACATGGGGTTTGATGACAGTAAGTCAATCATTGACTGGTATATCTGCCTATAATAGCTATTTGACTTGGCGCCCGCGAACGAAAACCTCTTTGATGTTGCGGTCGTCACCTGTCATGATGAACTTATCCAGCATGAGGTCCATGGTGTCGTGCTCTTCAATCATGGTCATAACCCCGGGTACTGAGCCCTTCGAGTCGATCAACAATGCGTCAAACTCCTTCCCAACAGAGAAATTGCCGATATTCTCATCCAAACAGCAGACTTGAGCGCCGCCAAGGGTCGCTAAATAGAACACCTCATGGACAAAGAGTCCTTTATCCTTGCCTTGGCTCATCACTTCTCTCGCATTCGAAGCTACGAGAGCCTGCCGCATGGTGTCCAACATGCTGCTTGAGAAGCCGCCGCCGCTGTCTGTTCCTAGCCCTACCTTGATGTCTCGCCGGAGGAATTCGCGCACGGGTGCAGCCATGAAGCCGCCACCGACGGTCATATTAGAGATAGGGCAATGTGCGACACCGCATTCGAGCTCCTTGAAGCGTTCCAGTTCGTAATTGGACATGTAGCAGCAATGAGCTAGGATCGAGCGCTTAGATAGTAAGCCAAAGTGGTCGTAGAGGTCCACTTCATTTTCGAATTTCGGAAACAGCTTCTTCGTATACGATATCTCCTGCTCAGCCTCATTGAAATGCGTCTGGATGGGTAGATCGGGGTTGGACTTGGCTATCCGTCCTAATCCGGCAAGCAAGTCATCCTCGCAGGTTATGGCGAAGCGAGGGGTGATCACATACTTGATAAGCCTACCCTCCGGATCGATCTTCCTCGTATGTGCTAGGCATTGTTGTGTCTCTCTCACCGAAGTTTCGACTGTTGCGTCTCGATAGTAGTCGGGTGCCTCGCGATTCATATTGCATTTGCCTACGAATGCGCGTTGTCCCTTCTCAAGACAAAGATCAGCCAATATATTAGTGGCTTCGGGGTGTATAGATCCGTAGTATGACGCTGTCGTTATACCCTGCTGAAGGAATCCGTCGATACAGCCGGAATACACACGGCGCGCATATTCCGGATCGGAGAAACGGGCCTCGTTCGGAAAGGTATGCTTCTCCAGCCAATCTAGGATGTGCATGCCCTGGCCAATACCACGTTGTGCCCATTGTGGCGCATGATTGTGCGTGTCTACGAAACCCGGAATGAGAAATTGCCCTCTCTCAAGGAAGCGAACATCACACTGTCGCTTAGAGAGTCCAATCGTGTCCAGATGCGCCAGCACTGACGCTGGCTCAATCGACTTCACTAGATTTGATATGATGCCGTCGGGTGTGATAACTATCAATCCATTTTTGATTATCTCTAGATCCTGGAGTCCGAGACAGTGGATAATTGTGCCGTGGAAGACACGATGTTGAGCCATATTTGGGTTATGTGTAGATTGATACCGACAAACCCCTCGCTCAGATTACTACCCGTAGATTATCTATATAGTACACATACATTACTAGGTCAGCTGCCGGAAACTAAAGAACAGCTGTCAGCACTTTCAAAGATTATCAGATCGGGCGGTTCTGATGTAGCATTGTGAATTGAGTCAATTGATTCGCACAATGATTCTACACGAATACTATGAAGAAGATAACCATGAAGAACTATGTTATCATGAAAGAATCGCGGATCAGCTCCTAAAGCTTGCTTTTTCTCACGCCCATCAAACCTCCTTCCGAACGTCGCTTTCCTCACTTTCGCCATTGAGTCCAACAGCCTTTTCGACTGCGTGAACGGCCTTGTCGGCAAGCGCCTTATCTTCGAATACTGTTACAGGGAGGAAAAGGAAGTCGATTAGTCAAAGTCATGCGGGGTAGATGACTGAGGGGTAAACTCACAGAATGCTAATTCTTCTAGTGTTCGGCCAAATGTTTCGGGGAACATAAAGTACACGAAGACGATCTCATAGGCCAGGAATACCACATATGAAATGAGGTAGCGCCAGCCAGCATTTTCGAGACCGATTGGGTTGACAAATGTGGTGAAGAAATTGGCCAGACGACCCCATAGCTGGAAGTAAGCAATACCACGAGATCGCTCTGCGTACGGCCAAATCTCGATCATGTAGGCTGAGAAGAACCCCATTGTCAGCAAGCATTGGAGCGAAAGAAGATACGGTGGGCTTACTATAAGTGAGAGCATTATATCCTATGTTATAGGCGGGACTGTAGGCGAAGATGAAGAATAGCACGGCGCCACCGGCGGCAGCATTCAGTTCGCCAGAGTTCTTGCCGTCGATCGCATATTTCATTGAAATTGTCCAGCTTATGTATACGATTAACAAGCTGCATGTGCACGCCAGGTACATTACACGGCGTCGGAATCGCTTGACTAGAAGAGATGCGATCGTTCCAGACACCAAGCTCGTTGCAGCAATCTCAAAACACGACATAGTCAGCAAAACTTCGTAGGAACCGACATTTCTCCTTAGAAAATTGGCTATATGCGCACTTACAGCTACATTGATCTTCTGCTTGAACACTGAGTCGGTCTGTCCAATAGCCTCAAGAATATCGCCCAGGTAGTATGAGATAACTAGACGAGGTCGGTTATTCAAGTCATCAAATAGAGGAAATATCAATTGAAACTCGGCCTCTTCGGGTAAACTCACGTGTATTACCAGACCACTGCGTGAACAATCCTAACATAGTGCTGAGAAGCAAACGGCGCCGATTACCGCTCGTGCGAACGAGGTCTATCATCGATTTCTTTGAGTGCTCCAACTCAATGTTAATAGTAGTCTGCAGCTGCGCAAACTCAGCCTTGACGAATGGCGACTCGCGATCACCTTCGGCATGGTATTTAGCAAGAATTTTGAACGCCTCCTCGTGTCGCTCCTTGGTAATAAGCCATCTGGGAGACTCCGGGACGAAGAATATGAAGGTAATTTGAACGAGCGAGGGGACCATTTGCAACCATGACGGAATGCGCCAGGCGTAATTGCTCATGATGCTGTTAGTGCCGAAGGTGATTCCTGCAGCTAGCAGCTGTCCGACGAAGTACGAGACGTTGAAGAGCGATGTCAACACTGGGCGCTCTTTGGGATATGACAGTTCGCCGATAAGAGAGGAAGCTGACACGATGCAGGTCGGAATACCGAAACCCAATATCAAACGTGCGATAATGTATTGAGCAACTGGAAAATTTTGCATTAGCTCTCAGATCCAACAACTCCGTTGTCATAGCATGTTTTCACAATATTAAGGAGTCTTCGCAGTCACTTACCATTGACAGAAAGACCTTGGATAAGAGCCCCAATTACCATAATCACTGAACCGCCGAAGATTGACCAACGCCGGCCAAATTTGTCATTCACGATGCCGATGAAAGGCAAAGACAGAATGGCACCAAGAGAGTACGAAGCCGCGATAATACCCTTGATAGGACCTTCAGGGTCATCGAAATCTGTTTCCGACATTAGATTTCCAGCAAACAATGAACTTGATACTAGTCGAAACTCACAATCTATCCACGAAGGTACGATTTGAAGAGCATTGATGAGTTGCGAGTCGAAACCGGAGGTCAGCTCGATGCCCATACACGTAGGGAAGAGCAGCAAGTATAGCAATCGCAAGTTCGACTTCCGGTACCACGGCACCGTATCCTCCTCAACAAGACGAGTCAGAATGGGATCTGACGCGCCCGTTTGGGCTTTCTCCGCGGATGTGAAGGCGACCATTTTCTATAAGAAACCCCTCGTAGCAGAAGATGTGAATCGCAAGCTCTCCTTAGAGACCTTTCGGTCTTTATGAATATCAGTCACGATTAGTAAGATAGGCGAACCTCTCCGACAATGACACGCCGACGATGGAGAGGAAATCTACGGTATTAACCCGCCAGCTTTTGATAATATAGGCAGCCTCGCCTTATATACACCTTCATCCCCATGTTCTTTGTACGATTAGCAACTGATACCAAGACTAACCCCGGCTACCCCACGGGCTAAACTAGCTGGATATGGGGTCGTAAGTTGGGGTTGAACTCGCACCGCCTGCACACAACCGACTCTTCCCCATCATTTGCCAGGATGGCCAAGCAACGTCCTTGGGTGCTCTCTACGTTCGAGAGAGAATAAATCGCAAGACAGTCATCTAGCGGTGGCCAGTACGAGGCAAACTTATGGAATTATACGAACTACGCACACTGGATATCACGTTATTGTGCTTCTTGACCCTTGTATGTCGGCATGGCCTTCCGTTTCTAGTAGCCCTCGAGCCCTCACCACCATTCTCACACCAATAGACACTGCGGGATGGGCTCGTTAGCTTGGCCGGGGTACACGCCAAGGCGGAATAACAGCTCTCGTCGCCGAAAATAAGCTCCACCGCCGAGCGAGAATCGAAGTGCTTCCTCAATAGAATGTTGTCGTGCCAAGTTGAAGGATTCTAATGGTCTGCATGGCGTCGGGATATCAACCGAACAGAAGTTGCTTCCTACCTACCGTACCTAGTGATGGGAGTATGTCAGCTTCGCTACTGGGGATAAGATATGGATGGCCTTGATTGGGTGAGCAGCGTAACATCAGATGATGTGCAGATACTTTGTCCTTCAATGCTACCCAAGTTCCCACGGTTCTGGCGTCCAAAGAGCCCCGCGATGGAATGTATCACGTGTAGATAGAACCGGGATCTAAGCGACGTTGTATGGCATCCCACGTTGCCTTGAATCTTACTCACTTTTTGGGCGACGCTAGTTCGGCAGTGGATATACTCTCGGAGCGACGCTGTCGGCAATATATCAGCGCTATTTCTTCGATGGACGGTGGTCGTGTCTATGGAGATCTTATTGTTGTAACTTAATCAATCTTTCCACGTGCGTTATGAGATGTTCTTGAGCCTCCTTTTTCCTGTCCCGGTGGTTTGGTCTCTGATATTAGCCTAAAGAGTGATATCCACCTACAGCAGGATTGTGGGTGCCCGCTTTGTTGGTGGTTTACTTAAACGAAGCTCCCTGTAATTACTTGGTAACCAGGTTTTGGGGCACTGATTCGCGGGACTTGACAACTCTACTCTTGCTAACTACTGAGATCACGAGGAATGCCTTCGTTTTCATAGTTACTGTAGCATAAGACTTCATAGTACTTCATTGATAATGATCAACAACGAATTAGCACAACTACTGAGTCGGGGTGGAGTGAGCAAGGAGGGCATGAGTTAACAATGGTATCGGAGTTTCGGGTTTTATCTGATGTATACTCCGTATACAAGTTGGCGATGGCTCCTCATGGGTTGTCGGTCAGTCTAAGCAGCGCATTTCGCATTTCTCTTTTGATTTATCTCTGAATTCCAAAAAGTTCATTCAATTACTGCATAAATCTGTAAAATCATTTATCCCAATCAACAAGTCTTAGAATCGTGAGAATATGGGGTATTAGGTCATCTCACATAGCTCTAGTGACATTCCCCTTCAGCTTCTAACATGCCGGTTGTTTCCAAATAATGAAACATCGCACCGTACAAAGATCCATCGCGAACTGCTTCGTAAATTAATGACACCCATGAGCCGATGGTTCTTTTCGGTCGACCATCAATCACGTTGCCGCTTGGGTCGTCTGCAAGGGGATGTTCCACTAGGCCGCGATGCAATGGCACGCCAAGGTGCTCTCGGACGAAAGTATACAACACTTTAGTGCCTTGACCAAGATAGTCGGGTGTGGTCTGGTTCTCGAAAAAGCCCTCTCGATGAGTTTGGTAGATATCTAACGCAAGGGCACTCAAGGACTTCTGACAAGCTACCACTTCTGCAACAGTGAGATGACCAGTGAAGTCAGAGTTGTGGGTAATAGCAATCATGAACGACTCGGAAGCTTTGTCGCAGCGCTCAATAATGTCCAAGGCCACGGATTTATACCAAGTTTCTTCAAATAGCTTCCAGAAACTATCAAATAGTTCTGGCGGCATGGATCTCTCACTTTTCAAAGAGCCAATAAACCTCCTCGCTGAGCCTTGAAATTCGACCAGGAAGGTCCTGTGCATAGTTCGGAGATCAACACCCTGGCAACCTGTGTAAAGACAGTTGGCGACAATCATTGAAAGCAATTCTACAGCGGTCATGGTCTGTCTAGCCGAGAGAAGGCCCAGGGAGTTTATCGCTTGGTTATGCATCTCAGTAGACTGTACGTGGTTACTCACAGGGTTCGCGATGAAGGCTAACTCTGACATGTAAGCCGCCGTGTTGACATCGATGCCTTTCAAGCAGAAAGATAGACTCGGATCATCAGCGGCTAAGTTAGGCGGAAGTCCGTTACTCAGATCATGATTGATCATCTCGCTCGTTTGGCTGAAGAGCATTTTGCCGATAGATTGCAAGGCGAGGCGAGTCTTTTCCATGGCGGAAGTGACGGAGGCTGCCTGAAAGTTGGCGCCACAGTGTATGTCGTTATCAGCGACATTCACCACTGGGTTGTCTGATGTCGAATTAAGCTCAGTCATGAGTTGACGCTCAGCACTGAGCAAGTCCTCTAGTTGGGGTGCAAGCCATTGGGGTGAACTCCGTAAAGCATATCGTTCCTGAGCCAGACCAGCTTTAAAGCGGTCTTTCGTTTGCTCCAAGCCGTAACTGAGTCTTGAACCCTGAAGGATCGTGCGGATATTCTGGGCAGCTTCAATTTGCCCCGGGTGAGGTCTCACGGCCGCAATGAATGGATGCGCCCACTCATCATTAGCGTATAGAGCTTCAGAGGTTAAAGCCGTGAGAAATTGTGAAACAACAGCCAGCTGGTTTGCCTCGTAGAGAGCGAGGCTTGCAACGGCGGCTGAGGCAGCTGTTCCATTTATGAGTGAAAGACCTTCCTTAGGGCCGAGAATTACTGGCTCAATAGATGCATCTTTCAATGCCTGGCACGCCGTCTTGATCTTTGGGGAGCCCCATTTGCCACCCACACGAACATACACATCTGGGTTCCCCTGAAGAGCGCCGCTGACGTATGAAAGTGGCATCAAATCACCAGAAGCTGAGATAGACCCGCGGAGTGGTATAACGGGTATAATATCGTGTTTGATAAGTCGAAGCATTGCGTCAACAACACGATGGGTCATGGCGGAGTGACCACGTATATTAGCATTGCAGCGGAGCAGGATCGTTGCTCTAGCCCAGGACGTAGGCATGGCATGAGATTCGAGGTACTCGTGGGTGCTTGGAGTATCCTTCTTGTCTTCGATACAAAGAATGGCACTCTGAGTATGCTGCATTAGAGATCTTTGAAGCCCAAGTACATCTTTAGTACGAGTTTCGGCACTTCCACCAAACCCAGTATTTACACCTATCCTGTTGTCAATAAAGATGAATTAAGAGGTGGTAGCTAATAAAATTACCGTAAAGGTAGTAGCCTTTCGCGAGGTAACCTTGCAGTGTCTCTACACTAGCATCTATTCGGTCGCAGATAGCAGTGTCGTTCTTAAGGACCATATAACAGCCATGTCTAAAGCGTGATTTGAGTTAGAAAGTAATAACAGCTTCCTAATCAGTGTCTCAACATTACCTTGAGAGGGCCACAACCGAAGCGATATCTAGGGATTCACCATCAATCGTGATGAACCCAGCCTTCACAAGAGTTTTGGTTCGAGACCAGGAGACCAAAGCCTGCTTAGCATGAGGCGTTGGCCACTTTTGATGAAGGTCATAAGTCAGACTTGCTCTTTGATTCTCCATCCTGAGGAATGAGAGTAGTCAAAAGTACGTATGGTGCAGAAGTTACAGCTGAGGGCTCTGGCGACAGGATGTCTTGCACACAAACTGCTGTATTTATAAATCTATGAGAATGATCGATATCATATGATGTATTGGAAAGATTGTATGCAGTACTGTGCTAGTCAGTCCAACATTAATATGGCGTTTCCGGGGTTACATGTTTGGCCTAACACGTGTACGTGCTATATGGCTATTGGCAACGGACTCCGATCAAGGCGTTCAATCCTACTATCACACTCACACAGCAATCTTGTTCCACGGTTGCATCGATGAGGGGCAGAACCTCTCCATCTTTTAATACTCTTTTCCGCAGATAAGTGCTATAAAGAACACTGGCTCAGTAATACATAACACACAACGTAAAAGGCTGATAATAACATCGATACAGTGCTAACTAAATTTTCTATTGTGAGAACGAAAATCATTTCTAGTGTAAAGTAAAAGATATACTATTAGACCTATAGAGTCCTATACGTATCAAATGCCATTGTCGAATCACAGTTACTCTACTAGTGAAGAAAAGCCCTCCTTATCTTTACAAGAAACTTTTAATATCTAATGCAACTGGACAAGACTCACACGCCCGTCTTACTCAGAATTCACAAGCCTTATTTGCGCCGTCAAGGTAGAATTAGTAGCCATGAAATGGAAAACCAATCAGGAGTAGACAGTTTACATAATGGCTTTCAACGCCAGTGTGACACCTTTCATTTTCAGAAGCTGAAACACTTGCAGCATACCCGCATCACCAGATCAAGCTTCACAGTGTTACAAAGCCACCGGACCGAACAGCCAATAAACAAGGCGTATGGAAGAATCTCTCCAAAAGAATTGAGGGCTGGACCAAAGAGGCTTGTTGTACACGGCCACGAAGATCTCACAGAAGCCTCGTGCAGCAAACATGAGTATCCTACTGATAGTGATCCTGACACACTGCAATTCTAACTGAGGAGAGGCGTATCAAACACGCAAGCTAAAGCTGACGATCTACGTGTCCTTGGCATCCCTGTGTGACAGGTTGTCAACAATTCATGATAAGTTCCAAACCCTCATCTGCGCCGAGAACAAACAAATGCCCCTCTCAAGATCAGAGTGGGAAGGATATTTTCTTTTGCAAGCCTATGCATACTGAAAATTGGCCTCAAAATCTCTCATGTAACCATTCCGGACGGCGCCATGGCGCCTGTTATCTGTGCTGAATAACGCCATCCTGCCTAGGACTGGATAATGATATGCCCTACGTGGCCGCCCCTTGGGATTTCTAAGACACTTGAGGTGTGTTAATGCCACGCTACGGAATGAAAAGTTCGCCGTTAGCAGTGAATTCTCTAGTAAAGTATCCTTATCCATGAGCCGTGAAATTTTCCTTTGTAAAATTTCGGCACGGAAACCCTACACTTACGATGAGACTATCCAACGAGTCGGAAGACCAGAACCAGTCGAGTTCATCTAGCAGTAACTTAGTAGACCAGATTGAAGGCCAGAGTGTGTCCGAGCTACACAAATGGCAACTTTTCTTAACATTTCTTTCTATTACGTGCAGTACCGGCCTTTTTGCCATCGTGAACGGCATGTTTACTATTGAAATCCCAACAATCGCTCACGATGTCGGCTTAGAAGACAGCTTACTACTGTGGGCCCTGTCTATCGCGTCCCTGGTAACTGCTGCAACGCTACTGCTCGGGGGTTCACTCGTGGATGTTCTCGGAGGCAAGTCGATATATGTTGCTGGCACTATGTTACAGGGGCTTTCGACGCTAGCAAGTGGTCTAGCTCGGGACAGCTCACAGACGATTGTCTTCAGGGGGGTAATGGGCCTTTCGCAGTCCCTTTGCTTGCCTTCCTCAGTGAAGATTATTATTGATACTTTTCCAGAAGGTCGATGGCGCAACCTTGCATTCGCTAGTATGGGCGGAGGGCAGCCTGTTGGGTTTGCCCTGGGGCTCGTTCTCGGGGGCGTCCTCGCAGGGACCTGGGGATGGAGGCAAGGTTTATACTTGATTGCAGGTTTGACATTTGGAGTGGTCATATTGACTTCTTGGGGCCTTCGATCCCCTCCAAGTGAAGGGCTTGTGTCCACTCCTCGACGGTTGCGAGATGAGATAGACTGGGTGGGAGTGTTGATTGCCAGCATTTGGCTCGCCTCGATTGGTTATGTGCTGGCGTGAGTCCCCCTTGAAACCGTCATTTGGCTCAGGTTAGAATTCTCACAGTACTATTCAGGTCTATTTCGGTACAGCCAGAAAACATCAAGCAAGCGGTCAACATTACTCTGCTTTCCGTCGCAGCACTACTTCCGCCCTTCTTCGTCCTCTGGATGGAACGCCAAGCTTCGAAAGACAATGTTCCTCTCATCCCTAATTCGATATGGAAGAATACTCTTTTTCGATATATATGCCTTAGTGTCTTGCTTACTTGGGGTGCTTTCAATAGTATTGAGCAGATCTTGTCACTGTGGTTACAGGTAGCAGGAGATACGACGCCGATAATGACGGGGATACAGTACTTACCCCAGACTATCGTTGGCATCATCGTCAATACCATAGTTGGTCTTTCTTTGCATTGTTGGCCTGCAGGTCCGATAATTATCGGAACTACTTTGCTAGGAGTGCTACCCCCAATCATATTGGCACTCAGTGATCCAAACTCGAGTTACTGGGCAGCAGCATTCCCTGCATTGTCCATAATCGTAATTGGGCCAGATAGCCTCTACATCATATCTAACATTCTTATCTCCAAAGAATTCCCAATATCACGGCAAGGTTTAGCCGGGGGTATTTTCAATACTGTGGCCCAGGTAGGCAAGAGTATCGGGTTAGCCTTGTCTGCTGTTATCTCCTCTGTGGTTTCCCAGCGCTCTAAAGAAGTTTCAGAAGCCGCAAGACTTACAGAGGGGTATAAGGCAGCATTTTGGTTCCTATTGGCGTTGAATATCGTTGCTTTTGGTGTTGGGGTTATTGGCCTGCGGGGACTTGGCTGACTCGGCAACAAAGGAAGTTTAGACTCGGAATCATCTTAGCACAGAGAAAGTGGCCTATCTACTCTTTAAAGTCTCTTGTAAATATTATACTACGATATCGGAATGTAGTTCGTGACTTCAAAAGTCTCAGATGAACAAGATTTCAAGCATTGCATACTAGTAGACTACGCAAGGTGAGGCTCACTCGGTAGGCCACTGTATAGATCACGGGAGACATCCTAACATCTTACATTTTTCCTAAGACACATACAGATAGATAAATAGGCCCCGTGGCCAGAAACTGACCAATCAATACATCTGTATAGATTAAGGTTGTAGGCTATTCGTTTCTTCAAAACTTGCATTGTGGATTTGTTGCTAGATACTCCCCCAAAAATGACGAAATCGGAATTGGAACCACTATTTGATGATGACCATTTTGACACGCGGGTAACTGAGTGGCTGTGGGTGCATCGATTGACGGGACCTAGAGAAATTGATTCATGAAACGAGACTCACAATCCAGACCAAGAAGCTTCTCCCGACCCCAAAGACATCGGCATAGTATCCCAGCCAGTCTCGAAACCCTCAACACTAGCACTATGCCTCAAGAATGTCATCTCGCCAAACACCGTCGGCCGCGTCTCAAAAAACGCTTCCTCTTCCTTATTCCTCTCCCCAGGTGCCCCCAAAACCATCAAATCTTCCCCTTCGAATCCAGACCGTCCCTCATATTGTCCAAGGCTTTTCAAATACTTCATCACGCCGGCGAGCGAAACATCAACGACATAGGCACCAACACGCCTTCCTTCTCTACGGTCCTTTTCACGATGATACAAAGCTGCGCACACGCCCGCAGCAAGCAAGAAGCCCGCGCTATGATCCAGCGCTTGACACGGCAGGGCTTTAGCAACTTCTCCCTGACCGTAATGTTCAGCTTCGGAAACATTCATGCCTGAAGCAGTCTGCACAAGGGAATCATAGCCCCGTCTATCTTTCCACTCCCCATCGGGTCCAAAAGCAGAGAGATTCGCTACGATGATTCCCGGGTTAATCTTCGCTAGGTCCTGGACATCTAGCCCGCGCGCCGCAAGACTCCCAGGCCGATACCCCTGAATCACAACATCTGCGTCTCGCACAAGTCGCAGGACCTTCTCTTTGTCCTCAGACACATCTAGATCAAGACACACGCTCTTCTTCCCGCGCGAAAACTCGCGGTCTAGGCCAGGTATATCCGGGAGCCGCGGACACGTAACCCAGAGGACATCCGCGCCGTGCGCCGCGAGCGTCTTCCCCGCTACCGGGGCAGCAATGACACGGCTGAACTCGAGAACGCGGAGACCAGAAAGACATTTCGGGCTCGACGCGTTCAATCCACATCTGCGATACCCATACCCCGATGAAGACAAGGAAGTCCCGACTCTCCTCACACTCACAGGGAAATCCCCGACGGCACCAGCCTGCGGCAGCGCATCCCATTCCCCGTAGTTCCTAAGCGCATATATCGCCAGCCCCGTCTCCTCGACACCAACGCGTTCCAAATCGGCACTTTTCCAGCCCCGCGTGCGCTCCGCCACGGCCGCGCGGTCGCGACACGTCTCGTCTAACCCCAGAAGCGCGAGCGCGCCAGCCCGATGATGCGGGAAGTTATCGTGGATGCGCACGTGGCCGTCGACCGTGGGGTGCAAACCGCCTATTGGACCCCATGACTCGGCCGGCGGCGCGCCGGAGAGCGTGTATAGCTTTTCGCACTGGAATTCGAGGACGGCGTGGCGCAGGGGGACTGTGGTGCGTGGAGTATTTACCCCCTTCACCTCCTTCTGGTCTTTGTCTTCTTCCTTCTGCTCCGGGTCGGAGTCGAGGCGAACGCATAATATAGAATGCGCTACGGCGGCGCTTAACGCCGATAGCGCGATAGTGCTTTGCGCGAGAAGGCCGATCTTAAAGGATGAGCGTACGACGGGTTTCTCTGTTGCTCCCGGGAGATGAAGTGATGGGAGTGCTGAGGGCGGGAGGTCGAGGTGTGTCCATATCTCTGCGACGATGTCGGAGGCTGTGAATGCTGTGCGATTGGTCATCTTACTCTGGTGAAGCATGCCCTGAGGGTGTAAACGATTTTCATTTATTTACTGCTCAACATATGACTCGGATAGCGCCAGCGTGTAGTACATAGCTCATCGATTGCGAAGTATAATTACGATACGTGATGGGTATAGATATGTATCGCCACTTGTTCGGGCAGTTCAACGATGATCTAAACAGCTCTTTCGCATTGAGAGGTGGGTCGGGGCTCGTCAAGTAGGTAGGTAGAACATACCGAGGCTCATACTCTGCAAGTCGCAACATGAACCGATGATAGCCTTCCTCGCTTTGACGCTTGTACTCGGGGCTATTGGATACGAAGCAGCATAGCCGAGATGCTTAGATCCTCCCCATCCGCGCCTATCTTCCATCGGAAAATGATCATCTCTACAAGAATCCCAGGCCCTACGCGTACGAGCCAGGCTAATTGAGTCATAGCCACCGGTGTGCTGAATGTATGCCTATTGAGCTAGAATCAAGTACGTACGTACGTATCTATAGTGTGTAAGTCATATACAGTCCAAACCAGCCCACCTCACCATTCGAACACAAGTCCAAACCAAAGGCGCTACCTACTCTTATTATACAATATCTATCAACTCCTCCCGCTATGCAGCTCTTTCGTAGTAATACATGCTGAAGAGACAACGCAGAGCTGCGGACAGCCTTACCAATTGGCCCACTATCTAACTGGATACCGTCCGGCTATCATGTCTTTCCATTTCTCTGTCTCCTCTCTGATATTTGTTAGTTGGTATAGGAGTGGATATCGCAAAGGGGGGAGGAATCGTACTCATCTAGTTTGAGTGTTTGTTTAAAAACGGGCAGCATCGCGGACCTCCTGTCGTTGCTTCGAGCAGCAAGGAACGAATATATTATATTAGCGATATATTTCAATTCCACCTCATCGCCTTTACTGCTTTTACTGCTCCCCGGCTGAGCCTGTGCATTTTTGAGTTCCTTGTTTGCCTTGTTTGCTTCTTCGTACTGCCTGCGGGCTTCATCCAGGAGCTTCCGTAGGTCGTCCTTTTCCTTCTCGGCATCACTAGCTTGTCGCTCAGACGCGTCCAGGGTAGATCGGAGACTTGAGATGGTCTCAGCGTCAGCCTCAGCGTTCGCCTGAATCTTTCCCAGTGCTTCCTGTCGCCGGCTCCATTCATTTTCGCGTGCTTCAAGATCAGCTTTATCCTTTCTGAGACCTTCGAGTGCCCGTTCCATTTCCCTAACTTTAGTCCTGAGACCTTCAATCTCGCGAGTCTGCTTCCGCTTATCGTCCAAGTACTCCTGCTCGGCTTCTTCATGTTCTTTGATCGCTGCCTCCATTCGAGACTTCATATCATTAACTTTGGCACTCGCACCCTCGGCCGTCTCTGTCAGCACTCTGCGCATAGAATCGTGTTCGCTTGTTCTCTCGTCAAGATGCCTCTGCACCTCAGCTAGTTCTTCTTCGATGTTCTCTTTCTTAATTTCTGCTTCCCTGAGCCGCATAGTCAGCTCGTTAGACTGGTTCTGCATAGAGGTCATAAGCTCCTCGACGTTATTCTTCTGTTCCGTCATCAATTTAATGATTTTATTTACACGATCGTTCTCCCCTTGGACTCTGTTAAACTCGTGATCGAGTTCGGAGAATCTTGTTTGCAGATCGGACAATTCGGCTACCGCCTTTACAAGTTCCTCTTGATTAGTCTCACGAGTTGAGACTGCTTTCTCTTTCTCAACTTGGAGGCGTTTGAGTTCACGTTGTAGACCACGCCTCTGATCCTCCTGCTGTGCTTGACTCTTCTTCAATGTGACTATGCTGTCGTGAAGTTGCTTGATTTCGCTGTCTCGGTCAGCAGCTGCGCGCTGAAGACGATTCATCTCGGTCTTCATGTCCTTCGTTTGTTTCTCCAGAGCACGTAGCTCTTTCTGTTTGGAATCAAGTTGCTCTTTGGCGGTCTTTAGTGCAGCTGAATCTTGCTTGAGGGCCTTGGCTTCGGTTTGAAGTTGACCTGCGATGTTCTTGGCCTGTGTGAGCTTGTCGAACCGCTCTTGAGCAAGTTTTTGGGCAGCACGCAGCTCAGATTCAGTTGTCTGGGACTGGACCTTTAATTCATCGAATTCCTTCTTCATCAAATCATATTTAGCCTTCCACTCAGATGCAACCTCTGCCTGCTTATTGTTTTCTGCGTAGCGGGCAATTTCTTTTTGCAACTCAGAGATGCGAGATTGAAGCGTTGCGTTGTTATCTTGGAGCCCTTTCATCTGCTCATTAATTTGGCCACTTTGAAGCTGTATCTCGTCCTTCTCAATTTCGAGTGCCTTCAGCTTCTTTTTAAGCTCGATATTCTCGTCCCCGAGATGCATGACACTCTCTTCTAGCGTTGCATTATTCTCTAGCAAATCCTCTTCGTTCTTTCTCTGCTTGGACAACTTCTCAATCTGCATGTCCTTGTTGGCGATCTCTTCTTTGAGCCTATGAACCTCAGTTTTTAGAGCTTCGGCGTCGGCATGTTCAACAGAAGGAGACTGTGTGGACTCTACTGATTCATTGGGCTGAGAGTCTGTGGGTGTATGAGAAGCACCATCTTTTTTCGCCTTCTGTCTAGCTCTCTTGGCGGCTTTCTTAGACACAGGAGGAGGAGCGGAGGTTGAGGGTGTCGGTGCAGTTGGTGTACTAATCGAAGAACGGAGACTCTCATTAAGTGCTTTCAATTCCTCGCATTCAGCTGCAAGCTGTTTCCCTCTGGCCTCCATCACATCCATTGACTTCCGTAATTCTGAGTTCTCCTTTTTCAGTTCCGAGATGTCTTCAAAGTCCTTGGTATACTTGTCAATTGTCTCTTTATCAGAAGATATTTGTATCTTCATTGAATCGGCTTCGGAAGTCAGCTTGGTAATCTCTTCCGACTTCAAAACCAGCTCTGCTCGTAGTTGAATTAATGTGCGTTCGTGGTCATGGCCCTCTTCTTCAGGTTTGCCACTTCCTTCACTCTCAAGAGTGGTAGTTTCGTCCGTTTCTGTAGCTTTAAGAGTGGCTATCTCGTCCTTCAATACTATAATCTCTTTCTGGTAGGCCGTAGATTCCTTGGCAATGTTATGATTCACCTCGGAGAGACGCGACGCTTCCTCTTGGTATAGTTTCTTCTGCTTGGTGATATCATTAATATAATCAATAACGACATCTGGATCATTGATGTTGTCTACGGGGGTGTTTTCTCGGAGTACACGTTCAAGGTTATCAAGGATGGTTAATTTGGAATGGGCTATCCTGTATGAGCGTAGGAGAGCTATGGCACAAGCAATGTTAGTTAAACAAATAGGTATGAGGGTAACAAGACTGTAGCTTACCAGTGTATGCGCCCTCGACCTTGTTGAGTTTCTTCAGCTTCTTAGCAAGCTCAGGTGATAGTTTGGCATCCGAGTTGGCCCCAGATGAATCCCTACCAGCAGCTTTGTCCGTGTCGCCATCATTGGTCTGTACTGAGTCTTTATTTTCGGGGCGCGAGTCATCATCGCTCGATTTCGTAGCTGTTCCTGGGGCGACAGATCTCGAGACGTCAGAACGTCTAGGACTGTTGGCACGCTCTTTCGAGTCGTCGAAGGCATCTTTGAATATCTTTTCAAACTCGGCTGGAGGCGCATTCTCAAGGCTGTGTTGGGCGGGCTGATCGGCATCGGCCTTCTGCTCGGCCGAAGCCTTGAGACGGGCCTGCTCTTCAGCCATGGTGCGTTCGAGGCCTTCCCTCAACTCCTTGAATTTCTACAAGAGGTGAGGCGCGACTTAGCAGGCGGGTCAAAAGTGAAGGGAGTTATGTGATGGTTCTTACAGCAAACATATTGCCTCGTCCGTCGGTGCAGCCTTTCTACACTCTTTTTCTCGTTTCGCCTGCTCCTCGCACTGGTATATTTCCCCTCTTCTCACACTCGAACTAGGGACGAACAGACTATCTCGGCTCCATCCGCCAGGCTGGGTTGGAATGCGTACGACACGGATGGTTGGTGGTCAAGCGGAGTTATGGTGCAATTGACATGGCAGGACAATACAGCTTCATGAGAGGGCGCAGAAGTAAGAAAGGCAGCAGCTAAGAGAGGCACTCTATTAGTAAACCGATAACAACTGCGGATAAGTGGTCGGTAAAAAGACCGGCGTTTCGAAGAGGAGCGAGGTTTAGAATTGCAATGATACGGGCGAAGTGATCGAAGCCGCGGGGACTGGCATACTCGAAGATTAAGTAGGTAGGTACGCAGGCAGGGACGCAGGCAGGGGCGTCATCAGCTATCCAACTGCCTACTTTAAGAGGGAAATACCATTGGATTGGAAAGCCTGGGCAAACAAGGTCATCGAGTTCAACGTCAAGGCTTGCGGTCAGTACAGGTAACCTTAAACGATGAAGGTTTGATGAAGATTCGAGGTCGAGTGTCAGATTTGAAGCGACGACGCTGGCGATTGATTACACGATCTGCAAGACCTTAGGTAAGTACTTAGCATAAGTAAGTACCTGGTATGTACTTGTTGGGTCTGCAAATATTCAGGTAGGTACTATTAGTCCTAACATAGGGGGTGCCGGCACCCTCTCGCCCCCTCTACTAGTACCTACAGTAGCTCGAGACAACTTAAGTCTCGGTACCGTAGCTGAAGATGCCCACTACCTATTGGTCTGCGCGCCGTGTTCAAATCAAGTACCCAGCACATACCTTACAAGTACCTGACAAGTACCTCAATACTTAGGTAAGTAGGCTGCCGTCGCAGAGGGCCAGTTGTCATCGGTAACAGAGCTGGTTTTCTGTCGTCACCAGCGCACCAATTCGACTTGTCCAAGCTATCATAGGCAGCTCTACACAGTTTCGAGGCTCTTATGGTATTATTATTAAAAGGATTATTCTTCTTCTTCTTCCCTTCGCAGCAACCCCACGACACCGTCATTAGTCCTATCGTCACCACACTCCCTCGATACTCGTCCTTTCTCTCTTCCCTTTTCCCCTTCAGTCTCATCGTTGTTGTTTCTTCTGCATTGCGACGCCTCCTAGACCCTACCCATATTGATCCGTGTGCTATCCTAAACAAAGTAGCTTGCCTACGCCCTCTTCAGTCTCGCATGGCTACTGTCGATCCATGAGCACAGCTACCCAAGGTACCGTCAACTTCAGGCTACCTCTCCTCACCGCTACTGCTTCTCCGCCTCTATCTATCTTGTCAGTACTACGTACCACTTCCGCCATGGTCTTGTAATTTAGCCCTTCGCATCGACTCAAACAACAACATGGTGTCGCTTTGGCCTTGGAAGGTAAAATCCCGCCTGACACGAGCCGCCACAGAGGAGCGAACCGCTAGTCGCTAACAACTCTCTTTTTGAACAGGGCGATGGCTTATCCCCGGCCGAGTTTGAGAAAACCCTCGCGACTTTGTCCACTAAGATCACGAACACCCAAGCTCAGCTGGAACAGGTGCGCAATAGCTCTCGCCGCATCAAGCTCTTGTGGACGCTGTATCTCTCTTTTGGATACCTCGTCTATGCTATAGTCTTGACCCTGGTCGTGGGATGGCAGAACTTAGGTCCCTGGGAATGGACCGGTATGGCCGGCGGACCTGTGCTGTGAGAGACGGATTTCCCCCATTCGCTTGAGGATACCATGTCATGCTAACGCTCAGGCTAGCATCTACGTTGTTCGGACAGTCGCCAATGCATACTACAGCTTTCGGCTAGACACACTCGAATCTCGCCTCAAGGACAGGCAAGCGGAGCGCGCCAAGACCATCCAGAAGCTCAAGGACGCTACCAGATATGACTCGACCCTCGAGTTGCTCGAGAAGTACGGAGGCTCAAACGACAAACGAAACAAGGTGAAGAAACAAAAAGATGGAACCGAGGGCGCGCCGACACCGGAAAGCGACGTCTCAAGGAAGAAGCATCGTCAAAGTATCGACTCCAGTCACCTCACAGGAAGAACACACCTCCCTCCACCGCCTACCGCTAATATTCAAAGGCCATCGACGGCTTCAGGTCTGCCGCCAAACAGGCAAGACCAGTTCCCCAGCTCGCGCCTAGAACCAATTCCATCGTCACCACAGCACCAGCCAATCGAGGAATTCGCTCCCAATGCGGGGCCCCTCCCACCCACTTACAACCAATACGAGAATCCTGGCCCCCCTCGCTGGTACGATCGCATACTAGACCTTATGCTAGGCGAGGACGAGACGGCACCCAAGAATCGAATCGTTTTAATCTGTCAGAAGTGCCGACTTGTCAACGGTCAGGCACCCCCTGGGGTTAGGAACGTGGCTGAGCTTGGGGCTTGGAAATGCATGGGCTGTGGCGCTACCAACGGTGAAATGGACGAAGGCAAAAAGATCATACAAGAAGTGCTAGGTGCCAAGAGCACGAGTCGGGATGAGAGCCGTAGCGCCGACGAGAGAGACACCGATCGATCTAGCGACGTAGTTAAGGTCGAACAGGAAGGTGACGACAATACCCAGAGTGAGGCAGAGACGAGGCGCAACATGCAAGAGTTTCGAGCAAAGAGACGTGATAAAAAGTCACAGATGGTTCCATAGCTCCAGAGATCTATCACAGCTACAGCTCGCCTAGGTAGATACTGCATATGCATATGTTTATTTGTCACTATATAAAATCAAAATGTCGCTTCCTAAGTTAACGTGGTCGATAAACTGACCCAACTCGCAATGTTTTGTCTACTAACCTAGTGGTCGAACCCCAACAAATGATAGTCGCCGATGTAGAGGCAAGTTTTGTAAAAAAAAAAAAAATTTTAAATAAAAATTTATTAATACCTTTGGAGGAAAGTGACACGATATCAGGAGCTCTTTAGCTCTTTATATGAATAGCTGCTATGACTGTCTTCCTAGGCCCATCCAGGCAGGAAATCATCGCGTGGTTCGATATTCATTCATAGAACGTGGGACCGCCCGAGCGCACATGTGTCGTTGACTACTTTGCACATGGGTATCCCAAGGTGGCCCGGATAACTGGTTATATAGCTTATATCGGGCTCGTGTGTGCCTCGAATGGTGCTGTGCATTATTAGAAGGGAAGTTGCGCGCGGCAAATCCCCTGTCCTATGTAGATCAAATCATAGATGATGACACAACTTCCACTACTAGGTATGTATGTCTTATAGTTAGTGTAACAACGAGGTTCCACTTGAAATACGACAAGGCGCTGTAGGAGTTTGTTGGTTGATGTGCATTATCCGTTCCCAATTGCCCCCCCTCTTCAACGACGGCAGTGCAGGTGTACAATAACTAAAGCTCTTGGGAGAAGCCAAGCTTCGTCACCTTGATTCTAGAAATGAAGGAATGCCTATCCCAGCATCATTGTCGTCAGAGGAACGATGACTTATCGTTAGTCAGAAGTTATTAATAGTCTTTTGCCCGAGCGGTTATCAATTTCATGCTCGGTTACACCATAACTAACTATATCGACAACGATTATATCTCTTCGTTAACGAGGCTAGTGAGGCAGATATACCGACCCATCATGCTTCTCCACGTTTCTCTCGTTCTCCATCCATTCAGGAACCAGGGCGGTCAAAATTAAGTCGAAAAGTGTGCTGGGCATATCCTGATCAGGATGTTAAGTAGACGGAAAAGGAAGGCCAGGGCGGCATTTCGGACCACTGAGATTCTCCGATCGCGACTTTCGGCAAGCGGAAGAGACTAGCCTAACTCTTCAATCCCACCCAGATCGTGCAGTGCATGGTAGTAGCCGAGTGACGTTTCTTGGCCTTTGACTGGGGAACGTGTTTTTTTTTTCCTCCCTCCCGACTACTCTGGCTCGATGCTACTTACTACCTTACATATACTTACCAACGATACAAGGCCACTAGACTGCCTGCCGGATGGAGTTCGGACCACAGCGCCGCTGGACGCCGCGAGACTGCAGTCTCGGCATACTATACTAGGGCCGAATTCCTAGAATGGGAAAATGAGGGTGGCATGTTGGGCTAAAGGATACCATGTTTCGCTGCATTAATCACGCGGTGAGTGAAAGGGGGAAATAGGGTTAAGAAGCCGAATCGAGATGGAAAGGGAAGGAGAGAGAGGCACCGATGTATGGTGAGGAGTATAAATATTGCGCTTCTCGCTCGCTCATTTCCCAATGTCATCTTGCACGGCACGGTCTTCTTTCCAGTTCTCACCATGGCCTTCAAAACTTCTTCGTGTATCGCCCTACTCGCCGCCCTGTCGGGTGTGGTGCAAGCACAAGACCTCTGTCCACCACTCAACGACATCGGCCATGCGGAATCGCAGCAATGGATCTTCAACAACTTGAACTATACTCTGACGAAGATCAGCAGCGGGACAGTCTGGCCGCCTCCAGAAAACGATCTCGACGAGAGCCGCGTCTCCTTCGCGATCCAGAGCGACTTCAACGCGGCCCCCGTGCAATGCACGGCTGAAGGCGCGCAGTTCTCCGAGGAGTACGAGAGGCAGCTCGCCGGCAAGCAGCCAACATATGACTGGTTTGACTGCAAGACCGATAGTGCCGATGTCAGGACTCAGTTCAAGCTCGTCTGGTGGAACACACACCTCCTCAACGTCCGACAATATTGGACATGTCCGAAAACGGGGTGAGTCGCGGCGGTTCTGTACTCATGGTCTCCATTCCATATAGAAACTGACTTATATATATCCAGCCGTCCGATGCGCGCGACAGGACAAGTCACGCTGAATTACCTCGACTGCCAATATGACAGCCAGGGACGCCGGACACACTGCGCGCAATCGGAAGGGCACGACAAGCCCCCAATCACCGCCACCATCGTCGAGGTGCTGCCCCCGCCGACGAAGCGATGCGCGGCGGCCTCTGAAGCCACCCCGGACTGGACCGTGAAAGATTTCGTGTGGCAGTACTGGAACACGACGTACCCGCTCATCCCCCCCATGGTATACGCGAACATGACGTTCCGTTTAGTCAATGAGGCGCTCAATTACTCGCCCCGCATGAACTGTACCGAGCCCCGGCTCCACGGCCCCCTGGGCGGCGTGTACATGACGCCGTACACGTGCGGTGTCTTCGAGGCTAACGAGGAGGACGTGCCTGCTACGAGATTCGATTGGGTTCGTGATGGTACCCAGCTCCTTCGGATCAACCAGACGTGGTTCTGTGACGATGGCCCATCTGGAGAGTGAGTTTTCCCTGTTCATTTTTTACCTACATTTCTATCTAACAATCCCTTTATTTGTGTTTCGGACGGTGACTGTAGGGGAAATGGAATGTCGCTAATCAGATATTTTGTGCCAACTAGGACGCGCTTCCAGAGCATTGGAGACCGAGACCTCACACCCCTGCTGCAGTGTAAGACAATCCCTCTCAACACTACGCAGAATGGCGTGCCTATCGGAGATACCTTGACGACATGTGTCACGGGGTCCGACTTTGAGATCCAGGGAACGCTGCAGTGAGCTTGGGTACGGGTTCTAGGCACTTGAGAGAGGACTTGTCTCTCAGACACCACTAGAATGTTACGTTAGGCCCTTCAACTTAGGTGAACAGATGCAGAACAATATAACCAATTCGATATCATTCAGTTACGCATTATGCTTTCGTTGCTCATTGGGGCGATTTGGACGGTGTGAATGAGCACTTTCGATGAGATGCGTGTGGTAGCCGGCCGAGCGAGGCTAAAAATGCAGTGAAGTTTAACTGCCAGGATCCTCCCACGTGGTTGGAATTGAGCACTTCAGTATGTAACCGATCGAGCGAGGCTAAAAATGCAGTGTCCCCAGGCAGACTCCCGGGCGACCAATTAGACTATTGAAACTACCATTCTTCTTTCGTCTCCTCGATTGTCCACGATAAATGTTATGTCATTAACAACATCCAATATCCTTACAATGAATCGTGGTGCTGTTAAATCACATTGAGTTGTGGTTGTGGCCGGTCTAACGTCACTCTGCTAGGAATCTCAGGGGTAGTGCAATACGGGCCAAGGAAGGAGTTCGAACTTCCAAAGGGGTTCATAAACCTCTAGAGCTTCGTAGGCACTACTGGTGCTTTATAAAGAGTACCTACTACGTGAATAAGGTTGAGTAACTTCTCGCTTATATTAGGTTGCAGGGGAAGTGCATTTCATGACTGGCCAAGAGAGGCTAAAAATGCAGTACGATGAGACGGAGCGAGTTCTGTAGGGTTGCATTTCATGACCGCCCGGGCGAGGTTAAAAATGCAGTGCGATGAGACGGAGCGAGTTCTGTAGGGTTGCATTTCATGACCGCCCGGGCGAGGTTAAAAATGCAGTGCAATTGCCCAAAAAAAATGGAAACCGACATCGAGAATACCGACGCATATGCTCAAGCACCTAAGGTGAGGTAATCATGAAGGTATCACAGGGTTCATGTACACAATCATTAAATTATCATTCGAAGTATATACGCTATCCAAGTATATCCAATCCCAGCTATCCAAACTCCATAGCCCCCTTTTCTCGCATCACATCCCCTATACCTTGCTAGCAATGAAGCTAACAGCAGTACCAGCCAAGTCGTCGTAATCATAATGGTTGTCCGTAACGATCAGGGTGCCCGAGCACACCAGATCGCCATCATGACACAGTATAAGTGACCGCGAGGGATCAATATTCGGCACGACGCCGCCGTCCTGCTTCTTGCGCGTGTCGCCATACGTGACGGCAGCAGCGACCTTGCTCGCCACGGACGCAGAAAGCATCTTGGCCGCGGCGTGGACCAACGCGGCGCCCTGGCTGTACCCGGAGAGCACGAGCTTGGAGTTGGGGCAGTCGGTCGCGGCTTTCGTGATCAGATCCTTGAAGTCCTCTGCGTCCGCGGGATCGCAGCCCTGCGGACGGATGTTGTCCAGGAGACTCGCGGGATACTCGATGCCCTGCGCGGCGACGCGGCCGCTGCCGAGAGCGGCTTTCAGCGCGTCGATGGTCTGCGGGCCGGGCGAGCCGCCGATGTTGCCGTCTTGGTTCGACCCCCGCGCGTACAGGAAGATCACGTCGCGGCAGCCGCTGTCGAGGAACTCGTTGGCCGTCACGCCCGTTGCCGCGATGGAGACGGTGCCTGCGCTCTTGCCCGTCTTGAGCTTCTCGATCATGTCCTCTGAGAGATCGAAGGTCATGGGCACGGCGGACGCCAGACCCATGAGGGTGGTAGACAGCAACACGGAGGCCTTCATCTTGTCTGTCTGTCTGGTTTGCGGATGCCAAGGGGAAAGGGTTAGGATAGAGACAAGTGACGAGCTCCAAGACGGGAGAATTCTGTCAACCCGGTTTCGACGGCCGTGAGATCTCCCTCTCGAGTAGAACCGGGTGCGGCACGGTTACCTTTATATATACTTCCCACCTCCTACTCCGCCTTCTTCGGGTTCCAAAACATAATACACACTTACCGTCAGGGATATCGTCTGAGCCGCTGGACAGGGGCTAATGCAACCATAGATCTCAACAATATTTCGACCTGCCCATTATCGTCAGGCCCGCCGAAAGCCGTAGACCATTAAGAGCAATCTGTTCGTCATTCTTTCCCAGTCGTGGGGGCTGGCTGTGAACACGTGCGCGGCAAGTCCCAACAACCGGCTTGCTGGGCGCATATCCCATCCTGCTTGGAACAAATCCAGCTGCCTTCCTCGCATGACGCCTGGCTTGTCGCGGTGGTTGTTGGAGAACAACATGTCTACTCTTGGAAGAGTGCTCCGCCCAAGCGTCGCTGCCGAGCGCCGCGTTTACCTCAAAAGGGGCAACAGATCGCCGACGAATACCCACAATACCCCATATTTCGCTAGCTCGTGAGAGCTTTATTCCACCGTTGTTGCATCCGAGTTTGTCCTCGACTACACCCTACCCGCCAATTGGTGCAGCACGCGCGTTCACAAGGAAAAATCACCGCGCATAGCTGTCTAAGACGCCAATCAGGAATGGAGAGAAATCAATAGTAAAAGGAGGCCGAGAGCGAGCTGAACCATGATCAATTCGCTAGCGACCGCCATTACGTTGATCACTTCCTCGCCGTAAGATCACGGTGTCCGAACTCGTGCTAAACGGAAACCAAGAGGTTTCATCCTTGGTTTGACATACATATAGCATAACCTCCTGATCCGTATCTTCTTGGAAGTCACCTTTTTTCAGATGACTGGGATCACCATTGCTCCATTTAATAATATTCGCACAGCGCAACTCCACTCCCCGTATCTTGGAAACCTCAACAGCCACCTCCTTGAGGCAGTCCTATTCAACCCATGTCTATAAAAAGAGAGCGATCTCCGCTTCGGATAGAACCTCGATGATCGGGCTAATTCTCCAGCTTGGCCAGTGCTTGGTCCAAGGATTCTCCAGTCAGCCTTTGGAACGCCTCGAGATACTTGGCACTTGTTCGAGCTCTGTTAAAAATTAGTCTTACGTTAGATTACTCGTCGCCAACGTTAAGGATTCAACCCGGGATCGGAGAGTTTCGGGGGTATACAGGGCGCGTGTGAATTGTTGGGGTGGAAAATCGCCGAACTGGGATATGAATGGGGTCTAGATCACATACTGGACATCTCCCGTCATCTTACTTGCTGTTAGTCATCTGCACATACACGAAAATCATACGAATTGATGAGAAACATACCGAAACGCCTTCCTTCCCTTTGAGGCCTTCGCCTGTTGGAATTGACGAGTTAGAATCTGTTGCGTATTTGTCCTCCAATTTTCGGACGATACATGAGCTTATGCGGGGGCCGAAGCTCTGCCAAGACGGAGAATAAATCCACGGCGGAGAAACTTACCAGTCAACCAATCGCGTAGGTATTGCTCTGCGCCATATTAGCATTTCTGCCCTGTTTTCATCCGAGATATTTCAAATGTCTTACTGTCAAAGCTCTTCTGATCGCGCCCTGGCACATAGTCTGCAGCTGGCCAGAATCGCGAGCTGTCAGGTGTCCTGGTTGCATCCGTTCGTCAGCAATTCAGCCACTCGCCGAACGACCAGGTCTAAGAATAGAGAGCACTAACAGAACCTCATCAATCAGCACCACCTCGTCCGTCTCCTCATCAAGTCCTTCAGCAACTGTTAGTCTTTTAATTCAAAATCCGCATGGCGACTAGTATGGATACACACCAAACTCGAACTTGGTGTCTGCGACAATGATTCCTTTTTCGAGCTATATCACCGGCGAGTCAGCCGATCCCGTCCAAAATTTCTCTGTCTTGAAACTCCGTGCAAGACGTCGTTAAGAGCTACCACAACATCTAATCAAGTAATGGTATTTGATGGACCCGGCCCTCGAAGGTTGGGCAAAGGATGGGAAGTGACTTACAGCATATCCATGTGCGGCCTTGTAGATGGCCAAGGCGAGATTCTCGATCTTATCGGCATATTTGTCGCCTACAATCTGTCGCGCGTGATCCGGGGTTATCTGGCAAAAACCAAATGTCAGTACACGCCCCGCACAGCAATCACTCTGCTAGGTCTCGAGGCTCTACAGCAGCATTGAACCTCGGAAACTCCGAAAAGGGAAATAAGACTTGGATCATGCGTACGTTCTCATCCTTCCCACCAACCGGCGCCTTTGCTATAAGAGTAACGGTCAGTAGTCGATTCTTGGTCGATGAACGAACGAGGTCGATGGAGACGGAGCAGCTTACTGGACGGCGTGTAAATAGGACCGCCGGGGAAGGCTTGACATTGCTCTAGCCCGCTCGGCTGTGGCATGCCGTGCACTGTTCCTTTCTGCTTGTACTCAGACCAGGAACTGCCGGTGATATAGCCGCGTACTAGAATCGCCAGCGTTAGCGGACAAATCTAGCAGTAGGTGCTGGGATTCCGCGAGTCGAACCTATGGCCTCAATAGGGAAGACACGATATTTTCTGACAATCATGGAGCGACCGCGAAGTATAGCCCTCTGTTCAGAGCTCAGGTCAAGCGCACGAGGGATGTTCAAGGACACCAAATGATGCTTCAGCGCCGGAACGTGCTGGGGCAGGACGGTATTGAGCCAGTGGTTTGTGAGTAGAGTGAGAACGGTGCCCTTGTCCTGGACGCCGTTCTCCAAGATTACATCATAGGCAGAGATGCGGTCAGAGGTGACCAGAAGGAGCGTGTCGTTGCTGGCCTCGTAGATTTCTCTCACTTTGCCCTGCACGGTGCCGATGTATCAGTGCCTAGATCTAGGATGACTCAGTCTGGTGAGAGAGTGAACCAACCTCGGCCACCAAGGGCAATGACTTGAGGCCGACTGAGGTGATGATTGATGTCGCCATAGTGCAGCTGTCTCTGGTCTGCTCTTCTCTGCTCCTCTCTTCGCTGTGCGCGGGTGATAAAAGGTGACTTGGAGGGGTTTTGGAGGGGTTATGAGCACATGCGCCCAGCTACCGTAGTGTGCTTGTGCTCTTCTTCTTTTGGGTGCGCTCGCAGGTGCTTCGTTTTGACGTTCACACGGTCGACATCTAAGTACGATGCACGATGTGTATTTCTTGCGCTTGCTTTGGCCACGATGGATATGATGGAGATGGGCCTTTAATTGCGCTCATCACTCATCCCCAAGGTTTTTGCTTGTGTCCCGCTAAATTATCGACTGTCGCCCGGAGTCGGACAAAACCGTCACTAATACGCCCTTTCAGTAGATGCTTAGTAGCCTGTAGCGCTGTACTACAGTGGACTAGACAGCGCATCCCGTCCGTTTTGTACGGAATTAGTGCAGTACGCCTAGGTAGTCCTAGGTACATTTTCACGTACCAGTGTACTGGGTAAGGTGCTAACTTTTAGTGTGTACTACCCTCCCTCTCTATGTACTTTAGGTACCTATCACCGGGCATATGGAGTTTTGTACAATATCAAACAACAGCACGCTCAGTCTCGAGCCAGCCATCACCATGTTGTTTCTTAACATTGATATTCGCCCTCGCTGTTTTTTTCACATTCTGTTATATGCATAGGCATGACACCAAGTGGTCCCATTGTTATTAGCCAAGCCAGATCAAAGGTATGGAGAGTCAGATGGGGTAGTCGCCCACTCGGAAACCTTCCAGTTGTAGGGTTGGCCTTAATCTTGTTTAAACCCCGATAGCCGCCTCTATTCCTGTTGTTGTTGAAGTGTTGGTTGAATAGCATTATGTGAGACCATTCTACATCACTCCTAAAGCCATCTTCACGAGCTCGCCTTTCTGTAAAACAGCTGGCAATGTTATTGTCAACCCATGATATGAGTACCGGGCTAAGTAAATCCGAAATATAGATATTTCCTCTAGATTCAAGGGAACTTGTTGTTAGCCAAATGCATTCGGTTCTCTCTTTACCACGCAAGCGATGATGAACAGTTGCTTTTGTCTCCTGTCCCTTTTACTCTCTCACTTGATATGAACAATATTTCCGGCCGGACATGAATACTGTCAGGTTAATCAAAAGGTTTCAACTACAAAAGTATCGATAGCTACGGCGGCAAGGTGAGTTGAGTTGGATGAGTTGCTTTATCATGATGTCAGGATGGGGTGTCCCAAGGTGAACAGAAGGCTAGTCTCGATCAAGTAGGTAGGCAGAAGGGTCCTATGGGATCAATAAAGTAGTCAATTGATCCCAGGATATTTTGGTGGGCAACTCTAGAATATAGACTAATCTAATATAGCTACCCCTAGGGTAGATTGTGACTATAGCCCCGGACACATGGTGTTGTGGTAGTTATTCCCGCCTTGGCTAGAAATATTCCCTGTAATTCAAGCTATTATACGCAACGAACTACTATGTGCTACACGCGCGTGCAGTTGAACATGGAGTTGGCATACGGCTACAAGCGTAAGGCAGTCTGATCATGACCTTCGGGACATATCCAGACAATATTGAAAATAGAATACGCTTCATGGAGTAGATCACTGAGATGTAGGTGATTAGAACTGGCAGTCTATTACGCGCGTACGAGCTAAACATGCAGTTCGCCATGCGCTTCGGCCATACAAAAGGCCACTGTAGGTTGTTCATAATCTCTAAAAATATGTAGGTAATATTGGAAATCGAGGTTATACAGACTTCGCTTTATGAAACAAGTCAACAAGATCTAGGCGGTTGGGGCTGGCAGAGCAGTCGTATATAGAGTCGAGTCAAGCCCCCAAGGAATTGGTTGGTCAAGGACTCATGCAGTCTTAGTTGATCATTATATTGTGAATACCATCAAGTTCCAATCTCGGATCTCTGCCCTTCTTATACAGTCCAATTTTATATATCTAGAGTCAAAGCCAGCCACCAATGCCAAAAATTAATTGGTTGGCCAAGGACTTTTGCAGCTATAGTGGATTATTATATTTCGAACAGCATCAGCTCCAATCCAAGACCTCCGCTCTTGTTATTCTATCGCTCCAAGATCTATACCAAATGGTCTATTCTTAAACCTTCCTTCTAGACTTGTTGGCTAACTTTGGCTCTTCATAACATTAATTAGCCGTATGGTAATTTCTCAAGGTTTGTAAGGCTGTCTCAAAAGCAATATCTAAATAACTTTCAATGAGAGATTATGCTGTATCTCTGTTAATTGTATAACCTCAGGGTGCAGGTGTATGGTCAACGCACATAATAGACACCCTGTTGCTCTCCTTACTGTTGAAAGTGCGGGTGGTAAAGGAGTCACTTCATGTATACGGTACGGGTCAGGGGCACGAAGGCGCAGTTCATGTACATAAGACGGTCTTTTCACCTCACTCAGATCAAGTAGTTCAGTTGAATATAACCCTCACAAACCTTCAATTTCAGCACTTACAACACCTTGTGTGCCTGTTACCTGCAGAATTTGGTTGTACGCCGGATAGAAACAGTACATGCGGTTGATACCGAGCCTGTAGCTGTTGCGCACCCCTTTACATGAGGCATTATGGCAGAATTCGGAGATTGGGAACTTCGGTTAATTTCAGTCGAACTGTAAATAAAATCCGGTCAGCCATCTGTATGAAGGAAGGAACCCAAGCAAATCACATAGACCTTGGCATTCTGAGCAGTATATTACGTATAGGCTCGATGGAGTCCTAGAGAAGCTCGCATGGTGATAGATGTTTTGACAAATTGGGCTAGTCCTACTCGCTGATCACAATCCTTGACATGTGAAGCTAATTTACACAATTCACCAGGACATTGATAATGGTTGAACTGGAATGTTCACGCCAACGGTAATTATAGACTGTTGGAAACAACCTAGGCACATATTACGAGGCAGCTACTACAATAAGCCATATAAATTCGTTGTCGATTGAAGCATTGAGGTATCTCTGCTGACTATCGCGCAATGCACTATATAATTACCATAACTCTCCTTTGTTTCGGGAACCCTCATATATGAACCACGCTATAATCTAAAATATTGCATAGAATAGTCTCAGAATCAAATATCATAGTACTTAGGAGGAATATCAAGGAACCCTAGATGGTGCCGTAAATGCATCAAAAACAGCCCATATTTGACCATAACCTCCTGACTGTTTTGTTGCCACATCAGTTCATGAGATCGTCGAATCTCAAGCCGCAGCACCCTCGGGAACCCCGCGGCCTCATCCTTCTTGATCCGAAAACCGCAAAATATTTCGTTTCAAATTCAGGATCACCGGAAAACTCATCTTTATCCTGCTGCCTAATCGTCAAGAGATTACCCAGTAACTTACCAGACGAATTGACACTGCCTGAATCCCTTGCATGACCTTCCATATCTGAACGAGTCCTAAGCTACATATTGAATTGATTTTACTTAAGGCTTCCAACGAGTAGCTAGGTATAGTCTTTCATGATTTAGACAACTCCATTATATCATATTCGGGTGATCCCATACATGATAATTTTCTATTATTTGACTGCTTGTTTGATAGATGATGTGATGTGAAGAGATTAATAACTCCCTATATATAGGTGCGGGCCCCAGACCTAGCCATGAGCTTTTCTCCGCGATAGCCGAGGGTCTCATCCTCAATGGGCGGCACAGACACGGTCCAAGACAACAAGAAAGGAAAACCGAGCGAAATATAGAAAGAGACGGCGCCCTCTTGAGAATTATACATAAATCAGACACCCAGTCGGTCCTAATACGTTAGCTTACATAATTGGTGCTCGATTGGTCTCAACGGCGCGCAAAAATAGTGCACTAAATGGATCCTGCAGACGCCAAAGGATCCCTCCCGTTATATTAATAAATACTATGTTTTAGCGCGGAATTTTATTTTTCTCTCAAATCGAATCTTCCGCACACTTTATCTCATAGAGCAGGCTAAATACAAGCCTCATTTCACGATCGGAGCTATCATTACTGAGAGCCGAGTTACTGCTGCCCATAGTTCTTGAAAGGGTAGGTAAGCTCCAGCCATGCGTCAGCCACATTCTATCTAGAATCTCAGCTTATAATCATTTCCGTAAGCGGCCGCCGCAATTCGCATCCGTCCTCCCTGTTCCATCTCGCTCACGTGTTCCAGGGTTGCCCTCCCACGACGCATCGCTACGGTTTAGGAAAATGGTCCCCTGATCAGCTCGCCACGACCTGTTTTTTTTGGCGATTTGTAAAACACAGGTTATACTATGTAGGACACAAGAGGTTATATAACCGGGTAAGGATCCTATTTTGTCTACCCGGCCTATCTCGGCTCTGGGGCCCTAGGGGCATCTCGGGTCCGTTCGCTCATCAAGAATAGACGGAGACTAAATAGAGCAGTCGACTAGGCCTCTTATGCTGAAAAGTTCGGTACTCTTTCCGGATTTCGACATGGTTTACAGTGGGATTGGTTGGCCATGCCCATGCTGACAGAATATTACATAGTATGTCCATACAGGTATTTGTATTCAAGGATTGTACGCCACCCCGGCACAACGATCCTAAAAATCTATGTGAGCAACACTAGCAATCTAGCTCGGACTTTTGATCCACCAAGCGTATCTCGCCAGCGACGATCCGAGGGCTATCCTTCACATACTACTATAAGTACACAGACTATAGTTGCACTACATTATTTGTTATATCTCAGGTGAGGCTCCCTGCTGGTTTCCTAAACGAGGATCGCTAAAGAGACTGTTCATCCATGTTTTGGCCATGTTCTAGCCTGTCTGGTCCTCGCGGTGTAGAGTTCATATGACACATGTAGGCTAGCTGCGTTCCTTTCTCTTGGCAACGGGCCTGCCTACACCATGCACTTACTTATATACACATAAAGTACTTACCTAGGCACATGTGCAATGCCTATTATTAGTAATGAGGTGACATCCCGACAGCCCACATATCCCACATGTATGCATGTCTTGCGATCTTCCCGTGCGGTTGGGATTATACGCCGTGCTCTGCGGAGTTTTCCGCTCATGCTTCACATCCCACGACACCGGCCCGAGATTTGACAGCAGACTCCAAGAAAGTCTTCACGCCATCTACTTCATTGCTAAAGGTAGTTACCTAGGCACCGGTAGGGATCCGGTACCAAAGCATCGCGATCGATTATTCTCACGATAAGTGCGTGATCTTCCCGCAATCCCACAGTACAAATACAAGCAAATCCAGGTTGTTCTTACAGAACGGGCTTCCGGGCCAGCATATGGTCGAGGCGAGGCCAATATCACAAATACTTGCTAAGCTGATACCTTCTGTTCGTGTAGATCTAGATATACAGAGTGGAAGGTGTTATATTTTTGTAGCACATACGGAATAAATCATCCTAACCAGCCACTGAGCTTAGACGTGCTCCTATGCGCTCACATACTGCTCGCAAGCCATGAACAAGTTTATCCAAACGACGCCGACAGTGGGCTGTGGTCAACAGCTTTTCCATTCGATCGACACCAACAGAGAGAATACTTAAAGCCAGAGTTGACGCTCTACTTCAAGTCTCGATTCAGAGTCCAGCATTCACCACGCAAATCACTCATACTCTCAACATAATCTCTCTGCAAATTATTTCTAGCTTTGAATCATCATTTTGAAGGTCTAGTACCAATATGAGCGGTCCACAATCCACAATTCGCGTTGCAATTGTCGGCGGCGGCATAGGAGCGGCAGCTCTTTTGCGAGGGCTCCTGCGACACTCACATATTGCCGCCGATATCTACGAATCACGTCCTGCGTTCAAAGATGAAGGCCACATCATCGCTTTAACGTCCGCCGCTGAAGATATTTTGCTCAGGCTGGACCCTTCGTTAGATGACTGCCTCAGCCGAGCAGAGGCAGTCTATACCACCACAGAATTCCGGATCGCTTCTGGTCCATATGCAGGACAATTGGTCGACTCTGGGTCGATGCATAACTACAGAGAAAAGATGGTTGATCCTCAGAAGCTTTTAGACGAATTACTAAGAGGGACACCACCGCGCATGATCCACGCCAACTCTCGCATATCCTCCATCACCGAGGCATCACCCGGGGGCGGCGTAATCCTCAACTTTGTGGGTGGCGCACAGAAAAAATACGACATCGTCGTAGGTGCTGACGGCGTGTTCGGAAGTACTAGAGAGTTCGTCCTAGGGCCCGACGATCCTGCTCTGCGGCCGCAGTACACGGGAGTTTGGAGATTACCAATCAGAGTCCCCTACAAAAAAGCGTTGGAGTTCTTAGGACCTGAGTTCCTCGACCCGAATAGACCGTGCCAAACGTCGTGGATAGGTGACGGTGTCTTCCTGCAGCTTGACTTCATGGGCCCGGAAAAAGACGTTCATATCGCGGCTTATGCCGTCAACAGCGGCTATTCCCCTGAGGGCTGGGCAAGCTTGCTCACGCCGGAAGAGTTTGGGGCGGTTTTTGCGGGTGTTCCGTTGCCGGTTTGCCGCGGTATAGTAAACGTAAGTAAATAATTGTTAATTGCCTCTTTCCTACTTCTTGTTTCCTTTCCTATGGCTTCATTAAGCCCATGCTAACATACAACATGGCCAGTTGATAAAGAGTTTATATACGGTCCAAATAGCTGGCATCTCTTATATGCAGCATAAGCCAGCACGGACCTACGTCACAAACAATGCAGCCCTGATAGATGACGCGGCACATTCCGTAGTTCTAGTGCAAGGAATGAATGCTCTGGTTGCATTGGAAGAGGCTTATATCCTTAGCATGCTTCTGGGCCGATTATCATCAAGGGCTGCGATCCCAGCAGCTCTTCAGGCCTTTGATCATGTCTGTCGACCCAGAGCTGAAACAGCAGCACGGTCTACTATTCAGTGCGGGCTGGTAACCATTGGTAAAGATCAGGAGGTTGGACTTGATCCCTACCTCGTTGGTCCTCGCCTCCAGTATCATTGGCATATCATCAAGAATTCCAAGATCGAGGAGCAGCAAACCGAAGCCATTCGGGTCATGGATCAGCTCTTGATGCGACATTAAGACTCATGGATGAGTTTTCCTAGAATTGTTTCGAATCTTTTATGTACAGGCAGGAGGCATTGTTGGGATAAATTGCATTTTGATTTGGGATATCCATATTCGCACGGCGCGCATAGAGTTGGCATCTCACGAGCTCATTCACATCATAGCATTCCGGGCGTAGTCCTGCGTTTTCATCTACTCCTAGAGAATTTATATTTTACTGTCGTCTAAAGTCTTGGTCTTGCCTTTCGTATCAATGGTCTTGATTGAAGAGAAACGAAAGGCTTAGAGGTTCACTGATGTGTTAAAGGTAGTAAAGTAGTTCCTTTTTACTCGAGCTTTTATCTTCAATTACGTACTCCAGCAGCAATCGTATATTCAGTATATAATATGACGCCCAATTAAGCATGTACATCGCATTTCAGATTTACCATTCCACTCCCTCTACTATATGCATAGATTATATAAGCCTGCGGATTTTATGCTTGGAGTACTTACTGAGCCCTCATCCAGCGCAGCAGTTTTATTTTTAGGCAAATGTGGCGGTAACGTTAATGCTTCACTGAGAGATATCAGGTCATTCCAATTGTTTGTTCTTCTGGATTGCCAAGAGTCTTGTCATAAGCAGCGATCAAAGCATGATTCAGCGTATATCGGCTCATCCGCTTCGCTCATAAGCCTCCCACATGAGCACTTCAGCCCTTCGTCACTGCCCCACTGATCCGCGCCAGGATTCTGAATAATCACTACTATCATATGCCTCAGCATCGCCTCCACTTCTAATGACCTTTTTTCAGGTTAGGTACTTGAGTCGAAGTTTTAACGCTCAGGATGCGTATAAATATTTCTAGTGGTCGAGCTTGGGAATCGCGTTTCTGGATTGCCATTGAAAATCTGAAAGCCTAACTAAGCCTATGCTTACTAGCATCCTCGAAAGCCCTAGCTTGGCAACTCGGCTTAAACCTCGCTAATGTAACATCCGATGAACTCCGGACTTTACACAAACCCATGGCACCATACTGTATATTTAGACGTAGACAATAGTTTAGCCCCTGCAACCTGATGTTGCTCTGAATGGATGGCCGTGTAGAACTAGGTTGACATATTACTAATATGACTTACGTTAGAAGGAAATTGGTACGTGGCGTTCTGTACAAAGTGATTTTGGTCGGGAGGTACTCATATCAGAATAAACTATCTCGCATCGAGATGCCGACAAAACGAATAACAATTATTCGAAAGGGTTTCGATGTAGTCCAGCATATCTTATGTAATGCATTTTATACCCAAGGCTCATGCGGCATATAAGTGTCGATATTACGTACCTACCTGACAGGGCATATACCCATACCAGCCCCTGACATATATTACACAATCAAATGGGACTTCAGAGGATCATTATGTGTTGAATTCCCAAAACACCGGCAGTATAGGCTAGACTATCGGGAATCTTGAAAGTGCATGTGTTATCATGCTCTGAGCGAAGTCGACTGGCAACCTTCCAGCCCCTCGCTAACCAGCACTCTCCCTTAGCTTGCACTCCGGTCTAAGGGTACTATGCTAGCATGGAATAGAGAATTACGAAGTATATTATAAACGTGCTTTTACTTAATCTCTTTCTTATACCCCTATAGACGTATCAGAAAAACATCTAGGAAAGATTTATTACGTAAAATGCTCCCAATTAGAGAACCCCACCAATTCGACGGTATAATCCTGTGACTTCAATCGTGGTGTCCTATGTAGCATTTGGGGTTGCGCAAGATTTGTTCACGCCTTTTACGTTTACACTAAGGCTATCTACAACAAATCTCTGTGTAGGAGCCACGATGCCTCTTGAGGTGACTTCGTAACACAGAGATGATAGTCTTTATTCTCTTAGGCCAAATTGCAAGGCAGCCACGATTGGCTCGCACAATACTAGACCACACAGCGTCAATGAAAGTGTCTTCTTCCTGGGAATTTTTGGAGTATTCACGGGGCCCAAGAAGTAAAGATGCTTGGAACTGTTCTTGACCTCCAATGATGGCGGATTTGACTTGCGGGTTCGCCTGAATTGTGCTCTCCATGGTGGAAGAATTCGACTTCTCGGCTGTCGTAAACGAGATTATATTGTCAGCTCCTGCTTTAAAGCGCCATAGATAGCCCTGTTTTCAGGGGATGTAGCTCAAATAGATAGCTCATAGAGTGTTCCTCTTTGTAAGGGAACGTCGAAAAGACACCTTGATGCAGCTCGTAGAGTTCTTGTTTCTTAATGGTCAGATTGCCTAACCCGTCACGATGATCAACGAATTACGGCCAAGACTTGGGCTCAGAGATACATCCTCCCAATCTCGAGAATCTTCAATGATCTAATGAGGGAGTAAAGAAGTCGGACTCTGTCGCCTCACCGACTCAGATCGAGCAAAGGGGCCACTCATTGCACCGAAATCAGGGCATTTCATTCAGAAAGATAACCCACCTTTCGTTGCAGAGCAACTAGAAGATCTGTTCATGGAAGTCGAGAGCTCTTAAGTAAAGACACGTAAAGTGTCTGATAACTCTTTCTTTTTGATGCCTTGTTTTCCATGCTTTTTTTCTATAGTTGTCTATATTTCTGAGTTATGAAAGTACCATAACAATCAATGAATAAGCATAGTTCGTCTTCATCACATTTTGGTAAAAGTGTTTCTCAAAGTGATGGCTATTGGATGAGAATCACAAATAGTGCGTGTAAATATTATAGACTATAACAGTCTGGAAGACTTCGCAACTAGGTGTTGAGGTGTTCCTATGAGAAACAAGCGCGAGATTCCATTATACCACTATAATTTAAACTTATAATTTCATTACATCAATTATATAGTACACGTTGTAAGAATAGCTTTAATTAATAGCTTTTTTCCAAGGTTGTAGTGTGAGCTTTATCTGCCCTGTAGGGCAAACGTGGTAATATAGAGGACTTCAGTTCTAGAGGCCGGAAAACCAACACTTCACCACGCGCACCTACGCAAAATGCAGCGGCTGCTTCTCCGCCTTCACAGTCTCGCTGACACTCCGCAGCGCTTCCACACGCTGCACCAGCTTTCCATAAGCCGGATATGTCGCCTTCATATCGATCTTGACAAGCCGCACGCCCCAGGCCCAGAGGGTATACAAGAAGAAATCCACGACGGTGAGATGTTCCCCAATCGTGTAAGTTCTCTCTTTCAGTCTCTTCTCAATGATGTCGTAGGAATAATCAATCGTCTTTCGCCCTTTCTCCTTCACGGCGGGATACATATCTTTGTTCCCTTCTACGTACCGTTCCGGGTGCAGGAAGGCGCCGTACCCTGAGGAATGCAGCGTGTCCGAGAGCCAGATCATCCACTCTGTTACGCGCACTTTCTCGAGTGAGTCGTGGCCGAGAAGACCTTCTTTTGCTGTTTTGTCGGGAGATTGCAAGGCGATCACTATGTTTCTCCGGAGGTTAGTGATTGTTCTATGTAAAACGGGGGCGGGCTTTTGAATTCTGTATGCTTTCGTGACATCCTTCTCGCTCTAGCAGGCAACTTTGGCTTCCACGAATGTACAGAATGTGAATAAATTGGGCTCAGGGGTAGCATACTGGTCAAGATGGCGAATTGCTCCGTCACGACCTCGCCATCAACAGTGAGTACAGGGACATATGCCGCCGGGTTGATCTTGCGGTACTCGGCGTTGGAGAGACTGCCGTCTGCGGCCACCATGCCGGTCTCATCCATCTTCATTAGGACCGACTTAAATGGGAGGTCGAGATGACGGAGAAGGATGTGCGGTACTTGGGAGCACGCTCCGTTGTAGTGGTACAGAGTTATCTCAGGCATCTTGTTGAGTTTTCTTTATCCTTGTTGATGATACGATTCTGTCTTTGACGATGCTGTAGATGCGAGTGATGAAGATGGCATAGCACTGAGAACTGGAGACTTTTGTGATACTTATACCTTTTTTTTTTTCAACGATCAGGACACCTTTCTCTACGATACTGAACAAGAACATGGATCTACGAATCTGTTAGCCCTCCAGTTTCATCATGCAGGTAATTGATGTTGCCGATTAGTCACTCCTGAAGCTCACCATCCTCCATGACCCGATCGTCCCCAATAATATCCCACATGCCTTCCGATTGACTCCCACATAACATGCACAGGATATTGAATCAAGTGTTGGGCGCCAGACTGTAACCAGGCTAGCTCACGGAGCATCGGAGCACCCCAACAATGTCAACCAGCTAAACATTAGTCATCGTCGGTATAGGCATCCAGCTGTAAGCAGTCTAGTCATAGGGCGTAGCTTACATGCGTTTTGATCGTGTTTTGACATGCAGAAGCCGCGGAGAAAGGACAACTATGTCGTATGTAATTATGGTCAGAGTGGTATCAACGCGGCTTGGGTTACTTTTCGGGGAATTATGATTCCTCAGATATTTCCATATGGGGGATTACCAAAACCGGAGAGATTCTAATCCCGGGCCAATCACATACATATGAATTGTTAGCGTAATCAAAAATTAGACCGTCGCTAAATTTGATGAGGTGCACCGTGCAGATCAGTGCGTCGACTTAGTCAACTTTATTTGTGCCTGGTGTTAATCTGATACAATTCTCACCGGTCCTAAATATCTTGTCTACGCAGTTCCAGGAAGTATAATGTTTTCTTACCAATAGCCAAGCTATATCCGACTGACCTACGCATCGTACCATCGTAACTGCCCCAGCTCTTGTCTTCCTTCACGGCTCGGGGCCATCGGCCTACCTCTGCAGTCTGTTTGGGAAGAAGTTGTAACCACGGCGACCACCCGCAGGCTTATGGTCGAGCCATGTTGCGGGTGTGCGCTCTGCAGGAGTGAGCAGGATATAAGGATCTTTCTGCAACCGGAGACGCATCGCCAGTTTCTGATCGATGGCCCACCTCGAATACCCTCTGGCCATACTTTCATGAACAGTATTTCTAAGAACATGGGTGAAGTTCGCGGGTGTGGGAATTTGCTGGAGACCCATTTCTCGCATGAAGGCCGGAAAATTATCAATAGTATGTAGTCGGCGCACTTCAGCTGCGAGGTGACCGGCTGCATCTATAGGTGGCCCGCCATGACGATTGAAAAGTTCATCTCGCACTTGGGTCAAGCTCTTCTCATGGGAGGGGCGAGCTGTGCGCCGGAATAGTTCCGAGAACATAAGTAATCTGTACGAGGTACGAGAGCCTTGGAACGTCTTGTCTAACCGGTAAGCAGACACTGAATCTCTCTCCATATATGATAACTCATCCATACCTGCTCCTTTTCTATCGAGCAGCCAGACAACGTTTCGAACGATCGCCTCTGTTATGATAGCTTTGAGAAGCGTGTCAGTGACTTGGACATCAGATATCAACAGAGCAATCAGGAGATGTCCTAGATTGGGACAATCCTTTTTCGATCTTGCTCCATTCTTGAAGTCCTCCAACAGCTTATTGGCTTTCTGGACAATACAAGGATCTTCTGTCGCTATACACACGAGGAGGTGGAAGAGGTGGAAGTACGACTCTATAGCTTTCTCCGACGCATGGCGAAGCGTATGCTTCTTCGCAATCCCGGCCTCTAAATTCTCTGTCGTCTGGTTCAGCCGAACGACTATGTCATTCATGAATGTGAAGAGCACCGATGCACCCATCGTGTCCGATGACACAGACACATTGATGCGAGACGCAATCTCAAGAAAAGCGGCATGGGCATCTTTTCTGACCTTGTTCCAGTGTCGCCTTGATATCGGCAGCGGAAGCCAAATATTGAATGGTATGTTATGGATGGAACGGTTGACATGCAAATAATTGCAGGCTTCCTGGGAGATCAAGTCGAACTCTGAAGAAATCTGACCTTTGTTAATCCGGACACCGACACCAAGACTCGCCTGTTGATAGGTTTTCTTCAGGCAGAAACATTGCTGCTCACGCTGTCGGATGACATTGAAGTCTCGCACAACTTGACTAATCCTCGGCCATGCACGTGCGAAGCTAGTTAGATCTTCAAAATCATCTAGATGTTCAATGATCAGGAGTAAGATTTCATTGGGAAGTTGGTTGATTTCAACACCAGATGGCTCCCTCTCGTGATCGCTTATCGACAGGGAGTGCCGCTTGCTCGGACTTGATGGTGGGCTTATTTCTTTCCCGCTGGCTGCGCTAGATTTGAGTGCGCTTGGGGAAGAGGCAGAGCTTTGTATGATTGGCCACTGTTCCGGACTTTGATGAACGCGTGCATCGAAGCTTGTTGGTTTCAAAGGAGTACTAGCTCGAGGAGGACGACTCTTGGCTCCGAATCCGCATTCTTGGCACTTGTACGTATCTACTAAGTACGACTTGCTCGTTTGTTGGTAGGTAGTGAGATCTGCGGCCTTGTCATAGTCCTCCTGTTCCAGGCTATCGCTGTCAAAAAAGCTCAATAGTTGAATCGCAATACCCTTAAGTGTGTAAGCCGGCGTGTGCTCTTCACCGGGACGCAAGATACTAGCGCATATGAAGGAGCCGTAGACATTGGGATGCTGTACTGATGAGTTCATCCAGATACTAGGAGGCCGTATCGGATATAGTGAAGGGAATTCAATGGACAAGTGTAAAGGCGGATAGTGGTCAGGGTAAAGAATTAAACAAGCTATGTTGATATAATTTTCGTTGGGGTAAAGCACGATTTTGGGATAGGGTTTTGTGACGAGCTCGTGGATATCTGACAAAAGGCGTTGGTTACACAGCTTGACATCAGTTGACGACATTATTGCTTTCAGGGTAGAGTCTGAAGTAATTAACCTGACAAGAGATCAATGACTCTGAGCTGCACAGATTCTTATAGTCAAGAGGAATGATGAGAACAGAATTGTCTGTCTATCGTCGAAAATTCTGGGCTCGCTCTCTTTTCATTCCCTACCTATATATAACTAGCAATTGGTACATGTGTAGAGGATGCAGTGCCTCAAAAAACGAAAGCCAAGGTCTCACCTTCTCTTGCCGCGTTGACTCACTACGGCGAAGACACAGCCTGAGTAACTAGCGGTAGAGGCTTGGCTTGTTTCAGTGACTTACGCAAGGTTATCTAGTGCCTTGTAGATCCCGGTAGGCAGAAAAACAGTGTAACGTGATTGGACAATAAACCCTAGAAGTCTCTAGCTCTAGGTTAAGTAGGACAGGTAGACCTGTCAAGACCAGCCTACATACTTAAGGTCTACTGGGCAGGTCTAGGTCCTTCACTGCAATTTTAGCCCAACCACAGAGCAGTGTTCTGTACCTTAAGTACCTAGCTGTAATATTAATTATTGTAGAAACAATAATTATCCAGATATGAATATACACAAGTCACTCTCATTTACTAAGCCGCAACTATATCTTTGAGCAACATAAAACACCAGACATAATCTTTTATTATGGACACGGGTTTGGGGTGAATGGTATTTTCCATATGAGCAATCTATAAACAAACGCTTTTATATAAACAAAGATCATACCAACTCCCCAGCGACTTTGATGATGTGTTTTCAGCATAGCACAATAGAACGAATGGGTGTGAGTGACAGCAACACCACTCACTTAAGCATCATTTCCAGAATTTTCGACCTGTTTCGCCCGTTTCGGCGATGGAACCGCCTCGTCGTCATCGTCGACCCTGGAGCGCTTGCGCTGATCACCATTCTCTTCTGGACGATCCCCAGATCTGGGCTCTTGGGTTCGGTTGAGGGTATCCGGGGTGGGTGCGCCAGAACGGTTCGGTGTAGCAGCACGCTCCTCTTCTGTTACCTCTACTTGTGGTGAATGAAGTGGGATAGACATGGCCGTATTGTCATCTTCTTCATTCTCCACTGTGACCGAAGGAGGTCTACAAGCGTTTCTTCTAGAGGGGTTGTAGTAAATGGGAATCGCGTGTGTGTGGGTTTTTGTTTGGAAGATGTCCCACTTCTCGTCGTTGGCGAGGATATTGGTCCTGTCTCCGCTCAGAAGCTCTCGCTGGTAATTCGCGTCTTCACCCGAAATCTCCAGGGCCAGTCTGGCCTTGAACCCCGAACCTTCGATGAACTGGTGCGCACACGCTGCGAGAAGGCTTTGACGATAAGTGTCGAAGTTGTATTGTTCCTCAAAGGGCGCCCACAGGAAATCTTGGTCACCGCAAGTACCATCGCGCCGATCTTGACGATGCTGAAGGACCTTCAGGCGACGGATGAACTCTCGCGAAACTGCGTAGGCGATGAGCCCCGTTTGCCAATGGCCGTTTGATGTGCAATCGGTGATGATGTCTGGAACACCGAGGTTGTGGACCTTTAAGTTGAGCGCTGACTCAATACATCCCTCGGGGAAAATTGATTCGAGGCGGGAGTTGATCAGGGCTGCACGAGCTTCACGGCCCTCTGGTAGCGGATCAACAAGCGCTAGATCCGTAACCTTCATATCAGCGCTGAAGTCGCCCATTTGATTAAACTCCTGCTCCTGTTTCTGTTGGATTCTAGCGATTACGGTTACCCAGATATCGTCTAGCTGCAATGGCAGGAGTAAGAACTCTCGAGATCGGATGGCGTCGAATAAGTAATGAAGACTAAATCCAGTCTTACACGGGGTAAGGCGTTTGCCTATCTTATCCAAGGTTTCTCGAAAGCTTTCATCGTCGGCGGAGAATAGATCAATGTGGTCGATCGAAGGCGTGCACAGCATCTCCGGACGAGACAGCTGTCGATGCTCCCAGAATAACCCGTTTCGAAGAGAGATCGACTCGATAGGACGCACTCGATCTATCTGCAGCATGTACATGGAATCAGCTACAGTAGCGAGTTTCTGGATTTCATCTGTGACTGTGCCACTTATAGGCTTGTGCCACCCAAATTTGATGTACGGGCTCGCGATCAGTCGCGCAGCAGATATAGGCTGTCCTCGTTTGGAGGTGGGCTTCGGGGCCTTCCTGGGCTTTCTCTCTGTGGGTTTCTTCTCCCCAGATTTCTTCACTGCAGGTTTCTTCTCTCCGGCTTTCTTCTCCGCGCGCTTCTTCTCCTTTAGACACTCAGTAGGAGTAGTGGGCGACATTTTGTGATGCTGTTGATGTTAATGTAGGTGCTGTGAGTAATGTTGAGTGTTCGTTCTATTGCTGTTGCTTGCTGTTGCTGTTGATGGTGGTATGATAACTGTGCTTAACAATTCGAGTAGCAAGATGGTCTTCGCCTACCGTCCGGCCTCGAATTTATACACGCTTCGAGACAAGACCATGTCATATTGATCGACTAACAAGACACTTGTTCATCGACATTGAACAACAAGAAAGCATATCGTTTGATATTCACAACGACACGATGCGTTGAGTTGTAAGCACTTTGCTTTATTCCAAAGTTGATCTTTGGTAGAGACGAAAGCATCGCTAGGATAGTGAGGAGTCGACCGGCACAAAGGGTGAACTCAACAAAGCAAGTTCAGTGAGGTGGATATCGAGATGGTTCATTGTGCGCGATCTTCCCTTCAACTTAGTGAAAGATATCAATTTCTATTGGAGGATGGTAATGAAGGAGGCTGTGCTGCTTCTTCTTTGAATACAATTGCAAGATCGCGTCCACGAACTTCACGGCTTGTACCTTGCGCGGTGGTAGGGTATAGCAAGCTGGCCAGCGCAGTTCATTATTCTTTCACAGTTAAGAAGGAAACCGCCTTCCAAAGTCCCCGAAAATAGTATAGGCATTGTTCAATGATCTTTTAGTCAATCCAGGCCAAACAACGTTATTATAGATACTAGCCTCGGAATCAAAGGCTAAGAGGTGATTGTTGCTACTAACACATCAGGAAGCCTACAATACGTTTGTCGCGCAATTTCCCAGAGTGGTAGGCAGGTGTACTTTCATCTACGATTAGGCGACGCGCTGGCGTGATGCTAGCTTCGAGCAGTCCTCAAATTACTTCGCAGCACTACGTACTGTAGCAAAAGACATGCAGATACAGTCTGCAGTGAGGTTGGACACGTGAGATGGGCAGAGACTTAGTCATGATGAATCAGGCAAATCCGTCGGCTATAAGAAAAGTAGCCGGTCCATCTGGATAATATGAGTTTGGACAGACGGTATTGTTTTAGGGGGGGGGGGGGGGGGGGCCTTGTTTTTGTTTGTATCAGAAAAACGTTGCGGTTTGTGATTCTCATTTGGGTGTCTCGCACGTTTGGTTTGACGCGGCGAACG